GTTAGCTGTTTGAGCGCCCGCTTGCAATACCTATGAAGCCGCCCTTTTTGTTTAGTTGTATCGAAAAGATAAAAGTAAAATAATATGAAACACATGGAAATATGGATAAAAAAACTTGATCAGAAGTAAAATCCTTTACCAAGCCCTATTGAATGGCTGGGCTTTCTGCGAGATGCCACGTCGTCCATACATACCATAGCATCCTTCGGCTGCCGAAGGACACCCTGCCGTGCCGTGCCTGGCCGCAAGATTATTAATAAAACTATCAATAGTTGTGACTATGATGAGATAAAAGTACATTAGACAAGCAAATTATTAAAAAGTTTCGTTTTCGTTTCGATTTATGTTTTTGCCGCCCTCTTTAAAAATTCCGCCCGTGTGCTGTGCACGCTCTGCTCACCCGTACCCGGCGGCTCTGAGGCAGCGCATTTCAAAGTCGCGTGTACCAGCTAGTTCTCCTATAAAAGTAATCGAAATAGATTCTTTAATATTTAGTTGGAAGTGACACCGGACGTGTACCGTTATATTTTTATATAAGGATTCAATCGTAGGGAATTGGTGTCAACATTTGAACGACTCAGTATGCAACATAGGACTGCATCCGATTACATTTGATGTGATAATGTATTCGCATGTACAGATTAAGGTGGAACGGTAATTAGTTACGTTTTCAAGTGTAAATATTTATTTTTCATAATATAAGAGAGGATACAACGTATTAGGGATATCCTAATTAAGAATAGACTTATCAAATAGTGTATACTAACCGTTACACGCACTGATTGTTCAGTTCCTAAGTTCGTAGCGTAATATTACATAGGCTATAATCTTGCCAATTGAGTACTCTATTTGATTAAAATAAAAATACTGAGTCTGACTATTACTTACATCGATTATCGCTTTTGAACAAACAAAAACTCTTCAGATTTATTAAATTAGCATAATTATATGATATTATTAACAAGGCGATTCCCCTTTACAAATTTAAAACATGCGACTACCAAATTAAATAAAATATTTATAATAATATAAATTTATCATTTCTGTTACACCGCGAATAAAACAGAAATTCGCGGTGTAACAGAAATGATAAAAAAAGGTTGAAACCCATTTTAAAGGGTTAGTAAACATTATTGCAAAAAAAGAGAATAGAAATTTCAGCCGAAACACCAAAAAACAATCAAAAATCGCAATTTTGTTCCTATGTGAATATTGATATTAAATATTAAACGAAAAGCGTGTTTGCCGATGAATTCAGGTATACTGGTGTCTGCGAAATTGTTATAGTAATTCCTATTGTTCATCCATTAACTGACTGACATATAACGCGGCTATAACTTTTATATGAATTTAAACTGTATCAAAGAAATAATCCTGACTTTCTCAGTTTGTGTCAATATACATTTATGAAAACAACCAAAACATTTTTAAACTTTTAGAAGTGATTGGTTTTCAATTTATATGAAAAACTGTCCAAATAGTCTATATAATATGCAAAAAATACTTGTGTTAGACTGCCACAAAACATTAGCAAATGCAGTACATTCTGTTTTTTATCCAATAAACTGAATTGATTTTTTATGTAGAGGCCGTTACCTTTTAGCTCTATAAATGATTTATGTACATTTACTGTCTGTTACGTCAATATGTCCGCTACTGTTTGTATTGGCAGTGTCGAGGTTTGTTCAAACATTACTTATACAAGGAAACATATGTAACATTTAATTCATTCTAATTCATAATGTTCAAGTAAAACTGTGGAAACGATTTCTATTGTACATATACAACTGAGTGGTAAACACGCATACGCTTTACTCAGATAAGAAGTGGTTGTCGTAAAATGACCAATGTACTAATTTTGATTAAGAGTTTCATGTTTTGTTTATTTTGTTACTGCTAACAAAGGAAACACTGAGGATTTTGAAACAGTTTTATTTTATGTTCATAAACATACTAAAGATAAGAATGAGAATTCTATATTTTGGGAATAAGTGCTGCATTTATATTATATATGTGTGTATACAGGTTAACTGGTTAAGTCGACCTAGGTACCTTTAAGGGATTGTAGTTGCCATCATTTCTGATAGATTTCATTATTAAATACCATATCCCAAACCTAACCATTTTCAAGACATTTAACTTTAAGATTTTTAAAAAAGTTGCCGAAATTTTTCCTAATATATTTTTTTAGAACTTAAAAATATCTATCTATCTTATCTCATCTTACTATCCGTTTACTGTTTTGTGTAGTTACTGACTTAACCAGTAACCCTGTACATTTTGCAGGACGTAACGACGAGTGCGTTCAGTAGTGAAGAGTAAAATCATGTAAAAGGTAACTAACCCTAAATGTAGATTAATATTCGATATTATATGATCTTTGTGAACAAGCACAAGAATGAATCCATAATATAAATAACGTAATTAGCAAAAGCAGCATAAACAATATATATTTAAAATGTACAGAGTACTTATGGGTCACAAAGAAAAGTGAAAACCTTATTCGCTTCACCACTATTATCTTTTTTAAGGTATTTTATTAGGTCCTTACATATGAAATTAGCGTTTTGTCGTACTGACCACTTTGATCTGAAATATCTCCTCTTTGGTTAAGAATTGCAAATTTATAAATTCATGTAGCTGGTACATTTTAGTTTTGAAAACAGTCATTCATTTGTTTTTCCTCATTATTTTTTTCTTTGGCGTCGCTTATTACCGCACAATGGAAAACATGAAATATTGGTAAATTTACAAGTACGAGTTCTACCGTGGCACCAGTGCTGCAGAAACAGCTCGAAGGATTATGATGTGTACGGCGCTGGTAAAGTTTGACCTTCAGCTCCACCCGCGTGGACGGCCGGCGACCAAAGTTGAAAATGAAGAATTAAAGGCTATTGTAGAAGCGGATTCATCACAAAGAACTTCAGGGATACAGGCTGCAGGCTTCGGGGTAAGTGATAAAACTGTATTAATCCACTTGAAGCAAATCGGGAAAGTAAAAATCTTGAACGATGGGTACCTCATGAATTGAGTGAATCGAACTTGCAAACACGCGTCGACTGCTGTGTTACTTTGCTCAACCGACACAATAATGAAGGGATTTTAAATCGAATCATTACTTGTGATGAAAAGTGGATACTGTACGATAATCGGAAGCGCTCGTCGCAATGGCTGAACCCTGGAGACCCACCCAAATCCTGCTCTAAACGAAAATTGACTCAGAAAAAGTTACTTGTGAGTGTTTGGTGGACTAGCGCCGGTGTCGTTCACTACAGGTTTCTAAAATCTGGCCAAACGATTACGGCAGATATCTATTGCCAGCAAGTGCAAACCATGAAAGAAGAACTCTGTGCTAAACAACCGAGATTGGTGAATCGTTCTAGGCCACTGCTGCTTCACGACAACGCAAGACCACACACTGCACAATAAACAACCACTAAGTTAGATGAGCTACAATTGGAATGTTTGCGACATCCAGCGTACTCCCCGGACCTTGCTCCTACAGATTACAATTTTTTCCGGAATTTGGACAACTTCTTACAAGGAAAAAGTTCAACTCCGATGCTGCAGTCATAACCGCCTTCAAAGAGTTTATTGATTCTCGCCCCCATGGTTTTTTAGTAAAGGAATCAATGAACTACCTATGAGAAAGCAAAAGTGCATAGATAACAACGGTGCATATTTTGATTAATTAAAATATTTTACAAAAAAAAAATGACTTTATATTCCACCCGTACAAAACGCCAATTTCATATGTAAGGACCTAATATTTGTATTTCATTAATATGTAACCTACCATATAAATATAATTTCCTAGGCTTGAGACCTATCAATATAATCTATATGAGCCCTGTTGTTAATTATACATAAATAATATAGTTAAAATAAGCAACAAATAAATCAAATCGCCATGAATTTTCAACATTATTAGTTACCAACATTTCTAAGTTGCCAGATGGGACACCGCAAGTGACATATTACTATGACAGGATATATTACTAGTGCGGAAGGTGTCTTTTAAAAAAATATGCGCCTGACCACCAGATAGATACTCCTGGTGGTCAGGCGCGCTGCCTCTTGAAAGTTCATCCCTCCGGCTGTAACCAAAGTGACAAATTATCGGGGTATCGATCTTGGTCCTCGTACATGACGGTACGCTCCTCTGAATAGTCTGCCGCTAGCCGCCTTAGTTACTCTGGCACCCCGTAATAGTTGAGTGCCTCCCTGATGTAGCTGAATAGCAGGATATTGAATGCGTTGGCGATGTCCAACAACACCTGTGACGGCCGAAAGGGGCCTCCACACGTAAAAAAAGTGTATTGAATTGAGGGTCTGAATGTCTTAATAACAGCTCTTCCCGGATCCCTCCTATTTCAGGCATAGAGTGGTTCAATACTGACAAATCCCGAGGGGGTTTTCACAAATAAGAAAAGGATACTGAATTGTAGAGGTTAATAGGGGCGGCAAAAATTTAATAGCCTACTGGCGGCAAATACATATGTAAATCCGCTACTGATTCAAGCTTAAGTAAATAAAATTAGTTAGACATATATAAAATAATAATAATAAAATTATAAAATAATTCAGTGTAAATAAGTAGGTACAGTGAGACTGAAGGTTTTAGAAGGTTATTATAGTCATCAAGTTTGTATGATTCTAGTATGGTAGAAATAACGAAACGGAGCAAGGTTCTTGCATGTGTAAAATTATGATAGAGTTACATATGAAAAATTAGGCTTTGGTGGATATTTATCATGGAGGCTGTGTAAATGATCCCTTGATGTACTTAGTCCAAATCATAATTTAAAAGCATCCGAATGAACAATCTATTGATTGTACCAAACTCAGCCAAAGTTAATGTTAATCCTTGCCGTATAGGCAGTGTTTGACTGAACTACAGGTACTACTAAAGATTGTGAGACACGATCTTAATAATCCTTTGTTTATAGTCATTGTTTTTTAAACATATCAATTTAATTCGTTTTATCCTTTTGATACAGAGTGCTAGGTCCTACAGCGATGCTACAGTTGGCAGAGCGAGATGAACCACCGCCGGCAAATTCTCGTCCTCTTTACTCGTTGGCGATGCGTGGCGCTGTTATATGCTTTTCGGGATTCCGAAAGAAAGAGGAACTTGTAAGTACATTTTACCTTAAACCTGGTTTGCTACTACATCCATTAGTACATGACAGCTTAGCACCATTTCATCATCATCAGCCTATCGCAGTCCACTGCTGGACATAGGCCTCTCCCATTGCAAAATATTTTAACCTTAGTTAAAATATACTCTTTTAATAATATCTCATATATAAGTACTCTTTTGTGATATTTTATAATCATTCCATGTTTTTTAAATACGTATTTACGTACCTATGTGAACTTCTTTTTTTTTTGTGCGGCAATCCCCTCGCATACCACCCACCTATGTGACCTAAACAATTGGCCAAATGTGGTTTCAACTTAGAAGGATTAGAACTTTTCATTGTGGGAGAACAATGTTTTGGGACAAACTGGCCTGCGCGACCGGAGTGATACCAGTGCCTCATAGAAAACCGGTGTTAAGCAATTCTTTTGTTGCTTTTTAGCGATTGAGTGCGGTTACTGAAGCTCACTCCTTACTCTATAGGGGAGGGACTCAAACACAATGGCCGGAGTTACTTACTATCAGGTGTCCCGTCTGCCTTTTAGCCCCCCTACTACTGAAGGATAAAACAGATTCCTTACGATGATTATGTTCTATTTTTAAATATTGTTTAAGAAGATAAATTTAACGTATTATTTTAAGATCATAGACTTCTTATAAGTTAGCCTGTAATCTCAGTAAAGAACTATTTTATTTTTTCTGTTTAAACTTCATTATTTAATACATATGTTATACGCACAATTGCGGTGAGTACCTGAATTTTTTCGGACCGTCACCCCACCGGGGTTTACGGCGGAGTGGTGTGTCTGAATCGGACCAACTAAAACCACACGGTGTGCCACTCTGCGCCAGTGATAGGAGAGATCCGGGAACTGCTATTATTAAGACATCTGGACCCTCTCCTAGCGCCTGCCCGCAACGGCGCGGGCACTACCTTCTGATACATTCTCCATTGAGCTCCTCGCGGCTGGCCGTTATGGCGGGTGATGGAGAAAACCTGTAAATGAGGCGGTGATAAGCTCGCCTCCGCCGCCCGGTTCGCGAATTTGGTCCGAGGGAAGGCTGTCCTCCCGGGCCCTCTCCGCCGCCGCCGCCAAGGATGCGACCCCGGTAAAACATCTGTCACTACCGCCCATGGGGCGTATGACGGCCGGTAGCGAGAGGTCGTCTCCGATGAGTGCAATAAGGTCCCGGCGCTGCGACGCCCTAGCCGGGCAAATTGCCAGCATGTGCTGAGCCGACCTAGCGACCGAAGCAGCCGTGCCCGGAAAGGACCTGCATCAGCCGGAAGGAAAGGGTCCCGTGCTGCCACTCTGCCCACTCGACGATGACTGGCTGGAGCGCCTCCACGGCGGCAAAGCCAGCACATAGCGCCTCCAGCCGGCAAGACCAACGAGCCATCGTGGCTCGGCGAGCGACCTCACGCCACTCGCGTGTCTCTTCGGGCGCGGGCCGAATGCCGCTATCCCCCCGAAACTCAGTCGTCCGCCGATATAGTTCGGCGAGAACTTCCGCCTCCAAATTCCACCAGGGTGTTCCGGCCAATGCGCACGCCGCCTCCGTCGAAACGGTGCGGTAACCGCGTATGGCTCTAACCGCCAATATCCTCTAAGGGCGCCAAAGGCGTGCCCTATTCTGAGCGGTCACCCACAACGGCGCACCGTACAGTGCCATTGACCGGACAACCCCCGTGTACAGCCGTCTCATTGCGACGCTGGGTTCACCCAGATTTGGCAAAAGTCACCTAAGGGCAGACGCAGCGCCGACCACCGAAACCGCGTCGAAAACCGAATTGGGCGTCCGACAGATCGGGGCCCACCTCGTACCTTTTGAGACTCCGCCCAGCCCAGATTCCTTGGAGAGCTGCCCCGCATGGGTAGAAGCCCACACAGGGAGGCCTGGCCCATCCAATCGGACGAGATCCGTCCCCACCACTAGTCATTACTGCAATGCTGGCGGGTGAATAGGGCTGGGCCACTGATTTGTTTCTGTAATGCTCCAGAAAGAGACCACTGAACGGGAGAGGAAGAGGGACGCAGATTAGGAACTGCGGTAGGGGAATAGTGTGTCCACACGTAGAAAAAACAATAGGGAATAGGTTGGTGGTTTCTTCGTGGTTTGGCCGGTGTATGCGCGTCGGTTCGGGGATGACCTTGAAATTACATGGTCCGGCTCCAAATAGAATAGGCCGTCTAGGTATGGTTTTCAGTGAAAGCACCACATATTCCTGGCTCCTATATTACCGCGATGGCGTTTTTCAGGAGCCGGCGATCTGAAGGGATCTATATCATGAGTATCATTGAATTATCATTGTAACTGAACTATATAATTACTTAATATTATATAATTTTAGAGACGATATTATTGTGCATGTTGTATTTATCTGTTATTAGTTTTAAGCGAATAATTTTGTATCCCTGTAATGAATTATTGTATACTAGCTGACCCGCGCAACTTCGTCTGCGTCTCTCAATAGTAATAAATTTTCTCCGTTTTTGAAACATTCTTCATTGGTGCTCCGCTCCTATTGGTCTTAGCGTGATGATATATAGCCTATAGCCTTCCTCGATAAATGGGCTATCTAACACTGAAAGAATTTTTCAAATCGGACCAGTAGTTCCTGAGATTAGCGCGTTCAAACAAACAAACAAACAAACAAACTGTTCAGCTTTATAATATTAGTATAGATAACTGTTGGTGAATTAAATAAATAAATGAGCTTCACATTTTTTCTTGGAAATTTTTATGCTACATTTCAGCACTTTACCTCTCTTATTTCAGCACACACCATTTCAATTTCAGAAAACTAACAAAATAGAAACAACTAATTTCAGTTAGTAATAAGGGTTCTTGTTATCTCGCGTTTACACAGACATTATTAAAGGTCTTTGGAAACAGTTACTAAATACCAAGAACTTGTTTGGTACATTACTGATATTTTTATTATCACCCTAAACTGAATACGTTAAGTGTGGGTTCTAGTCTGTATATTATTAATTCACAAAATTGACAGAAATTGTTTTGAGAATAAGCGTTTTCTGTTGTTTTTTTCACAATTATTTGATTAGTTACTTCAATTTTAGTAATTATGTATATTTCTTTGCAGACGTACCTGATAAATTTGATTCATTATATGGGTGGGTCGATCCGCAAGGACATGTCAAGTAAAGTGACGCACTTGATTGCGGCGGCGGCTACAGGCGACAAGTACCGATACGCGTCCGGATTCGGCCTGCCCGTGCTAGCGCGCTCTTGGGTGGACGCCTGTTGGGAACGACGTGATGATCCCACATGCTTTGCCACCAATGATGACATCATAGTTAGTATAATACGTTGCTGTATTTCATAAGTAGTTGGTAAGAAAAAGAGAATAAGGAGTCACTTTTTCTATAAGCATTTAATATAATACGCAACAAACTGACTTTGACTTACCACCACCAGCCGTAATTGACATTACTACAATCATTATTGCAAGGCATTTGATTTTTTCAAAACAATATTCTATAATATATCTTACTACAATATTGTGGCCTATAGTAGCTATAGTGGTAGTATAGTAATCTTACTTTTTATCGTGTTCCATCACTAAGTTGTATATCGAAAACGAACCTGCCAGAACTACACCGTTTGATATTATTGCAAAGGCCCTGGGCCCTGGAGAAAACTAAGATTGTAAGTAACTTGATCAGAAGTTTTAACGGTATTGATGTATGATATTGACAGAAAGAGCATAAATTGATGGTGTTCGCGGGTGCACGCGTCTGCTTTGTGGGCTTCCCTGAAGATGAGACGCAGCACATGGCTGAGGTGCTTGCCAGCAATGGCGGGTCCACCTGCCAGATGGACGATCCAGACTGCTCTCACGTTGTGAGTACACTCTTAGTATACTTCTACACAGCCATCTAGACACACCTACATGTAAATTTAGCTGTTTCAATTTTTTCTCTACTCACAGTAGGTACAGCTTTAATTTCAAGGTTACGTTACGTGTATCACTACTATCCGAATCCTGTTGAAGCATACTGTTACATTGAAATTACTATTGATATTACTATACCTTAACGAGATATGATATGTCCTACAGATCGTTTACCCCTGACTTATTCGCATACCTGTTTATTTATACATTTAATATTATGAGCATATTATTTTAGCATAATGAAGTCAGCATGCACGTAGTTATACTTGGGTACACAAACCACTTAGTTTAGTTACATTGTAGAAGACATAAATTAGTAGAGTGCAAATATGACAAATTTACATCACTTTTGTTTCTGCCCATTACGTTCTAGCTTTTCTTTCTAATGCCAGCTGGTATTTAATTATTAATTTATTACACCTAATAAAAACCACTACATGAGAAGCGACTTTGTTTTCATTCAACTTTACACAATTGTTTCATAAAATTCCCTGTGTGGTTAAACCACATTGGTCCTTCTTTATATTGCACCATATCCAGTCACATCCCACTCCGTGCGGCGCAAAGTCATCCCATTGTTTTTTCATCATGTCATTTTACACTGTATTATTTTGTCATGTCACAGTCGCTGTTGTACAACCACATGCATCATTCCGCTTGTGTGTATACTACACGTTGCTCACATAACCACACCTGTCTACTTCCAGTGTTTTTTACATTCACCTCACATGTTTAATGTAAAATGACCATATGCTTCGATACTATTCTCTTTAATGCAATAGACTAAGACATCTAAACTGCTACATTTTAATACATATTTACCATTGAAATTAATCTTATATAAAATCTGAGAAACACTTACATAATTTACATTCTAAGCAGTTAAGATAAAAAATCTTCAATAGGTAGCTTTCTGTGTCTAACTACTACTATGACGATAATAATATATTATTTTCGTCGTGCATGTTTGTATTGGAATGGCTTCATTACATCATTGCGTGGTGTGTTTCACACATGTTTCAGGTAATGGCCAATGGGGAGACTTTCGGTCGTTCGCTTATCCTATCATCCCATCCCAGTACACCTAACACAACGAAGCCTAGTCGCGTCACTCCCAACCGTTCCCAGTCCACTCCCAAGAGTTCGCTTTACCGCAGGCTATCAGCGCGGTTATCGGGGCGTCGCGCCAGCCCCACTAAACATAGTGAAGCCGCTGAAGACGATCGCGAACAGCGATTGCAACTTGCACGAAACAGTATTAGAGACAAGTATACCAAAGCCGTTAGCAGAGATGAAACAGATAATTTGTACAGTATTAGTTACGCAGAGAAGTCGTTTACCGATGACCTCTGTTTCAATTACGATAACGTTAAAAGCCCCTCGCACGTTGAGCGTGTAGAATACCGCAAATACAAAATCTGTGATAAAGAGAACAAGGACATATCACCGCTTGTGCACGCATCTGATAGACTTAGTAAAGAAAGTAAAGATAAGAGAGAAGTATTCAGAAATAAATCTATAAACGTATTTAATTTGGTGGATTGTCTAACGGAGGCGGAATCCGTGCATTCGTCACATACTAAGAGCTTGTGCGATTTAGATTCTAAAGATGAACCAGTGTTTTTGTTGGCTAACTCGACTTCAACCAAAGAACTACAACAATCGACTACAACGATTTCTTCCGCGAAGAAAAGAAGTCGCAAGTCAACAGATTCAAATTTTCAAGTCAGCACTATTGATTCAAATTTATCTCCTGATAAGTGTGAAGATAGTAACTGGAAATCGATTAAGCGACTGAAAATAAAGGACTCTTTTAAGTTTAAAAATCGACCTACAATATTTAAGAGATCGAAAAAGGATTCTGTATCAAAGCCTACCGGGGATATCGTAGTAGAACCTGTAAGCCCTGACAGTATCAAACCAACGGATCCGGCTGGAGAATTTATTGCTTCTACCTCGTCCCCCATAAAAGAAGATGATAACGCCTCTGTTTCTTCTTTGAACACAAGTAAACAATCTGGTTTTTTTGATATTTCATTTGCTTCTATAAGAAGTTCAAAAACTGTAAAATCTGCATCTAAATTACGCAGAAGTGTTAAGTCATTTACTGCGTCATTTCGGAGTGAGCGAAAAAAAAAGTACGAAAAACGAGCAGAACGCAATACAGTTGAGGTGGACGCTTGTCACTTGCCTACAAATCTTAAACATGTTTCAACGCCAAAGAGAGAATTTGACGGAATGACCTTGGACATCTCACCCGTACAAGTGGATACAGTAGATAGTACGGACTTGGTCACTTCGAGCAGAGACAGAGACGCTGATGTAGATGAACTTGATGATTCAACTATATTTAAAACACCTCAAAGTATGTGGCTGCGAACACAGCGACACTCGATTTGTGGGGATTCTGAACTCCGCCTGAGTGTATTAAGCTGTGCTCCACAATCTCCTCGCCGCCACCGTCCTACCCCTCTCGCTCCTGTTGTTCCCCGCTCCGCTCGCGACCAGCCGCCGCCCGCCTCGACGCCTCCTATTCGCGACGCCCACACCATATCGCAATGCCATGGAATATCGCTGCCGGTACTAACACTATTTTATTCAATACTACTAAAATTATAGTAGCTTGTCATGCCATCAAAACATCAGTGGTCATGGTCTACATCGTATCCTCCGGCTTGGGTCACTCGATCTCGAATTGGCCAATGCATGTCTCTTAAATATTATATTTGCACTTTAAAAGTTACTTAGAAGCTTTACGGGGTCCCGTCTTCATAAGATTTGCTTAGGAAATCCCCTATCACGGGGTCTAGTCCACAGAGGTGTTGGATATAATTTGTGACATCTGTAAGTTTGCTAACGTATATTTGATGAACGCAGGTCGTCGACGAGCACAATACATTGGTCGCACCAGAGTGTCCTCCAAAAGTGCATATCGTTAAAGCTGAATGGTTTTGGGCTTCTGTACAAAATGAGGAGGCGCAGGACGAGCGGGACTACTTATTCAAAGATGTAAGAAAATTTTACTTCATTTGATAGTCTCTTAGAAAAATATTTTTGTGTCTACAACTATCTTTCCAATTTATATCAATTTATATCTGAGGTATAAAGTTGTGTTAAGATGTCTGAAGAGAAATTCAATCGCATGAATTAAATGTTTGCAAAGAAATCTAATAAGAGCCTATCGCATAGTACCTAGACGAGATATCACGGCGGTCTTCAGTAGGCGGCCCGGGAGTAATGGTGCCAGAAGATGTAAGCGCGAGTACTACTCCCGCTGAGCACAGCGGGACGCCGTCACATCTGCAGAGACTGCGAAAACGAAAATTAAGGGGCGGAGACTCCGCGCAACACAAACGACGTTCCTCCGTGGGTGATGCGGTGCTCTTGAGCCTGTCAGGGAACTTGCTAGATTGTACACCATCACCCGACGGAAAGCAACTATTAGAGGGTGAGTTTATGTGGCCCCACGTTTGAGTTTATTTGCTACTTATTATAGCCCAAAATGTGGCTCTAAGAATGTCAATCATAAATTTGCTATTTGTTTTACTTCCTCATATAGAGTCGGAAGTACCTGATACAGTAGTCAGAAAATTATTGTCGCCGAGGCAGCAAGTATTTATGGAACTTCTACAGACGGAATCGAACTATGTTGGCATATTGCATACGATTGTCACGGTAAGATTTTTTTTTATTTATTTAAAAATAAATAATAATAAATAATGTTGTACCACATTCACACAACGCCATCTAGTCCAAACTAAGCAGAGCCTTGTACTATGGGTATAATACAAGGGTATTTCAATACTTTATGCACAAATATGGGTTGTACAATGGCGGGTTGTACAAATACATAAATATTTATCTAGTACTTACCTATATTATTACCTTACCTTATGTATGTACATACATAAACCTACATATTGATATATATAACACTTTAAGGTTGTAATGAATCTGCTAGGGTTATTTACTTTCTGCTAGGGTAGATTTACTTTATTTAAATTAGTTTAGTCATAATATAATGTAAAGGTAACCTTTAAAATGATATCGTATTTGTTGCAGATGTTTAAACAACCACTGGAAGAAATGGCTGAAGAAGACAATAGTAATGGCAAAAATCAAGCGTTGCTCAATAATACTGAACTCAAAATTATATTTGGAAATTTGCCACCTATATATGAATTACATCAGTAAGTATATAAAAATATATAATATTACACAATTAACATAATATTTCTTACTGAATAGAAGCAAAACGAGTCTTCTCATATTTTCATTTTTTTTTGTAGAAACTATTAAAGGTGTTATTAAAAGTTCGTTAATTCAATATTGTCTGCAAAACTGTTACAAAACCTTTTACAGCATTTTGAATTAAATCATTAAATTCATATGTAATCAAAGTTTCTGAAGAAAAAAACAAGTCCATTCTTCAGACAAGTTGTTATAATTCGTAGGAGAATGTTAGAAGAGCTGCGCTATGCACAAGCGCACTGGAGTGAAGAGACGAGTATCGGTCGACTCGTACTTCGATACACGCCGGACATGGAGAAGGCATACCCGCCATTTGTTAACTTTTTTGAGAATACTAAGGAAATGCTGCAACAGTGCGACCGTGAGAACCCAAGGTAACTTCACATATACCAATAAATAATATGTTAGTTAAAAACCATACAGTTGCATTTATTATAATTTTTTAACCATTCTAATGTTTACAATATGTTAAAATAGGGAAGAAAATATTATTAGTATTTATTAGTAAAGTTGATAACAAAGAGCCCTCTAGTTAATAATCGTAAAAAACTCCGTTTCAGATTTCATGCATTCCTGAAAATCTGTCAAACAAAACCAGAGTGTGGCAGACAAAGTTTACAGGAACTTTTGATAAGACCAGTGCAGCGGTTACCGAGTATAAGTTTATTACTTGATGGTGAGTGGAATTTGCTGCGTATAACTCTTTAAGCGCATTCTTTTACGTTCTTTTGCATTTATTTAGGATAATAATCTTGATGTTTGTATATTTGTATGGTGGAGAAAAAGAAAGGTGAAATTTGGATGAAAAGGGGTGAGTTGGAACAGTATGATTCAATTGTGTTTGTTAGTGTGCTCACAGTAAGTAGAACGAATTTTTATGATTACTTATGTATAAATATATAGATAGTCAATTATAAACAGGCTATTTCTGTTTTAAGGAAGTTTAATCAGAACCTATTTATTATTGGTAAAATGCTTACAAAATAAATATTTTGTTGACATTTTACGATTTTTAATTACGTAGGGTTCGTTATAAGGACATCATTCTAGCTTCTTCAGTCATCATCAAAATTGTTATTAGATTATACATCTTAAAAATGTATTTTGTGAGGCAATTGCAATGTCTCCTCTTTTTACACTATTCAGAAGCAATTTGTGTTGAGAGATATAGTAGTACATAAAGGACCTGACAATGATAATTCCTTTAAGCTTATGTTTTAAAAACCTCATTATTATTATCATAACACAGAAATTACCTTATAAAATTGTATTAAACTGTAATCTTACCTAGCAGGAAGTATAAATCCTTTTCAAATAGGCTCATATAATGGAGTTCTGAGGTAACAAACATAAAAACATACTTAAAATTTTGAAGTCGGTCGGTAAGTACGAGAATACTCGCCGTATTCTCCTACTTAGGGAATTAATGTACCTACTGTCAGAATACCTTACCATCTTAACGCCACTCTGTAATGATCAGATTAACGCGTTTTTTTGTAGTTTTTCCATCCTCTCCCGGATGTGCAAGTTGTTAGCTTATTATTTTTTAGTTTTATCATTGTAGGAGTGATCGTCAATAACCTTCCGCAGGTTGTGTTAGTGTGCAACTTTTTACAAAAGTTGCCAACAAAAATGTGTACACCCCCGTGTACCCAGCATAACCTGTACTCACCTGATACCCTTTTTTTTTATTTTTCTGTGCGGAAATCCCCTCGGATACCACTTACCAGTGGATATTGTGTTGGTGTGCAACTTTTTACAAAAGTTGCCAACAAAAATGTGTACACCCCCGTGTACCCAACATAACCTGTACTCACCTGATACCCTTTTTTTATTTTTCTGTGCGGAAATCCCCTCGGATACCACTTACGAGTGGATATGTCGGACTCGAACCGCCTAAAAGCACACGCTGTCTCGGGTACCAGTAGCCGGGGAACCAGGTGTACCCTAGAAAGAAAAGCCCTGGTACATCTACGGCGGCTAGATGACCCCCTCCTGTGTGGGCACGCGCGCTCCGCTACGCATCTCGCCGCCACCCCGGCCTGCTTCTGCTAGGGTGACAGATGGCCTCACCTGTCACTTGCTTATGAAAGACGGAGGTCGTTCTGCGACCTCCGGCGCCCTAGTCGTCTGCGGTACCTGGCCCGTTCCCGAGCCTGGCGGGCCGGGAGAGTTCTAAACCTCTTCCGGTCCCGCTCCGCCATCTTCTTCGCAAGCAAACTTACTCGCAGAAGGAGACGGCTGAGTTCCACGCACTCTCGCTCCATACCATGGCGGCAATCATACTACCGAGCGAGAGGACTCGCACTCCGATGGCCACCACGAGGTCACGCCTCTGCTCCACCCACGTCGGGCATTCTGCCAACGTTTGGAGGGCCGTGTCCACGGTCCAGCCATCGCAGTGGTGGCACTCAGGCGTTGGCACCTTGCGGATCAGACACAGGTGATCTCCGAAACAACCTTTCTCGGTAATCACCTGCGTCAGCCGGTATGAGAGGGTTCCGTGACGCCTCTCGAGCCAACCCTCCATAACGGGTCTTACCGCCGCAATAACGGCGTGCCCGACTCACCCGATACCCTGATGTTAATGTAACTGTGTGTTAGGCTTCTGCATGTAAAAGTCTGCAAATCATATGCATTACTTGTAGCGATTGTAATAATTATGATTGTTTATAAATTAAAGACGATGATTTTAAAATCATAATTTTTAGCGGTTCAAATAGCTTCCGTGAACTACCAGTAAGCGATCCATCTGCGATATCCAACTCCCAGTTATTATATTGATTGGTTTGTGATTATGAAGCCAATAATAGGCTTGTGTCCACTAATAACAAATTGCTTGGTTTATATTAGGTCTTTACCTATGAAATTGCCGTTTTGTATGCAATAAGTGAAAGTACTTATTTATTCAAACTTTTTTATTTCTGTTATTCGAAGTAATCACCCATGCAATCGACGCATCTTTGAAAACGCATTGGCAGTTTATTGATGCCCTTCTTGTAAAAATCAGCTGGAAGGGAGGCAACAAACTCTTCAAAGGCATTTTGTACTGCCTCTCGGGAATTGAATTTCTTACCCACTAAAAAGTTGTCTAAATTTTGGAAAAAGTAATAGTCGGTAGGTGCTAGGTCTGGTGAGTATGGCGGATGAGGGAGAGCTTCCAACCCCAGCTCTTGCAGCTTGGAGACTGTCAGTTGCGCAGTATGGGGTCGCGCGTTGTCGTGAAGGAGGAGGTGGGGACGACCGATTGACCAAAGCTGGTTGCAGATGTGAACAGAAATAAAAAAGTTTGAAAAAATAAGTACTTTCACTTATTGCATACAAAACGGCAATTTCATAGGTAAAGACCTATTAGTTTCAAATGATATATGAAGAGACATAGATAAGAAAAAACCAGTCTATTTCTCATAAAAGTTAGATTATTAATATTTAAAAAAAAAAAACAGTGCCCACACCTCATCCGCTTATAGTTACAATATGACTCATCGCAAGATAATTAACAATAAAAAAAACGAACAAAATAGGCATTAAGTCACGTGACAGCGAACACCAATCAGAAAGTGTTACGTTACGCCACGCAAAACATCATTGTTGTTTTTCATTTTTAGCATATTTTCTCTCACCTTAATACGTTTCAGTTGACACTGGACACAGATGTAAACAGTTTTTGTTTCGCAGACTGTGACGTCATTCAAGACGCCATTCAACGTTTTCAAAGGAAATTTAAATTGTTTTTTTTTTGATACAAAATACTTAATGTAAATATAGGATAAAAAAGATATTAAGGTATATAATTAACCAAGTTTCCAAATTGAGTCAACTAGCCTATTGTGTGCATCTAAGTTTTTAGCACTGTCTCTTGGTTCTCATGATTCACTTAAGTCAAACGTCAAAATGATGAGAAAATTTAATATGTAGGGCCATCTGTCAACTGATTCAGTAGAAGTGATTATATAGGGTTACCATAAAAAATACTACCTTATGTGGAGGAACGGGTGTCACGTGCCTCCAATACTAAAGGGGGATCCTCCGACCAGGCGAGGTGATCATGCTTGGCGGTCCGCGGCCTAACGGTTGATGTTGGGGAGTTGTATATATGATAATCAACATAAAAATTATTAGAATTAGCAGTTACTTTCCTTAGTTTGGTGTGTCTTCGGTAGATGGGGCTGTAGTTTGTTTTCGTTTTACTGTATCTGGAGTTTACACAATTTAAACTAAAGTTTAAGGGCTCTACAATACGCCACTACACTACGTTTAACGTAAATCTTAAAATAGGAAACTGAAGCATAACAACAATAGCCGCACCTTCGGAGTGGTAGTCTATTCTTCGTAGATATCTATTCTTGGATGGACATAATTAATAGAAGTTAATATGCATGAATAGATAAATTCTTGTCTACGCAACGTTATACAGCACGAGGCACGTGTTTTAATTTTTGTAGGAGTATAGCATAATTAAGGTAGAATTTAAATCATCTGATTTGTAATTGTGCATTTCACTGAGCTCTTGATGCATGCAATTTAAGTCACCATTAAGAAATTTGTGTTAATTAGGGTAAAGTTTAACTACAATGTTGGCTATTATATACATTCCTAAATCAGCCCTTAAAATTTTTACAAAACACCAATCTATATCAATATCTGAAGTGATTAATTATTTATTAGACATAGTTAGAAACGACTGTAAACTGTGCATTTTAGTAGCAGGTCTTGATCGCTAACCATAATATATATGAATGTTACAGATATATTAAAACACACGCACAAAAACAACCCGGACCACGCAGCATTGGACAGGGCGTTAGCGGGACTCCGGAAGGTCATGTCGCACATAAACGAGGACAAGCGCAAGACGGAAGGGCAATTACAAATGTTCGACATTTACAATGACATCGATCAGTGCCCAGTATGTAACTTTAACATTTATGATTTTTTTTACATAAATAATATAAGTAAGTCACCGAGAAATACTTAAGTCCTGTGAAAAAGTATTTTGTATTCTCCTTGTTCTTACTGATGTCTATGTAGCTCTCTGCATACTCTGCATGTACGGTAGCGAGTGCACGTGCGTCAGCATATGCGCGTGTGTACGCTACGTCTGAGTGTTTTTCAGACAGTGCGGTGTTATCTGGTTTTCTAATTTAAAAAACACATTTTGTTTTAAAAAAATTGGTTTCAGTACTAATACATTTTATGGATTTAATTATTCATAATCGGTAAACATTATTTACAAATAGCAATATAAAATACCATATAATCAAGTCATACTAGTGATACACTAATAGTGCTCCATTCTTCTTCCAGCCACACCTTGTATCTTCTCATAGATCATTCGTTTCGCGCTGCGAAGTGGTGGAATTGTCTAAGGAGTTATCTGGTAGAGGGGATCACCTTGTGTTGTTTCTGTTCACCGATACGATGGAAGTTTGCAAGAAAAGGTCTAAAGTAAGTTTTAATGTAATTTGTACCTGTGTTTATGGAAAAATTGCTGGCCCGGGAAACTTCGTCTACCTCTCTCAAAAAGAGTAAATTTTCCTAGTTTTTGCAATATTTTGCAATGATGCTCGGGTGCTATAGGTCGTAGCGTAATGTTATATAGCCTATACCTTAAAAAAATTTAAAAAAGCTATCCAACGCTAAAATAATTTTTCAATTCAAACCAGTAGTTTCAGAGATTAGCGCGTTCCACCAAACAAACTCTTCAGCTTTATAATATTAGTAGAGACTTCTATTTGTATATCAATTACATAGTTTTATAATATTACCTATTTATAATATGTATTTACAAAAAAAAAGTATTCTATCAGTCAATCTAGCTTTCATACCTAGTCAGAAACTAGATAGCGTTATGTGTCAGATGTCGTTCTTATGAGATGTCACCTTTAATTTCGTTTTTATATTTCATTATTTTTTTACCTTACTTACCTTTTTTTACCTTTACTTACTTTAATATTGTGCAATTTATTAAAAGCGTAGTTTGGTATGAGTAGATAAGTAATTTTTTTAAACTGTTTTATTGTTAAAGGTTATGTAAGATAAAAATCAACAATTGAATTTGCTAATTGTATGAAGACTGCTAACAGAATGATATAATATTAAATATTTAAATGTTTTTAATGACCCAGGTGTTTTTCTTTAGGCGTTTAACAGTAAAAGTCCGACCAACGGCACGGGGACAATGCGGATAGGCTCGAGCAAACCTTACAGGCATATATCGCTGATGCCGCTCAGTACAGTCAAGCGAGTTGTTGATATTAGGGAAGCTGAAGGTAGGCTGATTCCAAATGATATATTTACAACTCCTTTATATTGGTTAACATAAATGTACTTTAAATATGGAAACAATATCACAATAGATTTTTTAGACTTACTTTTGATTTTTCGTTGCCATGATACATAACTTTGTACATATTTAGAAAATAACACGATCACGTAACAGGTACTACATACCTTCAAATTGCCTGTCGTTGCGAACAGGTTGCTCTGGATGTAGTCACAGGCGTGGAGCACTGAGCCAGTGAGCCTGTGATCATGGCCAATGCAACCGTGAAAGGACTTAATTATATATCCTATGGATTGTACCTACACTTACCTAATAACACTTAGTATTAATAATCTTAGTTAGTCTAAAGCATAAGCTAGGAAATACCTCTTACAGATGAGCAAAGACCTCACCGGAGAGTCTATGGCTTCACAAAAAACTTACTTGCATATTTGATTTTAGACTGTCACAATGTATTCGCATTGATGTGCCGAAACAACCAAGAGCTCAAAGAGAAGCTTTACTCCTTTATGATCACAGACGAAACCGTCGACAAGACACATTTTCTTCGACAACTTTGCAGACAAATGGCCAACACTGTCTGTAAAGCTGATGCCGTAAGTATCTCACTAACCGCGCTTATGTAGTTTGTATATTATTGTATATCAAACAAACTTCGAATGTTTAACATGATGTGGAGGTATAATAATGAATATTAATAAGCTTAAATTAATATTTCAGGACAAATTTCTGGCCTGCCTTGAGTCACACGCACTCGACATCGACACGAGCGACCTCGCGCTTAGCGCACTCTCTAAGGTCTCCAAGTTCGCCGCACGGACCAGGATAAAGGTACGGAGATTAACACAATGGGACTTGTGAATAATGTAGATATTAGCAAATATAGACTAGGGTAACAGGTTGAAATAAGACATTGTTATTAATATTAATGAAGAAATGTTTAAACAATAAATGAATAAAGCATGACTTGGATTACTGAGATTATTTATAGCTTAGCTTTGAATAGAAGTATAACAAACATAACTGTGATGTTGGTAAGTTTACATGAATATCTGCTATTTCAACGAATTTCGTCGCCAGCATTTTATGTAACTAAGGCATGCAATGTAGTCTGCAGTCCTTTGCACTCAATGATGTCCACATGTTAATACAATAATCAGCAGTCACACATTCATTGTACTTGTCAAGATATTAAAAGATACATACATATTCGGAATAGAGGGAATGATTCATTAAAAAAAATCGTTTCTTGTAAATAAAATGTAAATATAAACTTGAACTTAAGCTAAGCTTGCTCATATCACGTATTTAGTCGTTTATTTAGGACACTATACTGAAAATTAAAAGCTAAAATTTACAGTGCATATATTTGCTTTTACTGGTTTTATAATTTATATAAAATGTTATCCAGTTTAAGTTATAAGTCAGTCAGAAATTGTCGAAAAACTGCTATTAGGCGCCTTTTTCCAATTTGATAATACAAGGTGGCGAAGTTGAAATTCAAATCTCTATAAATATCAATTTTCGAAAGTTCCGGAAGAAGTTCCAGGCAAATATACCAACTGATTGTACTATTCAGTCTGTAACAATTTGCAAACTTAAGTTGGTGCTAATTTAATTTTTGTTCTCGTATAGGTAGAAAAATTAAAAAGCTTATTTTTTATTTCAACAATAAAATATATAGGTTTCTACAAAATGCTTACATCATATTTAAAAAATTTAGTTACAGTCCATCTATCTAAGTCAACTGTCAAACGCAGGTAGCGTTTGACAGTTCTGACAAATTGAACTATAGCGATGGGGTCAGAGAAATCGATTACCACAATATTCTATTTTTAAGACAAAATTCTGCTTTAGATAAATTAAGTGAGTAGCAGCGTGTCGGCCTTTAAATATTTGAATGGTTCGCCCCCCACCACTGTAATGTCGCGAGGTATATAGCGTATAGTAGTCGAGTAGTTAAGGGTTGTTGTTCGATCGGAGTAGTGGAGAGCTGGTTGTGTTGTAGCTCGAGGCGATGGCTGGGCTGGGCGGCTGGCTGCGCGCCGATCCGGGCAGCGGGCTCCTAGACACATGGGTATTGCGCGCTCACTTACTCGCACAGGTCTGACGCGGCTCTGCCACCCTCGCCATGCTCCGACCTCCCATACTAATGACATCTGTATACTGCTTCCTGTGTTCCGTGCTAATAACATGCGTGCTCATACATAACTTTGTGCTCTACACCATTTAGCGAGATACCGCATCATATAAGTACATGTGTCCAATACCAAGATGCCGATCGATTTTTTCACACGTTTTTTTGCGGTTTAAGTATTAAAGTACGTTTCAGTACTTATTATCATCAAATAATTTTTCTTCGAAATAGGTAAATAGCTGTCTGAATTTTTATCTATATTTTTTCATTACGAGAAGAACCCCTAGACCTGCCTAAACATTGAGCCAGTGCGTCAATAAATGAACACAAACTATTATTACAGTGTTTAACAGTATAATTATATTCAAGATAATATAATTATACTGCTTTATGTTACATAATTATGAGTAATAAAAAATCTCTAAGACTTGAAGTAAATAAAATAAACCTATAGCCCATTCGTGTAAGAAAATCCTTTTGAAAAAAAGTTGAACCGACTTCAAACAATACTAACAAAGACCAACTAAACGCACTGCTCCAATGAGCAAGTTTTCGCAAGTAACAAAATATCGTCGATGTATACATTTTTTAGATTTTTGTAGATTTTTTTAAAAACCGATTATAATAAAATTTAAATGGGACCAACTTGGAAGTAGTTTAAAACAAAAAATAATTTTCTACATCGGTTTAGGCGTCTTCGAGTAATCGGCGAACATACATAAAAAAAAGATGCCGACAATTTGAAAACCTTTTTGGAAGTCGGTTAAAAATAGGGTAAAGGTGTATTCAGGGCGGAGTAAAAATTTAAACAATTCACATTTGGATAGCGATTTATATTTTAATAGATTTAAGTTAATCTATCTCAACTGAAATAAATGTTAGTTTTAAATTACATAAGCTTTTATGTAATTATAACTTAAAACCAACATTTATTTCAGTTGAGATGATGAGTGTGTGAGTTATTGATGATGATGAATAAAAACATTTGCTGACTAGCTGTAGATGCAAACAAAAGATAGGAAAGCATAATGATTCATTTGTTTAATATATTTGTTTTATCAACTGTTGATAGTCGAACTCTATTTTCTTACAGGCGATTTAAATGTTAGTTTCCTTTTGTTGTTGTGTGTCCTTGTGTATGTTAGTCGTTTCGTACGAAAATCTGGTCAATATTAACAAAAGTTTACTTTGTACTTTTGTACCAGATTAATCAGAGGGCAACAATGAGTTACTATTTTCTTAACGACAATTAACTATAACTATAAGTGTTAGAGTAAGGAATATTTTAAGGGCGAGAAAGTAATTACGTAATCATTTATTTCGCATTTTTATTTTAGGGACCTATTTATTACACGGTTTATATCTTGGAATTGGATACAAAATGTGCAATAAACATTTAAATCAAATCGATGTTTTGAAAATTACTAATTTAAAATTAAATTACTTTTAAGCACCAAGATAAAAGAAACATATTCATGATTTGTTGTTGTAAGGTTTAAAATATTTTAATAATATCCATAACTAACGTTCATGCAACATGTCTAACAATTTTTGATAATCACAGCAAAAATTTAAGGTTCTATATGAGATTGTATTGATGAAACACAGGAATCAGTGCGCGTGCACTAATTGTAAAGGATTTCATTGTTAAAGAAATCCACCAGAACCCTTAATTTTCAATCAATTCGAATCTTGTTCATATCCAATTAATAAGATTCGAAAACCAAATTTAAATTTGGTGGAGTTAAAAATATGACGTTAGTCATTTAATTTGTTAGAAATACTCGTATCGTATGTCTGTTTACAGATAATAACTATTGTATAATCCAAATGTAAATCATATCAATTATCTAAATTATATCTATGGTAACTTTATTAGGAGATCGAGAGTAAGAGAGCCAACCTTAAATTATAACGCTTCGCCTTGAATCATTCGTTGGTTAACTTGTGAGCGTGTCATACCAGTGTTTCTGTGGTGTCTTAACATTATATTCTGGTCTTCCATACGCATACATGCTATTTTTTTGCTATTACCCGTTGGCTAATGGGCACAATTTATTATAAGAGAAAAGTAGTATCTACATATCTTGTATTGAACTGTTTATTCACCATCTATATTTATTAAAAGTATTAAACGTGTGTTAAAATGAGCAAAGTAGATACTACACTAACTTTTAAACTTTCGCGTTCAATCACATGGGACTTGATCATGTAATAGGTGTTACATACTTTTGAATTAACTCACGTTTTGACCAGGTTACGCTGTAACGGAATGTAATACCTACCACGTGATCGCGTTTATTGCCGTACCTGTACATAGTTGTATACTGGGTACCTACAACTAGCACGACTAAACTGTGCACCTCGCGCTATGAGGTAACTTGAACGGTACTGTTTGCAAAAAAGTTTGTTACACACATACGAGGAGAACGCGGGAGCCGCGCGGGGATGCGGGAGGACGACTCGTCTGTGCACCTAGCTGAAATGCGAGTTGCATTGTTTGTTGCGAGTTTGTAGATACTATTTTTTTGCCAAAATATTAATTTAATATTGTAATCGTATACGGGCATGGTTTTGTAATTAATTGCATGTATTGATAATGAATAATACAACAATTATTATTAAGGAGAAAAAGAATTATCAAGTTCGACTATATATCGGTTTAATCATTTCAGATCATAGCATCTTTCTTTCATATTTGTTACATTGCATTTCGTCCTGTAAATTTTGTTCAAGATAACACGTATCAAGTAGTATAAATATTTATGCCACGTATAATCTGTAGGTGGGTCGTGCGTTTTCGTTCAACAAAACGCCGTCGAAGTTAAAGCGTGCGATGTCGTCAATGATTTCACCATTCGGTTCCACTTCAAATCTCACCCCCGCATCGCAACTCGCGCAGATGAGGTTGGCTAGTTGCAACAATATTAACGTAAGTACTACTAAAATCTAACTTTCTTTTTATCAAAGAGGCTGGATAGTTTACCATCCGAAGTTACCAAAGGTCACGAAGCCACGATCAGTTTTGTGAGCTCGCTACGAATGGTCACGATATTAAACGGTAACTGACAGATAAAGCGGCGGTTATGTTATGGTTATGAAACGAGACTAACTTTCGAACTAATAGCGAGGACAGGTGTGACAGAGAGCTAAAAACGGTGGCGGAAGTTCATTCCATGATTTTTAGTAAATAGGTAATTAAATGCAGATATACATTGGTTTTACGTTTATAAAAGCGGTGATGTCTGCAGGAGATGGGCACGAGCGGCGGCGGCGCGGAAGGCGGCGGCGAGGTGCTGGTGGCGCCGCTGTCCGTGCAGCCCACGCGCAAGGCCACGGCGGGGCAGGCGCTGCGCCGCTTCTGACGCCGGACGGCGCGCCGCGCCTGACGCGCGATCGAACCGACCCCGCATTGAGAAACCCACACGCGAGTGCGAGGTGTCCAAAATATTCCAAAGTGTCGAGGAAGAGGCGGCTGTAGGCCCGCCCCCGTTGAGCTTTCGAGGACGCGCCTCGGCCGATAATGGAAATGTGCTTAGATGTTGTAAAGTGTGATGCATAAATGTACAAGATCGAGATCGTGAGCGTCGATGTCTCCACTAGTCCGTTAAAACCTCCTCTCCGGATACATTTTAATGAATCTTGTACCTATATGAAGTTATTGCGGGAACTAACGTGAACCTGTTTGTCAATTTTGCTAAACACGTAATGGTGACATCAACAAATCAATATTTCGTCAAAAATATATAAATAAAATCGTGTAGTCGACGAATTTTTTTTTGTTTTACAATAATATGCACAAACATATAAATGACGACTAAGTATTGCTTTGTTGGTTTTTAAATGATTTTTACAGGTCAATTGTGAATAAAAGAAATATGGCCATATTAAAAAATATACCAATACAACCGCTGGCCAAGTATAACTAACTTATGAATTTATTCGTCTGTTAACATGTCGCGGAAACATACTGATATTATTGATTTAGTTTTGAAAATATTTTGTACATATGTGATACTTTAAATATATTGTGAAATAGAACATAGCATACACTAGATCATAGTAGAATTACCTTGATGTCAATTCGTTGCTGATTCGAAGCGTTCCTAATGTGTTTGAGTTATTCTTTTCTAATGGACAATCAATTATACTCCCAACGTTTGAATCTAAAGATGGGTAGATAGGTATTGTGTAAATAGTGTACGGAACATGAGCAGCTTGTGCTTAATAGGCGACCTCGAATGTATTTTAACTATTTTATTATACGCGTCTATAAGTTATATGAGAGTCTCACTTAGGCTATCGTCATCGATCATGTGTACACATGTTGCTACATTGTACAAAGAAACAATATTTATAAATATTTTAAATGATTGATAAAATAAACATTTATTTTCAATCAGTTGGGTTTTTTGTTTTATCGCGAATATTATTAATATCTAATATCATATTAAGCTCTTTTTATTAGTTTTAATAATCATCCGCCTCGAGCACCAGTCTCCGGATGCAGGTACACGTAGACGTTGCGCAGGGCACGCAACGGCAGCGATATTAATATACAACCTAGTGGAACTGTCGCCAATAGCATACTTTTCCTTGGAATTTCTGTGTCAAATAACGAGACGCATTTGACGATCAAAGTAGCCTGCAAAACAAAAAAATGGTTAATACCATGTTGCCTAACTTTTTATTTCTTCCTTCGCTGTGGAACTTTGTGGTTGCAAATAAATAGTATCGTGTCAAAATTTGAGTTTTTGAAGCGTACACAAACCAACTTAACATTTTTATATAGATTTTAATGAGTAGACGAGGACTTGATCTGTTTTTAGTTACACTTTTTTATCAATCAATCAATGGACAGTGTACGAACCACGTTATACATTTCTCGTATCATGCTGTTATACTTTGAACTGTGTCAGCATTTTATTCATTTATTAAATCATTCTTCACTTTAGTTCACGTTCATATTCGACTATCAATTCACGTGTCGCGGCTCACATATATCATTATCATTAATATCATTTTTATCTATCAATATAGTCAGTTAAATTTATCCCTGAGTTTTCAGATTTATCCTATAACTTAAAACCCTGGTGTACGTACCGTACAATTTTTTATTTTATTTAAAGCCTATAACCTCGCGAGTGACTTAGTGAAAAGGTATACCGTATAGCGTATCGTATCAAGTAAACGCTGTGCTCTGACACTAGTAAGACTATCAAAAAAAGGTAGAAGTATCATTATCTATCAGGGTATCAACAGATACCACCTGGTGGACGGAGGAACTGCTCGACCATCGTCTAAGTGTCAAGATATCAAGTAAGATCTTTTCTTTTTAACTCTTATCTATTTCATTGATCAATATAGACTATCATGGAAGACTTAATATCGACTCAAGAGCAAATAGCTGCCGCGATTGGGCAGCTGTATTCTAATTTTAAGAAAGACGGTTCATTTCACGGAAGAATTTCAGTCAAATCAAAGAAAGCTGAGTGTGTATAGCAGTAGGTCTCATCCCTATTTTACCACCAATCAATTTAAGCATATCGCGAACCGTTACACAACTATCAGGTCAGCTATTCTGAACTACGACTTACCTGCGAAACCAAGGGAAGAAATAAAACCCTCAACTCCTAATATCAGACCCGCTACTCCGAGTTCGGGTTCGGAGACTCCTCAGCAAGGTTTATCGGTACAAGCCCGAGGTGGCGACAGTAAAACCGACGAGATGCTGCAGAAACAAAGCAGTAATTTCAAGGCATTTGAACATATGATCTCTGATATCAGTTTAGATACCATTTCCGTAAAATGGAAATTTGATCACCTATTACGCACTATACATTGGGAGTTAGATAGCGAACTAGGTCAGCGAAATCCTGAGTACGAATCCCACTTTTTTCAGTCAGAGAAGAAGTAGAACCACATTATCAACTCAATAAACAAGAAGAGGGTCTGTCAGTCACTTAGAAAAGTCTACTCCTAAGATTGATATACCAACTTTCTCTGGTAATTATCACCAATGGTCGAGTTTCAAAGATCTTTTCACTGAAGCTATCCATGCGAACCCGACGTTGTCTAGCGCTCAGAAGATGCAGTTTCTGAAGTCTAAAGTACGAGGAGAAACAGAAAAACTGATCCAACACTTGCCTATCTCCTCTGATAACTATTCCGTTTGCTGGGATTTATTTAATCATAGATGCAACAACAAGAGGCTGATCATGAGTTCTCATTTTGATCAAATGCTCAACATCCCAAATGCACAACACCGTTCCGCTCAACACATCAAGAAGAATCATGACACCACTCGGGAAAGTCTAAATGCTATCAAGAACCTCGGCGTGAACGTAGAGTATTGGGATCCTCTTATCATTTATGTCCTGAGTCAAAAATTAGATTCAGTTACACTTAGCGATTACTTGAGTTCTCTAAAAGATTTGAAGGGAGACCCAACTTGGAGGAGTTTTTATCACTGTAAGAGAAGACATTTACGACCTTGGAAACTTCAAAAAGGCAGTCTGAACCTAAACTAGGTCAAAACCATAATTATCATAAAAATAATCATTCTAATACCAAGCCATCGTACACCGGACGTAGCATTTCGCAATCGTTGAACAATAAAAATGTCAGTTACAGTTACGAAATATTATAAATGCGCTATTTGTAAAACAAATAATCATATAATGTTTAATTGTAATAGGTTCCGACAAATGTCACCGTCAGCAAAACGGGGGACAATCGCGAAACTAAAGGTGTGCATAAAATGCCTCTATTCTCATAATGGCAATGAGTGTATTTCAGAAAAACGTTGTGAGTGCGATCAGTCACATAACACTATATTGCACGAAGCGTTTACGCAAGTTGACAATGAGGCCAGGGCGTCGACTTCACATAATACTAACATCAGCACGACTAAACAGTGTCAAAATCCGACTGCCCGAAGCTTACACGTGTCTACGCAATCTGAAAATCCTGAAATACTTTTAGCTACTGATATGATCATGGTCGAAATTTACGATGATTCCTGCATCAAATTACGCGTACTTATTGATCAGGGATGTCAAACTTCTCTTATCATCGAAAATGCCGCGCAACGACTAGGACTACGTCGTCAAAAATGCCACGGCGTGATTACAGGTGATGGCGCCAAGCAAACAAGTTGCAAAGGAGCTATCAATATCAAATGCATATCACTGAACTAATTACGAGTTTAATACTGACGTCACCGTCATAAAAAATCTACCAAGCAATACCTTCGCTAAACCAAATTGGTCGTATTTAGATAATTTGAACTTAGCTGATCCTGAATTTTATATAAGTCGGCCAGTGGACATTCCGTTTGGAGCCGATATTTATTCCTCGATCCTATTAGATGCAATTTGTAAAGAAAAAAAAAGTAAAATAGTGCACAAATTGCCCAGAATACACGATTGGGGTGGATTTTATGTGGTTGTGCATGCAATTGCAAAAACATTGCAATGTAATGTCGCCTTGATTAATCTTGAAGAAATACATAGATTTTGGGCAAGAGTTGAACCTGTCTATCGAAGATCAAGAGTGCATGCAGTACTACAAAAATAAAATACTGTTTGCCGGGAAGACGGAAGATACGAGTTACGGCTATCTCTGAAATCTGACTACGTAAAAAGTAAAAAACGTGGGTCTATAAAAAAACAAGGCAGTAGAACAATTTAAAACATTAGAACAAAAGTTTACGAAAAATAAGCCTATTGAAGAAAGTTATAAAGCATTTATGAAGGAATATAAATTCATGGGTCACATGGTTCCGGCTCCTTTCGTAAAAAACACTGAGCCCGGATACTATCTCAGTCACCACCTTTATCAAATATTTCTATATTATTTGACCTTCTCGGGTGGCTTACTCCAATTTCAACAAAGCTGAAAATCATTTTTCAGAAAGTTTGGTTGTCCTCTATTACTTGGGATGACCCTCTACCGGTAGACATTATGTCTGAATGGAGCACAGTGAAACACCATGTTATAAACATAATCAGATTGCAAATACCTAGATGGATATCAACCGGCGCTCATGACGTATTAGAATTACACGGCTTTTGTGACGCATCAACAAAAGCCAGCGCTTGCGTTATTTACTGTAAATTAAAACGTAACGAACAAACTATAATAACGCTTTTGGTCAGTAAAGCTAGACTTGTACCAAAGGCGAAAACTATCGACTGATAGTTTGATTACTTCTAATTGGAATTAAGCTCAGTTCTAAGCGCGCTTCTATCTAAGTTAGTGCTTAAAGTGCAACAGTGCTTGAGTACATATAAAATCAAGCTTTACGGTTGGTCTGACTCTATGATCGTCCTAGGTTGGCTGAACGGCGGTCCAGCAAAGTGAACCTTCGTCTCAAACAGAGTACGTGAAGTCACAAAAATCATGCCGCCGGTATGTTGGAGCTATGTTAAGTCAGAGGAGAACCTAGCAGACTGCGCCAGCCGTGGAATGACAACGACTCAGTTAGTCAATCATGATCTGTGGTTGAAGGGTACATCCTGGCTAGTAGACTGATGGACAAGGGAAAGAGCCATAATTTATCACTGACTTAGACATGAAAAAAGTTCATCAAGTCTACGTTGTCACTAAGTCCGTCATAGACAACAATATTATTTATCAACTACTATTGAAATGTAGTACTATCACTAAAGTTATTAGAATTATATCATGGATGTACATTATGATTATTTGTTAGAAAACAAGAAAAACGACTAGCGTACTTATCATTATAAGAGTTGAACAAATCGGAGTATCATCATCAAGCAAATTCAACAAATTGACTTTTTACAGGAAATAAAAAGTATCCAAGAAAGGGGCAACGTTTCTCAGAAGAGTAAAATATCACAGCTCGCTCCATATCTAGACGAGTACGGAATTTTAAGAGTTCAAGGGCGGTTAAGAAACTCTAACTTACCTCTTGACATGAAACACCCAATCATTATATTAGGCACCTGTCGTTTAGCGGCACTACTAATAGATCAAGCCCATAAAGCATCATATCCGCCTTACATCAGCATTTCGAAGGCAAAAATATTGGCTAGTAGGATGGAACAGGATTGTTAAGAAACATCTTCGCAATTGTGTCAAATGCAGGCGCCACGATCTACAATGATACTGGCACCAACTTTGTAGGCTCAAACAAGATTCTTCACAGGGAATACCTAGATCTCGTCACGTTATTGGATCATACCTTCTATACGTCAATTACTAACATGAAGATTAAATGGCACTTCAATGCCCCTGGATGGCCAAGTGCTGGAGGTCTTTGGGAAGCGGCTGTAAAAAGTCTCAAATATCATCAAGTTGACCTTTGAAGAATACTTCACCCTCCTAGCACAATTAGAAACGTCTTTAAACACCAGACCTCTATCCTCGAGTATCTAACCCCTGCTCATTTTTTAGCTGGCGGTCCGGTTAACACTATCATAGAAACGGAGAGAGACCAACGAACACGATGGCAGCTCACGCAAAAAATCTTCACTGATATTTGGAAGAATTGGACAAACAGATAAAGCAAATGAAAGTTAGCGCGTCAGACAGAGTGCTGACCGAGTACATATCCTATCATGACAGTACATCACTATCTCGTCATCTACGTAGTGCTGATCGCGGGAGCTATCGCTCTCGCTGTGCTGGTGTGGCAGCGTCGGCGAGCACGACCAGCATCAACCCCGAGCCTTAAAGCGCAGCCGTGCATGGAAGCACGGTCAGCGCAAGCAGCGTGCCTGGAATCGCAGGAAATTAGGCAAGCGCCGGCGTATCACCGCGCAGGAATGCCTGACGTCGAACTCCCAACAGCGAGCAACGACCCTTTTTCGGTCAGATGTGTTAGTGAGACTGCAGTGAATCAGTGTTATGTGTCTAATGAGTTCAAGGACAAATCGCGTAGTGCAGTGTAGTGAATAAAGGCAGCTCGCCTGGGATTTACTCCAAAGAGTTCGATGGTACCTAATAGTGGATCATTGTTTAGATTTTAGTAATCATCTTAATTTTAAGCAAAATATTGTTCTATCACCTTGTAAAAAAAATGATGTACGGTCCGTACACCAGGGTTTTATAGGATAAATCAGTGAACTCAGGGATAAATTTAACTGACTATATTGATAGATAAAAATTATATTAATGATAATGATATATGTGAGCCGCGACACGTCAATGATAGTCGAATATGAACGTGAACTAAAGTGAAGAATGATTTAATAAATGAATAAAGTGCTGACACAGCTCAAAGTATAACAGCATGATACGAGAAATGTATAACGTGGCTAGTACAGACAGTGTTCTTCCCAGGCATGAGGCTTATTTTGAAAAGACTTCAAACTTTCGCCGTATATTGCCACAAGTAAATCATATATTACGTTTTATATTCTAGTTGAAGTACACACTGCGTGAGTGAAGCGTACTTTCATTGAATCTTAATGGTTTTTTTTTGGAGGAAGATGAGACGAAATATGCCGTACAACTTGTAAGGCGTGCCTGAATTTTGGTTTGGCAAATCCTGCGTTATTCGCAATCGTTTAATCCCGTAATACGCAGTAGGAATTGGGGGATAGGAACCTCATGTTAAAGAAGTTGCAAGCTTTTGGGAACATTTGATGGTCTAGCCATTTTAGCAGCTGACTAAGAAGACTATTACATGGCTGTATAAGTAACCTACCATGGTCGGTCCCCTACATTGTCATGTCCAATTGAGCACATTTACTGATATTACAGAAGATCAAGTCATGACGTTCTCTCAAAAGATTATTAGTTGATTAAGAAAATTTATTGGTACCTGACTTGCCTTTTAAATCTATAACAAAACTTGGCACAATGTCTTAAACACTTGCCATCTTCGATGTGACACAAATATACAGGGTATTAGGGACAACGATCCCGAAAAAAAAAGACATTTTGTTGATGCGCCAGAAAAAAAAACGTTCCCCTAATACCATGTATAACTATGTATTTGAATAAATAGTTCGAAAAAAATCGACTATTACTGAAATGTGATACCAGTGTAAAAAATGGTACGATTTGCCATTGTATGCTGATACGCGACGAGCATGCGCTGTCCTCCATTGCGACATTGATGTCAGACGTGAAGTCGCGGCTGCGGTACACGTACAAGAGTGCCACCATTTCGAGCAAACAAATTAGTGGCATTGTTACACCCGTCATTAAAGATTCTATTGCTTCCATTAACGCTAGGCCACCCTAAAACGATCAACAATGAAAGATGCATAATTTACGGGAAATTCGACAACTTCATCATAATTCCAGACTAAATAATGTATCTGCGTACCTAGTAAGTACGTACGGTAACGGATTACTGCAGCGGATTATATTTTATAATGCCAATGTAGGTACTTGATGAAAAAAGTGTTAGGACACTAATAAAATAATTTCGCATACATAATACATTTACAATAAAAACGTATTGACTAAAAATACAGATATCGTTATGAACCAAAACTTACATGGGTCATGAACAACATATTCAAAAGCGCACAAGACAATAACAGAGCAGCCACAACTAGTTGTTCTCTAAATCTATAACAGTTAAGAAATATTGTATAAATAAAATTCAGTATCACCACTTCACAAAAATCTTTTAAATATCAGAATGACTAGTGACACCAGACTTTCGTTGGATGTATTCATATACTATTAAATATATTCATCCAGGGTCGATGCGACATAACGCAGCGGTGTCGGCGTTGAGTGCACGCGCTGACATAGACGCAGCACTTGTCTTTAGTACACACATGAATTAAAAAGTATAATTTAAATACGTACACTAATTTAACTTTGTATTCGAATATTATATGCAATGCTGTTTTCATGAAAATATACGCCACAGCTAAGTAAGAAAACGTTAATCCGAAGAAAATCGACGTGGACCTGAAAATATTAACTAAAATATTGGTAGTGTTTGGCAAATTGAACATTAATTTTGCTAGTTTTTTTTAAGTAGTATATAATTATTTTATTACTAGTTCAATAGAACTAGTCATAAAACAATTAATATCATATATCACTATTAAAGATATGTATTAATAAAAATTAAAGTTAAAATGTTCAGCATACTAACATAAGGTGAGAATAACCACCCAGAGATGTGCACTTCGAATATATAGGGAACATCCATAAAGTACCTAAAAATAATAGTAATTACAAATTATTATAGTTAATAATTAACGAGGAATTTCGGATTTTTCGGATCTCGGATCTGAGTTCAAAAACAAGTGATGTGAAGAGTGAAATATACACAGCAAAGCGAAAAAGAAAAAAAGAATTCATGAAACAAAACAAGATTATCAACACCTTCTAAATAATAGAGGCTTTCTTTACCTCTTTTTTTTCCGTGCGGAAATCCCCTCGGATACCACCTATCGGTGGCATGTCGAACTCGAACCGACTAAAACCGCACGCCGTCTCGGGTACTAATAGCCGGGGAACCAGGTATACCCTAGAAAGGAAGTCCCTGGTGCCCCGACATACCTCGGGCCATCTACAGACTCCCCCCGTGTGGGAACCCCATGTTCCCTCTGCTCTCTGGAAGCGAGCGCGCTTCGCAACGCCCTCGCCGCCTGCTAGGGTGACAGATGGCCTCACCTGTCACCCCCAGGCCTGCGCTTATGGAGGACGGAGGTCGTTCTGCGACCTCCGGCGCCTGAGTCGCCTGCACTACCTAGCCCGTTCCCGGGCCTGGCGGGCCGGGAGAGTTCTAAACCTCTCCCGGTCCCGCTCCGTCGTCTCCTTCGCGAGCATAACTTGCTCGCAGAAGGAGACGGCAGAGTTCCACGCACTCTCGCTCCGCACGATAGCCGCAATCAGGCTATCGAGCGAGAGAACTCCCACTCCGATGGCCGCCACGAGGTCTCGCCTCTGCTGAACTCACGCCGGGCACTCTGCCAGCGTGTGGAGAGCCGTGTCCACGGTCTGGCCAACGCAGTGGTGGCACTCAGGCTTTGGCTTACATTATTATAAGCACACGCAGTTTTAACATGCGGAGACGCGTAGTTTTTGAGAAAAAAATTATTGACAATCAATTATTTTTGCAATATTTATGTCAATCCCTACTATTTTAACTGTATCTATTAGGGCAGATAACAAATAAAAAAGGTTAGGTTCAACTTATGTCAAAGAACCGAAATGATTGACTCCGACTCGTGTCGTGTCTGTCCTACCCCTAGTATTTTTATAAGAGCAGCCTCCGCCCGTATCGCCTCCACAGCTTCGGCTTGTTGATCGTCTTCGGCGACCAGCCTCAGCCGTTTCGGCTCGTCCGATGCCTACGATTTGTTAAGCAAGGGCGTAGAGGCTATTCTGCACTTTATTTCTAGACGATTTGCAAAATATGAACTAAAAATTTTCAGTGGTTTAGAAACAGGACATTTTTTTTTGTTTTCGTAAATTGCAACATCAGACAACAACTCGAATCGAACGAAATATGTTGATTATTGCGTCATCACGATGAAGGACACGCGTTTTTAATTAGTTCATCCAGTAAGGACAGTCAGTTGGCCCTTGGCCACCGGCGAGTGTCATGCTATGCTGTATCCTTGTAAATGCGCTCACGACAAATAACCGTAATAATAATATTGTTGTTGTTCATGAGATACATATTTGTTTAGAAAAGTTTTCTTGTGGTAATAATTGTTTAGTCTTATTGCCTTCGTCATAATACACGGCAATGGTGTGAACAATTAATGTTATCGTGCGCGCAAGACTTCGTAATGTCCGACGAGTCCTGCTAATTTTATTTTGAAAAGTTACAATATTAGGTTCTGTGTGTAGTGTAGTGTGAAACTGAGTGAATTTTATTGGGTTATCGGTATCAACATCCATAATGCCGTGAGTGACCGTCACAGCCGCGGAATATCCTGCCATGATGTTAATTTATGGGAAACTCTATCAAAACGCATCTTTTGCTTTACGGACAGGTATGGAGTCAATCGTGTATGTCCTACAGACTGCCGAATTTTTGTAAGGGCGGTACAAAGATTACAAGACAACCAAAGTACCTACCTACTTTTTAAAGGAGTGAAACGTACTGTCGGGTCCGACGCTAGTCGAGCATTCCCAAAATAAACACGTGATATAAAATCAAATGTTACCGAACGTACTACTCTGTCAAGAAAGTACTGGGAAAAGATCAATAATACACAAAATGTTTGTTATTCATCCAAATTTATTTTTTCACCTTCAAAGTATGCGCATTATCGCGGTGTAAAATCCAAGAAGTTTCTTTCCAAAAATCTGGCCTTTTTTGTCGAATTGCTCTCTTAAATGCAGCTGCGCATGCGCATAACGCTCAAATAATATTCTTAATTCCGAGTGCACAACACCGCGATAGTCAAAGAACACAGTCAACATGACTCACTTTTGATCGACTTTGGCGTGGATTTTTCGGTTTCGGTTCAGTTGGAAGGCGCCACTCCGAAGCTTGTTAACTAGTTTGCATGTCAAACTCGTAAGCCCACGTCTCGTCACCAGCAACAATGCTTTTCATGAATTTTGGGTCGGATTTGACTCGTTCTAGCATGTCCTCAGCGACTCTCATGCGATTGAGTTTTTGGAGAAAATTCAGGTCTTTTGGGACTAGCCGAGCGGTAACATGTTTCATGACCAAATGATTAGTTAAAATGGTACGGATCGACTCGTGAGACAGAAAGTGCGACGGCTATCTCTCTCAACAAAAAAAAACAAAAATTTGAATTTGGAACCATAAACAAATCATCCATTCCCGATACTTTTTTGACTGAATGTATGACAAACAAAACGTTCATTGGCGAGAATTCTATATAACCTGTGGTAGGATTTGATAAAAATATTGCAAAAATAATTGATTTCAATATTTTCTTCTCAAAAACTACGCGTCTCCGCATGTTGAAACTTTGTGTGTGTGCTTATAATAATGTAACCTTTCTGTAAAAAAAATATCAACCTCCAACTCGACGGAAGTCAATGGAAAGTCGAGAACCTAGGTATATTTATAAAACTATGGTGCTATCTAAATATTAAACATTTGCATCTTACTTTTACTCATATCATCAATACCGGTCCAGCTAGGATGTTTGTCATTCACCGCTGCGCATAAAGCGGCGCCAACGGAATGGAAACCAGAAAGGAATACCGCAAAGAACGAGTGCCACAAATTTTCCTGGTTGAACAATGGATCTATGTGACCAGAGGCTGCAATAAGAACAACAGGTCGTCTTTTTACTCTATCTTGAGCGTTGACACCACTTGCACTCTATAAAGAAATAAAAAAAACGGTCGTTTGGTGTATTATTTGATATCAGAAGTATCGATAACCGATATAAAAAATATACATAATTATAGGCCATATTCTATATATGTCAATCTTTAGTACGTTGTCTTGCTGTACTCTCTCTCGCGATACTAGGGGGTCGTCCATTAATCACGTGATGTTTTTAGCAACTTTTTAACCCCCTCCCGCCCCCTGGTGCTAAGTGGTGAGGTTGTAAACTACCCCCTCCCCTCCTACCCAAACTCACGTGTATTTTTAGAACAAAGTATATTGAAATTTTCAGGATATTATCTTTAAATACAGATATAATCTGATTGTCCGCAGTCCGATCAGGAGGGGTGGGGTTGGCGGTTAGCCTTGATATTGTCAACGCGTTCGGCACCCTCCCCTGGCAGGCGATAAGGGCGGCCCTTGAATTTCATGAGGTGCCGCTCTACCTGGGACGTCATTGGGGCGCATCTGCGCGACAGGACGGTGAAGTTTATCGGTCGGAACGGGGTGGAAAATCGGAGAGAGGTGTATTGCGGGGTTCCCCAGGGCTCTGTTTTGGGCCCTTTGCTATGGAACCTCGCATATGATGTGGTCCTTCGCACCAGTCTGCCCTCTGGCCTCAGTGTCGTCTGCTATGCTGACGACACTAATACTGGCTAGAGGGTTACACTTCGATGAGGTGCTTCGGCTCGCAGGGGGTGGCTTGTGTCGTGTTAAAGATTCATGAGCTGGGTCTGAGAGTGGCGCCTCTGAAAACTGAGGTGATGTGGTTTCATGGCCTGCGTAAGCGCCAGGAACCACCCAGCTCATACCTCCGGGTTGGTGACGCTGAAGTCCAGGTTGACCGGTACATGTAGGACTTAGGCCTCAACCTGGACAGTCGGTGGCGCTTCGAAGAGTCTTGAAGGTGGTTACGGTTTGCGCACGTATGATAGAAACCGGCAAGGCATTCCATAAACGTACAGCTTCCACGGAAAATTATGTTGTGTTGAAATTGGAAGAATGCCTTGGTATTTCGTATGTCAGGCTTTCAGATGACTTCAGGCATTTCATATGTGTCATGAAGGAACTTAAAGCGTTCTTTGAGGTAAATAGAAATTAATGGATTAAACTGAATATTATACAGAAGCGTAAGGATATGAGTATGCCGGCGAAGGCGGATTGGAAGCCACTTGATCTTTTTGCGGTAGTGGGAAACATGATCATATTTGCGAAGTCCAAATATGAATCGTGTGCAAAAATTTTGAGAGATGCTCAAGTTTATCAAGATGTGCTTCGGTGAGAACGAGATAGCTAACGGTGGCATAGTCAAGAACCGGAAGAAGGAGCGTTTGTGCAAGTGCAGTTTTAGTAGCAGTCGGAAGAAAGTTTCGTAACCTTCGGCAAGATCCCGCTGCAGATGCTATAATGTTCACTTTTGTGTCAATACATTCCGAAGATAACAAGGTTGCCAGTCGATGCTTAAAATTATTACTTAATATTAAAATAAAATTAAAAAATATGAAGACGTATAATGATTACCATAACGATTCAATCCTTTGCCAGTAATTAGTTCAGTTCCGATACTTGCAGCATGTATATACAGACTAACCTCCAAAGCATCTGAAAGACCCTTATAGGCAGAGAAAATAGCTTAGGTGATCAATAAGATATACTCCTAAAAATAGTATAGAAATGTACGATACATACAATCATTATTTCTTTTTTACCGAATCTGAAAGCTTTCTGTAGAGTTTTGTATCCACTGTTGTTGTAAACCCCAATGAATACTATTAAAGCTGTCCATATCCATGGTATAATTATAATCCATTGAGGCACGTTATTAAAAATCAACTGCAATATTGATAAAGGAAATCAAACAGCGAAGGATACGAAATATACCAGACTTATCAGTTATGGAATTTAGCGTGGCTTGACTACAGTGACAATACGCTTCACAGAAAACTAGTGTTTAGCCTTTCTTTCAGTGCTTTTCACTGAGTAAGTAAGGTTACCAGAGCCCAAATCCAACCCTCAAAGAGCGACAGAGCACTTGTGACTCAAGTAACAGGCTTCCATGGACAGCGGTAGTCATTGAACATTAGGTGAACCAATACCATTCGTTTGCCCCATATGCCATAATAAAAAGAACAGCACTCTTTCTCTAATGAAAGGCACCGTATATCTTTTCAGTCCACCGACAACGTTTACACCTTTCATTACAGGCGTAGCATGGACTAAAGTAGACGTAGGCGAAGTCGCATCAGCGAGGCCCCTTTTCTTTCGTTCCCAAGACATAGGTGCCCAAAACATTTATTTTACCAAACAGGCTTTGACACGACATAACTCGTGATAATGAAAAAGAATATGCGCGACGGCAGAACATTAGAAAGAAAATAGATTTGAAAAAATGTTTTAGTTTGTAAATTCTTACCAAAGTCAGTTCTTCGGCTTTTTCGCGTCGCGGTCTTTAAAAGAAGTTACAATGGCCTCGCAGTTACCCTTAAGATGCGGCTTCTATGGAGGCTCGAAACAAACACACTTATAACGTAAATGTGATCCAATTAATTAGTCATCTGTGGTACAGTCCAGGGGCCTCGCATTTAAAGAAGCCTCGCGAGGCCCCTCTAAGTGCGAGGCCGTGGGCGACGGCCCACTTCGCCCACGCCTAGTAACGCCACTGCCTTTCATAATGATCGGTCGAAAGTTAAGGCGTGACATCGTACAAAACTTTCTCACATTCACAACAAATATTTTTTTTGTCTAAATAAAAATATTACCTAATCATACTTGCATGAGAATGAATACCTACTCTGTTGTATAGAATTCGTTCCGAAAGCATAGCACACCATATTATAATCCAGACACCCAAGACGTTTACAATGAGTGGTACGTTAAAATGTTGCATACTTAAATCCGGACGTAGTTTAACAACTTCCACACTGAAAGAAAATCATATAAATAAGTAAAACAAATTCTTTATATCCTCTAATATAAAGCATTTCATATTTATATTCATAACATCCCTATGTAATGGATATATAATTTCGGATCTGACAGAAAAGACAAACAGAAACAGGTCATTATTAAAGCCAGACTTTTTTTTTTTTTTTTTTTTTTAAAACAACACCCGCTTTAGGAATAAATCCTGTGTCGCGGGGGACTTTACAAACATACATGAAACGGACACAAAGAACACCCAGACTCAGAACAACAATTTGTGGATCACACAAAGTGTCGTCCCATGTGGGGTTTGAACCCACAACACTCGGCGTAGTAGGAAGCGGCGTGGCGACCGCTTAAACCACTACGTCATCCGTGCAGTCAACTTTCTATGATTGTTGTGTTAGTCAGTCACAAATAATAAGGGTTCCTTGTTTTAGAATATTTATTATTGATAGTTAATCAAATCAAGTCAAATATGTTCCTCATATTTGAAGAATGGTGGGCGGTAAAGATGGAAGATGTGCGGAGCCAACATGATACTCCGAGAACGGTCAGTATAACTGTGTCGACTGTACAACTAGTTGTCTATCGTTTCCAAGAAACTGGTCCAAGAAGCATTTTGAAAGACAGAGTATACACACCATAAGGAGAACGGTTCAAGTAGGCATGTATTGAATAAAAAGTTTTATATGGATCTGTACACGTGTAGGTTGGAATTTCTTTTGAGGGCGTAACTGAGCTAGTCCTAGCTTGGTTCTAGTAGTTATGATCTAAATGGGTGAAAGTGCCTTATTTATGCATGACAATGCACGTCCACATACAGCACGGATCGTAAATGCTTGCCTACAAGATGTCGGCATAACACGTATGGAGTGGTTAGCCCGTAGTTCTGACCTCAACCCTATCGAGGTTGCTTGGAATGAACTGGGACGGTGTGTCAAGCTAAGAAATCCACTAACAATCAAAGAACAATGGCGAATTCGTAGTTGAGTATAATTTGAGCGTCTTAAAATGTCATTCACAGGAAACTAATTCTAGTAAATATCTACGTTTTTTGAAACTATCACTTAAGTCAGTAATACCCCAGGAAAAGAAAGAAAAATATTATAAGCTTATTTGATTGTTTTAATTTCCTTTATCAGTTTAGTGTTACCATTTTATAGAAATATTTTTGATGTAGTGGAAATACTGTCCAATAAAGTATCATAATATGGTAATCACTTCATAGTTATATGGTAATCAGATAATAATTCTAAGTACTGAATCAATAAATGATATAGTTTGTAGTGCGTTATTAAACGCATTGTTTATGAATTTGAAAATCCTGTAGTGGAATATAAGGAAGTAAAAAAAAATAAAGTGGCAACTGCAACCGGAAAAAAAAGCAATGGTTTTTTGACAACTCTTTACAGATGTTTGCGCTCTGTGTTTAAAAATAAAGACTAAACGTCTGACACTAATGGCCGCCGCCGATTATATTAGTTTAGGAATATACTTATTGGATATTATATATGCGGATGTACATCCGCATATATAATATCCAATTATACTCATGTAATTAATATTAAGTCATTATATCCAATTATATTCCAATTAAATAAATATACTTATGTATAAGATGATTATTTAATGCATCAGACACATTAAAAGTGACATAAAAATATAACCTACGAAAGTTCTACAGCTAGTATACTATAATAATTCTTTATTATCTTGTTTTTATTTAAATGGCACATATTATACAGTTAAGATTATCAAAAGTTATGTAAAGTCGATAGCCATAGACAAATTAATAAAATAAATTAAACATTAAGTACCTAGCTATGTTATATTATAAGACTTTATCTATGGACTCTTTTAAAGACAGTCCATAGATGCAGTGCGTAACTGAAAACATTAAATGCTAATTTATATTTTCCTACCCTTTTCCAAACAAAAATTGTTTTTTACGTAGATTCTAAAAAAATAGCAGAATTTTTTAATATTTTTTTCACTACAAGACGGTGGAATTTGATTCCAAATATTTTTTTGTATGGAGACCCGCCATTGTTCTTTGTGAGCTTAAATCTACTTTAATAGAAAAGAAGGATAATATTTATTAGATACTAGCTTTTCCCGCAGCCCCGCCCTGTGTATCTGTATTGGTTATCGCTGTAAAAAGTCTATGTCCTTCCTCAAGAACCAAACTATCTCCATAACAGATTTCATCTAAATCGGTTCAGCGGTTATTGATTCCCCATACAAAGTTCCATCCCCTTAAAGGATGATTTCTGGGATAAAAATATACCTATCTTATGTCCTTTTCCGGGATTCAAACTACCTCTATACCAAATTTCATCTAAATCGGTTCTGCCGTGTAAACGTGAAGAAGTAACAGACAGACAGTCACACTTTCGCATATATAATATTAAGTATGGATTTGCGAAATTGTTACCGACACGGATTTATTGCTCGTGAATGTACTAGGTAGGTAATGAGCTGAATCCATTTCTAAATTATCATTGGGTGCTACAATCAGTGATATAAAACAAAAATATAATATAATACGTGGTAGAGCCAGGCTTCGGCACATATTGCCGGCTCGAACAGAGTGAACTTTCACTACGTTTGGACGGTTTTTTACTTAATATATGCAATCCGTAACGTTGATTGCGAATGGTATGCCTTTTCAATTGTATTTACTATATGGACTTAGAAGAGTAAGTAAAATATTGGAACATACTAGAAAAAATTAAATGCAGGAGTTGCGTAAAGAGCAGGATACCGGCCCGGATACGTTTCCTTGCACACTTCTATTTTTATAGGACGGCCTATCCTTGAAGGCGTTAGCCTGTTGGAAAATTAAATTTGTAATATTAGATCTAAAAAAATTTGAATTGAATATATCGGTACATTTAAAACGAAACAAACCATTTTAATTTAGGTTCACTAGCGTTTTTCCGTACTTTGTGTAATAATTCAAGGGTGCTCGAATTAGTAGCAGAAGCTTCCGTTTCCATTAATATTCTAATCTGAAACATATTTAAATTGACAAAAATGTCAAGTCACTGTTTATGATATGATGTGCATCTTTTAATCTTCCCTGTGGGCACGAATAAATAGGTTTAAACCTGGTTTAAACCCATTTATTCCCTCCCACAGTAATTTATTTGGGTGTTTATTGATTTTAATGTTTTAATAGCTGTAAGTGTTAATTGGAAATGTAAATTAAATACAGCAAACTAATGGTTCTCGGGCAAACAATTTGTTTGGCGTTGCCCTGGACAAATTTAACTAGTTGTGTGTTGGAGAGGTATATACAGTTCTACAAAACTAAGTAAAGTGGCACTGAGAATTCTGACGGCACCATGTACATCTGCAGCCACAGAATGCACGTTTAGTGTTACATAAAGTAAAAAGGAATCACCTTACTGCAGATAGAGCTGCTGAAATAACAATTCATATAAATATACCTAATATATTAGATTAAAATATATTGAATGAATGCATAAGCACCGATCAACAGGTCAGTGAGACAACTCTTCAGGGAAGTTCACCGATCAGAATTGAAGTTATGAAGGTGAGGAGGACTCATCATCTCAATGTAAAGCAACAACACTCAACACGACTTACATATTGCATGCTCATTTTGCACAATAATTTGTTTGTACTTTTTGCTTTATTTAATAAAATTAAACCCATTAGGCCAGAATTTTAATTTAAAAATAGGAATAATATCTTCGCCTATAAATCCTTTCCAATAAAAAACTATTCGGTTCATAAACGATAGAATTCAATTAAGCGGAGACAAAAGAAACCAGCATTAAATAAACATTAATTCTCATCGTTTAAAATAGGTTGAAAAGTAAGCAACCATAGCTATGGATGTCTAATCATCTTTAGATTATAAGACTGAAAATTACGAAACAGTTTAAATCCTTCTAACAAAAATACAACTTTCTATTACCCAGTGAACACATAACCTCGATATGACGTCATTGATAGGTCATTGACAGATTATAGAATTTTTAAATAGTTATGTCATAAAAATGACTTTGTATATTCAATGTATTATGTCAGTAGTATGACATGATTATGACATGGTCCTGACCTAAAATATGATTTTTATAATGTTCCATAAGTGTGACTTAAATATTACGTAAATATTATGTCCTATGCCTATCATATGTGTGGCGTTAGTTACTTTTTGTCGATCCTTTTTTTTCGGTATTAACAAACTGTTTGATTTATTCTTCTTTATTACATTTATTACAGCCTATACCTAAGAATGAAATCCAAATAAATACCTTTAATAACTAGTGAAACTCTCTTAAATAAAATAATATAATCAATTTATATTTTTATTAAAATATTATGAAAAATGAACTGTTAAATAGGCTATAATTCCTTCATATTCAAACCGAATAACTAAGAGTGGTTATGACAACTACCTCTTACCTCGATAGATGGCTCGTCAGTGTTATGTCATTATGATGCAAGTTAATTCACAATGAAGTCATATTTACGTAAGAATGTTACGTCAAGGAGTGGGAAATTATGAGTCATATATGACTTATATCTTACTTAAATCATAACTTGGCATGACGTCATTCTGACATCAGTTTGACATAATTGTGTTCACTGGGTAGGTACTACGTGATATATTCAAAAGGCAATAATTGTCATATTAAATGTCCTGAAGTTATAGCTTACTTGACAAAACCAAAAAAGGATTTTATTGAGTAGGTTTTAGTAGTGATAATAATTAAAAACTCGCCATTTGGATTTAAACTCGTTTCTGTCTAAAAAACATGTCTTAAACCCATTTTAACCCTTAATGGGTTCAACTGTCTGCCCATCTCTAGTCCATACCGAATCTAAAGATTATAGAAATATAAATGTAAAAAATACAACGGAACGCTTCGACAAAAGGTTAAAATATAAAACCTACATGAATAAGTTATGCGTAAATTGTTATTGATAATACATCCTTAAAACTTACTCCATGAACAGAGAGATATCTTAGTTCTTTGTACTCAGGATCATAAGGTTTTAAATCAAAATCACTGAAAAAAAAGAGCGACTTTTAGGTTTCACATATTCTAGATATACTTTTGTATAAAGTTCAAGTATTTAGTTTATTAGAATTCAATGCTAAAAGAGTGTTGTCTTCTCTCACTTTCTGTTTTGTCTGCCGACTTAAACTTGCGATTTAAAAGTAATTAAGACAATATTTTAGGAATTCGTCACGATTGTACGGCGCATAAGTAAAAGTCAAAAAAAATTACTTAGGAAATATTTTGTTTCAGTCTTCAATAAACATACCGACAATACGTGAACGGTAGCTTGCCGTCATGTACAGAGTTCAAAGTGTACGTCGCAGCTATAGCGGCTACAGTGCAATAGATCATAGCACGAAATATTGCGTTCAGGCACATTGCAAACCCAATACCTGTCAAATAAATAACTATTAATAGTCTCATTTTTATCATACGATGGGTGGAACGATACATTAGCCTAACTCCGTTGCAGCTGCCGGAGAGCTCGTAAAAAACAAATCTGTATTAAAAAGCGTAATGTAACTGTTGCTAGGACTCAATACAGAGCTAGTATGGAATCCTCAAAAGGAAATTCAATTCGTATACTTGTTGATAAAGTGGAAATCACGTTGTCGATAGCGTGGCCTGTGCTACTGCGGTAATTAAAAACACGCGACTCCTTTAAAAATATTTATTCGCTTATCCTTTCGTACCTTTCACAAGGCACAACTAAAGTAAGACTCCGTCATCATTCTGCGTTGAAGGCGTGGGACGTATTCAGGGATTCATAATTATGGAACATAGGTTCCGGCGATTTTCTTACGATAACCATTACCATCCGGATGTATTGTGACTGTATATGCTGATATCGTCTCGTCTATTGATGGTTGAATCTGATAGTAGCCCCAGACTTTAGCCAATAGATCATCATCATCGACAGCCTTTACTAGTCCACTACTGGACATAGGTCTCTCCTTAAAAAGGAGGCTTTGGCTTACTATATCACGCTGGACAGACGGGTTGGTATATGGTTTGTTTCAAGTTTTCCTTTTCTTTGCAGTGCTGTCGTCCTGGGTAGTTTGCTCCTTAGTCAGCTCTTACGACACCCACACGAGATGAATAGGAGTGATACTCCATATTCTTAATCCGTCACCATACGGACTGGTGGATGTTTTAACTTAATATCTAAAGAGTGAACGTAATCGGTTAGCCTTTGCCCTTTCGACTTGAATTGATCATATTGTTGCGATCAATAATGTACGTTTTTTTATATTATGCTAACAATGTAGCTAACAATGTAACTCACCGTCAAAAAGAGGTACTATACGGAAAGCACGTCCCGGACCGCTGATGCTCCACTGTCCAAGGTAGACTTCGAAATGACGTAAAGGATTTGCTAGAATTATTACTGACGCCAACAGAGTCATTATAAAAACCACTGAAATATTAAAGTACCTATAATTTGAGGAATACAGTCATTGTTCGAAATAACAATTGTGCTGTTATTAGCAGGTTTAAAGTCCTGTACCTACAATCCTAGTAAATAACATGAACATTATTATATTATACAAGATTCATTGAATGCTTATCTTGGTATTTTAACCGCTAAGTCAATCGATCAACAGCTCTAAAAAATTTGATTAATTTGATCACATTTTGTTTCTAGTCAAGCGGCTATGACTAGAGCAGAAATTTGGCATTAAAAAACCTCTTGAATTTAATGTTGTGGGGAGCAAACTATGCAGGACTACAGCATTGCAAAGAGACAGAAAACTTGTCACAAACTCTATACTAACCCGTCTGGCCAGCGTGGTATAGTAGGCCAAAACCTTCTTTCTAAGAAGAGGCTTATGTCCAGCAGTGGACTATTAAAGGCTGTTGATGATGATGATGAATTTAATGTTGACTTAGTAAAAGTCTATTATTTTAGAACTGCACAATGAAATTGAGTTATGTGTCTTATAAAAATACAGTGTATGCATCCGTCAATACCAAAAGAGAGGAAGCCAAAAAAAGCGTATTGGTCACATGGAGTTTTTTTTTGTTTTTATATATTCACCTAAACGTTACTATTGAGTCTTTTACATTTGACTTGACTGACTTAATATCCTGTCCCCGTGTAGGGACAGAGGGCGGCTACTGAGTAATGGATATTACTTACCAATTCCACTTGTAAGTGCAGAGGCTGGTACACGACTATGCATGGTGAGAAGAGCGCTTAGTGCAAGCGAACCCATTCGTAGACGGCGTCGGCCGGCAGTGCGGTATCTGCCAGCGCCAGCCGCATTATCCATACCTGGGATCAAACTCGTTGACCATATCGTTGACCATTGACTTTGCTGATCCCCCGGTACATACAAAAATAAACTTATAGTTCTAATTATCTAACTTCAAATCTGACAGGAGAAGTAAGTTTTGAGCAGCGGTCAACAATGTTCTAAGGCAAATTTTAACTTACAAATGGGTACGGGTTAGTGGTAAATTTGCTGAGGAAGTTTCCGTTTGATTTTGTTAAAAGGTCGCTAAGCTTTTTCCTCAACGATAAAAAGAAAGCTTCGGAGATATAGTCCAGTCCACAAGTTAAAACACGTATTAAGTAATTGTTATTGTCCCGGTTCTAAAAATATGTGCGATAGCTTATTCAATTCGGAATGACGTCTAGAAAAAGGTAACTCGAGCGATTAATTAGCACATCAGCATTTTCGAAAAAGATCCTAAAGAGAACTAAATTTTCAACATCCAAAAAAAAACTTAACTCACGGAATTCTATCTCCATTATTTATAATTTTTATTCAACGTCGATAATAGGTCTCCGCGCGGCCGTTACGGCAAGAGCGCAACGCTGGTTGAGACAGTATATCACATAAAATATTTTTTAATAGTATTAAATATCATTTTTAAAATTAAAATAAATATATGGTGTCATCAGAACACTTGAAAGAATAAAGCCCCGTTGGAAAAAAGTGTAAGCTATACGATTATTAAGTAATTTTTATCTAATCTTTGTTCTTACATCGACATAAAAGGGTTAAGCCGCCCTGTAATTTCCCGAACGGATTTTTTTTGCCCGGTATGGGGAATTTGAGAATCCCTCGCCCGCATCTCGTGATTCAAATTATGCATACCTTCGTTTAATGAAGTAACGCAAAGCTTATAAAAACGCATGCCGTAACGGCTAGAGTAAAATTATACGAAAACGAGTTATTAACGAGTGCCATTAATAAATGCTCGAAATTTCGAATCGAATGTGCTATCGCACTTATTTTTAGGACCGGGAACAAAATTTCACACGCTTTTTAATGCGTTGACTGGACTACACATTGTGAGCGAGCGAGCGAAAATACTTTTTAATTGCTACCTTGATAACGTTGTTTTACTTTTACTTTTCAATTGTATAATTTCTACGTAAAAGAACGTGGTAAAGAATACCACGTTCATTAAAAGACATAACATTTCGGTAATGAAGGAGTCGATCCTTTTCAGAGATCACTCGTTTTTCAGATCACATCTATTCCGCTTACCGACGGGAAACGTAAGTCCTGTTTTCGAAGCTTATGCTACACGAATACTAAAATGTTCTTTTCTGCCGTCCCAAGAGCTTCCATGCTGCTCGTTTGCTGCTTGTCAGGTGTACGGTCACGGTCTGTGACCATGACACTCTTTGTAAAAAGCCAGAAATAGTGCACATCAAACCACCTCATCACCATTTTCCTATTATACCTTTTACTAACCAGAACGCAACTTACAAGCCTCCATCCGTTCAGAAACTCTAAAACTTTATCAAATGGTACATATTTTATTCATATTCAACAATCTACCTTATGAAATGAAGACATTATTTGTAATGTCTTAAAAAGCAGGGAAATTTTATGAAATTAGATTTTCAAAAACTTTTGTAACATTAAAATTTATTTAGATCTAAAGACAATTAAACTATAAGGTTTTGATCATGAATGAGAAATGGTTAATATCGATTCACAAATAATTATTCGGTCACTTTTTGTTAAATATTATAATTATTACAATAATAGAGTGTTGTACATGTGTGTAAAAGTACCAGGTATAAATTGGGGAGCGCATGTCCTATTGATGACATTATATTTTGATAAAAGTTCGGTGCGTACCTAAACGATAGGATTATTTCATATCATTTTTATTTTCTAAGCTTTATTGAATAAAAATAATTTAATATACAACAGCAGTTTGTAAATCATGAACAGAGTCAAGGGTTTTCCAAAAAAGCTGACTAGCATTATTTGTTTATTAGAATATTATATCTCACCGCATCTCTGTTGTCATAATTGAGAATCGTTTCCATTGAAGTATCATTATCGCGATGGCGTGGAGCCATGATTAAAAAAATATTTTTATTAACTTAAGCCAAATACATTTTTGCGGGTCCCATTTTTGTTAGCGAAATCACACAGCTAGATACACTCAAATTTATCTTTGAAAGAGAGAAGAGAATTGATAAATGTCAACATTATTGCACAGATTAGACGAATCAGCGCGTCACTCACATGACATGTTTCTTAAATAGATGAAACCTTATTGTTTTATTTAATATCAAATATTCAGTTCAACTAAACTGCACTCTTCAAAAAAGGAGGTACTCAATTCGTCGGAATCTTTTTTTTTTTGTTAACTGATTGACTGTTTTATCTGGAGACTAGCTTTTGCCCGCGGGTCCGCCGGCGTGAATGACTGTTATCGCGGTAAAAATTAGCCTATCTTATTCGCTGATAATGTAGCTTTCCAATAGTGAACAATTTTTAAAATAGATTCCGTGGTTTAGGCGTGAAGTCTAACAAATAAATTCACTTTCACATTTGTAATATAAGTATGGAAGTATAGATTACTATTAATTTTATGTGTGCGTGACGATTGAGAGCTGTTTCATATCTCATGAAAAATGTTGTACTTCTTTATAATGAATTGGGTCGGATTTGGGTGTGTTACCGAGAACCCATACTATTTGAAGTCTTTTTTAAATAAGAATGATTCTTATTCAAATTACATAAAAATACATTCTGCTTTTCTTCATAGAAATACATAAAAAATGTATCTCAATTATAGGTGGAATTTAAGTTATTATGAGAAAATGCTCTTTAAACCTTAGCGCTTTAAAATTGAGGATGGCGCTTGACTTCAAGTTTCTGACTTGAGGTCTCTTTCTTTTTTTTTAATAAATCACAAAATCACATGATAGGTAATGTTACCACACCACATACAAGTTAATGTTTTTTAGTGTCATAAGATCCTGGTAACCCTACGATTGTAAATTAAACAAGATATGTTTGAGATTATCATTTTACTAAGTTATAATAATTTACATAACAATGGTTTCTATAAAAGTTTCATTTTGATTGTTTTTAAATTTTATCTGATTGTACGGCCACTGTTAAGTAAAAAATAATTTGATCACTTTCAGCTAAAGTGAAACTTTTATAAGAAAGAAAACAAACGATGAGCTTACCTTTGTTTCTAAATTCTTTGTACATAATTATTTAACAAATAGCAGATCACTGATCCACGTCAAATACCACTTAAAGGTATGTATTCAGTAATGAGATAGAAGAAATAATCGCAGCTATAAACAGTCCGTGTAAAATTGTTAAAGCATATTTTTGTTTTTGTTGGACACACCCGCACCGATTACAGTAAATACGATATTCGCCAAATATCAGATAAAAAACATATGTACATTTTTTTTATGAGATGCAGTTAGTCCTTCTTAAACGTTAGTTCCTATGACGTTGCGGAGTGGTCAGCGCGCCAGTTAAGGGGGCGGGGGCGCGGGGGCGGGGGGCGCCTCCTGCGGCAGCGTGAAGTTGGTCAGCAGGTCGCGCACCGCCGGCCACAGCGTGCACTCCGTGTGCGACTGGTTGAACTCGTTAAAACTGGAACGGGAAACGCTCTTCGTAACTTAATGTCGACTCACATACATAGCTATTGCCTAGACACAAATATAAAATTGGTAAATGTGCATTCGAGTATGTTTAATTCCATGTTTATGCATTTCTAAATTTCGGATTTTCCCTCACCCGAGCGATGCCGTATACCCGTAGGTGCGCTTACCGTTTTAGGTGTAAACTGACGGCTATGAGATGCGGTTGTGCGTTCTGTTTATCGGCCAGCTGCGTCACGTTCATCTGCATGTCGTACACTAGCGGCAGAACGAGCTGAGTGTCGCCACGGGTGAGACAGATCTTGAGAAAAATATAAATACCATTAGAAATATACTATCGATAACGCAAAAACTTAATGGTAAAATAAAATAAAAATGCTAACGAGGCGTAGAAAAGTATTGGGTTACAAATAGGGATCGTGAGCACTTACGAAGAAGAGTATCTTGTGCTTGGCGAGCAGCACGGCGGGCTGGCCGGCGGGCACGATGGGCGGCGCGGCGGGCGGGATGCGCAGCGCCCAGTGCAGCTGCCACAGCGCGGGCGCGGCCGGCGCCAGCTCGGCGCGCATGAGCGCCACCAGCGAGCCCAGCGCCGCGCCGGGCGCGCCCCACGCGCGCGTCCAGCCCTGCAGCGCCGTGCAGCGGTACGGCGCGACGCACACGCGCTGCTCGAAGAACTTTTCCACCACCTGCGCACCGGATCTTATTTCAAGCTACCGGCTCGAAACTTCTTTATGGGGAAGCCCTGAGCTCAATATATCCTGTTGCTTATACTTTTATTTAATTTCAAGTTTTTAATACTACAAAAGACTACGGAGTCGATTGAGGAATTCTAAACTATCTATCTTCTATTTCTATTCTATTCTATTTACACCGCAATATTTTGCTGTTTATCGATTGATGGTTAATGAATAATAAATCAGTATTTTGGGCTTAAATTCGATTTTTTATTCTATACAAATAGAATTATTAAAATTACTTTGATCGTTTTCTTTTGTTTGACATCACGTTTGATAAGTATTTCAAGTTCATCTTGAGGGAATAATATCATATCTGATTTTTTGTGTTGCTAATAATAAATCGGAATCACCAAACAACCATTAAAACATATAAAATGGTGACTTGACACACATTGTTTTTCTACTTCACATCAATATATCGCACCCTCGGTGCAACAAAGTCTCAACAGGTCATTTTGTAATTTTACAGGAACGGACTTTAAAGTTTTTTTTCGATCAATTTTCCTTTTTTCTAGATTACTACCTACAGCAGCAGGGATATCTCATTAAAATTATATTATTTGTTCTTTTAACTACAGTATCATGTAAAAAGATTTCTTTGAATTTATTAGAAAATTGAAAAAAAAAGGAAACAAAAAAAAAGTCGTAACTTGTGACTATGTCGCACCAGGTACAAATATAATTTAATTATTTAAGCGTTATAATGGCATTTTGTTATTTCAATGTACGTGAATAAACATTGACATTAATACCTTTAAGCCGGTGTAGCTCCAAGTCACGACTGACTCATGCGGGCGCGGGGTCTCTACTTACCAATCATACTCTGTTCTCCCAATATTCGTCGAAAAAGTAGCAAGAACGACAAAGGCACTAATGCCATATATCGATATATTCAAATAATTTCGCGGCTGTCTTTGATTTCCCAAACGAAGAAATGGTTTATAGACAATTTGGCATACTTAAGTCATTTTGGCAATTTTGCCTACTTGTGACTTTGTTGCACCGAGGGTGCGATATAATGCCAAGCGGCGGAATGATTTTGTAACAAATTTTGCATGTACTTTCAATAGATGGCGTTGTACCTTTTGACTGAATCACCGTATGGTTTCGTTACCGCGTCGATGTTATATTTAGTTTTTGATTTGAATAATTAGAATAAACAATCTCAGTCTTGTAGGATTGGGGTTTTTGTACAGTAGTAATCTTATAACCGATCAATTGCTAAACGGACTGGGAGCAATATATTCTGTTACAACTGTGATCTGCCCCGAGGGCTAATTTCTCACCTGCAAGTCATCTACAGACCACTGTTCTTTATTGTGATCAGGTAAAGGCGTCAGTTGTAAGTGCAATGACTGCATATGTTGTGGATGAAGAGCCACTCGAGCCGCCAACCCTGCGTTCTCGCAGCGAAATGTGAGACTCATCGCATCTGCTGACACGAATGTCAACTGAAAGATAAACATACATTTTAAGAAATAGTTTTTTTTTTTTAAACCAAACAACATATGTTATTTCTATTAGATTCATATCTACACGCCTGCGCAAAAAATAATATAACGCTTATTTGTAGTTACAGATAAAAATCATTTTAGACAAAATTACATACTTTAAATTAAAATGGGGAAATATTATTTTGAAACTGAATATGGTCTAGAAAGTTCACTATTTGTAAGAGATATCGAAAAATCGCGGTATCAAAATATATTTCAATGATCATGTATCAACTTAAATTAGAATAAAAAATTCGGTCGGTATTCGGAATAAAAAACGGTCATTTTCAGGTTTGGTGTTTTTTTTTTTTCAAAGGTGACGTGTGGTAACGATGTACGAGTATAGTGAAAACCTATACTAAAAGGTGGTATTTCAGCTTACATTTTTAGTGCACAGTTATTTATTATTGATATTATATTCCATTCCAGACCACCAAGGAAACCAAGGCAAAATGAAGTTGTGACCCTCCATAAACAACGTCAAACCTGGATTGTTTGTTGGGATTAGGAGTTGTCCATTATGAGTTTCTGCAACTTGGATATATTATGTACCATCGATCGGCCCTGTACTGTTACAGTTAACCATTTGAACGAAGCAATCCGACCGTGTGGTGACGGATTAAGAATACAGTGTCACCACCCCTATTCATCCCGTGGGTGTCGTAAGAGGCGACTAAGGGAGAAAACTAAGCAGGAAAACAACACTGCAGGGAGAAGGAAAACTTGAAACAAACCCTATACCAACCCATCTGGCCAGCGTGGTATAGTAGGCCAAAACCTCCTTTCTAAGGGGAGGCCTATGTCCAGCAGTGGACTATTAAAGGCTGTTGATGATGATCATGATGAATCCGACCGAAAGAAGTTGTGTACCAATATGACAATACGTAGCAAAACACATCTGTTATGACACGGAACAAATTAATGGAGATTTTTTAGTTGGTTTTGGTTGGGATGTTTTGTAAGTTTATGTGTAAGTTATCGGACTTTTTACAATTCAACTTTTTTCGATCTGTTCTGCCGATCAAATCGCCACTGAAAATTACTCGACTAAGCTTTTAATGACAAACTACAGAATTTCTACAGATACGGAATCTATCCGAAAAATGATAGGTCTAATTGATTTTAAATTAAGAAACTTATTATTCGAAAACGTAGCAAAACAATGCGGAGACTTTTAATATGGCCTAATACATGTGCAACGTACAATGTTGAAAGGAGATAAAATTTATGATTATTTGTAGAATATAGGTTGTACAAATACATATGATAAGATTTGTATGTAAAATTAAATATAATATCCAATCGTCGCATCCGTCTTTATAATTTTTATAAACAAAACATGAAGGAATCACAAAACAGGCTAAGATGCAGACTATCGAATAGAACTCAGTTGCATCCTTACAAAACTCACGTAATCCTCATGTTGCACGAAGCGCTGCAGCGCACGCTTCATGTACACGCACGCCAGGAAGCGCTGCAGCGGGGCCAGCGCGGGCCCGGGCGGCGCGCCGGGCGGCGGCTCGGCCGGCGAGCACAGCGTCTCCAGCTTGCACACCGCCAGCGGCGTCGCCGTCGCGCCCGCCCAGCCGCGCCCGCTCGCGCCGCTGCAGACCCTCGACCCGCTCGTTGAACTCGCTTGAGGACCTGTTAAACAAACACTATTATACTTGTCCACGAACTATATATACTTTCCTGATATTGTCCAAAACTATTTACCTTTGTGATCGATGTGATGTCGCGGTGACGGGTGATGTCCAGGCGAAGGGCGCGGTAAGGAGGGCGACGCGGGCCACGTGGTGAACGGTGACGTAGGAGGCGGGTGGGGCGAAGCCGCGGGCGCCGCGTGAGGGGAGGGGGCGAGGGGCGATGCGGGGGACGCCGATACCCCTGGACCCGCGCTACCCGCCCCGCTCGCTCCGCCGGTTGGAGAGGTCAAGTTGAACGAACTGCCGCCCAACTAAATTAATAAAACTTCGATTTATTTTTGTTCACATTACTCACCGAGTCATGTGAACGTTTCTGTCTATTTATCAATCCGTGCGTTATTGCAAATGACCTGTAAACAAGATATGACTCATAGAATTAAATAATGTGTACGTACTTGATGTTGCGCCGGCGATGCGGGATGCGGAGTGACCGGCGCTGAATGCGGAGTGTGTGGCTGAGGCGGAGTCAGTGGTGCAGGGAACCTCAGACCACCTGATAATAAATAGAACCACTTAAACATCTGAATTTAACTAATATCTGACTACAAACTAATCATATAAGGATTTTTGTATGAGAAAACCAATCTATTTCTATCCATTGAGATATAAGAATAGAGCAAGCTATTCCCCGCCTAGGGGCGTACCCTGCAGTGATGCCAGGTGCGAGAGGGAAAGCTGCCGAGAGGCCCCCTCTTGTTGTCTTTTTCTAATCAGGCGAGCATGCGCAGTGCAATGCCCTTTAAGGATTGGAGAGAAACAGCAATAGTGGGCTCTCTCTCTCTCTTCTCATCACGCTTTCGGTTTTAGGCTTGCTCTATTCTTTATATCTCTATGGTTCTATCTCATTTGTTTAAGATTAACCTAAGTCAGAGTAGTGTACAAATGGTGTGGGAAACAAACATGTTCTTCATCCTGAGATGTAATACGTATATTATAACAAAAGAAATATATGCTATATACATACTTGGCGGCATTGGTGACATAGGAGAGGGAGGGTTATCGTCTTCTGCTAAAAGTCTTGCGCTTATATTATCTTCTACGTAACGCGACAGGAACGCCTAAATAAAAATAAATATGTTTGAATTGATAACAATTACGATTTATTCCAGATACACAACGTTATGTTTGTAGAATCAATGTTGGTCAGGTATACACGTTACAGTTTTTAAGTAACGCCGGACCGCAATACATTTCCCATGTTTCTTTTTGCAACATGCATCACATACGTGGGGTATACTGAAAGTCTCTGGATCTGGCCAATTATAATAAAATTATAATAATAATAATGCCTCACACATCTCATATATATGCCGTCTGATCCCAAACTAGGCAGAGCCCTGGGTGGGTATCGAACAGATGACCTCTGGCATCGCAGTCAGGGTCACTAACCACTAGACCAACACTGGCGACTGCGGTTACAGACTCTAATAATGACACCGTACGACAACTTATTGAAACTGACAAAAAAATAATTTCCAGCAAATTCGTGCTTTGGTAGGCATTGGAATGAGCCAAGTGCAAAACATTTTAGATGTGCAACTGAAGGTTCGGATGATTTGCAATCGATGGATACCTCATGACGTAACTTTTACAGTAATTTAAGACTGGTCCAACTGCTTTGTACAGTGGTTTCAGCGAATGAAAAAATGCATTAATTGCGAAGAAATATACTTTGAAAAACAATATATGTATCTAGTCAATTACTAGTCTTATTTATCAGAATCCAGAAACTTTCAGTATGCCCTATGTACATAACTAGAACGCTAAGCATGTTGCAACTGTTAATTAAGAAGTCATTAAATTATTTTAATTCTAAAATGATCTGTATAATATTTAATAATAAAACTTCTAATTCATTTCACAAGTACTTAGAGAAAAAACAAATAGTATATTACCTATTCTTTCTATTCTTATATTTACCTTAAGTCCGTGAGCTGGCGCAAACTCATCGACGACGGTGTTTCTATCAAACTTGGAGTAGGAGCCGTCGCGTATAGTGACAACACCGCCGCCGCGTATACCCACCTCCAAAGAATACGCTCCCGCATATATCACTCGGATCTGTTGCATTTTATATAAATTAATTACTCAATACTATTATAAAGCTGAAGAGTTTGTATCTTTGGTTGAACGCGCTAATATCAAGAACTACTGGTTCGAATTAAATGATATGATATGATAAAGGATTTACAGTGATTGAGGCCCAAATCGCAAAATCCACGTTTGGGGGAACATCTCATTCAAATGGTCGCGCACTGGTCGCACGACGTACGACGGCGCAAATTCTAGGCAATCGGGCATTAGGAACATCTTCAATTTCATTATATTCATGAGCCAAGTCATTCTCCAATTCTAGTATGGTATCGACTAGATCCCGCCGCAAAAAGTTTAGATACCGTTGCCCATTCATCCGCTCTGGTAAAAAGAAGGGACCGATATTTTTTTTGTTTTAGATCCTCGCCCAAACATTTATGGACCAAGGCGTTTGATGTCCCGTCTGTTGGTACTCACGTGGATTTGTGAGCGACCAAATTAGTTTTCCTCGTAAATGTGGACTCATCGGTCCAAATCACGTGTGACACAAAGGTAGGATTATGCCTTGCCTTATTATGCAATAAGAAACACGACGGCTTCCATCCCCAGGCACGAGCGCTTGTACTTTATGTATGCGATATGGCCGTTGGCGGTCCAGGCGAAGGATTTTGTGTACAGTACAGTGTGATATAGACGTCCCGTGACGCAGCAGAAGCTTCGCAGTAGTGCGCGCGCTGATATATATTACAATGGGAACGTTATCCAGCACACGTTGATATATATAGCGATACGCGCGTTAGGGTAACTCTGAATGTAAATACGTAGCGCCAAAGAAGCATTTCCTCTTGCTTCACCATATGCCATCAGCATCTGCCCATACTCACGCGCATTAAAGGGTTGTCTTATCAAACGATTCATAATTACATAATTATTGTCAATCACTTTCACTAACACCGATCAGGTATTTTTCACCTTAGAATTCGCGCTAAAAGTTCTAAAATCACTCGCGAATAGTTGTTTCATACGCTTAATGAAGATAAAACTGTAAGGGAGTACCTATTTCTTTTTTATAAAGAGATATATAAACCCATATTTCCACCGATTAGAGGAGTTTTATATCAACTTTATAAGTTAATAATTTTAAAGTACAAAGTCATTCTAATAATAAGCAGATTTTCAAACACTGTTGAGAGTTGTAATTTAAAAAGAAATGAAGATTATGAGTATCGTAAGTGTTATTTTAATTACCTAAAGAATGTCAATAATAATGGTCGATTCAACTCCACCAAAACACAACCTTCGCGATCACCGCTAATAAAACCTTTTACTGTGGCCCTAAAGTTCCTCACCAAGCTAGTAATAAAAAAGCTCGGTGGGCTTAATATTGAATCGTCGACAATTGCAAATTCACAAGCGATGTTGAATCTTAACGAGTTACTGATTTATTTATGATAGATATTTCAACGACTTATTCACTATTACATTCAGTATGTAAGATGCATTGGTTTTACATAACAGTGAATTTGTCATTTAAAGAAATACACATCAATTCCATAAAAGCTTTAGTTTTGTCTGCTTATGCGTGTTCTACCTACTGAGGTATAAAAAAATTAAACATCTAATAGAGTAAGTTAGATAGCAATGTGCTCCTAAAATTTTCTTTAATAAATGCAACTACCTACTTCTTTACTTTGTTATCATTTCAATTTTATGATCTGTACACATAAGCTTCGATATCGATTAATTATTGACCTTACTTTATCGTGGCTTTAACGACAGTATGATATGTGTGATTTTTAATAAAAAAATAAAAATTAAAAGAAAATATTGATGAATTTTCCGGCAGAAACTTCCAATGATTTTTGACTCAGAATGATGGTCAGAATACGCTATTTCAGTATTCGTCACGATGTCCCTTACACGGTGTATAAGAATTACAACATTTATTATATTAAACTAGGTGACTTTTTAACTAGGTTTGTTTTTCGTGAATATTTTCGAAATTCCTGTGACTAAAGATAAACAAATGTCAATCTGTTAATGTATTGAAGATCTTTCAGTCTTGTCTCATTCACTCACTCACTTTTCATATTATGAGATTTAAAAAAATTAACTGTTCCATGAGATTAACCAACTATTTGGTCAAAGCTGGCAGAAGTACAATCGTACAGATAGTTCAAAGCTATTTTTGTAGTTTTAAAGAGAGGCCTCTTCTCTAGGTCTTTGTGTGATACAATAAAGTTTAGATATCACACAAGACATAATATATAACAGTTCTAAATATTTATTCGTCAATTAATATGGTTGAAGACCTAACCTGGATTAATTATATGCCTACAGATAATGATACAAAAAAAGTGTACTGACCTTTCTCCAAGAATGAGCTAGCAATGTAAACGTAGGCGTGGGCATGAGTGTGCGGACGTGATGCAAGCCCAGTTGTGGCAGCGTAGGCAGACGACTCAGTGCTAGCAGAGGCGCGTATGTCTCTCGTAACACCACGCCCAACGAAATTAAGTCCTTATGACTGCCAAAACGGTCATAAAACGACAAATTTACAGTGAAAAAATATCATAAAATCATGAATATCGTGTGAAGAATCTAGCTGTGACATTTTTACATTATTACATACTAGTACATACAGTGGCTTCGCTGGCGTAACAGTTTATGTATCAGTCTCTATTAGGATTGCATTGTCATAACAAGATTTAACATAAAAGATTTCAAAGTTGATACAGTTATTCCTTTGTCGTTTTGTTCTTACCAGTTAATATAATGATCCAAATGATGATGGAGCAGATGATGAGCGTTAGCTGCTGGTTGATGCGCGGGTGTCGCAACAGTGTAACGTTGCGTGGCGGCGTTCCACTGCAACACGGCTGTTGCACGTTGTGCCGCACCGAAACCAACCACTAAGGACCGGTATGTGTAGGATCTTATGCATACCCCTTGCCATAGGGTCTCGCGCTCTGTAAAAAAATACCTTTATTACAATCGAAAAAAAGAGTGGCTTATCCTCATCTAGGGTTAAATATTGAAAGTACAAATGTGGTGACAGGAATGATAACATACCCTGTGCCGGTCTCAGCATAAAATCATGTAATAATGTGTGTAAATGTACAATAGCCCCCCAGTCTGCAAGGAACGCATCGGCGGTGCGGCCTGCGTCCGTCCCGAGTTCATACTGTAAATATACGCAGCGGCGATCGCCTGCAAAATGTAAATGTTTTTGACATAAATACTAAGCGAAGATTATTCACACTCATGTATGCGCCAAAAAGTTAATGTTTGGAACGATTTTCTTTACAACGAAGCATAATATGAAAGAGGTTTCGAAATATTTGCTCATGGTCTTATGAAATTTCCTTAAATGTTAAAAAGTATAAATTCTTTTCCTATTTTTTATAAAATTCAACTTTACAGATTTTTTGTATTGTATATTTTATATAAATCATGATTTTTATTTTAAATTAAAACAAATTAGTATGGTCAATACCAGTAACATATTATGTAATAACATTCTGGGATATATTCTACAGCTCTTTTTAGACTGAAAGATCTATTAGTTTTTGATGTACAAACTAAAGGAAGTTTTTATTCGTGATTTTTTTAAGTAGACATATTGCACACATGCAGACATATAATATAGTTAGAAACCTTGTTCTCTGGGGTTGGGCGTGCGTACGGGCGAGCCGTGGAACACGATCTCGGCGGTCCACACCCGCGCCTGGTTCTTGGTGGTGAGGCGGATGGTGGCGGCCAGCAGGCGCGCGCGCAGTGCGGCGGCGGCGCGGGCGCAGGCGGCGTCGGGCCGCGGCAGCGCCACCACGCGCATGCCCAGCGCCGACCCGCTCCACTCCGGCTGCACGCCGCCGTGGCTCACGCCGCGCGCCGCCAGCTGTGAGTACCACTACATGTACCACCCCGCGACTACCACTACTGTCTGCACCGTCTAGTCACATGTTATGTATGGGACCTATCTGTATACAGACTGTTACAGGTGCTCATGTTTAAAATACACGTTATACGTTTAATAAACATTCGATCAACATTTTAATAACGACGTGGTTTTTTTTTCATCGATATGGTGAAGTTATCGATATTCGTTTTTTAAGTTTTAAGATAAGAAAGATAAGAATAAAAGAGATCCAGAATAAACAACCGATGCGAATAAACTCAATTAACTGGTTAATCATACATTTGTATTAGCTACGTTTACGAAGATATTTCGTTTTCTTCAAGAAAAATGAATAACCCAGTGTCAAGCATAAGTTCTCTCCTATCCAATCCTACTGTCAAAGTAATATATTCGACGTATACAAGAGGGTTATTATCACATTCTTTAGCGCATTTATTCGCAAAGACAACGTGTTAATCGCATGTTTATCATTTATTTAAGGTCAGCCTAGCCCGACACCAGGATCGTGCATCATAATTATGTCTTTTAAAGGTGAAAAAATAGAAATTTATGTTAAAATAGATCTTCGTCAAAATAAGTGTCCGAGGAATAGTAAATTAACCGTGACTAGCGAAGGTGTACGTAGAAAGGTGCCAGTAAAATGATACGTGACATGGCACCATTTTATAATTAAACTATTATAAAAGGCAAAAATATATCACTTATTGCTAAATAATTACCTCTTGTGCGAGATTAACAAAAGGCACTCGTTCGTCAGCAGCGGCGACTACATGCGCTAGCTCCGGTATGAAGTAAGCGGGTTGACGAACTCGCACCGCACGCTGATTCGCTAATGATAGCTTACGCTTGCCCGGTTGCATACCTTTGAAAAGAGAATACTATTATTAATTTATTATAGGCGCATTCGTCTTGACAGTTAAATAGAAGTATTGCAATGACTGTAGTACTACGAAAAGTATAAAAGCGGTTTCCTGCAATAATACGGACTAATCCCTACTAATATTATAAATGCACAGGTAACTCTGTGTGTCTGTTTGTTACGCTTTCACGGCTAAACCGCTGATCCAATTTAAACAAAATTTGGCATGGAGATACTTTGATTCTTTAATAAGGACATAGGCGACTTTTTACCGGGATAACTGACTGATAACTGATAATTAAGCCACGGACAAAGGCTATTAAATGTATTAATGTAAATGTGTTTCTTTATTAATTACACTTTAACGCATTAGCCTAAGCTAGTCGGCGCAGTAAAAGTAGCTAAAAGCTATTAATGATCGGGCGATCGTAAAGAAATGTTGTGTACCCATTTTTTATTAACTGTTATCTGTTTCTGATTTCTGACTGATAAGGATTTACGTTTAGACATATTATTATGTAAATTACTACTTGTTATTTAACTTTATTGAGGTCCAATAATAAGTAGTAACTTACATACCGAATACCAACAAATGTGTAGAATCAAAATAAAGTACCGACCTGGAGTATCTAGCGGTGTAAATGGCCCGTGTGTGAGGGTAAACGTGTCTAACTCAACGAGAGAGTGTAGTTTTAGGTAGGCACGGGTGGCAGTCGCTGGGACAGAAGTACTTGTAGAAGAACCCTGTAATTTTCAATAAAATAAAATAGAGTTGTTTAGTGCCACTGACACTATACTGGCAGACGGAGCGCGAGTAGACCTCCACAAAGTGCTACGTCGACTTGGCGAAGGTCACGCCAAGTCCTTAAATGCGGGCAGCACAAGACCGGTTGTTGTAGCGGACTATGGGGGAGGCCTATGTCAAGCAGTGGACGCCTTTGGGCTGAGATGATGATAATAATAATAATAACTTTATTTCCATAACACAGGTATAATCACAACAATTATTGTTGGAGACTCCTTTTAAGCATGTAAGATACCTGTGCAGGAGTCTAAGCTTCTCCGTACGTTAATGATAAAGTATAAATATGAATGTATTTCTTGTATCTAATGAATGACTTTTAAACGTACAAACATGCAATGTACAATAAAATCTATTAGCTAGGAGACATTATCTTTACTGTAATTCTGCTATAAACATACACCTGATGATGACACTGTGATTAAAATAAACTAATACCCGGTTTTAAAGGCTGATCAATGGAAACATAAACAAGTCGTATGTTCAATCTCGTGACAAGCATATGCTGATAGCATGCCTAAGTATATAACCAAGTTTACGGAAATAGGTATCAAGTACATACCTTTAAATTGTGCCATTTAAATGTTCGATTGTTGTGAGTAATTTTATCTTTTTGAAGGGTATATTTTGTAGAAACGTGTATTAAATAGCTACTTAAGACATTATGAGCTATTATTATCGAATTATTAACTATGGTAATTACAAAACACATAATATCACAACAAATGCAAAAACAAAAATGGTAACAAATCATAGTTTACAAAGTTTTTTACTGTGTGCACATCGTTGTTATTGATACGAGTATGAAGTGTACAGTTTTTTTATTTTATTCTTGCGCTATTATTCACTTTTTTCTAGGCGAAAGCTAAGCTTTAGTGTCAAAAATATAAAGAACAAAATGTTACTACATAAGTGCGTTGTGTTTGTGTACATTGAGGTGAAGGGCTGTAATTCGACGAAAAAGTTCTCAATATAAAAGGATTACATTACCTCGTCCTCGCACTCATCCGGCGTGCACCGCTTAGCGCCGGCGAGGTGAAACGAAAGCGATACAGAACAGGCACTGCCACTGTTTGAGCAAGTGGTGGTTATTGCCGTACTGCCCGCCGCTACCTCCTTCATTTCCACTATCTGAAACATCATGACTACAGTGGAAGATTTGTTGTAACGATAACGCCGATAAACTGACTGCGAAGACTATTTTATAGTTCTACTGACAATACATAAGCTGGATAGAACCAGTCTGCGTTCGAATTTATTTTGTAGCAATTTTTTAATATTCATTGCCATAGCATTGTACTTCTGGTCTGATTAACCTCTCAACTGCCACATCAGGCCCGGTAAAAGTGACTACCAGTGCCGGCTACAAAGGAGCGATTTTGGAGTGAGTAGTAGAGAGTTGGATTTTAATTAATATTTTCAAAAAAAGTAATACTCGTCATACATCTAGTGATTTTATTTGATAGATGGATAACCAATGCACCTTGTTACACTGAATTATTTTCGTGTTTTAATTATTATTACCCTAAACTTCAATAGCAAGGCTATTTGATGATATAAAAAACACCATGTTTTTACATAAAATTCACAAAAAAAACTGTTGCGAAAATCACGTAACATTGCAAAATATTCGCCATTTTGAATACTTGCCAACCGAACTTTTTCTTCACTCAGAGTATATATTTGTTTTGGTCGGTTTCGTTTGCTTTTTTTCTAGAGGTACAGTATTTAAAGGGGATCAGTAACAAATAAAAACAGACATTATTTAGCAACAGATTAATATCAAAATTAAATAAAAACTGACGCGGGTGCTCAAGCACTGATCAGTGCTCCGGCACCCGACAACACACCGGTGAGAGCACTGATCAGTGCTCTCGGCACACAAGAGGTTAAATCTCGAAATTCTTGATTAGTTTTACTACTTAAACGTACATTCCACAAAAAAAAACTTACGAGTATATGGTCAGTATGTCTATGTAACGTGACGTAGAGCCTGTCGGGCGCAAGTTTATTTAAGGGATGATCAGGACCGTGCAAGAATGGGAGATGTTCACAAACGCTCGCAGGCAAGTGTTGTAAAGTTTTTTCACAACGCCGTGCCACCAGCCAGAATCTGGGAATAATAAAAGCATTAAAGGTATTCCAAAAAATGGACACAAAACTACCAATCCATTTTCTTCTCGATTTCCTTAGTTTTTCCTTTTTTAGTAGAAGAGCTTTACTTTTATAAAACTATATCGTACATGTAGAACGCAGTAATCTATAAGGTTGAATAAATATTTTAGAAACACAAATCAGGTTAGATTAAGCATATTGGTGATATAAGTAATTGTTTTGTTCCTCGAAGGGAAAAATCCCTATAGAATCACTGTGTTGTACGTCTGTCTACGTGATTATCACAACCCTATTCTCAGAAACGCGTGGAGGTATTAAGTTCAAATTAAAATTAAATATACAGTTATGGTCCTGTACTTTACTGTACTGTAAAAAACCTAAGTTTTTAAGTCAACTTAAATAAAAGGTACGGATTTTAACAAATATGAACATTTCATATGTAAATCAAAACTTGTATTCGAAGTATTCTATAGACCTAGACTCCTGAAATTTAGCAAAAAACAAGGTCTCACAGGACTAAAGGAAAACTTACTCCGTTAACATTCAACAAGCGTATCCTAAAGACACCATGCGAGTATTAAAAAAATACCTTAATTGTGTAAGCAGCGACTTAATAGTGGAAACGTTGGTGGCAGTGAGTGCTTGAGCCAAATCCGGCATGCGCGGCGTGCCGGGGTAAGCGGGCACCCGCGCTCGAAGGCGGCCGCCGTGCGCGCCGACACACACGAGCAGCTGCTCGGCGCGCAGGCACGGGCTCACCACGGAGCACGCCAGCACGCACGGCCACCCGCCCACGCTGCACTCCACCTGGCCTCGACAAATTTACTCACATGTTTAAAAGTTTACGTGTCTATGCTCATCATAAGCGAATAACTTGTGTCGTTTCATAAAATATTAAGCCGTTAATATTTGACTTAACTGAATGTCTGATTCTATTCGTTCAAGTGTTTAAGACAAAATTTCAACGGCAATTACAACACTAAATCCTTTAGTGCGTGCCGGTGATAGTGCGCTGCTTCGGCAGAAGGCAATTCTAATATAAATATTTACTTAACCGTTTTACAACCATAATATACATGGGTAATACATTGGTAGGTTCGATTCACCACCAAGGCTCTGTATAGTTTGGGATTAGACGGCCGTGTGTGAGATGTCATACATTGTTATTATTATTATTATTCATTATACGAACTCGGTATTTTAGCCTACAAACTTTTATCAAAATTGGTATGGAATCAGTATACTCTTGGATAATCACTAATTGACTATTAAACGAACTATCATAAAGTTAATAAAACATATATTAAACATCAACTCACACCCAAATCATTAAGCAGCACCTTCAGATCATTGAGTCGTTGTCTCGACCGTACATGTACAGTGTGTGCTAAAAGTCGTTCCATAGAGGGCGCGTGAGGCGTCAGGGCGCTAGCCACACGCTCCCCGCCTGCCAGGGCTGGCACGTGCCAGACACACAATTGTTCACATTCTGCACCAATTATTAGGCGGTAGCCCAACTCGCAACCCAACTCTCTGTAAAAAAAATAGTTATTTTGATTATGGTATATTGTTTATCGTTGATAAGGTATGCCACGAAATTACGAAAACAAAGAAGGGCGTGAATTATATATTAAAATCATATTAGATACATATCATGTAATAATTGCCCAGTATACGGCTTAACATACTACAACTGTAAAAAAAATATTTCCAAGAAAACGATTATTAAATTATCGACAGGTGCGATGGACAATCAACATACATTATATTAACACAACAACCACACACGCACACCACATAACACATTTACATAAACACACACACACACGCACTTAGTTCGTAGAGTTATTATAATTCTTAGTTCGTATATTGCTTTATAATCTATTTGTATTTTTGTTTCTTTTATTCCTTGTATGCTGTTAATTACACCACTCTTAAGTAGCAATAAAATACAAATGTACTTACTCAAATAGTAATATTATATAATCTATTGGGGGAATGGAACTGACACTCCTTAACGCAGGTTATAAAGTAACCTACTTAGGAGATCAGAACCGTACCCACTATTTTAACATGTATAAACTATATACCCATGTACTGCAGTTTTTTTTTTAAATTGTCAATAAAAACTTTATTATAATAAAGATAACAAAAAATATAAGAAATAAATATTAATAATATGGCATTATGTAGACTATAAAAAGCGCGTTGTTGAATAACAAAAAGTCAATAGTTCTTCCACCCTTAAAACCGAAACTCGTGCTGCTCCAAACGATCGTATGCCTGCAGGAGTTAGGAACTTTAAACACATATCTTGCCCGAGATGATACCCGTAAAAATTACGAAAACCTTGTCGTTTGTATGATTTATTAAAAGAGGTAAAGTGCATCGGCATCAATGAAGACAAATAAGATCATGTTAATCTTACCTGAATGAGATAGCAGATGTTGAGACGGATTCATTTAAATATACGAAATAAAAATGCGAAACAAACAGTCCTCACACATATTTACCAGCTACTACTACTAACTATGTATTTGAGCCTCACCTCCAGTACGATACTTGTAATTTCTGTCCAGGTATGTATCTGTCAACTTGTAGATGCTTTGATAAGCGATCGCGACACAACCTTAGTGTTTGAGTGTACAACAACTCAAGAGAAAGAGAACGGCAGAAGTAACGCAGCGCTGTCAAAGCGCCGCTAAGTCCGGCTGCCGCTAAACGAGCTTGTGCTACACCCCGTAGCCAAGCTAATTGTGAACTGTGAACTAGGGGCTTGCCCTCTGAAACAAATAATTACAAGTGATTCTTCACACAGTTGTGGGGTCTAAAAAAGCACTAACATTCAATTACTTTTACTTACAATGTCTATTTTAAATAAATTTGTTGGATTATTAATGGTGTAATTGCATTGCGTGGAATAACGTCGGTGTTTTACGTACATGCTGTTTTAGATGATGACACTAATAACAAATTAATGTCATTTGTAAACAAATAACTTTTAAGAACTTAAAACTGAATTTTCTTAATTTAAAAATAATTTATTATCACGCGACTGCAACACATACCTGGTCCAATTAAGAAATAATATTCACTATCGAGCACCGTCAGTTTCTCGAATAGCGGCGTAATCATGCTTGTGTATCATGCTAATGTATTAGATTCCAGTGTATTAGTAGTCTTACTTCCATGTTAAATTAACAGCTTGCCAAAAAAATAATCCAAAATTTATAAACACTGCACTTTTTTGAGACAGCTTTACCGCAGCTTATACTACAGACGAGGGATGGTTTTTATTTGACAAAATAAAAAGCATTGTTATCATTATCCAGCTATTGTAGTATGTAGAGATGGCAGAAAAACAACAATAGCTAGTTCAATTATTCATAATACATATATCCATGTTTATAACATTTAATTTTCATAATTAATGAATCCGTCATTTAATAAACACGGATCCGTGTGGTGACGTATAAAGAGTACGGAGTGTCATCAGTTCATCAACCCTATTCAGCAAGTAAGTGTCGTAAGAGCCGACTAAAGTAAAAAAACTAAGCAGAACAACATCACTGCAAAGAGAAAGAAAACTTGAAAGAAACCCGCAACTCGTCTGGCCAGCGTGGCATAGATAGATAGATAAAACTTTATTTGTACACCAGGGTTATACAGACATTATAAAGCAATTAACAACAGATGTAATGTACAAAGGGCGGCCGTAACGATTAGTGCAATTTCTTCCAGGCAACCTTTGGATGGACTGGATTCATTTTGAACTGGTGATATACAGAAATTAGAGAAATAAATAACCTATGAAATATTTATCATACATAAATCCTACTAGTCTATATTTATACATTAATACTATACATACATACGTTAATATATACATACACTAATTGCCCACTATGAGAGACAGATAATGCTCATACAGCATAGTCTTGAAGGTGCTTACGGATTGCGCACGTCTGATAGAAACCGGCAAGGCATTCCATAAACGTACAGCTGCTACAGAAAAAGATTTTGTGTAGCAAATGACATAGTAGGCCAAACCCTCCTTTCTAGGGAGAGTCGAGAAGCGGACTCTTAAAAGATTTTGATTTTATTGGATTTTTATTAATAAAAAAAGGAAAATCATGTGGCCACAAAATACATCTAGGTTACCATGAAATAAGCATGTACATATAACATTTGTAAATATATAATAATATATACGTTTACCTCCAGTTTCACTGTCTTGTATCAAAATGGCGATGTCCAGCAAACGCCACGGCAGATTGGGCGCATCGCCCATTACAGTGAGAGACACGCTAAATTCTTGGCCCACGGTAAATGTAGCCCGACCGTTTTCAACCTAGGTAAATAAATCCAAAACATGGGATAATAAATAGCAAATTTAGATTGAAATGTAATTTTAATCGTAATCAAATAAGTTAGAATAAGAAAGAAGCTTAACACAATCATCCAGTTAATATAATAAATTACTAATGTTAAGCGTTAAGTTACATACGCTATTGAGAACACTTTGAACCCCTATTAGGCCTAATCCATCAAACATCTTGACGATAGTACATTAATATAGCAACTCCTAATAATTTCATTCCTACCTTTAAGTTTCTAATATCGCTTGGCAAGGATGCTGTGGTGAGGCGCTGTCGTACGACATGCGCCAGCGCACGTAATGTGGTCCTTCGCTCACCAGCAGTCAATGCCGGCGGCGGTACTAACCGTTCCCTAATCACAGCTGGTAGACGGCTGTAAGTACCCAGAGTAAGTACTTCTACTGCTGCAGCCATATGAAACGTCGGTAACCTGTATAGTACAATAAAAACCATGTTTAATTGAGTAAATCTATTGTTTTTGGTATAGGGCCCTGTGTCTGCATTTAAACTCATACTCGGTCCAATAAGCGTTCAGACTGCTGGTTAGTCACAAGTTAATGTTTAAGCCATTTTCTACTAGTCCACCTTTGCATGATGCCGGTAATAAAGGAGGTAGATGCATTTTGGTTAAAAAGTTTTCAAATATACAAACAACATAAATTATGATAATATTTTTAGAATTCTAACACACAACAAGTATAACTATCAAATATATACACATATATAAATCCATCATTTTCTGTACCTTTAACATAAAAGGTAAATGCATACATATAAATGAATACAAATAAACTTACATAAATACACACTTACACAAAACATGGACAAGTTGATTCTAAGAAAATTCGTAAAAAATACTGCTTTACTTTAAATGAAAAAGTGTTGGTGGCAATCCTAGTAAAAAGGGGAACCTCCTTTCAAAAAAGAACAGGCTGACAGAAAAAGGGACACCCTTATTATTGGAAGATTGAAGGATTTTTCATGATTACTACATAAAAGTTGGAAATACTAAGCTAACCAGTATATTGCAGTGCAGTGTAGGGTTTACATGTGGGTATTTAAATTGTGAGGTATATTTTCTGAAGGAGCACTTTTAGAATCAATAAAGCTTTAATAGTTGCAGGTTACATTCATCATCATCTGAGCCGTAAGACGTCCACTGCTGGACATAGGCCTCCCCCAAGGCACTCCACAACACCTGGTGTTGTGGTGCCCATATCCAACTTCTTCCCGCTACCTTCACTAGCTAGTCGGACTACCTTGTAGGGGGCCTAACGACGCTCCTTCTTATGGTATGTCACTCCAGAACTTTTTGGCTACATCAGGCATCTTTTCTATGAGCAATGTGCCGTCAATAACTTCGAGCATAGAGTTTCCAATTTTCACTGGAGTGGGTGAGACATGGACATTCGACATAATTTTTGTCTTATCTATTAAGTACATTAAATATTATTTGGTACAATATAACCCCTATCTACATACATAAAAATATTAAGTTGGTTTGATACTCAAAAACTCAAAAAGTTCTGCATCAATTTAGCACAAATATACTGCTTTAAAGATTGTTTTTATTTAAATTTTCGCATTTTGTTTCTCATTTTTCATAAATACAACAATGCACAGTGGCAGGGTTCAGCTGGTTTATAATATTTTTCTAATATTTCTATAAATGAAATGGGATTTAGATCTGGATGATTGAGGTGGTCATATCAAAGCCCAATACAAACCCTCATAAAGGAAATGCTTGCCCACATTATCCTGAATTGCAATAGAGTGGTCAAACAACAGGTAAGTGTCGTCCCTGATACTAGATTGCTCCTAGAATTCTGTCAACGCCTCAGGAGGCTTCTGAGCTTCTAGACTAGCTCACCTAAATAGCACACTCATTTGGGACTGTGTATGAGTCTAAGTGTGGAGATACAGTCCTCTACCAGTACACCCACACACCCACTACAGTTTGACATAAAAACAACAAGTTATGTGTAAGTGATATATGAAAATCAAACTGAATATACTGTTTTAATTTGGAGGCAAGTAACTAAACATGTCATTGGTTTATATGACTGATTGACTGGCCACAAAAGTACCAGTTAAGTTGGGATATTGCAAATTTTTAAGTCTTATAAACCACAGTAATTAAATAATATGTAAATACAAACCTTGCATGTACTAGTGTTTCTCGAGCTACTCTAGCTAACACATCAGCTGTATCCACAAAAAGCATTGCCTGTTTGTCAAGAAATGCCATGATGTGTGCAGACCGGTCCACTTTTGTAGCACTGCTGGCCCATTTTACCAGAGCCAGTAAACGGACGAATAGTTGTCTTGTTCTGGCACTGAATTTGTAAATTTCAATTTTACGTTCCATATCCGTTTTACGAGGCAACCTGGTAACATAATTTTTTTTAAATTATGATCAAATATGATTGGATTGATACCATTCATTATGTTGATATCTACTTACAGCTCGGCCAAAACAGTGAGTTCATCATAGGTTCTCTGTACAATGAAATCTATGAGTAGCGCTAGAGATATGGAGCCTCCTCGGGCTCCTCCACCTTCGGTTCCTTGAGTGCATCCCTCTATAGCCACTGGCACCATGGTGCTAAGTCGCTAAGTACCAATATCAAAACAAAATAAAAGTCGTATTAAGTTTATTATACATATTATTAATTACCACTATTCTCTCTCTAATCTCATTTGTTAGTATTATATTGGGTAAACTAATTTGGTTCACTTTTTGTAGAATTGTTATTAACTTTAAATCGTAAAAACGTGTGTAACTATCACATCAACCAATTCTTGTCAAAATCAATGTACTTCAGTATCCTTATCTATCTGTGCAAAATGCATTTACATTTCACGAATAAAACACAATAACACACCAATAATCACCACGGTCATTCGGTATTGCCAGATGGAATTTTAAGACATTGAAAAATGCAATATTTTATGTTTTCCTTAGTACCTAATCATTATCATTATTAGTCTTTGTGTTTTATAATTTAATATTTCTTTTCTTTTCACTATTGATCATTATTACATACCTACAGATGATGACAACAATCTAATTTTTTCAATTGTTTAATATCATCTGAATAATATCATCAATAAATTCCAATTTTCTAAATATAAGTTTGGACTCCCGCGCTACTCACTCTAATATTCTAATATAAACTATTCTATCTGCTAAAATCAGAACTTGCTTCTAATAAAAGTTTAAACTTTTATAATCATTTAAAAATATCTGAATGCCTGACTAAAGGTCTATCAACACACATCAGGGCCATGCCTTTTTGTTCACACATTTCAGGGGCGTGTCCGGGCCGTTTTCTGTTCACCAAGTTCAATTTGTCTACACCTTTCTCTAGCACCGTTTTATTATCATAACACTTTAGTCCAGTGTTCAGAGGTTAAATGAAATAGGAAAAAACATATTTAACCTTTATTTAATACGGAGAAGTTGATAATGATTGCAAATACTCCTATTAATAACTTGTCAATTCGTCATTTTTGGTCTCGGGTTCAATTGCCGAGCCAAATGTTTGTATGATTTGCTAATATTTGTTTTATAGTTTGGGTTTTTTCTATATATATATATGTATATGCATGTATTTACAAAAAAAAAGAACAAAAGTATTCTATCAGTCAATCTAATTTTCATAGTGCAAGTTCTGCTTAGCTTAAAACTAAATGGCATTGTGTATCAGTGTTGTGTCCGAAATAATATTATTCTTCTTTTTTTAAAATAAAACCCAGACGGGTTATACAGAATATCGGTGAACACACGGCACAGGTCACGGCGTCGCGTCGGGTCCGGCACTGAAGTTCCAACGCCAACGTGTTAGAACGAGCACGTTTAAAAAGGACGCAATAATATATTTTCACGCTACTTACGGGTACGGCACGGACCTGTGTGGATCGACCTTAATTTTGCTATTAAGATTTGCCTGAAGGATTGAGCCAAACCATGACTGCATTGTGAGGAGTCTTCTATTAATTTAACTATAATATGATCTATTTGCTATTTGTGTCGCTCTGCCTTCAGATGTTGACTACTATTTGGATAAATTTTGTAACTAGGCTAGGGCATAACCTGTCCTATCCTATCCTGGGGAATTCTCCCCACCTTCGATGCCGTAATGGGTAACTATTAACTGTACATTACATTCGTGATAAAATTACCGGAATACGAAGTAGTAGTTAGTAGTGATGCGCAAAATGTATCACTGAGCTGAAAAGATTTATACATATCATTTCGCTCTAAAGATATATATCACTCTTCTAGCTCACTAGCTCATTTAGCTCACTAACTCGTTTAGCTCACTAGCTCATTGATCCGATTCAATTGATTGGTCTCTCAATTAATTCATTTCTTCATCTAGATCGTCTAGCTCAGTATACTCGTATATCGAAAGATTTGTAAGGCGAGAGAGGCTTAAAGTGAGTACTTTAAGCCTCTCTCGCCTTACAAATCTTTCTTTATTTTCATATAAACCTAAATTCAGTTTTTGAAACTACATTTTTAACCTATTTTTTAAATACAAAATAATTCATTTTGATAAGATAACATAATTATTAACAGCCTTTTATAATTTATTAAAAATTAAAAAAATATTTCTTGTACTTTTTTTTAAGTTGTATAACAGAAATCATACAAAATTTGATTTTCCTTGTACTTATCAGGCTTAATTCTTAAGTAATTTTAAACTTTGACCCTATAAAAATAATGTACATTTTGAATAAAGAAACTTGCGTGAACTCAACCATCACCTATCTGACTCATTTATCTTTAGTCTCGTAGAAGAAAAGCTTTTTAGGCAGTGAGCAAAACACAGGCTGTGTTATGTTCCCCGCCTAAAAACTTGTTTTAATTTGATTAAGCAAGAATCTTCGTAGTCTTGTGCTCAAATAAATGCTTCAGACACATTTAAAAGTTGGGAGCTTATAATACAGATTCAATTTATGCAATTGGATTGCTTAGGTGATTATTTTTCAAGCAAATAACTTTAAAACTTATTGGAAATGATTTTGTCCACATTATTTCTTATTTATCATATGATTTGATTTATTTAATTGATTGGGATTGGCAATTGGATCTCCTGTTGAAGTCGGAAGATCCAATTCATTTACTGTTTTTTACTGTTAAATTCAGTAAATCATTAAGGCGCGTCTTTTTAGTTTTACTAAATTTCACTTTATTTTTTCAATAGATAACCACAAACGAAGACCTGGGCCCTGTTTTATAAAGCTGACATTTCGACATATATGTCAAAAAGTGACAAAATTGTCGAATTGTCGCGATTAGGGTGTTTAAAAAAGTGTCAAATATGTCAAAATTCGACAGGCATATTCTTGACATATTTGTCATTTAAAAATCGTTTACTAAAACTCGACATATGTAAAAAAAACCACAGTCAAATGATTACTGACAATGGTTGGTGACATTGTCGGATTGTTGTGACAATTATGTCGACTTTTGACATGTTTGCAAATAAATATGTTTTCTGTAGCTAAATGAGGGTAAAATAGAAAACATATTAACAGAGTAAAAGAATGAATCAATCACTAGTGTAGCTTCGATTGTTTGTTTTAAAATTTCGTGTAAAATGGAAATGCACAAAAAAAATACCATTTTGGGCCTTATTTTCGAAAATAGGAATATACTCTTTGGGAAGTTTAGTGACGTATTGACCCACGATACAAAAATAAAAAAATGGAAGGAAATAGTCGAACAAATAACAGCATTAGGTATTTTCAACAAAGACTGGAAATACCTTCGCGACACTACACGGCAAAATTGGCGCAAAAGGACCATGGTAAGGTTTAGTATATTTTAACTAGTTTATACGTCATCAATTCGTAATTTGTTTAGACCGTTACCCAACTTTAAATAAAGGAGTTACCAATTAGATATGTATTATATTGTGTAGGTATGTATGAAATATTCTATGAGTGCCTCGGTAGCGCAGTGATAGCGTATGCGACTACTGTGCTGAGGTCTCGGGTTCGATTCCCGGTCGGACAAAATGTTTGTATGATCTACAAATATTTGTTTCGGAGTTGGGGTGTTTTCTATTTATAATATGTATGTATTTACAAAAAAAGTATTTAAGTATTCTATCAGTCAATCTATCTTTGATAGTACAAGCTCTGCTTAGTTTGAAACTAGATGGCGTTGTGTATCAGATGTCCGAAATATTATTCGCATTGTTTGTGGAAACGATTTTTTTTCACTTTGTTTGATTTTGGCTTTTGGCTTCACATACCCTTCTTATGCAATGATGTACGGTTGTTTTACTAAGAGTTTTGTGTGTTTGTTTTACTAAGGTTGTTTTACATGTGCATCACCAATAACGTGGTACTGTGAACCACAACCCATCCAATGCAAAGCGCATAAAATTTGTTTATCGGGTTTAAGTGCTTGGCTTCTGCTTGTAACATGTTCAAGTCGATGACCTATTTTATCAATTAAATATTCTACGGAAGTTTTACATAGCCGAAATTTTTCTTTAAAGGCGGCTTTTAAATGATCTGTGTCGCCTTCTCGTTTGTATTTGTTCCAAGTATTCATCATCACTACTCTCACTACTCGAGGTAAGTACCATTTTTTGTAATAAAACTTTTATAAACACTTTCTTACACCTTCAAAATTCAGAATATGATTTAGCGACAGAGGGCAGCGTTCCTGTCAGAATTGTCGGACAATTCTACAAATATGTCAATATGTCATGACAATTTTTTGTTTTATAAAGCAGATTTGACAAGTTTTTCACGACAAATGGTCACCTGTCACCTGTCGCTCAAAAAGTTTCATAAAACAGAAAAATGTCAGATTGTCGCGACAATCCGACATATTTGACAATTTTCCACCATGACAATTTTGTCGCCTGTAAGTTTGATAAAACAGAAAAATTGTCGAATTGTCACTTTTTGACATATGTCGGACTTGTCGGATTGTCAGCTTCATAAAACAGGGTCCTGAAAAACACATATTACGTTCCTATGCACTCATACTGTATCCAAAAATTAAAAAATAATGTTATTACAATATTTAAATTTTAGATTCTGTACCTTAACCAGAACATTAGTATTTCTAATATTAACTTCATGACATGTTTTAATTATTTATATTTATTTATTTATGTAAAATTAAATTAAAAATGTTGCAAGAAGCTTTCGTTACTTTTGACAGAAGTATGACAGCAACGCAATGTTTCATTGATAAAAAATAGTGATCTAGCAGTACACAACCTTGTATTTATACCGCTTTCCATCGCCTGCCTTGAATTGTCCGTCTTCATTTATTACATCTCAGTTAGTTTTTTTTCAAAGAAAAAAATAACTTTTTAAAGCTCCTTCGACTTGATCTCTAATTTACTATAACTTGGCAAAAAAGGTTCGCTTATTTGATGTGGTTACAAGTTGTGTAGTTAGTGTTGTAATATTGTATTCCCGTATAAATAATATTCCAGTGATATTCCTATATGTACAAAAAATAGTTAAAACAATTTTTTCTGTGTAAATACGTGGTGGATGAACAATTTTACAAAATTGACGACATTTTTTTATAGTAGTTGTGTCCAGAGGTTCAGATCACGTGTTAAATTAATATATATACAAATATCTAGGATGGGTCTATTATCTGAAGGAAATCCCTTGTCTTGGGAGGAAACAAAGGCATTGGCAGAACATGTCCGACAACACGGCATCGAACAATTTATTAACCTATACAAAAAATTGGAGGATCGCACAGGCGATGTACTCAAGTGGGGTGACGAGGTTTGTTTGTTTTCATTGCTTTATGATCCTACATGTTTTCATCATTCTACTAAGAATTGTTTTCAAGTGACATCTAGAATTAAAATACCAGGTAAGGTGGATATTGTTTATTGGATAGTCATGTTCCTGTTTTAACTTTTTATAATTTATAGGGTATGAAAAAACCTTTCAGATGTTATATGAAATGGTCCTTAAATAGTTGTCTTAATTTTTTTATATCTATCACAGTTTTATTAAAAACAGGTACCTGGGCAATATTTAAAAAATATGATATTGTGGATTTTTGTTACATATACAATAATTAATTCAATTAATTTAGAACTTAAATTGAACCTCAACAAATATATAAATAATACTTACCTAATATTGACTTCAGTCACTAATAAAAACACATGTTAGTTTATTTATTATTTTAGGCATAGAATTATCTAGCACATTATTCACAATTTATTTGTGTATACTAAATATTTAAAAAAGTTAAGAAAAAGTGACAAATTTTTATATTTAATGTTTTATAAAACATAATTTATGATTAAAAACAGTAGTGTTTGACTTTAGAATAAGAACCTATTTTTTTAAGATATCTGCTATCATTTTTATTAATATCATTGAATGAAACATATGTTTATATGGCCCTTAACATATTTGGTGTGAGTTTTAAATTATTATATTAGTATTTTTAAATTGATTGCTATGTATGCAGTCAGAAAAATCACAAGAAATTTTAAAACTAAAGAGACCTATTTAATAACTTAAAGTACTTTATTTACAGCAAATAAATTAAAAAACAAAAATGGTTTAGTTAACTAGTTACTTGAACAAAGCTAGCCTACAACCATGTATGTCTTCAATATTTTTAGTAATTTTCTCTTTATTCTTGATATCACATCACATCACATCAACAGCCTATATTAGTCCACTGCTGGACATAGGCCTCTCCTTAGAAAGGAGGTTTTGGCCTACTATACCACGCTGGCCAGACGGGTTGGTATAGGGTTTGTTTCAAGTTTTCCTTCTCTTTGCAGTGCTGTTGTCCTGCTTAGTTTGCTCCCTTAGTCGGCTCTTACGACACCCACGGGATGAATTGGGGTGGTGACAATTTGTATTCTTAATCCGTCACCACACGGATCATTTATTCTTGATATACCTAGGCAAACATTTCTTGTCAGATAATGATTATTTTCAGATCATACTCAATTCAGGGACATCATGGCTTTATTGAATTTTCAACTGCCTTGATAAATTATCCATTGAATGACGTAGTTTTCAAGTTTCATTTGGCACATGTTTGTGATGTGTGGAAGAAATTGCTAGAGTAAACAATTTCATTTGGCATGTATTAAGAAACAAAACAAATAAGTAAATAATAACTTGTTTACAGGTTGAATATATAATAGTAAAATTTGATGATGAAAAAGAACGAGCCACTGTTAGCCTGAGAGCTAAAGATCTTCTGCCTCAGTTACAAGAAAAGGAAGTAGCAGATCCACAAAGTAAATATTTTTATTTATTTATGGGGCAATTTTTTTTCTTTATCTCTCTTGATTGCTATTACTATTGTTAGACATAGTTAAAGAAGGCAATTGGACCTATTAAGACTGTCTATCTATCTTCATGAACATTGACGTACATATCATTTTTACTATTAATCGGCTATATTTGATTGTCCTTTTGTTTTCAACGAAGGAATAATAAAAAATATAAAAAAAAAAGTTGCTTGATAGAATGACAGTGCTGAAAAATATTGTATACAGGAAATCAAGCCTGTGAGCATGATGATCATTCTTTAACTACTGAAATTGTCTTGAGGCAGAGATGAGTAATCCACTCAAATTTTTAAGAAATGTTATGACATAATTTACCTACTTGTGAAATGTTTATTACCATTAAATTTAAATTAAAGACTAGAGGACCCGACATATGTTGTCCTGTACACACAGCTTAAACTAAGAAGAACATTTTGTAGTAGACTGATTTGTGAATCTAAACCATTCTCGAATCCACACGATCACACACAAAAAAAATCATCAAAATTGGTCCAGCCGTTTAGGAGGAGTTACATACACACCAATAAGCATTATATATGTAAAGATATCATAGCTTCTTAATTAAAGCTCTTATAATTAAAGATATACCAAGTAAGATAATAATTAATTATTAGAAAAATAAACAGCATAAAAAAGTGTAAATAAATATCACTAATTTAATTTAATTTAATATTTTGTGAAGGATTGGAAGTGAAGGATTTTTTCTGTCTCAACATGGTTGTTAGTCACTGTTTGGTTTGTTTTATATAAGGGTAGTGATGTGTAAAGTAAATACTATTATGTATTAACTCTTATCATCCTTAACTTGGTGGTTATCATCTCTTGCAAATTTTGCCTAAGGAATTTCCCAGACATAAGCAAAAATTTATATATTACGAGATATGCCAGGACAAAATTACTTTAAAATATTCCTGAAATGCAATGGGCAATATTAACACCACAATCCATTTACAAGGTACTTGGGGTGGCACTTTTTATCTGGGTTTCAAAATGAAAAAAATTACATCATTCTGATTATGCTACAAATATTTATACAAGATCTGAAAACCTGATAAATGTAAGGTAATGAGAAATGATAAGAGCTCCTTCGTGAAATATAAAGATAACTACTATGCAACAGAACACCTACGAATCATGACTGATTATTTTGTTCAAATCAACTTGATATGATCAATATTATATTTACCTCCTTATCTGAGCTGGGCAATATATATGATTTCCTATAATTAAGTAGAAATACAGTATTTTAACATGCTGATTTGAGAACATGGAATAGATAATGCAAAAATAACCATTAATCAATAAAACAAGGGTCTACTTTAGTGTCCGACCGAAACTGGTTTTTACGACCGAAACCGAAAACGAAACCGAATTTCGGCAACGGTCTCAGTTTCGGCCGAAACCGAAACCGAAACTTTTTTATAAGGATCATGTTTTCAGAGAAAAATAAAGAAAATGTATTATAATCAGTCAGTTTTTAATTTTTTTTCTTTAAATCACATAGGTAGCATTAATACTTATTTATTTATGTTGTTACCTAATATCACAATAGTTATAGGTGGATAGGTACTTAATATTTAAGTAATGAACAAAAAAATATAAATCACTTTTTTTTTTAAAAACAAATTAACTTCTTCTATACTTAATCGTCATATTGACACTTCAACAAAAAACAAAAGCTAAATTATAAACTAATCGTAATCATAATATTGCAAAACGCGACGACGAAATTATTAGTATCTAACTAATAATTTCAAGTAGGTATCTGTACTTAAATGTTACTTCTTATTAATATTCATAGTTAAACAATCTTATATTATAGGTAAGAAACAATAGTTTATCAACATTTTCGCCTCGCAGATTGCTCCTTCTGTCTGAATAAATTTGTACTAAAATGTTACTTCTTATTAATATTCATAGTTAAACAATCTTATATTATAGGTAAGAAACAATAGTTTATCAACATTTTCGCCTCGCAGATTGCTCCTTCTGTCTGAATAAATTTGTCCAGCAGCACTAAATAACTGTTTACTGGAAACACTCGTTGGTGGAGCTGATAAGTATTTCAGTGCCACCTTTCTCAAAGACTGATATGGACTAGAATCCCAGTAAGAATAAATATCTGCACTTCTCTGTAATCTAGGCTCTGACAAGTATGCCTGAATAGTTTGCTTAATTTGAGTTAAACAAACACTGTTCTCCACACCAGAAGTTTCTATAAAGTTACAAGTAGATTTATCATGGGCGTCCCAAAGCCCTTCTGCTTTTTCGGAAGACACTATTCTAGATGAACAAGATGGCTGTGGTTCTCCAGAATGATAAACTCACAACAAACAAAATGCACTGCAAACAAACAGGTTACGACATGATTACGCACGTGGACGCGGCCAAATGTCATCTTCGCTTAGATGTCATTTACCGCGCCCAACACACCCGAGCACAGCGCGGAAACTCCCGAATGCAGTTTCGGTTTCGGTCGTAGTTTCGGCAGGTTTGCTGCCGAAACCGAAACATAACCGAAACTCGTTTTTTTGCCGAAACTCGACCGACACCGAAACCGAAACCGAACATTCGGTCGGACACTAGTCTACTTATTTAAAATGTTTCTTTTCATATGCCCAAAAAGCGAACAGCTCATCTAATGGTAAGCGGTTACCGCAGCTATGGCGCTGGCAACTCTACGTGAATCGCAACCGCCACGTTGCGTACCTGTTGCGCTCATCACAAGAAAATTAGCGGAAATAAAATTTAATATCTCTTGTTAGTAGTAAAGTTAAAGTACACTAACAATATATAACTTATAAAACATAAAAATCAGTTTAAAAAGGATGAAATTGAATTAACGCTCTTATTAAACTCTTTTTAGCTACAGGTACGATAAGACGTTAAAAAATTACTTTGTTAATTACTTGTTGTACCTATGTCAAATTCGTTAGAAATGAAATGGAATTCGAAAAAAACTAATCTAGTTGTGATCGAAAAGTATAGTGGAGGTAGCTCCACTATACTTTTAACTTAAAAGCCAAGTATAAAACTTCAACTTAAGTTTTCATACTTCTCGACATTATAACCTGAAGGGAATTAAACATCGGCAGCGCCCTAAGAGCAGAAGCGCCAAACCCGGGTCCCTGATAATATAAAATAAAGTCGCTTTTTTTTATTGTACGCTTAGATCTTTTAAACTAAGCAATGGATTTAACGCGGTTTCTACCAAGAGAGAGAGTGATTCAACAGGAAGGTTTAAATGTATCATACATGCATATTATAGTAGAGAAATACCGAGAATTTCAAAGATTTGTCTTAAAGGAACATGTTTTTGTGCGGTTACATTGCAAACGCTGGCTAAACCTTACGAGATAAATCAAAATAATCTACTAAGGAATTGATATTAAGGATTGATGGCATATGTCTGTCTCCTAAGGATAACCCACAGTAACCACTTTTATCTTTTACATATAGCAAAAAATAATAGGTCATTTACGAAGCTATTTTGTACATTACAGTATTATTCTTTATCCAAATAAATACGTTAGATACGTTGTGCATTTAATGTATATCAAAATTGTCTTTTTACAGCTTATCATTAAAATTAATATCTTAGTATATCAGAGATTAAAATGCGGGGGCAAAGCGGCCGTCGCCTCGTCCGGCGGGTGGCAACGGCAGGAGTGGAACTGCCTATAAATATTTTCAAATAAAGATGTCCTGCAGTATATTTAGTCTTATCATAATAGTAGTAGAATTACTCTACACTGACTCCACATTAGTAGTATCAGTAGTACCTATAATACTAACATTGCACCCTTGCGAAGCCGGGTGCAATGTTAGTATTAAAGTTCTTGAAAAACCAGTGCATCGCTTTAACTGGTCATCAAGCAAACACACAAAGCTTTGCTTCAGTTAATTTATTTCATTCAAAATTCTGCTCTACTTGTTTTAAGAGTAAAAGATTTTTGTGGAAACCGACAGACATGTGAAGAGTCAGATGTTCATCCGTTTCCATAAAAATCTTTCAATCAATTTTACTGCCACATGCCAACAACAATAAAGCATAAATTAATGTGGCAAGTTCAAAGGTTTATAAATTTACAGTTTTTAATGATATATTAAGACACTCAGTTTTATAGTTTAACTGAAAAAAATTAATTTCTCTACTCTCCTACGAAAGTATTATGGTTTTGTAGCACCGCAACATAATGTAAATAATTACCAGGTGACGATGACGTAGTGACTATTAAACGGAGATAAGGTCCATAAGCATGAATGTCCTTCCTACGTCACAACTATTCAATTATAAGTAATACCATAACAACCAATCAACTATTAGAAATAACGTTAAGTACCTATATAATATATAATAAAGTCTAGTTTTCAAAGAAAGAAAAAAGAAGAACATATCCACATATTAGTAGAAATACCCAATGACTTCGATAATTAATCCTACAACTATTGCTAAAGTGATCATTGTATAACTAATTCGTTAACGCGTATGACGGAAGTGTCCAGTAACGTGTTTCATAAACTGAGTAAGTGCTAATTTTACAATACATCAACATCATTGTGGCCGCCCTGATTTTGTTTGACTCTTACGTGGAAACTAGCTAAGTACAGTTGTGGTCAATACAAACTAGCCAAATAAATGTAATTAACAACCATTAATAAATAACGTTACAACATGTTACGACTACAATAACGCACATCAGAATACTTAATAGATAGATAAACAGAATAGACAATAAAACTGTTATTTAAGGCATTCTATCAAGAACAAAGACTAAATATACATAAAAACCGCTGGTTATGTAGTTTGAAGTACCTACCTACCTACATGTGTAATGTAGGGGAAGTAAATTGAATACTTGACATTGAGACTAACGATCAGTCTGTTATCGACTTTATCAACAAAAAATATAACAGATAGTTTGTTTATTTGAAAAACCGGTTTGCGAAGGCTTTTGTTTGTTTTCAACGTAGAAAAGGTTCTTAAGTCATCACGTTTATTTGTTTTTGTATGACGACGCATATTTTTTACAGGGTAGTCCTATTTAGATTTAAAAAACTATAAGCAAATAATAATATTAAGAAAATATACTTGTTAGCTTAACTAATCACACTAATGTCAGTACTTAAATAATTTAGAGTCGTCGCCAAACATGCAAACTTATAAAGAAAAATCGATACTAATGGTGGTTACAAGTAAAAAATAACCCTAAAGTCTAAAATTTGTAACAAGTTGAACTGTAAGCTTTATTAACTACATATCGAAGAAAATTCTTTGTACCCCTTTTTAAATAAATATGACGCATTGCATACCGTATTTCATCTGCCTACCTTTATTCCAATTTTATGAAATATTTAATGATTATATATGTAGAAGAAGAAGTGCGCACAACTTAAATTATTACAGAATATATATGCTATAGGTATATTTTTTAAAACGTATTCATAAAAGTGTAGCTGTCCAGTAAATGTATGTTTTAATATATCATCGTAGAAAAGTCAATACAAAGACAGTTAAATTATACTAGTTAGTGAAATATAACAAGGTCAAATTCTAACCGCCGGTCGATGTTATTAAAGAAGTAAATCAATAGTTGTTCAATCGAAGTTGCCACGATCCCAGTAAATATCTTTCTTCTCTCACCTTTATAAAACTAAAACTAACACTCTTTCAAAAAGCAGTTATTTGACAAGGTTAATAAACTTTTAGATGTGAAATCGCTTTGGCGTCCTGAATATGGCGCGTACATGATTGAAGGAACGCCTGGAAAACCCTACGGCGGTCTCTTAGCACATTTTAACATTGTAGAGGCTAACATGCAGTACCGTAGAGCTGAAGCAACCACAATACTACACCCCGGCGAAGTCATAATGAGCATAACCAATTTTCCAAGGTGACCCCATATCATTTACGTAACTAATAGCACTTTAGTTAGTTTGCATGAATGAATCATACAAAATAACCGGAGTCATGGCTGAAATGACTAGGCAAAATAAAGTACCTCTGTATAAGTATTAGGTATAATTTTTACTTTACCCTATATATTTTTATCAGATAGTAAGAATTATCAATATTCCAAAGCATCACAATTATGTACTGTCTTCATGATAAATGAATAAATTACGTCCATGTAATACGTAAACATCACGAATGAATGCTCAGTGATTGTGCTTTTTCATTTGACACGTAATGTGCCTAAGAAACCTATATTTCGGTTCTAAAATCCATGAGCATTTTAATAGCAAGAAACATAATTTACAGGCTAGGATGTCCAAACTTCACAAGCCCACCTAATCCCCCGACCCCACAGGATGGAGTAACGAGGTCGCTATTCTTCCCAGACGACGTTATATTCCCGGGACACCCACGCTTCAAAACGTTGACATCAAATATAAGAAACAGGCGTGGTGAAAAAGTTGCCATTAATATACCAGGTATGTTAAACCGGTAATCCATAGTGGGGGTATGGTATAACGTACACAAAATAACGTGCGAATTAAAATTGGTTAAACACTATCTTTAAAATACTATAGCTATCAACACGATATGACTATCATGAAGATACAATTTAAATATAGACCATTTCTTAACTCGAATATCTCTGTTATCATATTATTGCTACATCATTTCATAAATTACTTAACATAAAAACTACTAGGTATGTTTAAAAGTTTATATGTACGTTGAGTCATGCAATTGTTCTTATTTTATGTGCTTATTGATAAAGAGGAAAAACGTTATTTATTTGACTGACTCAACAATTTTTCACATGACCTGCATAAGTTTATTTTTCCTTGTATGATAAGAGAAAATTGTATAAAGCATCTGAATATTTCTTTTAATTATATTCGTAGTATTCCGAGATGTACACACAAAGATACCGGTTGATAATTCTTCGGAACTGGAGCCTAATGCGGCGAAGCCCGACTGCGTTTACATGGATGCCATGGGTTTCGGTATGGGATGCTGTTGTTTGCAGCTCACGTTCCAAGCTTGCTGCATCACCGAAGCGCGCACGCTTTACGATCAACTAGCACCTCTTTGTCCTATTATGGTTCGAATTTATATTATTATTAGAATTAAGTAGAGATTACGTGCTGTCACGTCGGTTAAGGCGTCTTACTTGCATTAGATAGAATATGATTGCGCGTCCCCACAATACCAATGTGTCTAAACAGCTGAGTTTAAAAATCATACTTCTGAAAGTTGAGTTAATCAAAGTAGTAAAACAACCGGCATAGTGCCACGCGCACTGTAGCGCTCCCTAGTTGAAACAGGTATCAAATACATCTGAGTAATTATTTTGTAGTTTGTGTGAAATTTGCCAAATGCACAAAACAAACTAAAGCGAAGGGTATGTTTATATTTGTTTGTGTGTTGTTGGAAAAACTTAAAATATAGAAGAGCACAAAAAAAATTAATTTAAAAAAGTGACGGAAGTAACTAAATTTAATTCCTTTAATTATTTATTTTATAGTTATCTATCGACGACCATAAAGACTGGACCATAAAGGTCATTGATAAGTTCGATCACAATTATCAGGCGGCCATAACTTGTACTGATATAACTATTATCTTATACTATACCTACACGTCTTTTAAAAAGTGGCAGCCTAATGATAACTGCACTGATACTGCGACAATTACTTAATTAGCAATGTATCGGATCAATATGACGAATCGTATGAACACTCATGTTACGTAATAATCAACATTTTTAGTCACAGTAAAAAGATCGTTAATCCTAACTAAAGTTAAAATGGATATTGTAAAGTGCTGTTATGTGTGTTTTGTAAAGTATTAACTTCTTAGCTGGCTATTATGAAAGTTTGCATGCACATTGCCAGGGATCGAAAAAAGAACCTAGGGTACTCTTTCATCCAGAGTAAAATTATTTACAAAAAGAACTACTTTCTTATAATTTTAAAGATAATACTTAAAGAAAATTCTTTTTAAACAAATATTGCACAAGCATATCAAATTTGGCACATTTAATTTTTCTATATTTAGCCAAACATTTGTCAACTTAAATATTTAGACTTGTGTAATTTGAGGATATAAATAAAAATATGTTATTGTTACTATACTCGTATGTATAAGAAGTGCACAAAGCTATAATTTTTTAACGACAGTATAACGAACAAGTATGTGCTATAAAGTTAGAAAATTGGTAATAACGTCTACATGAAGCTACTGGTGCCCAGTATATATTTTGAGCTGTCGTGGTACAAAACTCTTTATAATGACTGAAAAGGATCGAAATACGACCGCCGGCTATTTTTAGAGCTTTTTAAAACTGTACCTAAGTAGAATATGCTATCAAAGAAAATTTAACGTTTAAAGTTATTTTTGGCTTTGAAATGCAATTATTAAGTTAATTTCAGCTGGCTTTGTCAGCCGCTTCACCTATCTACCGAGGATTTCTCACCGACGTAGACTGCCGCTGGAACGTGATTTCTGCTTCAGTGGATTGCCGCACTCGTGAGGAACGCGGTCTCGAACCTCTCAAAAACAACAAGTTCCGCATCAACAAGTCACGATATGACTCTATTGACTCTTATCTCTCACCGGAAAATGAAAAGTGAGTGCTACTCAACTGATAACGGTTATATTTTCACTGACTTGTTTTTTACTGTTAATTTAACAATAGTAAATTGAATGCATCTCTTGTTATATACACAAATCAATCATTCTTTCATTCTATTGATTAATTCGTCCCATAGATCTTGATTATTGATGACAAGAATTAATCAATATGCGACCTTCGTAATTTTTATAAATCAAATTTAGAATTGACAGGTCCATGTTTTACAATACATCGGTTGTTTGTAGATACAACGACATAAACATAGTCCACGACAAGGAGCTGTACCGCCGACTGCGCGAGGGCGGGATCGACCACCCGCTCGCCCTTCACGTCTCGCACCTGTTCATAAGGGATACTGTCTCACTCTTCTCTGAGAAAGTACACCAGGATGACGAGAACGACACAGATCATTTTGAGGTACGTGCACGAGTCATGACCACTAGCGTTAGATAAGTTAATTATTAAGAAAAACGAAAAGCCTGACTGTGTGAAAATGTATAGGTACTTTAAATTTACAAACAGGGAATTTTAATTTTCAAACACCCAGGGTCAAGTTGTTTAGACTAGTGTGTGCCAAAGAAATATACATAATAGGAGGGTTACACTCGAAAAGCATAACCCTCCTTCGGGCGCGGTCGGGTAAAAGATACTTATTTTTATTTAGCTTGTACTGTTGATTTTTATTTAGTCGGTTGTTTTAAGCCAACAATACATTGAAACGTCCCGAAAACTACTCAAAAGTAATGTATTAGGCAGTCTGCGCACAAGTTCTAACCATTAGCACTGATAAGATAATAGATCGTACTAGATACAACTATACTATAATAGACTATAACTCGTCCTATCTTCAGGTGGAACAAAAACCAACGATTTTGTAAACACATGAGACCCCCTAATCGGGCCCTGTTGCAAAATCCCTTCTTAACTGACGTTTCCTACACATAAAATGCCTTCCCGCCAAAGTTTTTTTTATCGTTTCATAATTTCGTGATTAGTTATCGAGTGCGCATTCCTTCGCTGTTATATAATAATTTGTACATATTATTTTTTTATATACATATTATGTTATGAGTGAAAATCAATAGTGATTTTCACTCTGCATGCCAGATTACGGTAGATTACAGTCGCCATAATTTTTTCAATAGAATCATCAATTCAATCATTTACGAAGCCATATTTCAATAGTACCACTATATTTAATGCATTATTCAGCGAACCTTGCGATTGGTGAAGATTTCAGTTCGGACCAATCACTACGCCGAACGCGGTCACCGTGACGATCAAGTTATGTGAAACAAACTCACACTAGGCCGGCCCTCAGATAAACTTGTGACAGACGCGTGGGTGGTATGCAGGATAACTCTAAAATAAATAAGCTTGTTTACGTGTTTATTTTTTTATTGAATTAAATGACTTAAATAAATGTAATTACAAGGAAAATAAATAAATTGTGTGAGTGTGAATAGCATACAAGTTCTTATTAGTCATGAACCTTCTGTAGTCGAGGATACGTTACAACTAATTTATAATTATTTCCAGTGTTTGTCGAACGTACATCACTGTTCTTAGAATTTAAATGCATATTCTGCTTAACAAACATAATTATTGTAAATACATACTGAGTACTGTATATACGTCAAAGTTTTTGACGTAAGGCACACTAAGCCCAATAAAAATATACACAATTAGCTGTACTTTTTGTGTGAAGATCGGGTCGGAATTACCTTGCGCCTATTTTAATGGACAAATCGTCATAAAGATAAGAAAAACAGCTACTTGCCTTAATGACATTTCCCTAAAAACGTTTTTTAGGGGTCTATAAATGACGCTGATCACGAATATAAAAAAATCAATTAAATACTGTTCGAGATCATAAGTTCGATTTTTTTTTACAATAGTTGTCACATAATAAATAGGTGTAAGCAATTTTCGACATAAAGAACACACAGATTCAGAACAACAATTTGTGGATTACACAAAGTGTCATCCCATGTGGGGCTCGAATCCACAACACTCGGCGCAGCAGTAAGCCACTACGCCATCCGTGCAGTCAAACTATTTGGAACAAAAAACTTCCAAACAGTTCGATAATCGAGCTATTGGTAGGACTGGATGGCATTAACGAGTAAAGTAAGGTGAAATAGTTGTATTAATATTAATAGTGCAAACGAAACTATGGGGCTAAAAACCGTAAAATCGAAATATAAAACTACAGTGCAAATAGGCAACACGGTTTATAATCGTTTACGCCTTTCGTTAATAAGCGTGTATACTCGTATGTCCTTATTTCGAAAGTGTATGCTGCATATTCTACTACATTTGTTAGAAATTTAGATTCGTTTCATTCCTGCCATTTTTCGCGATGGATGTTATTTGCCGGGAATCTGTGAGAATGTATGTATGTATATAATGGAATGTAGGGATGTATGTAATGTATATCATCCTTAAGATTAAAAACAAACATGTTTTATGTGAGCAGTAATGAAACGGATACTGCTTAGAAAAAAATAATCTCACATGTTGCATAACACTTTCCAGAGTCGTTGAGTATGGGATAACAAAATGTTTCTTTACTTATGAAAGGTGATTTCAGTGTTTTTCATATCTGAATGGCTTCTACACTACTTCCCGACACATGACGGCATATTTGCAAAATGAAATAGCGCACAAACACATTAATAAGCTTAATACAAACTTCTCACTATACAACCGCTCAACACGAGTGTCACGGCGTATTGATGTGCCGCGCTGGTGCATGATTTAAGCCCCGCCCGCCGCGGCTTATATTTCCTAGAACCATTTTTTAGGCTTAGTTACGCTTCTAGAGAAATTATTATTCGTAACCTTATACAGAGCGCCACTTTGAGCGAGTCATGTAGACCTGCCGTTTCATACTTTTTATATTAGTTACCAAAGTATAATCGGTATGACTCTACACAAATTTAGATTGGAATTTGAAAGAAATACTTACAATAATCAATAAGCTCTTTTATCAACCCTAACTATTGCATCATAACATTATCATGACATTACGATGCAGTAACTAATATAATTTATTGTAGAAAACTTTACTCAGCGTTGAAATATTAAATGGGCTCCTTATATACTTACTTAGTGTGCTTATTATGTACATATAACTATCTTCATAGTAAAGCAGTGCCGTTGCTTTAAATAGTGCACGTAGGATGATGTATAATAACTTACTATAAATTATTTTGTAAGTATTATTTTATAGTCGATAATAGCCTTGTATGAGAGTATTAGAGCATGAAAGGAGTTACACCAAAATCCGTCTGGCTAGCTGGCTTAGTGCGTATTGGAAGATTTAACATAAATTTTGCAGAACTTTCAGATTGTTGATAAGTTTTTAATCATCATTAAAGCAGGCGATAACGAATAAACCGACGGTACCGTACCAAAATTGTAATATATATATTTTTACGTAGTGTATTTAGCCTATGTTTATTATTACAATACATCATTTATGTCTGATTGAAGTTCAATTGTTCCGACAGAACATTCAGTCCACCAACTGGCAGACAATGCGCTTCAAGCCGCCGCCCCCAAACTCGCCTATAGGTTGGCGCGTAGAATTCCGCCCGTGCGAGGCGCAGCTTACAGACTTCGAAAACGCCGCCTACGTCTGCTTCGTGGTACTGCTCACACGCGTCATACTATCCTACCATCTCAACTTCGTTATGCCGATAAGCAAGGTAGGTGTTTTGGAAATATCTTGTTTCCAATAACGGCAAGAGTTTTCTGTTTTATAGCCAGTGTTTTTTTATATTTAATTCTTATTTTCCTACTTTATACAACATTCGGCAACTAACATTCTTGTTAGTCATTCTTCATCACATTCTTGTCTTATTTGTCACCTCTATGGGTCCCAATGTAGGAGAATAGTAACTGAGTGGCTAATGAATAAGTCTTACGATGATACAGAGAACCTACTCCGATTTTCAACGCTATAAAACCATACACCCATACACACACACACACACACACACACACACACACACACCGAGAGAGAGAGAGAGAGAGAGAGAGAGTGAAAGAGAGAGGGGGGACAAACACACGAGCGCGCACACATCCCAACCTATTTTGTGATTGTGAAAAATTTCAATTTAAAATTAACTTCAATTACAACAGCAAGTCGCTAATATAGTATTTTACTTTTTTTGTATATGTTTATGTGAGAGCCCTGGTTACCCATACCACAAGTTTAACCACACATTGGGTACCATAGTTCAATGAAATAATGAGATGTTTATGATACCTAGAAATACGTTCTATTCTACACGTAGATTCTAAAATATTATAGCAGATAAATTATTATTATTGCGCCATGGGATTAAATGGTTCGATTGTACCTGAATTGTATGGAAATTCGAGGACAGCGCCATCTAGTATCGAGTAAAGTACAACTATTAAGATTGTGATAAATAATTCTGATCCTTACAGCGCTAGATGGCGCGTAACGCGTGACTCTTGCTGGAATATTCTTGTTTTTCTGGAATGTACTATCGAATACTAGGGATCATTCTACTATATTCGATAGCACTATAAAAACGCAGAGTATTGGCCTTACGACAGTATCGTTTTAGGACACAGCGAATTAACTTTCTAATGTGACTAACGAGTTATATTTCTAGTGTGACTAACGAGTTTTAAAGTGATTTCTTGTTTGTAATAGTGAGTGTATGTAAATACAGTGTAATAAAAGTAATTATGGGGGGTGTGAGGGGCGAACCACCATCTTTCGCCCCAAGCCAACCTCACCTGCCCGCGGTGCATCCTGCTGAACGACGAACGAGGCTCTGGCGACCGACCGATGGCGGTATATCCATCCCAATAGGCGTAGCTAAATACAACAGGCCGGTGACGGGCAGCAGCGTTACCGGTGCGACAAGCTACGCCCTGCGATCGCCAACCCGCCTGCCCAGCGTGGCGATTATGGGCAAACCCCTCCCATGCAGACGCAACAAAGGCCACGGCCCCCAGTTCCCGGCGGCCCCGCTATTCCTGGTCATGGTGGCGACCACGGTAAAGGCGGGGCAGGGGGTGCGAAGAATCTCCGGGCTACGGGAGGCCACCACAACCGACTGACCCTGGCTACGTACAACGGACGCACGCTACGGCTAGACTCGCATCTGGCGCAACTTGAGGTGGAACTTGGGAAGATTAGGTGGCATATCCTAGGGCTATGTGAAGTCCGAAGAGAGGGGGAGGACACCATAACCCTCGAGTCAGGCCACCTAATGTACTTCCGCGAGGGAGACCAACAATCCCAAGGTGGGGTTGGGTTTCTGGTAAATAAGTCCCTATCTGACAACGTTGTGGAAATTTCCAGTGTGTCGAACAGGGTAGCGTACCTCATTATCAAGCTCACCGAGAGGTATAGCCTCAAGGTTGTGCAAGTGTACGCACCGACCTCGGCACATTCGGACGACGAGGTGGAGGATATGTACGATGACATATCGAGGGCCCTCCACTTCACAACTAAGACCCACTACAACGTTGTTATGGGTGACTTCAACGCTAAAGTGGGAGTACAGAATTGCGGCGAATCGGTAGTAGGATCCCATGGATTTGGAAGCAGGAATCATAGGGGGCAAATGCTGGTCAACTTCCTCGAACGGGAGGGGCTGTTTTTGATGAATTCTTTCTTCAAGAAACAGCCCCAAAGGAAGTGGACGTGGCAAAGCCCCGACGCTATGACCAGAAATGAGATCGATTTCATCATGACGGATAGAAAGCACATATTCAGAGACGTCTCAGTGATCAATAGGTTTAATACCGGTAGTGATCACCGACTTGTCCGGGGCTCTCTGAATATCAACTTTAAGGCGGAACGTGTCTGTTTGATGAAATCCAGGCTCCGACCAACTCGGCTCCAAGCCATGACAGGATCTGAAACGTTCCAGTCAAAACTGGAAAACCGATTCGCTGCCGTGGAAACCACAATCGACGTAAACCAGAACCTCAAAAATGTGGTTCAGATCCTCAGGGAAGAAGGTATGAGATTTTGTGAAATGCAGCGTAAGGGCAGGAAGTCGAAGCTTTCAGAAAGGACCCTAGGGCTGATGAAGAAACGACGTGAAAACCCACCTGTCACTTTGTCGGCAAAGCGGACTCTAAACCGAGAGATCAGTAAACTCGTACGACACGACCTCCGGTGCTCCAATACTCTTTCAATTGAAAGAGCGATCGAGCAAAATCGGGGGTCAAAAGTGTTCGTACAATCTCTTGGAAGAAGCCACCTGACAAAGTTGACCACAGAAAGTGGAGAAGTCGTTGCTTCGAAGCCGGCAGTCCTTTGGAAGTGGAAAGCTTCTATGGCCGGTTATACGCTTCGCATGCATCTCGACCTGATCCCGAAAATGAGGACTCTAGAGCCACATTAACACGTCACTACACCGAAGACCTGCCAGAAGTTAGCATTGACGAAATCGAGATGGCTCTTGGACAGCTGAAAAATGGAAAAGCCCCTGGAGAGGATGGCGTTACAACAGAGCTGCTGAAGGCCGGGGGTAAACCCGTACTAAGGGAGCTCCAAAAGCTCTTCAACGCTGTCCTGTTTGAAGGGAGAACTCCAGAAGCGTGGAGTAGGAGTGTGGTCGTCTTGTTCTTCAAAAAGGGTGACAAGACCAGGTTGAAGAACTATCGACCCATATCCCTTCTAAGCCACGTCTACAAGCTGTTTTCGAGAGTCATCACGAACCGTCTTGCGCGAAGACTCGACGAATTCCAACCACCGGAGCAAGCTGGGTTTCGGAGCGGATATGGCACCATAGACCACATCCACACAGTGCGGCAGATTATACAGAAGACCGAAGAATATAATCAGCCCCTGTGTCTAGCATTCGTGGACTATGAGAAAGCCTTTGACTCGATCGAGATCTGGTCTGTTCTGGAGTCCCTGCAGCGTTGCCAAGTAGATTGGCGATACATCAAAGTGATGAGATGTCTCTACGAAGCCGCCACCATGTCCGTCCAAGTACAGAATCAGCAAACAAGGCCCGTACCATTGCATCGAGGAGTGAGACAAGGGGACGTTATTTCCCCGAAATTGTTCACAAATGCAATGGAGGACATGTTCAAGACGCTGCACTGGAAAGGGCGTGGCATCAATATCAATGGCGAATACATCTCTCACTTGCGATTTGCAGATGACATCGTCATCATGGCAGAGACGTTGCAGGACCTACAGCAAATGCTGACTGACTTAGCTGACACTTCTGTACGCATCGGCCTACGGATGAACTTGGATAAAACCAAGGTCATGTTCAACGAACATGTACTACCGGAACCGATTGCGGTACACGGTGCCGTTCTCGAAGTTGTTCAAAATTATGTGTACCTCGGGCAGACATTGCAGTTAGGTAGAAACAACTTCGAGGACGAGGTGAACAGAAGAATTCGGTTGGGTTGGGCAGCGTTTGGGAAGCTACGTCGAGTCTTCTCATCGTCGATCCCACAGTGCCTTAAGACGAAAGTCTTTAATGAGTGCGTCCTACCCGTCATGACATACGGAGCTGAAACGTGGACACTTACGGTACGGCTGGTCCACAAGTTCAAAGTCGCTCAACGTGCTATGGAAAGGGCTATGCTCGGCGTTTCTCTAAGGGATCGCATCAGAAATGAGGTGATCCGGCAGAGAACTAAGGTCACCGACATAGCGTACCGGATCAGCAAGTTGAAGTGGCAGTGGGCTGGCCATATTAGCCGCAGAACCGATAACCGTTGGGGAAAACGAGTTCTTGAGTGGAGACCGCGTCTCGGCAAACGTAGTGTAGGACGCCCACAGGCCAGGTGGAGTGACGATTTGCGCAAGATGGCTGGCAGGAGCTGGATGCGAGAAGCCCAAAATCGATCTAAGTGGCGTGCAATGGGAGAGGCCTATGTCCAGCAGTGGACTGCGATAGGCTGATGATGATGATGATGATGATGAAAAGTAATTAACCGACAACTTTTATTTATTATGTACCCCGCTTGTAACATTATTATTATTAACTAGCTGACCCGCGCAACTTCGTCTGCGTCTCTGAATAGTAATAAATTTTCTCCGTTTTTGAAACATTATTCATTGGTGCTCCGCTCCTATTGGTCTTAGCGTGATGATATATAGCCTATAGCCTTCCTCGATAAATGGGCTATCTAACACTGAAAGAATTTTTCAAATCGGACCAGTAGTTCCTGAGATTAGCGCGTTCAAACAAACAAACAAACAAACTCTTCAGCTTTGTAATATTAGTATAGATTTCAGAGTGCCAGGAAAATATCTGTTACGTTAACCTAAGATCAAGATAATTTACGAGTTTTGGTCCAATTTTTACTGATAATGTGTATCCAGGTTGATGAAAACATGCAGCGAGCTCAGCGAAGGAACGCTTGCCTCGAGCAAAAGTTCTGGTGGCGACGTGACGTAGGAGTGCCCGCAGACCTCGCCAAGCAAAATACGGACTCTACCGATATCTACTCAGAGATGACCATCAACGAAATTGTTAACGGAAAGGTGCATATATTGTATTTGTACACGATATCAGTAGTTTTTTATCCATCCATCAAGTTCTGGTTACTATCAAAGGTTTTAAAGATACGTCTTCTACGATAATAGTAAGGCCACATTTCTATCGACATATCAATTATAGGTACACTTAGTTACAAACAATCATTATGTCATAAAAATGATAATAATCAACCTTGATAACTTAAGCTTCCAAGTAATTAGTGAGGTTTTAGATTGTTTGTTAGTGCCGACTCAAAATTAGTGGCAGTTCTTTGGAAGATTAGTGTTACAAATAGAATGCGTAATCGCAATGGCTGATGAAGCGGGACCGCAAGCCAGACAAACATATAATTTATGGAAATTTATTTTGCAATACCACCTAAGCCTTTATTATCCTATTATAAAAGTTTTTTTGCGGTTCGTTACATCAGAACCACTCATGCATGCTAAACTTCCAGAGAAAACCAAGAATAACCTATTCTCCCTTATAGTACACTCACCAGTTTTATTTGGAATTTATTATTTGCTTTAGTCACTTACATTTTCTAAAGAAATCAGGTAGGTTCTGTTGAAGTTATGCCTCGCTGTCTATACCGCTGTTGTACTGGTTTTTCAGGATGGTGTGTTCTCCGGCCTTATTCCCCTAATCGAGTCCTACCTGTCAGGCATGGACGTGGACGCCGACACACACTGCTCGGTGCAACAGTACCTTAAGCTCATTCAGCGCCGAGCCTCGGGCGAAATCTCTACTATGGCTTCCTGGATGAGAAATTTTGTCACCACTCACCCGCAATACAAGTAAGTATTAGGTTTTCGTTTGTATACTCTGTATTTCAGAACTCGCTTCTCTGGGTACGTAGACTATGAAATGACCAGGAATTTGTGCCTCCTTAACATTGACAATGCTGAGATATTCATCATAATAAAAATGAAGTATAGTATTTACAACTCAACTAAGTAATTTATTATTGCGTCACTTACTAACTAGTTAGTTTTAGTAGCTTCTGTTTTCCTGACAAAATGTTAAATAACAATGTTATTTTGTATGACAGAAAGGACTCCGTCGTCTCCGAGAAGATAAACTACGATTTGCTGAAAACTGCGTACGGCATACAAACGGGTACAATACCTGCGCCGAAACTCCTAGGCGGCGGCAACGTGTCCAAGACCAACGAAAATATACCCAAGGCCTTTATCACCATGATGAGTAAGGAATGTTCCTAACACACCCTGTGCCTTTTGCATATACTTGTTATTATCTAATTAGATGTTGCCTTAGGTTGTTTACTCTTGTCGTTAGTTTATCATGGACAGCGTCTCTATGTTAGTATGACGTATAATGTGCGACAGAGGGTAGACACGAAAATTTTAGCGTTGATTCTTACATTCCCCAAATACTTCGTGGAGCCATAAATAGACTGCAAAGCATCTTGTGAGCACACGGTAAAGAAGTGATAAATTTAACTGTATCATAAAAGTTATTTGACTATAGAGATCTCAACTGACCTTATCATAGATTTAACTACAGTTCTTGCAAATTATAAAAGGGTTTTAAGCACTGTTTATATAATACACAACGTAGTTCTTTTCGTAGTTATTTAGTATCTTGAGAGTCAGTCGTCAGCAATGTATATTCAGATGTCAAAAAATGATATTAGATATGGTCAAGATAGTTCTACTCTGGATGCAAAATGTTTTGATTCTTTGTAAATGGTTCTCAATTTGGCTTTGTTTAATTTCGGAAGCACTTATTGTGAACAGATTTTAAAGGAACTTTAAAAAAAAGCATTTAACCAAGTCAAGAAACGCTAATATATCCATTTTCACATATATTCTTAAAAAAAATTGGTTTAAATAGGTATTTTGATTTATATTTAGGAAAACGAGCACCTTAAAATTGCAAAATGTACTTAATTTAATAAAATGGAGGTTAACAACCAACGGAAAACGTTAAAAGGATCTAAAGGAAACTCATTAGCTTGTGTTGTCCAGTCACTATCAAATTCATATGAATATTTTACATTATGTGAAAAGCAAATGTTAAATTAAATGTTTACTAATACAAAATGCAAATTGAACCATGTTGTCCAGAAACGATCTAATCTGCAAGATTATCAAATTAGTAATACCATTAAACTGTTTAAAATTATTTGTATTCAAATTGGGAAAAAAAGTTATTTAGTCAGTAGTGATGAACAAGAGCGTTTTTAAGAATTAAAAAAATGCGATTATAAATCTATAGTTATTAAGCTGAAGAGTTTGTTTATTTTGGTGAAACACGTTAATCTCAGAAACTACTGGTTCGAATTATAAAATTATTTTAGTGTTGGATAAAAACTGGGAAAATGTATTCCTTTTGAAAGACGCAAGAGAAGTTGCGTGGGTCAGCTAGTTATAAATATAGATAATTTGTATAGTTTAGCATCAGTATTCGAGTACATTGTGGATCATATCGTTTCTGCACAACACTTTCCAATTCTTGTAAACATTCCGAGTGGTCAATATTATATCAGCAAACAAGTTTTCTACATAATGTTCTCATTATAATTTATGTATCCATCCAAGTATTTTGTTTTGAATCGAATTATTTGAATCGGTCGATAAGTAAAATTAGTTAAAGCGTCTGAAGTTGCCAGTCAAGGCGGACCAACTACTTGAGTGGCAAACAATAACTCGGCCAGCTATTACCGGTGTGTGTGTGATTTTATGAAACCATGGTGCAAGTGAAACTTTTTTTGGATCGTAGGCATTTAACTGAAAATTTTCGGTAAATTATTCGATTTAGGGTATTAAAATCGCGTCCATCAAGTGAACAAGAACATTTACATTAATGCACTGATCAAAACACACAAATTCCGAGGAGCACTTGCAAGAATAAGTGAGAATATAAATGTTACATTTTGCTTTGGCTTTGGCTGTAATGCGACATGCGATAGATGGACAACAAAATTTGAGGCGATGTAATAAAAGTTTTACTTCAACAAGAACTTTATAATAAATCTTTTATCATAAGTTCATATACAATTTAACAATAAATTCATCAAGTCGCTTTTTGTTCTTGAAAGCTTTGATCTTAAAATTTCATCTTTGATCTTTGAATTTTAATGCGGTTTTTACCAATAGAGAGAGTGATTCAAGAGGCGGGTTTATATGTATGATACATGCATATTATAGTAGAGTTGTAAAAACATGTTTTTGTGCGCTTACATTGCAAACGCTGGCGAAACCTTACGAGATAAATCTAAATAATGTACTACGGAGTTGTATATCTCAAATGATCTACAAAAAAGTCTACGATAGGTCTTAAGGATAACTCACAGTAATCATTTAAAAAAATAATGGATTATTTACGAAGCCATTTTAATCAATACAGTATTATTCCTTATCCAATGAAACATTTTAGATACATTGTGCATTTAATTTAGATCAAAATTGTCCTTTACAGCATATCATTAAGATGAATGTCTTAGCAGGTATCAGAGATTTAAATTGAGGGGGCAAGGCGGCCGTCGTCGGGCCGTTCGTCCGTCCCAGGCGGTAGCGGCCGGCAGGAGCGGTTATAAATATTATATATAAAGAATATCTATAGTATAGTCTTATCATAATTATGTATAATTAATTACTTCACACTGATGTAATATGTGGTGGTAACGTGGTGTATTAGTGGAATCTACATTGCACCCTTGCGAAGCCGGGGCGCCTCCCTTGTTTGCTTAAATAATATTGACTACTCTGATTACCCAAAACAATTTGCGTATTCTGATGTAAACATACGTAAAATATTTTTTTTGTTCTTGAGATAATTTTAAATATTTTGCATGCATTTAAATATCTGATGCTGAATGTACCTGTACTGTTTGTTTCCGCCCCTCTCCCTCCTTTCTGCATTACCGACTGCGATGCATACCTTTATATTCTTCCGTGACCATGCATTTGCGTGACGCATTTAAAACAGTATTAACTAAAACATTTCCAATGGCATGGCGACGTCTAATAAACAGAAGTCATGATTGCCATTAAAGAGATAATTTGTGAAGAATGGTTGTGAATGATACAGAGATTATTTTTCGGTGAACAAGAGTTTAAGGTTGATACCAAGAGCGTCACAATATAATTAATATTAGTTTTAAAAAACCACCAGTACTTTATCAATAAGACAGAATTCAATAAATATTTAAATTGTTTGGGGTACTAGATTGGCTGATTATTGTTGTTATTACTTATAAACATGTTATTTACATACATATTAACATGAAATACACATACTATTTGTATGACAGCCTTTTTTGAAATCATAAACGGCCTGTTACCAAACAGAGTTTGAACTAAGGTTTGTGTATCGAACGTTTTGTTATGGTGTGGCTGTGTCGGTAAGACCTAAAATTTTAGCAAGCAAGCTATGTGGGAGTCACTGTTGCATTTTAAATTGTATCAGACCATTATAACACTGATTGCGGATTTATTAAAGTTTAGCATATTTTATTACGAATTGTGGAAATGTATTGGTAGTTATAGAAGTAACACTGGCTGATTTTATTACCCAGTTTGAATATTAAGTTGTTAAAATTTGAGTAATTAATGATTTGTTTTTAGTTCAAGAAACTTGATTTAGTTATTAAATTATATGAATCTGTACCAATCAAGAGCACAAAATTATTTTGTTAGATTTTTATTTTAGTGAGCTTAATTGTGCATTATTTTGTTTACATACCGAATTGTTTTATATATAGTTTGTTATGTTGTATTGTTCACTGTTAGTGAGTGTTTTCAACTACTATATTAGTCTTCATTCAATAAAATATTTTATTGTTTTAATGTGTTTTAATCTACCCATCATTGTTTTATCTATACTATGTATGTATTTAGATTATATAAGTATGTTTATCAGCAGTCCATAGTAGAGGCTCTGCCTAATTTAGAATCAGACTGGTGTGTGAGATTGATTAATTTAAATTTAGAATCAGATTGTGCAGTCACTATTATGAATATAATAATAATAAGAAAACAGTTGTTGGAGTACTGGGACAGAGGGTGTAGAGGTGATAATTCTTCTGTCACATTTACGTTCCTCTTCCTCTCTGTCGAAAGACGTCCACTGCTGGACATAAGCCTCCCCCAAGGTTCGCCAGAACAACCGGTCCTGTGCCTGCCCGCATCCAACGGCTTCCTGCGGCCTTCAGCAAGTCGACAGACCCCCTTCTTGGGGACCTACCCACGCTGCGTTTTTCAGTACTCGATCGCCACTCGAGCACTTTGTGGTGGAATGTTTACGTTATGTTACCTACGATCAATGTGTAAGTGTCCGATGTCTACTGGACAGGCCAATCTAACCATCGATCAGACAAATCTAAACATCGATCTGACCGACAGGAAATAGATATACTTACTCACGAAAAAATAATATGAGTTAAAATCGTTTCACTGATGGCTTGGCCACCATCATGGAATTTTATTTTTATAACACAAAAATGTTGTCGAAATTTGTCGCCAAATATCAGAATTTATCGGTCACTGGTTTAAAAGTTATAAGCGTTTCTAGGTAGCCTACCTAGCCTTCCAAAGACTTCCACTGCGTCCGATGCGACGACCCACAGTTGCACGCAGAAGGCGGCACACGCGACATTATGCTGCTGGCGGGTAATTTGGTCCCTGGCACAGGGAGTGTGGCCTAACGGCTATGAGAGGGGCGACGATAAATTCGTCAGAAGTCTCGCATTAAGCAGAGATATTAACTGGCGGCGGTCAATGTCGAACCCCGGCAACCAGACGGCCCGACCCGCAGACGCCGACGTATCGGGAACGGGGGTCTTTTTTCTAGACAGGAGACTGGCCAAGAGGAGAAAACCTCTATAAAAAACCACAAAGGTAGAGCGCATGTCTCTCCACGTGTCCCTCTGTCATGCGTAGGGCAGGTGCGAAGGTCAGGTCGGAGGACGGCGTCTCATGGGGGTGATGGGATTGCCATCAAAAGTTCCGCATTGAACAAATTGCAGCGGTCACTGCCGAGCTTCGGCAACCGATCGGCCTAACCCGTTAACGCCGAGCAATCGGGGAGCAGGGGTCTTCTCGAACGGGGAGGAGGGTGGAGAAGGCCGCGAGTAAGAAAACCTCTATAAAAAATTATCCCTGCCCAAGCTGAGGGAGCCCGGCGAAGAGGTTATCGGCTGGGAGGGTATCCCAGCCGCTAGGGCAACAACGCGTTAGCTCACATTTAAGAGCAAAAAACAAAATGGACGTGACTAGAAAAAACATAGTACCCTAGGAGGGTACCGACCGCGCCGCGGTTGGAAAACTCTCATTCAACCTCAGTGGTTGTGACACCAGAGTGTTTTGACACATTCTGGGAGGGGCACAGTTACGTGCACAGCGGTGTCGAGGGCACACTAACCGCGGCGCACAGGCCTAGTTTTATGGGTTCCAGAACGCCGAGTCCGGCGTCTTCCCACGCCCAGTCGGGCGAACGAGGATGAGAACCAACCGCCAATGTTGATTGCAAAATACAGGAGTCTCTGTCCGCGGTTAACAAGGCCTTTTTAGAGATTAAGGGTCCCAGAGGCGGCAAAAGAGCCGCCGCCAAAGAGGCTATGACCACCATCAGGGCTGGCGTGTCGGAACTCCTCAGAAGAGCTGACACATCAGTCCTGACATACGCAGTAGGGAGGTTAGAGCGAGAGAACGAGGCACCGCTCCCAAATGGCTCCCGCTACAAAAGGAGATAGAAAAATTTCGCCGTGGACCCTATGGACAACTTTAAACCCCCAAAGCCTCACCAAATAACTTCTGCGGGATCCGGAGAGGGAACCGGCAGGGCCGCGACCCTCAACAAACGTAGAGGGCCGGCGACTCAGCCAAGCCAAGCCCAGTTCTGGGCCGAGACCAATACAGGGCCACACTTGACCGTGTATTGGCCGAAGTTCGGGCAAAGATGTTGGGGGAGCAGTCTTCAGGAGAGAACACCGTGTCTCTCCCAACCATAGTCAGTAGGGGGGCGGCGGGGGCCAACGGCGTAGCGCCGCCCAAAAATAAGAAGAAGGGGAGAAAGAACACTAGATAGCGGGCAACCTAGGAGACACCAGTACCACTTTCCTCTGCGGCAATGAGGCAGCAGCAACCTGCGGCTCCGACGGTGGGGGAGACCTGGGCCTTGGCTCTTGGCCGAAAGAGCAAAGCCAAGGCCGCGAAAAAGGCGGTAATCACTGCCCAGTCGACGGGGCCCGCTGCTGCTCCAATGCCGACCAAACATAAAATAACGGCCGTGCCAAGGCCACCCACAGCTGCGGCTGTCACAGTCTACGTGCCCCCTGGCTTGGAGACGACGATAGCCAAACTAATGGAGGTCGCTAAGGCCAACATTAACCTTGGTGATCTTGACTGATGAATTAGCCGCACGCCTGCGGAAGGTGTTTTCCGGCACGGAAGCCATGATAACGCTTCCGTGTAGGACATGAGACCAACGGAGAATGACGTATGGTTACTACCCGCAGCTCCGGTAGAGTTACAATGGTTTCTCGCGCAGTGTGAAGTCTTGCGTTATCATGGAGCAATATAGGTGAAGATCGATTCACGAGTCGGGGCTGTTTCACTGCCAGTTTCTCCATAATTGTTCGAATTTCGGAAGTGTAAACATCTAACCTGACCTGAGAAAGCTATAGTGAATAACACCATGAAGAGTCCACCAAACAGTTACTATTACCTTTTTATTGGTAAGCTTTGCTTCAGGGCACTAATGCGGCGTTTCAACTAGGGTCAGCCAGTGCATTATTCGCTTAAGGTTGTAAACCATCCACTTTTCATCACATCTCACAATTCGATTCAATATTCCTTCATTTCTGTACCGATTCAACAAGGCAACACAAATTTCAACACGCATTTCTTTCTGCAGATCAGCCAAATCATGAGGCACCCATATTTCATATTTTTTATCTTATTGATTTGATGCAAATGAGTCAATATTCTACATAAAGTAACGTTAAACCATGCCGCTGATTCTTGGGTAGTTTGACTTGGATCGGCTTCCTCCATCTCCTTCAATTCAGCGTTATTCACCTGTGTGGGCGGTCTTCCACGTGGTTCGTTCTTCAAGTCGAAGTTTCCATTACAAAGCGTTTAAACCAAAAACGCACTGTGCGTTCATTAACAGTCTCCTGTACAAAGGCAGCGTTGATATTATGAGCCGTTTCTGCTGCGTTAGTTCCGCGTCGGAAATCGTATTCAAAAATGACTCGAATTGGCGAGTCGTTAGAATAAGAAATCTAATTTAAATATATACAAAAACTCAAGACTCGCTAGTTGCAACGCAATAAAATTCTTCTACGGTAAGAAGTTGAGATTTATTTGATATTTAACTTCAATTTCCAATTCAAAATATTTTTATTATTATTTTTTTAATTATTTGAAATCGTCTTTTATGTAGAGTCATAAAGTCATAGATCAACACACACAATAGCAACAATCTCTGTTTTTTCAAATAGGAAAATATATTTAATAAAAATTATACTTTTACAAAATCTATGATTTGCCTGTGCTGATCCACAACCGCCCGTTTCCAAGGGGTTGCGCCTTATGAGAAGAAAGGGCAAACAAACTTATGGCCACTATTTTGCAATTTACAGATAAATACAATGGTATATTTAATGTCCGTTTATAAGGACTAAAAGGTAGAAAGACAATAAAGAGAAAAATAAGATTTGGAAAAAAGATCAAATAAAAGAGAAAGTAAAGTGAAACATAAAAAATAAACATAATAATAATAAAAAACCCTAGCCCACATAACATGTCTACTTAAGAAATAGCCTGCGCTAAATTAATCCCAAGCATTTTTGTCTTCTATGTAATCCACAATTGAGTAATAGGCTTTCTAACATTATATAGGATTTAAATTTGTCAATACTTAAGTCTTGAATAGTGGGATTTCATAATAAAATCGGACACATTGACCTCGAAACGACTTGTTTATCTTTATGAGCCCAGAGGCAGGGACTACAAATTTATTTCTATATCTGGTATTTATAGTATGTAAAAAGTGATGTACCTATACATCACTTTTTTTTAAAAGCTGTTTTATATTCTATATTTATATATACATTGACATGCCAATGACATTATGTTTATTTCTTTAAAATTCTGCCTGAATGAAAAACAATTGCCTAAATTATAAAGTACTCAAATCGCTCTCTTATGCAGTATTAAAAACAGTTTGAATGTCTGCAGCATTCCCCCACACTAGAATACCGTACGGCATCGTGCGGTATCAACATCAGTTAACTCTCGAATTTTTCTAACTGCGTATGCTGCTGAGCTGAGTCTACTCGATAATTTATCAATATGTGTGCCCCCCTGTATTAGAATCTAGGTTTATACCTAAAAATGTCGTAGTAGTCCACAATGTCCAACTAGACATCCTTAATCATTACATTAGTTTTTACTGGCTTGACGTTTTGCATAGTGAAACGTATAGTATAGTAGTATATACACTTAGTTTTAGGTTCATTTAAAAGCAAATTATTGACGTCAAACCAATTAACCACCTTCAAAATGGCGCTGTTTACGTCTGTGAAGTTAGTAAGTGTCCGTTTTAGTCTAAATAGTAGTGATGTATCAAGTTGAGGCAAGTAGTTAATATATACTAAAAACAGAAAAGCGTCGAGGATAGAACCTTGTGGAACGCCTATTTCTACCACAGAGCCAGGAGACCGCTCACCATTAATATCAACTTTCTAAATCCTATTACCCAGATATGAAGCAAGAATTTCCAGTGCTTTATTTTTGATACCATAGTGTTGTGATTTCCTGATCAGCGTTTCATGAATAACACAATCAAAAGCGTTAAATAAAATACCTAGAGATAAAAAAGATACCTAGAGAATCGTGGACATCTTCCCAGGCATCAAATATATGTTTTACTAGCTCAACACGCTCAACAACGCTCAGCTGTGGAGCTATTGTGTAATAAATTATTATTATTTATTAATATAATTAGTCATCAACAGCCTATAACAGTCCACTGCTGGACATAGGCCTCTCCTTAGAAAGGAGGTTTTGGCCTACTATACCACGCTGGCCAGACGGGTTGATATAGGGTTTGTTTCAAGTTTTCCTTCTCTTTGCAGTGTTGTTGTCCTGCGTATAATTGATCATACATAATTTTTTCAATTTTTTTGTTAAATACTGGTAGTACTGTGATAGGTCTAAAGTTAGTTGGGTTAGATGTACAATAAGATTTGAATAAGGGAATAATTTTACTAGACTTCACAAGATCAGGAAATACACCACTATCAACACATTGATTAAATGTAAATGACAATTGATTAGCCAAAAGAGATACAATTGTCTTAGTAATTAATACAGAATTACCCCATAGGTCGGATGTTTTTTAACATTAATAGTGTTAAAGGATTTAATCATTTCAAACGGGGAAACATATTGAAACTTAAATTCATTATCAATTCTACTAAAATTATCTTTCAAAATTGATTCTGCAAGCCATGGTGAGGAGTTCAAAGATTTAGTAGTTAATTTAGGAATTTTTAGTAAAAAAATTAAAGTGTAAAGTACGCACCAACTAACTTTCGTGAGTACAAAGTTTCGTGAATACAACTTTAGTTATCAGACCTCTAAGTCCTGCGCGTTTCCCTCGTAATAATATGCTACTAGTTGGCAACATGTCATTGATATGCAGAAGAAACAGTGTGGGTGATAGCACACAGCCTTGCGGGACACCAGCATTTACGGATTTCAAGTCGGAGCACTCACCATCGATAGCGACCAAAGCTTCTGTCTGCAAGGAAACAGGTGACTCAGTTACATAATTTCTCGGCAAGCCCCTAAGAAGGGAGCTTCGAGAATAATGCTTAATGCCAGACCCGATCGACCACGGCGAAAACCATATTGTCTGTGATAGAGTAGTTGGTAATCTTCTAAGTACCGGAAGAGCTGGCAGTTGATTACGGATTCCATAATCTTAGTGAACAAGGGAGTTATGGCTATAGGCCTGTAGTTGGACGGATCAGAGCAGTCATATTTTTTAGGGATCGGGTGCACAAACGCTACCTTCCAGGAGTTCGGGACCACGCTTTGGGAGTTGGAGAATCGAAAAGAGTGCTTTATGTACTGATTTTTGGGTGTAGTGGATTTCCGGCATACAGCTCTGGCACCGCGGTATGATTCCCCCCGAACATCCAAAGTCGAGTTGTATGCAAGGAGTTCGCGGAGGAGATCGGCTTCCTCCTTGGTATTATAGGCAACAGATTATCGCCCATCTGCAGGGGTGGAAGGAACAGCCTTGGCAAGAGACCAGAATAAACGAGTTCCAGAAGTCCCAGTCTTTAAGTGCGCTGAGTGTTGTGGGTCCGATCTCCACACGTGACAACACTGTGATCTACAAATTGTTGTTCTGAGTCTGGGTGTTCTTTGTGTCCGTGTATGTTTGTAAAGTCCCCGGCGACACAGGATTTATTCCTACTGTGAGAGTTGTCTTTTTTCAATGGAAAAAAAAAAATAAAAATATTATACTGTTTTTTTAGCGTACTGGTATTTATGCTTGGTAACATTGCCGCTTTCGGCGGGACGTCGTTTTGCAGGATCTGTCGAACCAGGGCTTGAATCTGCCACCGGTGGGAATTAATGTGGTGCAACGAATAGTTTCATGCCCTGAAGCACTACAGCAGTGACAGAATCGGTAATGACAGTGAGATCATCCAGCAAGAAACAAACCTGCCTCCATGGGTAGGACGTAAAGAAGGACCGCATCCCATTCCAGTCCGCTGACCTATAGTGCCATACGCGGCCATATTAGCCGCAGAACCGACAACCGTTGGGGTGAACGAGTTCTTGAGTGGAGACCGCGTCTAGGCAAATGGACGGACGCCCGCAGGCCAGGTTGAGTGACGATTTGCGCAAGATGACTGGCGGGAGTTGGATGTGACAAGCCGAAAATCGATCAAAGTGGCGTGCAATGGGAGAGGCCTATGTCCAGCAGTGGACTGCGATAGGATAATGATGATGATGACTTTATAACGACATGGTGCATGAACTTCACTACTAACAACCAGGATAAATTTGTTACTTTTGTTGTGTGGAATTACAAATCAAAGATTTTTTTATTTTATTACATATAATGTCCTATATTTTTAGAATTTATCTACAAGTTGTAATATATGCTGTTGTTCCTGCTGGCGCCAGTCATCGCTCCCAGCATCGCCAAGGTTGCCTGCGTATTCTGTAAAATAATTTAAATAATTCTTAATCATCGCTTCCATATATACCTCAATTATATTTATTTATTTAATATTTTATTGTACATGTTGCTGATAAATCAGATTATTCTGTTAGTTCTAGAGCACCTGCTTGTGGAACTGTAGGTACGTTTTTGGTTGATTTCTGTAATTTACTCGATACAGAAGGGCGAAAGGAAACCTGTACTCGAAATTTTATTATATTTACCCCTCATGACGTGACGAATAATTTTCAGAGAACCGCCGCGTAAAGACAACACACGTTGTACACGCTGTTTAACCGTTGAAGGGCCCGCAGTACACACCTAGGAGCAAATAAGAATAGACTAATAGAGTAAAGCTACTGTTTCTTCCTATCATAACTACCGAAAAATCACATTAGTGTTATTATTATACATTTTATTCTCTGTATATATATCTGTCTAATAAGCGCTTTATTTGAATGAAAAGCAGACCATATATGCAATTTTTACGACTCTTGATTGTATGCCAAAGCTTATACGCACAGCTCTACTGGTCGTAAATTTAAAAAGATAGGCACAATGTTAATATTTGGTTCATTTATAGCTTAAGAGGCACGCCCCTTAGAAACACGCAAATAAGCACATACTATTAAAAAAAATAACAAACTCACTTCATTCTATGACACTATAAAAAAATCTCAGTTGCCTAATAGAAAAGTTTAAATTTTTGATTTTCGATTCGAGTGTAGTAAAAGCGGCAACGTGTGATTACCGCGTCGCGTATACAGCTGATCGCTGCCTGAGGTCAATGTATTATGACTGCATGCTGTTGCAAATTACGAAAACAAAAAAAAATTACCTGTTTCTAAACTACTGAATATTTTTTGTTAGAATGTGGTACATGTCTAGAAATAAAGTGCAGAATATGTGGTTCGTTCGAATCTGTATCGTTAAAAGATACATAACAGTCTGTATAATGGTTGGCATTTTTCATGATTAGGACATAACATTTTTTTTAACCTTTTTATAGTATGATTTTGGCGCCCCCTGAAACTGCCGCCTGAGGCTGGTGCCCCGGTTTGCCCCCTAGATCCGGGGCTGCTACAATCTTAAGTTTTAAATATCATTCATGTATTAAAGTGTCATGATGTAAATAACTTACATATTTCTGTGTTATAAAGTATCAATCAACAATAACAAACAGTTACCTCTAGAATAATTCTGTCAATCAGTTGCAATGTGAAAAGTCCACCAGATAATCTCCTTAAATACTGACCATCATCATCCAATTCCTCGGCTTCTTGCTGGAAATAAAAAACAAGTATCCTGATTATATTCTGAACTTTATCTTAAACCCATCATTAGTATACAAATTGGCATACTTGTAAAAAAATACCAAGATAACCTGAATGTGGCCCTATTTTTATATTACATATTAAAATAAATAGTTTTCAGTTTTTACTGTGACTATATGTATTGATATTTGAGTCACCACAGTCCACCAGTTTTCCACAGAAATTTCATGTATTGTAAACGACACCACTGAATCACACCACAATTTACAATTATTTTTTGTTAACGACACCACTGCTGACTAGTGATGTATAACATGGAAAACAATTTCTTTTGTTTTCTTTTTAAATGATAATGTTGAAAATGGTAGAGTTCACAAGGGTTTCTTAAAACATAATAATTGTATCCATAACACCAAAAAACAACTAAATTAATTTATAACTTAATCTGATATTATACAATAGATGTCGATAAATACATAAGTTTTGTGTTAGAACTTCATTACGGTGGAGTATTTACCAAAAAAAAAATTGGTAAACGATAGTGTGTGGTGGACCAGTGGTGCCGTTGACAATACAGGAGAAAATTTAATAATGTATCTACTATTTACACAGTACTTTTGATCTAAATGTAGAGATTTGTGTATCAGCTTTGCCTCTTTAATGACTATATATTATATAGAATGGATGACCATACACAATAAAATTGCACTTAAAGGAGGTACACCGAGTTTATTTACGCAAAACCAAACCTAGATACATGCAAATATAAGCAAGGTCAATGCGAGCGTCCGTCATCTGATGAAAAGCGACTACCGCCACCCATGAACACCTGGATCTCAGGAGTCACAAGCGCTTTGAAAGCCTTTGAGGTAGGGGTACGCTCTTTTCTCAAAAGGTTTGGAGGTCGTTTCCCGGAAATACAATGTATATCATTTATATGCATACATATGAATATAACTAGTGAAGGACTACAGGTAAATAAATGGTTTTACTAGTTTTAATTACTTTAATTTGGTAATAATTCAAGACAACAATATACTCGTGTTTACGGTGGCGGCGCAACAAAAATGAACGGACTATTAACATTAGATGACGGATTGGTGGCACTAGTCACTCACGCACTTCGTTATACCATAACACCTCCCCTCGAAGTCGTGAGCATATCTTCGAAATTTACTTACATTCATCCATCATACCTAGACTACGCAAACATTCATGATGCTTTGTTCCACTCAAGCCCTTTGTCAGAACATCAGCAGGCATTCGATCACTACACAAATACCTAAGATCAATTAGACCTTGTTCGCACCATAGATATAGAATACTAATAGATTGGCTATGCGAAAAAGAGACAATACAAGTTTACATGTGTTAGAGCGCGACAGATAAACGAGATCAAACACCGATACGCTATGAGCCTGTATCGTCCTAGCGCCCGTCAAGGTCGAAACATTATTGTTGTTATTTTTTCGGAATCTTGGGTATTTTGTTGTGGTTTATTATTTACTAGCTAACCCGCGCAACTTCGTTTGCATCTCTCAATAGTAATAAATTTTCTCCGTTTTTGAAACATTCTTCATTGGTGCTCCGCTCCTATTGGTCTTAGCGTGATGATATATATCCTATAGCCTTCCTCGATAAATGGGCTATCTAACACTGAAAGAATTTTTCAAATCGGACCAGTAGTTCCTGAGATTAGCGCGTTCAAACAAACAAACAAACAAACAAACAAACTCTTCAGCTTTATAATATTAGTATAGATTAAGCGTGTTTTATCATGGTGACGTGTGCAGTACCTGGATGTAACGCTTCCAAGAAAGAAAATCCACAAAATCTTTCATTTCATACGTAAGTAAATACTGCCATATTTGCCTCTAAAAAAAAGGTATGTGAGGTTAGAAACAAGAACATACAACCTCACATACCTAGAAGTTTGAAGTGACTATGTCGATAAAAATATCGATAATAGTCACAGTGATCAAATAATAATCATCAATTAATTTTATTAAAACCATTCTATACTGACTATTTGGCATTTTAATTATGTTAATTTCATATGGTTACAGATTGCCACAAAATGCAGACATTCGAGGAAAATGGTTAAAAATGGTGAACAGACCAGGGCCTCAATTCTGCTATTTTTTGTTCACTCCAAGCCACTGAACATACCACTGACACGCTATTGAGATGCCATCGAGTGGCCATTGGCATCGGTATAAATAAATCATTTCCTCAAAAAAACGTAATATATTTTCAAATTACAAGGAAATGATTTATTTATTTTTCCAAATATGGCAATCTTTTTGATATCACCACTGATGAGCCACTGCCATTCCATCGCCACTGTAAAGACACTGAGTTAGTGTAGACTACCGATATTTATACCGATGCCTATGGCCACTAGATGGCATCTCAATAGCGTGTCAGTGGTATGACAGTGGCTTGGCGTGAACATAAGATAGCAGAATCGAGGCCCAGATAATTAAACTGATTGTAGAAATAAACTCGGTTCCAAAAATAACGGGTCAGTCACATAAACCCGAATATCTCCCGAACTACGTATGCCATCCTAAAGAAACGAAGACTGTTCAATTGAGAATTTAATTATACAGATAAAAAATAAAATAAAACTTAAATCTAAACTCTCTAACTCTTAACTCATCTCTAAATTAAAAAAAAAAACTAAAGTAGTCATATTTTTCTTAAGATTACATTTTTTTATGATTGTTTTTTTGCTGTTTTTCATCACTTTCTTCATGTAATACTTTGTATTGCCTCCACGAGCTCTTCAGACAGCTTCCAGGCGATTAGGCATGCTGTACACCAAATTTCGGAGCCGGTGCTGAGGAATACCTTTCCATTCCTCCACCAGTGCTTGTTTGAGCTCGGGAAGCGTGATTGGGGGGGGGGGGGGGGGGTTTCGACCTTTCACGCATCTCTGAAGCTCGTCCCAGGCGTGCTTGATGGGGTTTAAGTCCGGGCTTCGCGCTGGCCACTGCATGAGTTCGATACCGACCTCTTCAAGGTAGTCATGTACAATTCTGGCGGTATGGGGACACGCATTATCATGCATTAATATGCCATGCCGGTCCATCCTGGCCATGAAAGGACCTACATGTTCATTGAGGATCTCTTCCACGTACCTCTCTGCATTTAGAGTTCCATTTTGAATGAGTACCAGCTCGGTGCGGGCCTCAGTAGAAATCCCAGCCCAAACTTGTACGGAGCCTCCACCGTACGCCACTTTTTCCTCCACACACGCTTGATGGAAGCGCTCCCCTGGTCTTCTGTACACCAACTGCCTACCATCATGCTTATAAAGCATGAATTTAGACTCGTCCGTGAACATTACCCTAGACTAGACCAATCGTCTAGTGTCCAGTTTAGGTGCTCGCGCACGTATCTCTGTCTTGCAATTCGATGTCCCCGTTCCAGTTTGGGGCCATTTGCGGGCCTCAATGGTTTTAAATTTGCTTCAGCAAGACGTCTTCTTACTGTTTGAGCGCTTAAATTGCCACCTCCAAAGCGAATAAAGTGACTTTTTAGACCAACAGCAGTTTGAAAACGATTTCGGAGCATTGTAGCCACCAGTTGTCTGTCTTCCCTGGCCGTTGTGCATCTTGGTCTGCCATTTCCTGGTCTTCTAAGGTGTGATCCGGTCTTTTGGTACCGCTAGACTACCCGCTGAACAGTCGACAAAGATACACCAATATTTCTGGCTGTTTCACCCTGGCTCCGCCCAAGTTCCAAAAAAGTTAGGATTCTGGTACATTCCTCTAGCGTGACTGCCATGCTTTACCTCACAGAATAATAATTATGCAAGTGGAAGACATTCACGATAATTTTTTTTTGTGACAGTTTAGAAATGGAAAGCATCTATAATGAAATGAAACAAAAATTTTGTTTTTAAAATTAGTCATTTTTTTAAATTATGTTTTTCTAATGAAGTTTTTTCATCAACCAGTTTAAATAATATGCTATTAGAAGCGCAACTAAAAAGTTTTTATTCTGTTTTTTATTTCATTGATCTAACTTTTACAGTTCTGGAGGTATTTCAATTTTTGTGACTGACCCGTAATTTTTGGAACCGAGTGTATATGTGTCTATTAGAATTAAATATGAGGCAAAGTTGTGTAATGCAACCAAAGAAAGTTTGAGACATTTCTATAATAAATTAATACTGTTCGGAGGAAAATGAATCCCTATACATGCTCACAGTGCTGTTTTTGATTAAATATTGTTTGTGGTTAAATATTCATGTTTCTAAAACAACGAGCAATAGATATTGCGTAATATTATTATCACTTAATTAACACATTAATCATTTAAACGGTCCATTGTTTTTGTGTATACACTAAAAATTATATCAATAAAGATTTGTCTTGTAATTTTGTAGTTTTCTTGTACTTATTCGCACTAAATACGTAACTCTGAATCCCTGTGGATTTATTTATACCAGATGGTACAGGTTATCGAAAAAAATAATTTTGCATGGCGCATCACTAGCACGTTAGACACACGTGCAAATTTGATGCACACCATTGCATTTCTTTTTTGGTCTCGCTTATTGAAATGCACAACCTATCTATGGTATTCTATATCTATGGTTCGCACTTATCGCGAATGAAGTGGTGTCGCACATCAATATGTTTAGTTCGTGAATGAAAGTTCTTACTTTCAGCAAGCTTAATCGCACCTTGGTTGTCATTGAATAACATCACATAGTCACACTCAATCCCAATGCTACTTAATATATCACGTAAATACATGGCTTCTTTAGTAGCTTCGGATATAGCCATGTATTCGACATTGCTTCAGTGCTTGACAACGCAACAGTTCGTTGCTTTCGTGCTTCCCAGCTGATTGGGGCACCTGCCAAAATAAATGCAAAACCGGAATAGGATCTACGATCTACTGTATTCCCTCCCCAATCTGCATCAACGACACCAAAAAAAGGCAAACCTGTCCATTCATACACTAGTCCATAATCTGACGTACCTTTCAAATATCGTAGCACACGCTTAGCAGCCTACCAATGTTCAATGTTGTAATTTGTATTGAATTGACTTAAATAGTTGATAGCATACGTGATGTCTGGTTTTGTACATACGGCCAAATGCACCAATCAAACTCTGATACGGATATTGATTCATTATATCATGACTAATACACTCAGGTTTCTCTAACTTTACTTTTACATCTATAGGTGTGACAGCAGGTTTACATTCACTAATGATAAAACGTTCTAAAAATCTAAAATCTACATATATTTATTATTATACATATTATTATTATACATTTTTGTTTTAAGCACACTCTATATTCATTATCACGGCTAAATTCAATTCCTAAACAATTTGAAATATTTCCCATATCTTTCATTTCAAATACACTTGCTAATTGTCCTTTTATACTCTCCATCCATGCATTATCATTCGTTGCAAGTATAATATCATCAACATATATGCCTATTAACATCATTCGCTTACCTTTTAGCGCAACAGACACACAAGGATCCTGTAGCAATGCTTCAAAACCAATATCAATCAACAGCTTTGATAACCTTTTATACCTCTGTAATCCTGATTGGTGTAAGCAATACAATGACTTTTTTAATAGACACAAACTATCAACACGTTCATCAAGACCCTTGTTCCAGCGTTTAGCTGTCTGAAGTATGTTCTCTTCTGTTATTATTGCCTTCTGCGAACCAATATTTCCTTTAGCGAGTACTCGCTTTAGAACATCGCTTAGCTGATTTGGAATTTCCATAAACTTCTTCTTCTAGTGTTCCATTCAGGTAAGCTGTTACTACGTCCATTTGGTGGATTTCTTATCTAAACTCTGCGGACAAAGCAGCTATGACTCTTATGGATGACGATCTTACAACAGGGGACGTGGTTTCATGAAAATCCTCCCCTGCCCGCTGTGAACATCCCTTGGCGACTAGACGTACTTTATTGCCAGTACTTTTGGTACTAAAAACACATCTACTTCCAATAACCTTTCGGTCTTTTGGTCGTGGTACAATCTCCCAGGTTTCGTTTTTTATCTGTGACAAATACTCGTTTTCTAGAGCAGATTTCCATAGATTTAAGTCACTTCTCTTCTCTATATCTTTCCACGTCATTGGTTCTATCATCGCTATCCCAGCACTTATCTGGTCGGGTGGTTCATCGAATTCACTTTCACTATTTGAAGTATTATCTTTCAGCGTATGATACTCTTTCCGCGGTCTTCCCGCCTGACCAGTACGAACTAAACGAGGCCTTCCTCTTCCTCTTCACGAAATAGTTGAGTTCCTGTTTCTATGCGATTGGCCGCTATCTACCTTTGTTTCATTCTTTTCAATAGGCTCGTGGAAATCAATTCTCATGTGTTCTTCATCGGTGTCTTCTTCTTTGTCAAGTATTTCTTTGTATTCGTGTCTAAACGCTGTCTCATTCATAAATTTCACGTCACGAGTCACAGCAATCTTTCTTGTTGTAGGGTCATGTATTCTATATGCTTTTGATTGAATATCGTAGCCTACAAAAATTCCTAACTGCGAACGTGATTCAAATTTCCCTTTAGGTTTTATATTTTGTTTATAATAAGCTTTTGAACCAAAGACATGCATATATTTTACTGTAGGTTTCTTTCCTTTCCATAGTATAAATGGTATTTCACCATTTAAGGCTGTAGTTGGACAAAGATTTCTAATGTAATTAGCAGTATTAACTGCTTCTGTCCAAAATGGAGGGGGACTTCCTGCTTGACGCATCATGCATCGTGCCATTTCAACCAATTTTCTATTCTTTCTTTCAGCAATCCCATTCTGTTGGGGTGTATATGGTTCTGTTAATCTTCTTCTGATTCCAGCTTTGTTTAAAAAATCATCAAACTCATTATTTAAGTATTCTCGTCCGTTATCAAACTGAAGATTCTTTATTTTCTTAACAGTGAAATTCTCTGCATAGGCTTTGTAGTTTTTAAATGCACTTAGGACATCACTTTTATTTGCTATAAAATATAGTTCACACCATCTGCATTTATCATCGATAAACGTAACAAAATATTTTTTACCACCATAAGACTGATGATTCATGGGGCCACAAACATCGCTATGAACTATTTCTAATAATTCGCTAGTGCGATCCTCACTTTTCTTTGGAAAAGGGGTACAGGTCTGTTTTTCACTTATACAAATCTTGCATTCAGACAACTTTTCGTCACTCTTGAATGTTAGCCCATGTACTAAGCTACTCTTTGCCATAGCTTTTAGGTCGCTTTCGCTCAGATGTCCGAGACGTTGATGCCAGATGTCTATCGATCTTTTCACAGCTTCAAAATTATTAACTGAGTTTTGACTCATACGAACATAATACAGATTACCAACTCTATCTGCACGCATATGTATTTTATTATTGTTATCAATAACAATGGCATCATTCTTCCTGAAGTGAACCTCGAACCCGCGATCTGTCACCTTGGCCACTGATAATAAGTTTGTTCGTAAATCGGATACGTAGAACACTTTTTCTATATCAATCTGACGTTCTTCACTGCCCGTGTCAACAGAAATCTTTACCTTACCAGTGCACGTAATTTGTGTTCTGTCGTAATTAGCTAAATTTAACTCGGCGTCTTGTCGCCTAAAATCATCGATAATTTGCTTGTCATTGCACTTATGACCTGTGCATCCACTATTAATGCACCAAATAGGATTTAATTTCTTACCTAACATAATCTCTTCGGTAGTACTCAGTAACATTGTTGTCTTTTGATTGTTGTCAACACTATTTTCCACCTTTTGTCCACTTTGTTTATGCTTACTGATATTCTTAGTTCTGCACTCTCTCGCTAAATGCCCCCGACGACCACAACGATAACATTCAAAATTGTTTTTCTGACCGTGGCTGTCATTTATTTTTGCTGATACGTCTGACAAACATAGCCCATTGGTCAGTGGTCTTGGCCTTACGAGCTTCGTAATCCTCGATAATCTTGACCTTTAAGGTTTTCGTTGATGGTAAATCATCTCGTGATTCCATTGCCGTTCTAAACATGGCAAATGAATTCGGCAAACTATCAACAATAATATGGTTAGTAGTTCGTCTATAACTATCAAACCTATTTCTTTCAGTTTCTTGACCGCATCAAAGAAATCCGCGATGTGCTTCTTTATGTCATCATCTTCTTGCATACGAGTCAGTACAAGTTTCTTCAATAACGAGGCTTTTCTAGCAGGGCCGCTAGACTGATACATAGATTTCAGTTTATCCCAAATAGCCTTGGAACTTCCCAAGCCATCTAACGCAGCTAACTCAATCGGGCTTATCGACAACAATATGTCCGACTCGGCTTTTCTATCCATTTTAATCCAATACATATTCCGCTCCCGATACATATTCCCATAAATCGTATTTAATCAAAATTGCTCGCATGTGTATCTTCCATGTATCATAATTATCACCAGTAAGATGAACAATCTTAATAGATGAAGCCATATCGAAGTTTCTTCAACTTTAAAACAAATGCAATGAGTATTTAAAAATCTTCTTAAGTAACAGATAACAGCCGTAAACAAGCGACGAACGTAACCTGCAAGTCTATGTAACAGTAACTTCGTACACTAAACCTTAACGTGTGTCGACGCGTTTATTACTTTAATTACGACGAATTGTATTTGTTCATATCACTGCAATTGTTAACTTATTAGTTTTTATTTCACTCACTGACTGTCTCTGGGCCCATAACCTGAAGGATTACAGGTAAATAAATGGTTTTACTATAAACGCGAGTATATTGTTGTCTTGAATTATTACCAAATTAAAGTAATTAAAACTAGTAAAACTATATATTTACCTGTAATCCTTCAAGTAGATCTATATGAGTCCTTATAATAAGACTTTTTAAATAATTGTAGAGACATACCTCCATTTCTTTTTCAGTACGGTCTACTTTGTCCATATATTTGAAATGTAACTCTAGGAGTCTGTCGACTTTCTCCAGGTCATTTTCTGTGAATTTCGCCAATAGACGCTGTCTCTGGCTACCTTGGCAGTTGCGTAACATTGATGCTATTATCGAGACAACATGTTCTAAAAGCGATAATTAATAAATAAATTTGGTAGAAGCATGAATAAGCACAAATTGTCACCATACAGCTGAGGAAAAACGATATTTTGCTTTTGTGTTAAAAAACGTGATTATAACAGTAGAAACTTGCCTTCATGCTGATCCACAGTTAAAATTCGCTTTCGTTTAGGTGTTTTCATGAACAAAGGGAAAACAGTGCGCAGTCCTAAAATATCTACAAATTTGTTGCAATTATCGCGCCCCTCGGGTCCAGCCAGTGCGTGATCTAGTACTTTCAGTGACCCGTTTCGAGACATTTTCTTTTCCCTGTAACATGTAGAAAAATTCAAAGTTTTAAGTTACTTTTACTTAAGTAGGAAGGTTTTGTTTTGAGAAACTCCGCAACTGCTTTTATCTTTTAAGTTAAGAACCGGAAATCGAAATGAAGGACAAACAGATTTAGGCCAGCCTCTGCTCAAGTGTTTTCTTTTCGGTTGGTTCTAACCTCTGAGAAAGAACCACATCGTATTAAATACCGATTATTAATAAATTGTAATAAAATGCCATAGCAATAACAAAAGTACAAGTTTGCATATATAACACCTAAAACTTGAGCGTGCTCAAAGGGCACTCTTAAAGGTGGGATGGAGACTTCCCTTCCGGTTTCCAACTGCTGACTTATTTAATACTTGTGATGTTGACCGAGAGGGTCCGAGCCTTGTTCATTTGCACTGTTATTATAACCACTCATTTGCAAACACATAACAACCCGGACTATAACATAAGCAATAGACGTAAACATGCTATTCGCCCTCCCAAATTGATTCACACTAACCAAATACTTTCATAGATATTCACTGGATGTGCACGCCAATAGGGAATATGCATGTATTTTTTTAACGATTCTACTAGTTATTACGTTACCAAAAATAAATATAACACATTCGAAATATAAACTTTTAAAAAAAAATTTTTTATTAAAATCACTCATTTTGGGGCAATTTGAACACGTCCATTTTGGCGCGCTTTTTTTGTGACGTCAGATTACACTTTCAGACGAATTCGATGTCAACAACGGAGTGAAGTTCACAAAGTTTCTGAAAGTTAAAAACGTGAGTGATAAAAATTAACTTATTACCATGGAAAGCCAATAAAAACTTATTATAAATATTGTGCCGTTCCTTTGTGCCCAAATAATATAAAAACTGCACCTGACAAAGTATATTCAGTCATTGTGTTAAGTCTTTCTACACGGGAATTTAATAATTTAACACTGAAAACGTATTAGTTTTTAACTTAAAATGAAACAAAAAATCACCAGAAACCAAATATTACAAATACACACAACTTGTTGACACTCTTGACAGTGTAGGTTGACGTCACGTTTTATTCAACCAATAACGTTGCGTTTTAGAAATTTGCGAGGGAATCTTAAAAAAGCCAATTTTTGATGATTAAATTTCACTATTAAATTATAATAAATTTCAAAAATAATTGTATGGGTATATTTTATTAGCAATAATACTTACAAATAAAAATATTTTGTCCATTTTGGTGTCACGTGCATATTCCCTATTAGTCATAACATATCAACCACAACAAGCGCGCGCGCTCACACTTAAAACTCACATATGCAGAATCACTTACACTCAACAAATACACTACACACAAACACACATAACCTTAGATCTAAATTTCTTTCGAGTTTTTAAATTATTTATATTTGTAGGCTGGGCCTGGAGATCTATCATACAGGTTTCGAGCCTAGTATAGACTCCAGCTCTCACTAAGGCAAATACATATAACGAAAATACATACCTAAGCATAAGGTTCATCAACTGCAACCCTTCACCTCGCAGGAAGCGATCACGATTGGTTGGCTCCATAAGCGCGCAACATAACGAGTCGAACATGTTCTCCATAGCTTCCTGTTCTTCGGCGCCACTCGGGTCGTTACGTTTGTAAAACTGTACCAATGTAAATATAACTTCCCGTGATTATAAATTACAAATAAATAAATGATTAATTAAATATTTATTTTTAGTTTAATCATTTATGATTGTAGCTGAAAACAATACGTACGACAACAATACATAAAATCGTGATATGAGTCCTCATGTTTAGGACATGATATATTTTTTCTACTGAAAGCTTTCAAAATGATTATGAGGTTACCACTTCTTACTTTTTTATTTAGTTTTGTCAGTTTGGATTCCTATTTCAATAATTCGTTATAATATACAATTGTGTAAGGTGTAGTTATACCAACCGCTAACTGTTGAAGTAATACATCAATCCCATCCAACTCTCCCAATAGCTTCCTGTTGTCAGGAGTAGTTTGTAATAGAATGGAGAGAATTTCTGTGGCATACAACTTATTTCCATCAAATGGTACTTTCAACTGAAACATAAAAAACCATTAATACAGAATGTAATATACAATTTAGGTAACTAATATTTGAACTTAATACCTTCAGTCTTTTGAGTATCCATTGTAAAAATCCTTGTTTTGCTACTTCTGAACACAATTCTGGTCTGAATTCAGTAAGATTTTCTATGATACCTACAATACATGCAGTTGAATCAGTTATTGAAGTTACAGGACAGGACATTGTGTTATTATTTATTATTATTATTATATACACACACTCTTGGCAAAAAAGCATTTCTAATTTTAACTTAATGTACACAAAAACATCAAGGTTGTGATATGCAGAATATTAAAATTGTTGCCATATTCTAATTTGCTGTTACTTTTAAGAAAAGAAATTAACATCAATATTATGAGAATTATAAATCCTATAGACCAACCGTAAGATGCAGAGTGGAAGATTTATAGATTGAGGGTTCTGATTCTTTAAATGAATTTAATAATACCGGAAATACTGCGGATTTCTATTAATTATATACAAGTAGTTAAAAGTTTCATCTTACATATGAAATATATTCATACCTAGTGTATTATGTACAGCATCTCTCTCATCAGGGACTTGCTCATCAAGCCTTGCAAGGTTATGCAGTAATAGTGCAGGTGCTTCTGCCTCTGCCATTGCATTTATTAACTCCTCTGCACCCTCCTCACTCTCATGGAGAATGTCCACATCTGTCAGTTCCTGTTAATTTATTTATTAGAATACTAGATCATAAATACCCAAAAAAGCATTTTTAAGTCTTTATTGAGTTTAAAAAATAGCCAGTAAATGCTGTACCTGAGCCAGAGCCAATTAGCCGGAGTTTTTTGTTTTATTAAATAGACTAATTTCTGGTAATACCAGACAATCAGATTCAAACAATTCTTTATTGTATATTCGTTTTAGAAAGATTGTAGGCTAAATGACATCACAGTTCAACTCTTGGCAGTAGGGAAGTGACTATAATCATTGACCATTATCTTACATTTAATGTTCCACCGAAAGAGAAGTATGCAACAAACCTGTAGCAGATTTACAACTTTAGTAGAAATGTCAGTATTATCATGTGACAATAACTCCAATAGTGAATTCACACATTTTAGTTCCACAAGTAAAGGATATTGGTCTGGAACAGTTGCCACTGCACTCAAGTCCTGCAATAATAAGCGTTATACAAAAAAAAAACAATGTTACACTGCATGCACAACAACTTAATTATTTAACTTGATGCACACAGTGCTACTGCACAATAGCAGCAGTTAAATTGTCATTAATATAGTGTAATTGATGCAAAACATTGATATTTACATACTAACTAACAGATGCTATGCTACTCTTTATAATACTAATCTCACACATCACACACTGCAGCAGCTGTACTAAGATAACCAGAGTGCTGATAATCATACATACTTGTAAATTTCTTAATACATATTATTTATAAATTAAACCCAAACACAGATCAAATGAACATGTTCATTACACAATTATTTGTCCAAGATGGGAATCAAACCCACAGCCTCTGGTTTAACAGTCAGGATTGCTAACCACTAGACCTACAGGTCCATCTTTCTTTTTATAATTCACGTGATGTACCTGTAATGCTTCATGTAAATCAATTTCACTGTCCATAAACTTCTCAGGTTGATCCGGAAACTTTATTCTCATCTCTCTATTCCTTAGTGCTTTTTTTTCAAAATTAAGAACCAATTTTTTTACAACTGTCTCATCAAGAACATCACCCTGTAAGAAAAGGAATAGTTGCCTATGCACATTTATAATTTCACATTATATTATTAAGATGCTGCTGCTGCTACTTTGCATAGGTTCTTACATAAAACATTTCCACAAACAATAATTTACATTTAATATATATAGATTAGAATAGATATATATAGAATAAAGAATTTAAATTTAACCTCTGTAGCTTCCGTTTCTACAAATCTGAGGATATCCTCTCTCTCTTTATCAGATATGACGGGTTCCTTGGGGAGAACAATACTTGCAGTGTGCAATAAGTAATCAGACTTCGTTTTTCCCAAGCGGCGATATTTCGATGCTTTACTCTGGTCGTCATCAGAATCACTATCTTCTTCATTAGGACGTTTTGGTGTTGGTGTTGGCTGCAGATGCATAAATAGTTTAGCAACAAGTAGCCGACTTTCATCGGTGTTACAATTACAGCCATAGAAACACCGTACCCATGCATGTTATTCAAAAGTAATTTACCTTAAATGAGAGCAGTTCGCCGACGTCCATTTTAAATTTCACTAGTTATGCTTATTTATAAATTACAATTAATCATATATCTAACTATTGAAATATTATAATATACAAGTCATACACAAATTATTTTTGTTAAAGGTAGTTTTTTTGTCTTTGAAGCTTGTTTTAAATGTTTGTCTAGGGTTGACATTAAAGACATCTGTGACAATTAGGAGTGAATTTTCCATAGAGATATAAGCATAGAGTGAACAAAAGCCCCAATCTTGCAATAAAGGCAACGAGAGAGATGGATAATAGATAGTTTCTAGTCGAGCTCTGTGGTTGGCTAAGAAAATTTCTAGAATTAAAACCATGCCCACTTCACGATAGCCAATCGCAGCTTAGCTAAACAGAGACAGAGGAAACTATCGGGCATCCATCAGGCAGCTGTACCCCCTATTCTTTCTATGGAATATTCTCTCTTCTACTTCGCTATGGTTTGCATCGGTTTTCTTCTACTTCGCGTGTTATTTTCCTTATGATATGATGATGAATAATTTATTGTTTTTTTATTAAAATCAGCAGGAATAAATATTTAAGTCATTAAACAGCAACCTGACTATAACTGCCGTGATTTACTATAGATAACGAACTTAATAGTCATTTTTTTATCCATAACATTATTTTGAACAGTCATCTGCGTACGTAAGATTTTGTTATTTGGGTGAAATATATTTCAATTTAAAATGGTTTTTCACCTCATTAATCGTAGCCAAAAAATAAAAAGCCTATAAAAGTGTTGGTTTATACGATTATTTTTTCTTTGAATGTTTATGTATATTTATTTAACTTAATGCACACGTCGTACACAGGTGGACTTAATGTCCAAGGCATTCTCTGCCAGTCGACCTTCGGGTGATGTAGAAAAATGATGCTGTAGGTGCAAGAGAAGACAGAGAATTTGACTTGTTTATATTAAATTTATTAATTTTTTACAATCTTACTTACATATATACACTATAAATAAAATACTATATTCATTACTACACATACACATAGAGGTCTCAAGTATACACATACAATTCATGAACATAAACATTTATAAATACATAAATATCAAAATACATAGTCGGGTACTAGCGCTGTGACCTTTCTCCCAACTTATTTTTTGACTGGGCGCATTCCAGAGAAGAACTGACTGTACTTAGAAGGAAAAATTGATGAAGTTGGAAGTGTGAGGGGGGCAAAGAAGAAGCATATTATTTGTTGACCGAAGACTTGATGACCGGAACCAGGTACTCAGGTACCGATGGGGAATTAAGAAATGAAAAAAGATATGTTAGTGCGCGCAGACTGCGGCGTTGATGAATCGGGAGCCATTTCAGTTGGGAACGTAAAGCAGACACATGGTCATACTTGCGAAGATCAAAAACAGTTATTGAGAAGTCGGTCTAGTTTATTGAGGGGGTCTGCATTTAGGTCAAGATAACACACATCATCATAATCGATTAAGGGAGTAATAAGGGACTGCACACGCGTAGCCTTGGCTTTAGTGGGCAGAAAATTCTTGACACGATATAAGGCGCGAAGACATGTAGTGACTTATTGGCTGACGTGGGCGACTTCTGCTCTCCAGTCAAGTGTCGAGTCAATATGTAGCCCTAGGTTCTTAACCACTGGGCTCAGAGGTATGATTATGTCGTTAAAAACAACTGATGGTATGGCCGTCATGTCCAACCTACTTAACATCTATTTGCTACCTATGACGATCACTTGACATTTGGTTGGGGTAACCGACAAACCAAAACTCGACCAGCCCCTTATGAAGTCCAAATCTTTGTTAACTTTATCAGTGGCGTGTGATATGTCTTCAACTCTCGATTGGGCGTAAATTTGCAAGTCATCTGCATACAGTTTATACGCACACTGAAGGTGTTGGGTTATGAGATTAATAAATATTAAAAACAATAACGGAGATAATATACCGCCTTGAGGGACGCAAGTGAATTCTGCGAGCAAGTTATGCTCGCGAAGGAGACGGTGGAGCGGGACCGGGCGAGGTTTAGAACTCTCCCGGCCCGCCAGGCCCGGGAACGGGCTAGGTACCGCAGGTGACTCAGGCGCCGGAGGTCGCAGTACGACCTCCGTCCTCCATAAGCGCAGGCCTGGGGGTGACAGGTGAGGCCATCTCTCACCCTAGCAGAAGCAGGCCGGGGTGGCGGCGTGCGCGTTGCGAAGCGCGCTCGCTTCCAGGAAGCAGAGGGAACATAGGGTTCCCATATGGGGGGTTCGTCTACTCGTCTGTAGATGGCCTGAGGTATGTCGGGGCACCAGGGACTTCCTTTCTAGGGTATACCTGGTTCCCCGGCTTTTAGTACCCGAGACGGCGTGCGGTTTTAGTCGGTTCGAGTCCGACATGCCACCGATAGGTGGTATCTGAGGGGATTTCCGCACGGAAAAAAAAGGGACGCCTGTGAAAAATCGCACCAAATCGATGACAAACCCTTAATACGAACACACTGTTGTCGTCCCTGAAGATAGGAGGAAAACCATTCCAGGGCTTCCGAGGAGATCATAAGATAGGAAAGGATGGATAGCAGAACATCGTGACTGACGGTGTTAAAGGCATTCGAGAAATCAGTCAAAGCCAGCACTGTGACTTTGGTGTCCTCCATACCCTCCCTAATATCGCCAGTCACTTTTAGGAGAGCGGTGACCAGGAGCTATGACCAGGTCTGAATCCAGATTGTAAATGGCTAAGAAGCTTCTGCTGGTACACAAACTGCGATAGCTGCTTATGTACACAAGCCTCAAGCACTTTTGAGAGAAAGGGGAGTATGGAAATATGTCGATAGTGTTCAGGGAGAGAAGGGTTATTTTTTTTTGGGCAAAGGGATTATGAAAGCCTTACGCCAGATCGAGGGAAAATTGCCGGAATCGAGTGAAAAGTTAATGATATGGGCTATTGCATGAAGAATTTGATTCAGGATAGTGACAATCATACGACGGCTGATGCAGTCACAACCAATAGCATTTGAATGGATAGCCAGAATGATCTTTTTGATGTACTCGGAAGATGCCGGAGAAAAGTTAAAGGATTCAATATTGGGTCGGGCAAGACCAGCGATATAGTTCAAGGTTTGATTCTTGGTTTGAAGATCCAGCTGAGGTGCGGACGAGAACTGACGATTGATATCTTCTAGACCAATTGTCATCCTCACTTCAGGACGCTGTTGTTTGCTAATGCCCAATGTACCAAGAAACTTCCACATATTGGAAGACGAAGAGGTTTCTATATTTTGAAGAATATGACGGCGTATATATTTAACGTATATTTATCGTGATAATTAAACTACTAATAGGATGTTTACCCACTTTCAATGCAAAACTATTATTTTACTAATTTGTGAGGGCAACTAGTTTTGTTGGTAAAAATGAACACCTTTAATTAAATATCTACATAAAAATTTAAATTCATACTAATAAGAAGTATCACAGTGTTAATGTGCACCGGTACATGAAAATAAATAAAAGTACAACTAGCTATTATACAGACTGTGATGTACCCTTTACCGAAGCTGGAAACAGCATGTTCTGCACTTTATTTCTAGACGATTCGCAAAATATGAACAAAAAATATTCAGTGGTTGAGAAACAGGACATTTTTTTTGTTTCCGTAATTTGCAACATCATGTGTACATCATCATGTGCAGTCATAATACATTGACCTTAGGCGGCGATCAGCTGTATACGCGGCGCGGTAATCACACGTTGCCGCTTTTACTACACTCGAATCGAACGAAATATGTTGATTATTGCGTCATCACGATGAAGGACACGCGTTTTTAATTAGTTCATCCAGTAAGGACAGTCAGTTGGCCCTTGGCCCTTGGCCACCGGCGCCTGTTATGCTATTCTGTATCCTTGTAGATGCGCTCATGACAAATAACCGTAATAATAATATTGTTGTTGTTCATGAGATACATATTTGTTTAGAAAAGTTTTCTTGTGCTAATAATTTTTTAGTCTTATTGTTTTCGTCATAATACACGGCAATGGTGGGAACAATTAATGTTATCGTGTGCGCAAGACTTCGTAATGTAACGTTCGTCATGATAATTTTATTTTGAAAAGTGACAATATTAGGTTCTGTGTGTAGTGTAGTGTGAAACTGAGTGAATTATCAGTCTTTTAATTTAATTGGGTTATCGGTATCAACATCCATAATGCCGTGAGTGACCTTCACAGCCGCGGAATATCCTGCCATGACGTTAATTTATGGGAAACTCTATCAAAACGCATCTTTTGCTTTATGGACAGGTATGGAGTCAATCGTGAATGTCCTACAGACAGCCGAATTTTTGTAAGGGCGGTACAAAGATCAAGAGACAACCAAAAGTACCTACTTTTTCAAGGAGTGACACGTACTGCCGGGTTCGAAGCTACTCAAAATAAACACGTAATTAAAATCGTATTCTTAATAAATAGATTTAAAAAAGCAAGTGAAGTGATTAGTAGGTAGGGAATAAGAATGTAAAGTTCGCCGGCTCGTCGCGGCGGCGGCGGCGGCGTCGCTTTGATGTCGCCGACATTGCGACGCTGCCGCGTAGGTACAGTTTCCCGACTCATGTTATCAATGGTGTTCTAATTCGGCAATTGTTTTATTGTATTTATTTTGTTCTAAATTTGCATTTCTATATTTTCGTACTAATTTTTTTATTTTTTATTTTAACTGACGTATATTGAACCGTCTTATCTGGTGTTTCAGTTTTCGTTATAACCTTCATCACACAGTGTATATCATCTGAACTGAGTTATTTTTATGCTACAAGAGTGCCTAGTGTACGAAAAAGTGAATGGCGCATATAAAAAGAAAATTAGTCAAACGTTACACTAAAGACGCGAAGCGATAACGATAACGATTTTAACCAAGCGGTTAAATTTGCATTTTTTGTTATTAACGGTTAATTAACTTGTAAGTGAATGATGCTTACTAAAAAAATAAGTTTTTAAAGGGAAGTATTAAAAACATTCTGATTGTGATTAAAAGATAATACAGACTTGAAATAAAGAAAGTGGCAATAATAATATTATTAATTAATAATTAAGGTAGAACAATACAAAGTGATTTAAATGTTTATTAACCACCTACAGGCAGGCAGTTGTCAGTCATTACTTTGTGTGACTGAAATTGAAATGATACTGACCGACGCGTGCGGCGTGCGACCTTGTCCGCTTGCACTGTCCGCCGCCGGCGAAGTTTCTGTGACCCCAGCGCTGAGCATTTCCATACATAGCATTCGTACGCCACCCGCGGCGGACATGCGTCGGTCGTCAGTAGTACGCGACCGACGCACAGTGATTTGGCTAGAACATGCTAGCGGGACAATATTCATGACGTGATTTCCAGGAACCACTGATAACGACTTGTAAACAACCCCCCCAGGTAACGAATTCCAAGAATTAATTTGTTTATCACCTCATAAAGGTATCTTATCAGAGGGTCAAAGTAACCCTTATAAGAGAAGTCATTTTCATTTGCAAATCAGTAGCATTTTATGCTCTTTTGTGATAGCATATTTTAAAATTGGTAGCAAATTTTCTGTTAAAGGTATGAACTCTATTATGAATTATATTTTTTATAAAAAATATGTATACTTTTGGTGTAATATCAATTTGTAAACGTATAGATAAATTCAGCAAATTTTACATTTTATTTCTCATCTCAAATCTACATGTTCTTTACATCTTACTGTTTAATATTGTCTATGGAATGCCTGTAACGGCGCGAACCTCAAACTTATCAGGTTTTTGTTTTGCACCTACTTTTCAAAAGACTACAGTTTCCACGTTACAGTACACAAAAAACACAGTTTAACTGATATTTATTTTAGTTTGTGCTACAGGTAAGATTTCTAAATTTCAAACAAAAACTGAAACTCTTGACTACTTTTCCCAATGAAAATTCCTAAATTATACCTAGCAACGATATTTTACGGAAGATATGTTATAATCATACTGTACGCACAAAGTAGTTGTTCCGTTACCGTACATACATCTGTTAAGGCATTTTAGAACAAAACATACTCTATACTGCTATTGACAATTTGGTAACAACAATGATATTTTAAGGAAGATACGTTATATTCATACTGCAATCACAAAATATTTGTTCCATAACCGTACATACAACATCATACATCATACATCTGTAATGCATTTTAGAACACTTACCTGTGGTATGATATTCCTTTATCTTTATTTACCTTTTTGTCGTAATTTGTGCACTTTCGGAATACACAGGAAGGGCAGTTTGAGTTTTCTCGAATCAATTAGTAGTAGCTCGCTCGCAGTGGTCCTAGTTAAGACCCACGCGTTTTGTGCGTTGGTGGCGTATCTATCTTTTTTTGTATATAATATTGTAGAAAAGTTAATACAATATTTTTCACTACGCATTATGTTTCTATAAACAGATTTAAAACGGAAGTAAACAAAATATTTTGTAACATTGTTATTAACTTACTTTAATTAATTAATACATTCTCATCTAACATTGTTTATTTTCAGAATATTATCTGTTGGATTAAGAACAGAATGTTTGATATAAACGCATTATTGGAGTTCATCCATACAAATAATGACGTTACCGCACAAGTAAAATTGTTTTCCACGTTGTCAACATATATAATGTCAAAAGTACGCTTTATGAATCGTAGTATATTAATAAACTTAGACTCAAAACTTTCAGGGATACTGCTAATAACTTTAACGTACCTAACAGTTTTTACACTTACTTTACATCACTACTTAAATGTACTTAATGTACTTTACCAATGATTTTAAAATCGAAATCATTGATCTTTACATAGTATAAAATAAAGTCGCTTTTTTGTCTTGTACGCTTAGTTCTTTTAAACTAAGCACGGATTTAAATACGGTTTTAACCAATAGAGGCTGTTTTAAGAGAAAGGTTTAGGTATATGCATAATCCAAGCATATTATAGTAGAGAAAATCCGAGAATTTCAATGATTTGTTGTAAAAAACATGTTTTTGTGCGCTTACAGTGCAAACGCTTGCTAAACCTTACTAGATAGACCAAAATAATGTACTATGGAATTGTGTATCCGGCAGGATCGGAGCGGGCCTATAAATATTGCATTTAAAGATGTCCTGTAGTTTAGTCATAATAATAGTATAATTAAAATAAAATATACTATGTATATTTTTACGACTGGCCTGTTAGTCTAGTGGTTAGTGACCCTGATTGCTACTTCAGAGGTCGTGGGTTCGATTCCTACCCAGGACAAATAATTGTGTGATGAGCACGGTCATTTGTTCTGTGTCTGGTGTAATTTATCTATAATATGAATGTATTGAGAAATATATAAGTATGTTTATCAGCAGTCTGGTTACCATAGTACAGGCTCTGCCTAGTTTGGGATCAGGCGGCCGTATGTGAGATGTGTGAAAATATTATTGTTTAAGCGCTTACTCATACTCATTTGGTTAGAGATAACCGCATGTTAGTTAGGTAACAAATTCTAAAAGGCGGTTCAGACTGCTGCAAAGACAAAGTAGGCCAAGAAACACGAAAGTATTTAACTTTTTACATATTGCAGAAGGTAAATATTGCCGAAGTCATGACCTACAACGCTTTATATGACAAAATTTGCAGCTTATTATCTAATTGTCCTCCAAGGAAAGCAAGCGTTTTTTTAAATTTCTTATCAGCCCTCTTGTATACCAGCGATGAAGACAGTAAGACAAACAGCTTGGTTATCTACGCGAAGAACATGATTAGAAGCAGCGGCTGTTTGGCTACTATATGTGAATTATTCACTAACTGCATGATGGTAAGAAAAAAAAATCGTAATGATCTGACCATTTAAATTAAATAATTTTAAATTAAATTAAAATTGTCATTAAATACGCTCTTAAATATGTATTTCATTTAATAATAATTTAATATTTGCTAAAATTGATTGAAATACTGAAAGAAAGTTCTTTTGTTTATATCATTTCTATATTAACAAACAAAAATATTAAAGCACACCACTCCATGTGTTGGGTCAGTAAAAATCGTATCCGCGGAAGCGGATCTGAGCACAGATTAGGTATTGGTGTCTAGTCTAGATCCGCGAATACGGCTCTCATGTATACAAATGGTACTTACATTAGTTATAAGTGTTAAGCAATACGCATTAGTTAAGTACATACTTACTATACCTACTTCATATAATTAAGTAGATGTTAGCTGAATACACCTAGATGTTCATAAACGTAATACTGTAATAAACTGGAATGGTGTAAAAGATCGGTTAAAAAGTGACGGATATGGACACAGTTCTTTTTTCCGTAGGTAATATGCGCCGGTGCTATCCTGCACATTATATTATTAATACACACGTACCTATTCGTAACTAGGCTTTTAGCCTCATTCTCGATAACGTATAGATATTTTGTATAACTTATGCAATTCTTTTTATGAAATATGTTATTAATTGTTTTAGAATCAGGATACTTGGCAATCTCTTTGCCGATGTCTTGCTGAAACGTGCCGTAATGTAGAAGCAAATCAGAGCTATTGCACACATCTTGTACCAGCGGTAAACAAACAGAAAGAACTTCTATATTTACGTAAAATCACAGAAATAGTTTCATGGTTTATTCTTTCAGTGTGTGCAAAGATGCAGTCAAAGAAATATTGAAGTCTTACTGGTGCTGCAAAGCCTACTTCAGAACCATGAAAGAAATGTTAACTTATTTTTCAAATGCAACGGAATATCCCTTTTTCGAAGGTATTCTATAAATATAAATTGTTATATATTCGTTTATAACTTGCTATTAAATAAATAGCAGATGACATTGGGAGCAAAGCCTAAAGTATCTACTAAACTAACCGTTCCTCGGCTTATGGTCATTGTTACAATGAAGAATCTTTCCATTTGATGTATGGTAAGACTCGAAGGAGTTTCTGTTGCATCTCTATGTCCATGATTTGTATTTGTATCAGCTAAATAAATAATTTCAAAAATACAAAAATACTGTCACAATATGTTTTCTAATTTCCTCGTAACTAGGAAACGAATATACACATTTGTATACACATACATACTAGACAGGTAAAATTAGCGAAAAAATCTTGAAAAATGCGGCAAATTCCTATTAAAGGGAAAAAATATTTTATAGCAATTGTAGATGATGAACTAGGAGCCTGTTGACTCCGCCCTGTCGAATTCGACGAGCAAAAGCTTCTTTACTTTTATTTTAAAAGAGTGATGATTGAACAAAAGCTCATTCCACAACAGATAGATTGAACAAAAAAGGAGATTGTTATACGAACGAAGGTTTCTGTTGTGGGTATTGCATAAGAGTTGAAATTGTGGTGTTAAATAAGTAGGAAGATATGGGCCATTGAGGATAGTATACAGGGTTCTGCATATATCATGCGATTAATTATAGGTTAATACAAAATTAAGGCACCCTTGGTCATTAAGGCTAATTCAGAGCTACGAGTACGTCGACTGGACTACGGTGGCTGGCCCTTCCGAAAGTGCCTGTTCTTTATTGACTATTTAAACAAATGTATATTCAGTAAATAACCTGAAAATAAATTTGTAGTTAAACTCCTCGTTAATACATAGGTGACGAAATTATAACGTCTTTCAAAAAATTAAACCCCCTCAATATCGCTTTAAAAAAAGGTCACTTTTTGTACAATTGGACAGTTTACAAAAAGTTTATAACATTTTGACCTGAAAATTTAACTGTTGTTACAGAACTACAACACTGACAACATATCCGAATTTCAACTTTCTACCACTTCCCGAACGCGAATTATAAATTTTGCAAGTTAAAAACTTCCAGCGATCTGATGGTCCGATTTTGGTCTCCAGAGAGTTCATCCTCTTTGTTTTTTTATTGCGCATATTTGTTACATTTTACTTATTTCCACAGGAGCTTTAGTTTTCGTTCTAGATGCGAATAACTGTTTTTACCATTTTTGACAACTGTTTTGCCACCTTAGCTGACAATATTTTGTTATAATTTTGATTGATATCAATTCCTGATACCTGAATCTTTAATGAAAGAAAAATTCCGCTTCCACATGTGTGTAAAGCGATTAAATCGATTTGTACAAGTTATATGTTGTTATAACCGGATCCCAAATTAAAAAAAACAAATTTTAGAATGGGAATTTATTTTTTCTTCCAAACCCACATATACATTTAATAGTTAGTATGTTAATATAGTCGGTATTTGTTTCAGCTAATTGATTTTTTGTGATTTCTAACAATCGAGTGTTTTTTTTTTGTAAATATTAAGATTAAAAATATTTTTACAGGGAGATTTTGAAACATGAAATTTGTTTGCAATTACTAGACACAATTGTGCAGAGTTCTGAGCAAGCCATTGAGCTTATTAACAAAACTGACACGTACCAATACTTAGTCGACTTTTTGCGGTTGTATGGCCCTGAGTCCCAGGTATAGTTGTAGCTTCATAAAATGTTCATTAAATTTACTACTACTACTTATACAGACCACCTAAATAGCTTCTTCGAAATATTGTACTTTTTGAGTATTTAAACGCCGAGTAAACCACTAAAGTATTGCTATTTTTGTCTAGCTGGGACAATGGGCGACCATAATATTATATCACATGTCAAGAACTAAAGGTAATTGAAATTTTTATTATTCTCTTTATTATTATTATTGCTTATAATATCTACACCACACAGTATTTATTTGCACCCAACTACCTAATTTTATATATTTTAAGGAACCTGTGTAATCCCTATTCCAAAGCAAGAAATTAATGAAAAGCAGAATACTGATAATCCTGATATACAAAACACTATCAACACGACTGGATTTTTCCAAAATGTTATAAAGGAAATAATACAGTGTGGTCTGTTACCTGCTCAATTTCAGAACAAGACCAAAAATAGTTTATTTATCCAATCTCATTCAAATCAGAATCGGCTTCAACCAAATGAAACCTGTACTCAGAACACATCAGTTATATTCAACAATTGTAACATACAAAAATGTGCTAAAATATCTAATGATCTGATTGAGGGTAAACAAAATAATAGAATACGTGATTTATCTTTCTCATTTTTATATCAAGAGGACAATAGGAGATACACCCATGGCTCAATATGTACAAATAAAATCAATAATGCTTGTCAAAAAACTCCATCTAATGCGGTAAATATCAGAAAGTTTTCTAAATTCTGTGAGCCTGCATCATTAGCAGACAATTTAAACTGCCGCGATACACCTGAGTTGAGTAGTTTTGCACCAAAATGTGTATCTACTCCAAAAAAAACTTACTACATAGAACCGAAGAAATCTACTATGCGATATGTAAAAAACAGCACATGCACAATATTTTCTGATTCAATCGGTAAACATAAAAGAAAGCGGATGATTCGAAGTAGAAAAGATCTTTCCAAGGTCGCTAGTTTTCCCAAGTGTTTAGAACAAACCAATAGCGATAAAGAAAACAGACATCGTTCTATAACTGAAAGGTTTTTGGGCGCCGTTAACGAGTCATGCACCACTTTGGTTAAGACAATAAAGAATATCTTCACGTCAAAACATAGTTCAAAAGAGTCTAAAATAAAGGGTTTGACACCAGTATCAGAAACTTCCACAAAGTCTTGTAGTTATAGTTTTACTAATTATATGCGTGAAAGAGATGCTATTCTAAAGAATGAAAACACCAAGGAATTCAATGATGATTTTGATGACTTTAGTATGGAGATGACTAATACCTGTAGCTCTTGTAATGACACGGTCGTACTGAAACAAAAATTGGCTAATGATGAATATTTGAAACAGACCATAAGGAAACTTAAGCTCGGGATTAACTTATACGGTTGTGACTTTAAGGTGAGAAACATAAATTTTATTACTACAATGAAAAACTTTAAATGTGCATTTTTAAACCATGTAAGAAAAACATTTTGTTTGTTTTAGAAAATTTCGAAGCAGCTATGGCCGCATCAAACTTACATGACCCCAGTCGTACTTTACAATCTTTACCGAAAATTAATAATAAAGTAAATTGTTTATTACCACTATTATAACTTTTTTTTCTGACAAGACGTATTTTACACGTTCTACGTAAAACAGTTTTTCTTTCCAATAATTTTCTCAGTAAAAAAATATTCTTCAAATATTTTTGAAAACGAGTCACACAAAAAACTTATTAAAAGTTTTCGTGACGAACTGGGAATAGTTACATTATTAAGACAGATAAATATGGAATTACAGATAATCTATGGATACCTGCACTGTACCTGACCCAATACCCACTTAGCCAATTTTTAGGACACTTTTTTCTTCTTTTCTTATTAAAACCCTTATTCAGAGTTTTAAAATCACTGTTTCATTTATAAAATTCCCATAGCTTCTACACCATAACACCATATATATATTGAAATCTACATGCAGATCAGCCACCAGAACAAGTTTTAACAAGAACAACAATTCCCAGTTAGCATCTGAACATCTGACCACATCCAGAGATTTTTTTTATCTTTTTTTTATAGACAGCTTTCACACTAGGAATGTTTTTTTTATATCTATCTATCTATATGTTGTTGGTTAGGGGTTTTTGTCTATTTAGACATGTCAACCCTATTGTATCTTCTACATGTACCTATACTTTACAAATTGCGACATTTACTATGAAAACATTAAACCGCTAATACACAGCTGTTTTGCAGTCTCAGACATTGGTAGTGAGAGAATAGTCTGCGCAATTCCTACATCAATCTGGTTTAGATTCAACGTTTCTATCAGTGCTCTTCTTTCTCTTCGGTTCTTGACACATTCCATTAGCACGTGTTGTATTTCCTTTTCTAATCCACATAAGTTGCAATACGGAGAATTTTTCTTTTTCATTAGGTATGCAAATTTATTAGATGGAATGTGTCCAGATCGAAGTCTCAATAACATTGTTATATGGTTCCTATTAATGTTGCATCCCATAAACCATGGTTTACAAAACGGCTCAGATTGTAAAGTGCTGTACCAAATTCATTTCAGGCAGATTTTGCCTTAAAGTGTACCATCCATTATATTTTAGTATTTTAAATTTATGTAGTACTGCCGAATAATTAGGTAGAATATTAAATTGAACTCCTTGAGAGCAGCCCTTTTTAGCCATTCTGCCCGCCATATCATTTAATCCAATGGTGTGCGTTACCCCGGCAAAATAATGTCGAAAATGGTCATTTAAACGTTATGCATAATTAGTTGTTAGTACAGAAGGGGTTCTGTAATTGTTAGGCACATTTTTAAATTTATTTCACTTTTTTTTTAGTTATTTAAAAAAAATCATTTCCTGCTGGGGTAACGTTTGAAACGTTACCGCAGCCAGACATTTTCTTTTTTAATTGGAATATTGAAATAAATATTAGCTAAATAATTAGTTATCTGGACGAGGTAAATGTTACAACTTATTTGGTATTTGTATTTTCTTCGGCTGCGAAGTTATTTGAGATCCTGCTGGAGTAACGTTTGTGGGTTTGCTGGATCTCTGAAACAGGTAAGCGGATTGTAACCATCTTTTGTACATAACTTCTTAAGGATTACTTTTAATTTGTTCAACAATAAGGGTTCATACGCACTATGCGGTTACCCGCAATGCGGAAATTCCAGAAATAATTACAAATTTTAGCGCCTACTTTAATTTCGTCCAAAACTAATTAACGCATTGACCGAAACATTATTATAGGCACTTTCTATATCTAGGGCTACGGCCATGGTAGGTTTGTTCTCAGAGTAACCTATTTGTATCTGTGAAATTAAACGAGATAGACTATCTATACACGACTGCGACTTTCCAAAGTACATTCTGATATAATTTTGTTTTTTTTTTCAATATACCACTCCAGTCGCTTACCCAACATAGCGTGAAATATTTTATTTATAAATGATAACGGACGTAACTTTAATTCAGTATTAGGATTATTCTGTTTTTGTATTGTTATAATTTTGATATCTCGCCATTGAACAGGAATATAGCCAGAGAAAAAAAAATAGGTTATATATTTTTAAAATTAATGTTTTAGCTTTATATATTAAATTGTAAATCATTGAGTAGGCAATGCTGACATCGCGGGGAGTAGTATCTTTTGTTTTTTTGCAATGCTCAAATTCCTGCATAGTAAACGCTATTTCTATTAAGTGATTTGATGACATTACTACCGGCTGTTTACTTAGAACTGATTCAGAAGTAAGGGAACATAAAACTTCCACCAGTTTTTCAGACGGTACGTAGGATTTCGCTTTCCTGTAACCTGTTAACCGTCGCATTCTATTCCATTGGTCAGATAGCGATGTGCCATTGTAAACAGAGGTACAGGATTTTGCCCAGTTTTGACTACGAGCTTTTGCAATGGCTCTTAAACATTTTTTGGGTTGATTCTCAAATAGAGTGAGATTATCGGGGGTGGGATTTCTTCTAAAATTCCCTAAGGCTTTTCTACGGCGAGCTACTTCTAACAAAAGGTCAGGCCTCCAGTATAGTTTTGGTTTAAATTTGTTTGTTGGATTAGTACATATTTTTAACAAGGGTGTACTACTATCTGGTGCTTTGTTAAGTTCTTATATAAAGTAATCGTATTCGTCTTGTATATATTGGGGATCATAATTTGTGTGAATTTCGTTGTCTAAACGAGTCGGTAAGACTATTTCTGTACTTACTATTTTAAAATTACATTTTATTATGTGTTTTATATGTTCTGTTGGAAATTCATAGATATTTTAATGAGTAAATGGTCACTTCCGAGATTCTCTTGAAGAGTCACCCATGAGAACATTGTGGCTATATTAGCCGGAGATATTTGTCTTAATATCCCTTCAATTAGTTTAAGTCTCGTAGCAGCTCCGTTCTTGAGCGTCATCATCCCATGGTCTAAAGCCGCATCCCACACCTTTGTCCCTCGAGCGTCCGTTTTATAAGACCAATTTGTGTGGTGGCCATTAAAGTCTCCAGCCACTAACGAATTATGTTTAATTCTTTTAAATATTTCCTCCCAATCAGATGTGTGTTTGTTTTGATGATGGACAATATTTAAATACAATGTTTTGTTAATTATTGCAATTTGTCAATTTAACATGTAGTATTTCAATGTCGGTATTACGGATATCAATAGAACATGTAGGTATATCCTTTAATAGATTTGTGGATTATGATTGCAATCCCACCATACCCATCTATTCTATCATGCCTAAACACATTGTATGAGTTAATGTTAATGATTTGTTCTCCATTCAACCAAGTGTCGCTGATAACGGCTATATGTATTTTTTCTTTGATTAGTATTTCACCTAAATTTAATAACTTTGGTTTTAAACTCTGTATCTGTATATAACACTGTATTATATTAATAACCGACTTTCTAGGCAATACACTATCCATTTAAAATTGAAAATAAATTTTGCACCATACCTTCATTCGTGAAAAAACTACTTATAAATTGTTTTACCTCGTTGCATATTGTTTTCAAACACAATAAAAAAACTCTTCTACACTTTTTGCTGACAAAATTATGTTTTTCACTTTTAAAAACAATGTAATCCAATCATAGTGGTAGTAATCTTCTTTTCTATCCTGTTTTGCTTTTCTGTAGTTGTTACCTGGAAGTACTCCCTGTACTCTTAGTTTGGCTGTCTGTATTTTATTTTTTTTGTGGAGTTACCCCAGTTACTTTGTTTTTGCTTTTCCTGTTCCTCAATATTAGATATTTTCTTCTCCCGTTTTGAGTCGTTTGAGAGAGGCAAAGCATCGGCCGATGATACACATACTTCACTGTATTTCATTTCATCAACTTGTTTTTCATCTACCCGCATTATGTCATTGTTTTCCTGTGACATCTGTTGTTGTCTTGATATATCTTTGGAATTGTTTCGGATTAAACGCTTAGGCTTCCTTCTTGTAACAGTTATAAACTCTGCCTCATTACTCTCTACTACTACTTCTCTCTCCTTTCTCTTCACCGTTTTCTTTCTCAAAACTTCAACATTTCAGTATCCATCTCCTTTAACTCTTGTTCACACTGTCTTATTATTTTTGTATCACTATTTGACAATTAGCTCTTCGTCATCACTCTCTTCGACCATTATTATTTTTATATATTCTCGCGGATACTATAATAAACACAGTTATTACAAGGCTGTTGAGGCAACGCGTACGCACGACACAACAGACCGCGCAAGACTGAGGAATATTTTTCAATGCGGGAATTTTCTTTTTTGTTCATATTTTGAATAAAAATATGTCAAACCAAACGTAATAGCCGACAAGACTTCAACGTCCACGTCTGTCACGTTTGCCTGTCCGAAACACACTAACCACTCGCAAGCGTGTAAATGACATCCAAGCGTTTGTATAGGCTCGGCGCTGTGAACGAGGCTCGGCAAGCCTCGGCACGCATGTGAACTATGCCTTAGAGGTTTAAACGACCGTCGAGCCGTACGTCCGTCCTGGGTAGCAGCGGCCGGCAGGATCGGAGCGGGCCTAAAAATATTGCATTTTTAAAGATGTCCTGTAGTGTAGTGCTATTATAATAATAGTATAATTTATTAATCCACACTGACACCACATTAGTAGTATCTACATTGCACCCATGCGAAGCCGGGGTGGATCGCTAGTTATCTATAAAACTGATTCACTGACTGATCGATCAACGCACAGCTGAAACCGCTGGGTCTAGAAACATGAAATTTTGCACAAATGTTTCTTAGGTGACGTAGGTGTGTACTAAGAAATAATTTTTAAAAGTTCCACCTTTAAGGGTGCAAAATAGTGATGCAAGAGACTCAGTCGTTGAAGGACCCTAAAAAAGACGACTTCATTTTAAACGATTTAAGCCTGGAAAGACTAGAGTTTTCAGTCTGTAGTAATGAGACTCGGTCTGGGGGACTCGGGGACTAAAAGACTTAAACGACTACAGCTGTTTTTAAAAGGACTCGCGCCTGAGTCGTGCTTGAGCTCTAAGGTTGCTTTGTTAAATTACGTTGGAAATCTGATTGAGTAGTTTGTATTTTATAAACCCTGTATATAAAATAGTATACAAATTAAACAACGAAGTAGGCAAAGGATCTTATAACAGTTATGTGTTTTAAATTTTGTTATCATAAAAAAAAAAGTACAAGACGTTTATCCATGATGATAAGCACATTGATGCCCGCATTCTTTCAATTCCTAATCCGTTAGGGTTAAGGGTTACACAAAGTCCTCAAAAGGAAAAAAACAGAACCCTTATAGGATATCACTTTGTTGTCTGTCAGTCTATCTGTCAAGACTCTTTATCTCGGGAACGCGTGGAGGTATCGAGTTAAAATTAATATCATATACTCAATGTCTACGGTCCCTTGAAGCTGTAACATAATCAAACTCCTAAGTTAACGTAAAAAAAGATGCGGATGCTTTTCAAGATATTTTATAATATAATAACCTTACTTTTACCAATATCTGTCAATAAAATATTTTTACAACAATTGAGATCTAGCACCTCACGCATTTTTACGGTAAAATGATACGATGAATGACGATGATTTTCTTTTTAAACTTATAGAAAATTATTTTCTACTTTTAGTTCTTCTAGTTGCAAAGGCTTGTTTTTTTTTAATTTTTAAAACTATAATTTATTGTGCTCGAAAGCCTGGAACTACAGACGATGTCGCAAGATCTGAGAGCTGCTAGCAAAATCAGCAGATCACATTAGGACTTAGTAGTTTGAGGTGTGTCAAATCGTGTCGAGGTCTGTCTGCCCTCATGTGTAGGAAATGTCTAATTATGTTTTCGAGCTCCCACTGCAGACATCTGAAAGGATCTTTCTCGGCTCTTTGGTCGGTAGCGACAGAAGTTTTTGCGTAGTAGGATAAAACTTCGTGTAATCTCCCTTAGATATCCAAATATATTAATAAATAATTGCGCAAGATGGCTGGGAGGAGCTGGATGCGAGAAACCCAAAATCGATCTAACTGACGTGCAATGGAAGAGGCCTCTGTCCAGCAGATGACTGCGATGATGAATAAATAAATATATGGAAGTAAAATGGGAAGGCCTTCAGCAGCAGCATACATAGTGTGTGTTGGGTTGGAAGGTAATCACATTAAATTGGAAGGGTTATAGGCTCATCATAATTCTTCTGTCTGAACGATGTCTGAACGAGTCTGAACGAAGATCGCTTGTGTAGACCAGTTTGTGGCATCTTTTTCAGGTTGTGTCTGGCAATTCATGATATCGCACGATGGAATATGGTGTAGTTTTATTTTACTGTTAAGACTTGGTCATATAGGGTTTTCCGCCAATAAAAGAAATTGACTAACTATTGTTAAACTTATTTATTACAATTTGCTTAGGTGAATTGTTTTATAATTTACAGTAACTCGACTCGTGACGCACCATATCTTTTGTGATGTCAGCAATTGTAGGAGTACCTACAAGAATACTTCTATTAACATTTTAAATATAGTTATACTATACTATCCATAGAGAAGAAGTACGTATACATAAATCATATTTACCAACACGGAACTCATGAACAAACATCATCTTGTTTTATCATTTTTCGGCTAAAAGCTATTTTTTGATTCCATATCTCCTTATTTATATATAACATAACATAACACAACTTATAGGTTCTTACCTATAAGTTATGATAGGGCTCGTGAAGAGACTGTTATTGAATTTAACAAATCACCACAATCCGTTTATAACAATGTGTTATGATACAAAACAAATATCTATGTTTGGAAATTTCGATAATGTTGATATTTTTCTCGTACTACTACAATAAAGCATTGATGATAAACAAGTTTATTGGTTTGATTGTACGTAAATAGTCAGATTTACACCCTACACAACAAGTCTCTAGCCGACTGACCTCTAATATATTTCGCCGATTGCCGGCAATATACATACGAGTACTTGCATCCGTTATATTATGTAATCCTCATGTTTCCTGATAGTAAAAATATTAAATGAATAGAAAATACTTTACCTGCTATTTGTAAAGTATACTGCAACTCGGTACGGAAGATATTTAGCATTCGCTGCACACCAGCCTGACCTCCAACTGTTAAACCCCAAAGGGCCGGTCGACCCACAAACACCTGTGTTTTATAATAGTTAATATTTTTGTTTGATTAATTGTTAAAAGTAGGCAACCAAAGAGGTATTCGTAGAGGCAATGATATTTCTTCCGAACGAACGAAAGTTACGTAATAGAATTTACGTTTTATTAATTTTGGGTACAATTTTTTTTATTTCTACACCGAACTCTGGGTCAATAATAAAATAATATTTCAAACATGTATAATATAACTGTAGTGATAAGAGGCACAAAAATATAACACCATTGTGCCATTGGGCTGGGCCAGCCAACTCCAACTTAATCGATGAGGTGCGTCATCATTAAGTATATACCTATGTACACATACTATAAATGCAGGCAATGCAAATGTCTCAAAAGATCATCGATATAAATTAAGAAACGAATTAAAATAAAACAGATAACGAGGGCCTCTTACCATTTTGGCACCTAGAGCTAAGGCTTTGAAAACATCTGTGCCAGTTGACACACCGCCATCTAAATAAACCTCAACGTTGTAATTTTTCAGTGCTTCCACAATTTCAGGTAATGCCTCGATCTAAACAAATACTAAAAGGTTAGAGATTAAAGCCGACAATGTTTGATTGTAATTCTTAAACATTAGAGACATATAAATCAAAATAATAGTACCAGAATATATATATAATCGCAATTATACTATAATACACATTACCGATGCAGCTACTCCATCTAACTGTCTTGCTCCATGATTTGATACTAAAATTGCGGAACAACCAGCTTCCACTGCTTTAACCGCATCGTCTCCACGTAAAACACCTTTTGCGATTATGGGCAACGTTGTAATGCTGGAAACAATAATAAATACTTTGAAAGTAAATATACCAAAATGTGTGCGTTTTACGCCTGCCCCGTTTTACTATCAAAATTGGGTATGATAAATTTATGCCTCACAATTACCTCTTTAACCACTTTACTTCATTCCATGTAAGAGATTTGTCAAATAACTCTTCCACGTATTTATTCAGACCGCTGCCGCTATCCGTGCTTTGAATCTTAGTAGAGAGAAGACCATCAAAATTAGCTAATCTGCAGAAAAAAAGGGTAACATTTTTTTAAAAGCTTATCTTGGAAGTATGAAGATTTGCATGCATGAAGTATTTATTTTATGTTACCTCAAATGTGAAGGCAATGTAAATTTATTTCTGATATCTGCTCTGCGTAAACCAAATAACGGTGTATCAACGGTGAGGACTATTGCTTTGAAACCCGCTTTTACAGCTCTTTGAACCAATTTTTTAGTAACTTCCCTGTAAATCAGAGAAATTTAAATGTACCTACTAATACCTAGCATTACATGTGCAGTGACAAATTGAAAAAAAAATCATTAAAAGGACTATAAAATAGTTCTTACCGATCGTTATAAATGTACAACTGAAACCATTTTGTAGCCAAAGGGGCTGCCTCAGCAACTTCCTCAATTGAGCTCGTAGCTATTGTGCTTAGAGTAAAAACGGTTCCTTCCTCTTGAGCAGCTGTAACAAATATACACCACACTTGGTTTCAGAAAAAAAATCAACTAGCATAAGGGCTGATATTAAAGCATAGGCCTAGTTGTCTACCGTGCACATGAAAATGTACTTGTACGAGGGGTGATCAATAAGTAATGATAATCGAGTATTTCTAGAACGCACAAAAACCCAAATTATTTTTTTTCTGCTTGCTTATATATCCACTACTTCAGCTTAAAAAAAATGTATAAATAGGACACCATTACCGGGAGATACATTCATTTGAATACGAACTGTCGAAGAGAAAACATCAAAATGGAGAAAAATGAAATAAGAGCTGTCATCAAGTACCTCTGCCTGAAAAAAATGTCTACCAAAGACATACACAGCGACTTAGAGGAAACATTGGGGGAGTCTGCTCCTCCATATTCCACAGTCGCACGCTGGGCAAAGGAATTTAAGCTGGGCAGAACCTCCACTGAAGATGAACATCGCGAGGGACGCCCTTCCACGTCCCTTACTGGAGAAAACGTCAAAAAAGTGGAAGATATCGTGTTGGCCGATCGAAGGGTGACCGTAAGACATGTAGCTGAGGTCACAGGGATCTCCTATGGCAGCGTTCAAAAAATCATTGTCAACAAAATGCATATGAAAAAGGTCTTTGCGCGTTGGGTACCGAGAATGTTAACCGACGAGCAAAAAAAGAAACGAGTCGACATTTCGAGGGTGAATCTTCAAAAGTTCCAGGCCGATAAAGAATTTTTTTTGTCGCGTTTTGTGACCATGGACGAGACCTGGATCCACCACTTTGATCCCGAAACCAAACAACAATCAATGACTTGGAAACGAGCTTCCTCACCAACGCCGAAGAAATTCAAAGTGTCAAGTTCAGCGGGAAAGGTTATGGCGTCTGTTTTCTGGGATGCAGAAGGAATTATTATGGTGGAATATTTAGAAAAGGGGGCCACTATAACAGGCTCTTACTACGCAGGCCAAATAAGAAGATTGCGAGAAGCTATTAAGTCAAAAAGACGCGGTAAACTGCGCGCTGGAGTGCTGTTTCACCAAGACAACGCCCCGGCTCACAAAGCCGCAGTTGCGATGGCTGCCATTGAAGAAACGGGGTTCGAACTGCTCGAACACCCTCCCTATTCGCCAGATCTAGCTCCCAGTGACTTCTACCTCTTTCCTCGGCTCAAAGAACACCTCCGGGGCAACAAATTTGAGGACAATAGTGAAGTGATGGCCGCAGTAGAGGCATTTTGGAAGGGGTCAAGACAAAGAATTTTTTTCTAAGGGAATCATGGGCTTAGAAAAAAGATACACTAAAAGTATTAACTTGCAAGGAGACTATGTTGAAAAATAAAATACTTTTTTTAATCTAATAGTTCTGTTTCATATTGATTATCATTACTTATTGATCACCCCTCGTATGTATATACCACACATGGGCACTTCTATCTATTGCTCATTGTAATTGAAATTAATCTTCTTGATTTTAGATTTAAATAAAACTTGTGTTTGAAATATTTAGTAAGCTATGATTCAACTGCCAGGTAGCAGCAAATTGTGATCTGTTCCGCCAAGAAATTCCTATGGACGTGATGGTTATGTATATATTTAAGAATGTTAAGTTATATTATGTATCCTTCCAAAACACAAAAAGTTCTTTACAGATTGAGCTGGAAATTTTGACGGTTTGAAGAGATGGTTTTTATTTATTTTCAGTCAGTTTTGTTTCTCTTTTCTTATCAATGCAACAACAATTTGTCACAGCAAAGCGTGGCAGAGTTTAGTTAGTTTAATATAATTATTAAACAAATATGTAGGCACCTTTCACGTTGGCTAGTTCACCATCGGGATGAGCCATCCTTTGCATAGCAGTGGGTGATATACCAACTGGCATAGACACATCAACTCCTAGTACGGTGGTGTGAAGATTACAACGTTCTACCCCTACCAAGCATTTTGGGCGAATACGTAATCTGTAATAAAATTTGGCAACCTTTTATTTCTTACAATGATAACGCAAGAAAACTCGCTACGCTATGATATGGAGTAGGAAGTAGTACTGACCTCTGGAATGCTAATTTGTTTTCTGCTAAAGTTTGTTCATCTGTAGCACCACTTTTGTAATAGTCCCGAGCAGTCTTTGATAACAATGCAAGTGCAGCTTGTTCTATGTCACGAAGACTTACATATTTTTCCATGGTAGGTTAAATATCGCTAGAGTGCGCTAACTAATGTTAATCAGTAATATCTCACACTCAACTGTTCAGGTTGAACTTTACTGAGTATTTATATAGATGTGTACCTAAACGATAAGACTGTTGTTTATAAATTATCGTTTTATTGTGTATGTTAGGGCATAGGTCATAGTTTTACTCCAATAAGGAATTGCTTATTTATACTCGGTATAATACTAGCCCAACTCTGTGACTTTGCCTGATGAGAAAAAGAATTAAGTACCTGAAATGATTAGGATTGTAGGCATGTACAATATTTATGTATATTCCTTCCATCGAGCCTACTTCATGAACTAGATTGGGATCGGTTTTATGTCTACTACTATACGGCTGACCTTCATTATTCAAGCGGAGCTACTGCCATCAGACTTCCACAACCCAAGAACTGGGGAAATCAAAGTTCTGTACAGATTAATGTCGGACTACCCGTAACCATTGCCATAGATGTTTGTACGTTAACCGTGACCGACGGCTTAATGTGCTCTCCGAGGCACGGAGGGGTCTCCATTTGTTAAGACTGACCTGGGTAGAATGGCTTTACTTTGCAATGTGAACTCAGTTACCACTTAGCCATGAGCAACTCGTACATATTTAGTTTTAATATGTTTAAATATGTATGTTTATCAGCAATCTGGATGCCATTACACAGACTCTGCCTAATTTGGGATCAGACAGATAAGTATGGGGTGGGTTCAGTTACTATTATATATTATAGCATCATCATCGTCATCACAAGTGACGAACAAGCTGCATTCCATGAATATCTGAGGCTTAAGATTTATTTATTCATCATCATCATCATCAACAGCCTTTAACAGTCCACTGTTGGACATAGGCCTCTCCTTAGAAAGGAGGTTTAACTCTGTAACACACCTTTAAGTAACAGAGGGGTCCTGCGCATTTGATTGTATATAATTAAAAACAACCTATAGCGGTAAGTTTTAGGAATGTAATATTTTGGAGACTAACATTCTTCAATGATAATTGCCTTCTAAGATACAAAAAAATAGTTTTTGGGTATCTTATCATAGTATCTCAAAACCAGTACGATTTTGAATGTTTTGCAACCTAATTTGCATAACTTTGTTTTAAAAATATTATTGTGATATGAATAGGGAAGGTAAATACGTAATTAAGTTATTACCAGTAAGGTCAATATATTATTACACTAATTATCTTATCAACGTTGCGTTTTATTTTTGCCATAAGATACATGAAGTAAAACTAACAAAAAGGATTTTATGAATTTATTTCTTGATTTAAATAGTATAATATCTGCACGAATGCCTTTTAAGCATTCTTGTAAAATTGTCAAATGCCATTTCGTTATATTTGTCATAGAAATGTAATACAAAAACTCAACTGATCTTATAATAATATTCTTTTATCAATTACACATTTTACACTGTTCTGATGAAATCTTATGTGTTTCTATCATTTGCATATTCGCCAAATTAATGCATTGTTTACGTCAAGTTAATAAAAATGCGCTCTTACATTTTAAGATGTTTTAATTACAATTGTTGTCGCGAACTTTGTTAGATTAATTCATTTACGTTTGTTCAGCGACATTTACACACACAAAATAGTGTGAATTCCCTGTTAAATTTATTGCCCTTTGATGATATATACAAGATTTTGTAATTCGCTCCGGGTATCAAATATCTGCAATATTGTCTAGTGGTACATGGATGCATTTGCATGTAACTAAACACGAACTATAGTGTTTCACCTATCTAAGATCAATCACATTTTATCTCGTTTTAACATAATATCGATAACTTTGCATTTTATAAAAGATACAAAACATTCTAATTATTAAGCTATTAAGGAAAGGGCCACCGTATTCCCTCTACCTATAACTCCATCTTTGGTAATAACATTAACAACAATTAGCGTTTCATCGACCAGATATCTAATTATTCACAATGCTATTCTGTACTACATCAAACATTACTTGTTGTTTTGGATGTTTTAGTTATCGTCATAAAACCAAGGCGACTTCGATTTTTTTAAAGCCAAAGTAAAAACAAATCTCGATGTTATTCAATTTTACGCTAAGACATTGCTTAGTGTTTTATTAAGCGATAAAATTTAATTATAATTTCTATCACATAAAACATGGGCTTATAATATCCCATTTTGTCTGTACGTAAAACGAATAATATTGAGGGATTTAAAATAATTTTTAATACATCTTTATTAATAGACCAATACACAGACTATCAGGTGTATGCATTGAGCAAATAAAATTAAATTAAGGCACATGGTCATGTGATCATAATTTTAAGGGTCTTGATATAAATGACGAAATAAAATATATGGCGGTGGTATTAAACTTGTAAATACTAGAATGCAGTGAGAAAATATAAATGGCTGCAGTGAGTACCCGTATGTTCGGGTTGGCGAGACTACGTGTGTCTGCGCTGCCTGATAGCCTGAATGTTACAACAATTTACCGCTAGAAGAAAAGGAAAATATTATACAACCATCATGAAATATAAAAATAAATAACATTATATTACAAAGCAGAACATTGACATAGTGGCAACATTTTCCTGTTAGACTAGTCGTTAATACCTATATCTACACTTTTCACGGAAGTAAAACTAAGTTTATTATAATAATACAACTAGCAAATTTAAAATGAAATAATATTAAACATTGTTTACATAGTCAGAGTTAGGCCAATATGTGTTCTCTGGCCTCGATCATTTTTTTTATACTATGTACATTTATTTGACTCCACTCATAAGCATTTTCATATACAAGTATTTAGAATAATCATGACTCAATATATCACTAAAGCGTTATTACAATATAACATTTAATAAAAAACGACTGCTCTTAAATATGCCCCAATGTTGAATAATATTTACGAGTGTAGTCGTTAGTGATTTTCTCGGTCCCTAAATATTGATGTCCTGGTACGATTATCAGTTTGGAAGTTATTTCAGCTTTGCCAAATATCCCTTACATGGACTTCGCATATTGCGTTGTACGTTTACGATACATACATGTGCCCGAGATGCGTTTGCTTTGTGGTATACCGAGCTAGCTCATAGTTTATATTTTTAACACAGTACATATTTGTGTTATGAGGCTTCTTATAATGTGTGTCACTAAAGTTAATCTAAGGTTTATCTATTTAAGGAAGTGAGACGAGGTGTACAGTCATCCAAGACAAATCAATTGAGAACCACGTGTTTACAAGATTTAGCTTCCATAGAAGCTTTCCTATGTATGTAGGCTTGACTAACATAAAAAATTATGGGTTGATAAACTGGTTGAGTTGGCTTACTGTTGTTCTTAATTAATATTTTCGTTAAATATATTTATTAGTTTTTTACATTATGAACAATGGAGTTGTAAAGAAATTTTATAGATTAAAAAAACATTATTAAAATGCGATGTTCATTAACAGAACATTTGTTCTATTATTTTATAATAAAAGAGCACTGCTTTGTTCGAGGTTTATAATTAGCCTAAATGAATATCGAATGCTAATCTTTTGCAAAACAATAAAACTCAACCACGTAACATTATAGATAGCACCTACCTTTTTATTTTGTCATAAGATACTATGATTCATCTACTGTGTGAGAATAACATTTTATAATAATTCATTCCACTTTGTCTGTGTTAAAACTTAAAAAACTGTTTTCTATCACTATTTGAAATGCATCAGATAAAACTATGTAATTAAAAGCAATTACCCCATATTGTTCATATATACTATCAAATATTTTATAAAAAACGGCCTTACAGAGCACCCGATCGTGTAGCGGTTGCACAACTCATTTATCAATACTTTACATAGATAAACAAACTTACTTCTAAAGGAGATTGCTTCTAATCGTGTCAATAAGTTAGGAAACTTAAATATTTGGGGACCAAACGAGCTCGCCATAACATATGAGGGCGAAACTGAGGCGAGGACCCAGCCCAGGGAAAAAAGATTACAACACAACTTACCAGCGACAAAATAAATACTATGGTACTTTTAAAGCGAAACCTGCAAGTTACATAACTACAAGACGTGAGGCGGGACAACGACAACATCTCACAGCGGCGGCAGCGGATCGCGAGGAGCGGGAGCGAGCGCGGGCGCGGGCGCGGGCGTGGAGGCGGGCGCGGGCGGCGCCAGGTGCAGTTGCCGCGAGCCAGGCTCCTCGTCTGCAGCCTCATCATCATCGCCACTGTCGTCAGCGGCGTCACCCGAGCCCGAACCCTCCACGCCTTCTCGTGTTTCGTCTTCATCTTCCTCATCTTCTTCTGGGCATAACTGGTAAGCCCTAAGTATTGTTTTTATAAATATTAACGTTTTCATCTAATATTTTATTTTAAAATGCATAGCTAACATTGTAATGTATGCCTGCCTCTTTTAAAAATTTTGCGGACCATATAAAAATATTTTACAATATGGTAAAACATAAAAAACGACCATCCCTACTGACGTATGTGTATGTGGATTTTATTAATTTACAGACTGAAATTTACTCAATAAAACTCTTGAAAGCACAAAATTTATTGCATGTATTTTACTATTCTTAATTAATCCAAGTAGTATTTTATAAAGAGTTGGCTATATCGAATATACTCGTACAGGCCCTACAAATCAACTGATTACTTACTTTTCTAGTGTTTTTCTAGCGGAGTTGCTTCGCTCCAAGAAATATCCACTGGAGGTCTCATTAGAAGTACTCGGAGGAGACCACGTGCCGTAGGAACCGTAACCGCCACTACCATACTTCTGGAACAAGAGCCGTTCATCAACGTGGAATATTTTTTTTTACAAATACTTTGTCTTCTATTTTTTCTATCGGTCTTTTATTTCCTTGGATTTCATTAAATTAAAAAGTTACAATAAACAATCCCTTGAACTCGAAGAAACTCGAATCCCTTGAGGGAATCGGCCGCTTATCCAAACGGCAATACACTGCGTCAATAATTTTTTGTAGAAGTAAATAGGAGTGGACTGAAAAAATAATTACAATATGAGTTTAAAACTTTTACTTTAGGTATTACACCTATGTAAAAGCTTGTCAAGTTAAAAATAAATGAACTGATGATTGACGCTTCAAAATACGAAACCCGATAAAATTTTCTATAGTCCATCTAATTTAAGAGGTATCGTTTGACAGTTCTGACAGATTGAAGAATATGGAAGGGGTCAAAGAAATCGATTGCTACAATATCCGATTCTTAAGTGATGTCAATATCATTTCTCTATATTTACAAATCGATTACAGTTTTACATATTTATATATGTTACTGTATAAGCCCTTATATTATTCTACTGTTACAAGCGGGGTATATAATAAATAAAAGTTGTCGGTTAATTACTTTTATTTCACTGTATTTACAAACAAACATTACAACAAACAAGAAATCACTATATAATTCGTTAGTTGCACTAGAAATTCACTTCGATGTTAATTCGCTGTGTCGTAAAACGATACTGTGTCGTACGACTAACACGCTTCGCTTTTATAGCGCTATCGAATTTACTGGAATGTTCCAGACAAATAAGAATATTCCAGTATCAATAGGTCGAAAACACACCTTGCACCAATTTTTTGGTAGTCAACATATACACTGAACAAAATACTGTTGCAAGCAATTTTCGCCCTTAATAAGATTTCTATTAAACCATCTATAAATGACGCTGATCACGAATATAAAAAGAAATTAGATATTGAGGATAATCATTAGGCTGAAAATTGCTTGCAACTATTTTGTTAAACGCTCATCACATATAAATGATAAAAAATAGGTGCAAGCAGTTTTCGACTTTATGAACATCCTCAATATCTAGTTTCTTTTTTAATATTCGTAATCAGCGTCATTTATAGACATATTGTTTTGTTATCCGAATGTGTTGACATATTAAGGAAAACTACGTGGAGACCAATTCAACACGATTACACGCCTGTACATCTGTCTGAATCTGTTCTGAAGCGAACAAGGGCACTTAACTTAGTACATTAATAGAAATAAAATAAATGATTAATAATTCACCCAAAAAATAAATAAAACGTATTTTTATGCTCAGTATGTTTGTTTGCGAGAGTGCCTGCTCAACATTCGGTTTGAAGATAACTTCATTGGCTCAGACTGTACGAGTAAATACTAAAAGATGTCTATTCGATTATTCTTACATTGTAACGATTATTCGTATACAAGTGAATTTGAAGAGTCACGACACTACGGTAAAGGACCTAACTTTTGAATAAAAGTCTAAAAAAAATTGTATATTTCGGTTTTATGCTTTGTTTAAAAGATTTACATTTAAATTTAGTTAATAAAAATTATACATCTTGTGATGTAATCTTGTGATAGAAAAAGCTTCATAATTCCATGGTTTTACGCCAAAAAATATTTTAATTATGTGAATTACGCCAATACAAAGTTGTTTTGGCTTGAAAAGTATGAAACGTCAAACGGTACCTCTTAGATTAAATGGACTATAAGGTTTATTATTTACATATTAACAAGTTCAAGTTGATGCTATCAATTTTAGACTGCAGTTAAAAGAACAGGTATATACGTACTATTTAATATATTTGGGTCGAGGCGAGATATTTTTTATAGCTAGTCTCGTGTGTACTTGACCACCACCAATTGACGCAGGTACTCACTCGGTATGGTTGTTTCGATAAGTATCTAAATCGGATCGGAGATGAGGTGACGGCACTATGGCAGCACTGCGAAGCCGACTGGGACACCGCCCAGCATAAGCTGCTCGAGTCGGTGGCGATGGTAGCCGCCGACAGAGCCCCGGTCTATCAGAGATCGGGTAATAATAACCTAATCGCATCCAGACGTGATCGAGCCGCAACGTAGAGATTTGGCCGATGGGCGGTGGAAGTTCGCGGCTTACACCAGGAAAGGACCTGAATAAGGGCTGGGAGTGGTTTCTAATGGAAACAACACATACTCTTCTTGTAGCGTCGAGAAAGGGTGCCCAGGTCTCTTGAGTTTTTAAATGTATGTAAGTGTAATACATAAAGAACCAAACACATATGTATACATACACGGTCGAGCTCGTCCTGCAGCCAGGCGAGTAGCTGCCTCCAGCGGCGGCGCGCGTCGGGCTGAGCGTGCACGGCGCGCACGGCGTGTGGCGCGCGACACATGACGCCAACCACGAGCTTCACACACGCGTACGCGCGCTTCTGGTAGTGCCCTCGGGCCCGCGCCGCTGTCTCTAGAAGTCCTGGCCGCTCTTCTGATACACCCTATAAATAAACGACTGTATTCAAAACAGATCTCGGAATAGTGGGGGATCGTTTCACGCATTTATTAAGCTGTAATTTTTGTACTAGTAGTAAAAAAAGTTTATGAATTTGAGGTTCTTGTAACCTATACAACGATTCTACGTATTACGTACAAAAAAAACGTCTTTATAATAATTAGTCACGTCTAACAGGTCGGTTTAACCTAGTTTCAAAAAGAATACATGTCTTAACCAACAGTGTACCGAAATTCAGTAATACTGTACTCGTACGAAGTCGTTTTATTCAATTGAGTTCGTGACTATTTCGATCGTTAAATAATGAAATTAATAGTGTCTTTCAACTTTTCTTCAAATTATTAAATAATGGGTCCTATGTCTTCACCTATGAAGTTTGAAATTTTTAAACCTACCATTTTCAGATTTAATTACAGGCCAACAAAATTTGACAAATTTTCTTACCTAGAAACCAGAGTATACTTTCCCGAAGGATTTTGGTGCTCTGAATCTAAATCTGGCCTCAGATTTGCTCTATCACGATAGGTTTTTGAGATATTGTAACCTTAAGGTGCAAAAAAACGCCATGGCGTTTTTGCACTTTGCGTGCAACTCGAAATTCAAATAAACCTTAGTCAGCCATGTCATTTTAATTTCAAATTCAGTCATTTGTTTTAGATAGTGTTTGGTTTTTGTGAAATTGTGGTAGTTTTTGGCATCATGGATAAACTGGCAATTTTTGAATATGAGTTCCTACGTAGTAATAATAACCTAATCGCATCAAGACGTGATCGAGGAACAAGGTAGAGAGTGGGCGGTGGAAGGTCGCGGCTTCCACCGAGAAAGGACCTATAAAGGGGCTAGGCGTAGTTCCTAATGGAAACACCACATACTCCTCTTGTGTCGTCGAGATACCGCGTCCAGGTCTCGTGTATTTTTAAATGTATAGTGTAATACATAAAGAACCAAGCACTGTATACGCTACGCTAACGCTGCGCAAACAACACCAAACATTGACGACGTGTACGGGCCTAAACACTGCTTTCATAAATACGGTTCATTATTAGTTCAATCGTTTAGATCTAGAAATTTACGAGCCGGTAACTATAGTCGACAATGACGAATTCAAGACGATAGTGGTAGCGGATCCAACTTAATCTATGGATAAGCTTGCAGCGGCCTTTGAAATTGTATCAAAAATAACACTTGCGTCAAATCGAAAAGATAAAAAAGTTGGATAAGTTGTGCCACACGAACCAAGGGACCATCAGCGAGACTTAAGCATCGAAACATACATAGCAATACTGAATCGGCATAGAAACAAGGGGAACACTGAATCGAATTGTTACCTACGATGAAAAGTGGATCCTGTACGACAACAGTAAGCGTTCGTCTCAGTGGGTGGACCCGGGTACAGCACCTAATTCATCAGCAGCCTTTAATAGTCCACTGCTAGACATAAGCCTCTCCTGAGAAAGGAGGTTTTGGCCTACTAAATTACCTATAATTAGTGGGTTAAAAAAAGTTTACCCATAGGAAGATGATAGTAACTGTCTAGTGGAGTAGTGCATCTTCTCTCGGACTTAGAGTAGAGTCTCGGACTTGTACATCATAGCTTGTTACTGAATGGCACAACAGTGACTGCAGATGTCTATTGCCAAGAATTGCAAACAATGATAAAGAGCCTCGCAAATCGCTCTTTTCGCCATTGCTTCTTCACAACAACACGCGAGCTTACACTTCACGACATACCATCGCAAAGCTGCAAGAGTCACAGCTGGAAGCTCTCCGTCACCCACCGTATTCACGGGCTTTTGCCCCAACAGATTTCTAATTTTTCAAAATTTAGACAATAGTTTAAGTGGAAAAAAATTAAACACCTGATAGGCAGTACAAAACGCTTCTGCTGACTTCATCGCCTTCCATCCAGCAGACTTCTAAAGTAAAGGGATAAACAAAGTGCCATAAAAATGGCAGTTTGTTTATACTTTAATTTGTTAAAACAAAGAAATAACCTAATTTTTTACATTTTAAAATTTCGTTTAAATCTCCAACATCATAGGTAAAGACCTAATATTTGTACTCTTACAAATTGTATTTTTTTACTAAGACTACTACTATGTAATTTATAGTAACTAGTAGGTACTAATTGAATACAATTTATCCATACACAAAATTAACTAAAACTAAATGGTGTTCCGTTACAGGCTGGCCGTAGTTTTATTGCATTGGCCTTATTACAGTGGCCCTGTTACAGTTTAGAGAGACTTACGTAACAAGTAACACTCATGGTTGAAGCCTGTTTCTAAAAAAGGACAGGCCTCCCGTTACACCCTATCTACTGCTTAGTGGTCGTTCTCTCCGGTACCTGGTATATGTATATATTAAAAGCCTGCCCCTCGAAATTAGTAGTACAGTCAAATTCTTAATACAGTAAACAACAAAAGTTGATGATCAGAAACGGATTGTCGAAACAACTGTGTAGTGCTACAATGTTACAAAACTAAAAAAAACGCCAGTAATAAATAAAATATTAGGTAAGCAAATAATAATGCCAATAGATGCTATGATTGTCTACACTTTTGATTGCAAATGAAAAATGAATAATCGAAATATCGAAAAGTCCATCAACTTTTTAGCCGAATTCTGAATCGAGTCACTTACTTTGATAACGTTATGTATCCGATGCTGCTGCCAGCTGTCCTCCATAAGTAGCAGTGCGGTGAGCGCATCCGAATGTCTCCGTAGCTCGTGGCAATATGCGTATGCCATCTGCCATAGCAACTCAGCCAACGCAATGCGTGACCAACCCGCATGTTCCCAACATAAGAACTGGAGCAGTCGGATTCCTTCTTCACATCCACAACACTCTTCTGTTAGTTTTTTCATGTAGACACTGCACAACCAAAAAATAGTTTTATCAAGGAAAATTTCAGGTGCAGAGTTCAGGTGTTTTTTTCTAGATTGGTAGTGTAGTAGTATTTCACTTGGATGAGATCAAATCAGTTTTTAACAGACCTCAAAACATAGTGTAGATAGGTTTCATACTATTGTAATAAAACGATTTACGAGTATATTGGCTTTTGTTAAATTAATAAGATAATAATTATTTAATTAATTTTAGACATATGATACCAATTTACCAAAACTTAGTTATTTCCCTCCCGTCATAATATTTAACAAGACACGCAGCACCATGGACTAAAAAAAAATTACTACTTTAATTTTTTTTACAAATATCAGGTAATTTCCGTTTACAAGATAACTTTATGAAAGTATTCGCAATTCAAAGCTTTTGTATTTATATGGGATCTCCTACTGTTAAACTGGCCGACATCGGACTAAATTGTGAGGTATTAGAGCTATCTTTTACCACAGGACACACAAAGAAAGTTGACTTTCATGTCGTTATCATATTCCTACCCTTTTTCAAAATTTACTTATAATGCAATAAGGGTTTTGACTTTTTCTTTTATGGCCGGCCGCCAGCATGACGCCAACCCCCTCCCCTTTCTCATAAAATCGTTAAATTGCATGTCTAACCTAATTATGAGCTTCTGTCATATCGAACACTAGTTGAATAAAAGTTACGTTGGTGTGAAAGTTGCCATTAGAATAAGTGTTCGCGTGTCATCGTTCAATCCCTTACATTTCGGTCTACATCTGGTCGTCGCTTTTACTGCAATTTAAGGTACTTATTAAAAAAATGCGAACGGAAAAAGGTTACAGTTTTCTTCCAGATCTTTTAAAAAGCTTCGACTCTTAAGGTTTTGCTTCTCTCATTATGCTATACTTAAACCCCTTAATACTAAATAATACAAAAAGCAAGCAAGTTACCCAGTCCTATTGTAAAGCACGTCTGCTACAGCGGGCGAGAGCTGCGGTCGAGGGCCGTGGTGGTGTTGCGGCGGTGGTTCAGCGTAGGGGTTAGGCAGTGGCGCCGTGACTTCTCCCGCGCCACTCGTGCACCCCGCGTTGCTCGCACCCACGGCGACAGCCGCACCACCAACACTCCCCGCGGTGCCTGTCGTCGCAGATTGGCACCGCGAGCTCACGTCACAGCAGCGCACCAAGGCACATACCACCTTCACATGTGTCACAATGTATGAATACTAAACCAATAGGAAATAATTGTAATACGTTCTTTATTGAACGCCTATACGTTAGAATAAATATGAGTTGCGGTGGCGTGATGGATAGGACGTCGGCTTTGCTATCGATTAATTGCAACATCACACAGTTTACTAAAGACGTGAATTCACTCTTAACATTTAACAGTTTAGTGCACTCTCTTAATAAAGATAAGTATGCAAACCGACGAAATGTTTGGATACATGGAAGTGATTACTTAAAGTTACGTTTTTTAAATATAATTTCTAATTTCATATCTTTCTTTTTATTGTGTTTGGTAATTATATTAGTATTTTAATAAATAATAAATAAAATATAATTTTACATTAAAAATCTATTGAAATTTACTTAAATCTTCGTAGGGTAGTTAATTTACGAGTCGAGGCTTTACATCCCTAGATAAATACATTCTAAATTACCTGATGAATTTTAGCAGACTCGGGGTATTGGTATTTGCCCATGGACGAGTTCGAATCATCCATGCATATGGATAACACGACATCGAGGACTTTCAACTGTAAACAGAAACAAGAACCGAATGAATCGTCAGTATCGCACGTGTAAAATAAAGTAAAAAACCTTATTCAATACATACCCTTAAAAGTTGATGTTTTTCGCTAATTCCTAAGCTAGCGTACGTATGAAACAAGTTGAAGAGTAGAGGCAGGTGGCGCTGCGCGAGCGCGTCGAGCGGCGCCACGCCCAGCGCGCGCGCGCTGCACAGCAGCTGGTCCGACAGCGACACCGCCTCGTCGCGGGAGCTCCACGACCCGTAACCGTTGCTCACTGGTCACATTACAAACATAAAAGGATTCCTTCAGCCGGTCTGATTAAGTGATGACGTTATCGAGCATGGCGCGTAATACCGGCTGCGTGTCGGTTTGGCTGTTTATGCCGTCTTTTGATTATCATAAAAATTTCTTCCTTAACAGGTCATGGTTTATAAATTTTTATTTAGGGGATATATTTCAATTTTCATTTCAGTTCTAAATATAATTAAATCTAAATTTGAATTTACCTGGTGGGTCTTGAACTGAGAAATGCGCCAAGAATACTATTACTTTCATAAAAACTACCCGTACTTCAGCAGTAGGACAAGATAACAAATAGTCGCAAAGTCTATGTGGATGCCTAAAGAGATCCGTCGCGAACCACGCTCTGACGGCTTGAGAACATCTTAAATGTTGACACAATATGTCGTGCCTGAAAAAAAAACAATAAATATAGTAATAATTCTTAAAAAATTAGCATTGCTTTATTGACTTAGCCTTGTGATAACTTATAGCTAACGCCAGAATGTAGCAGAAGTAGTTGTAGTAGAATTTATTATGCTATGGAAAGAATAATTTTGTGTAGAAATGTCTACGGGAACGAGTGACTGAAATTGAATATTTATAATGTTATAGTATTGTAATTTTAAATTCAAATAATATACTTATTTTTGACCGGCCCGCGGTTTTGCTCATTCATTTCATTCATCATCAGCCTATCGCAGTCCACTACTGGACATAGGCCTCTCCCATTTAATTTCACTTAGATCGATTTTGGTTTTGCTCGCGTAAAAGGAATTTTTCCATCCCTCGGAAACATGTTTTTGATGAAAGGTATCCTATATGTTTTTTGGTGCATTTCTGACGTGTGTGCAATATTTTAAACGATACAGAGAATAGGTACAGTATAAAATATACAGAGTATGCATAATTTAATTTATATTTATGTCATCATCCACAACCTATAACAGTCCACTGCTGGACATAGGCCTTTCCTTAGAAAGGAGGTTTTGGCCTACTATACCACGCTGGCCAGACGGGTTGGTATAGGGTTTGTTTCAAGTTTTTCTTCTTTTTGCAGTGCTGTTGTCCTGTGCAGTTTGTTCCCTTAGTCGGCTCTTACAACACCAACGGGATAAATAGGGGTGGTGACATTCCGTATTCTTAATCCGTCACCACACGGATATTTATGTACTAGGTAGTTACTTTAATATTATATTAAATTATACGAATATACTATCCTCAGGTATACACAAAGTCGACGCTTGGCTCGAAGAAGTTTGACGTCACATCGTACAGTATATTTCTTAATACTAATTGCTATACTAATTTTATAATTACTTTCAGAAACGGTATACTTTTTATTAATTAATAATCAAAAGTAGTGTTTACTTTTTTCTGAAATTGCTTTATGTATGTTAAAGAAGTTGTCACATTTACATAAATATAACTTTGGGAGTGTGTAATATTCATTAAGTGTTTTGTTTACTACAAAGAAAATGTATACCTATTTTTGACCCAGATTGACGATTATACAATTTTAAATACAACATCGGATACTTATTTTCCAAATATGTTAACGTTTACATATCAAAGCACGTGACTGTACAAAAGCAGAGCTTATTGTAATGCTCAATAGGTTTACAATCTCTATACAACGGTCATCGCATCGGCGCGAGGATTAGAGACAGGATGATAACAAGTCAGTCAATGTACGAAATTCTTACTGCACAGCGACCGCACTATAATTTAAGATATAATACATCTATAACATGATTTTACCAGTCAGTCGCAGGTCCACGAAGCGTTTTCTTCGTCCGGAATCCTACTTGAAATAAAAAATTTGTTGCCAATTGTACAGCTAACATTGACATTTCTTCGTGCTCGGGACCCTTTAAAAGAAACATATTCGAATTCAAATGTATTTTTATTATCAGAACAACATTAGTGTTTTTTCAGTGTTACATCTCTAAACAATAGAAAATCTAATACAATTAGGTGTTTATTACGTAAAACTGATACAAACAATATGACTGGATGAACATAAAAAAAGTCAAAAAAGTATCGAGAATGGATGATGTTGACTTGAAATTAGTGAATTAAAATAAAGGCCGCTGATTCTGTAGTACATAATTATATTGTTCTAATAGGCGATCTAATGAGTCCGTAAGTCGAAAGCTGAGTGGTAAAAAGTTGTTTATAGGCGGCGCGTTTGTCCTGTTGTACCGCGCGTCTCCCCCTCACAGTCCCCGCTGGGTACGTGCGCCAACAGATGATTTGTTTATGGTTCCAAATTCAAATTCTTGTTTTTTTTCCATGTTGTTGAATTGGCACAACTGTTTTTCATTTTACAAGTACAAGTTGCATTTTTTTTATGTTAGAGGGAGCAGACGAGCAGACGGGTCACCCGATGGAAAGTGACCATCGCCGCGCATGAACGTCTGTAACTCAGAAGTCACAAACGCGTTGTAAGCCTGTTATTTATATTAAATACAGTGCTGTTTATAGTTATATCATATCTAGTGTATATTGCTGATTTCATAATGGACAAAAACATCGAACAAAGAGTTTGTCTTAAATTTTGCATCGCCAATGGAATTTCGTGTTCGGAGTCACTAAAAATGTAACAGAAGGCTTACGGTGAACCGACTTGTGACACGTGCTTATGAGTGGTACAAATGGCTTATGGTGGTTGTGCACTCGGAATTTTTGACGGAAGGTCAAACGGTAAATAAAAAATATTCTTTGAGCGTTATGCGGCATTTAAGAGAGCAAATTCGACGAAAAAGGCCATATTTGTGAAAAGAAAATTCTTGGATTTTCCACCACGATAATTCGCCTTCGCACAAGGCCATCATTGTGAACGAATTTTTGACCAAACACTCAACAAATACCATCGAGCAACCACCATATTCACCAGATATGGCTCCAGCCGACTTCTGTCTTTTTCCTAAACTCAAATTACCACTTCGTGGCATCCGTTTTCAATCGGTAAACACATAAAGGAGAATTCGCGGCGAGTACTGAACTCAATTCCGGAAACAGCGTTTAAAAAATGTTTTGATGATTGGATTATTCGTTAGCGTAAGTGTATCGTTTTTAAAGGAGTATACTTTGAAGGTGATAAAATAAATTTGGATGAATAACAAACATTTTGTATATTATTGACCTTTTCCCGGTACTTTCTTGACAGAGTAGTAAAAACTACTAAATATATATTTTTATGTGTATAACTCACTCTTGTCTTTTTTTGTGAATTTGAATATGAATATTTGAAATCGGTTTTTACGAAAAAACGAGGTAATTGGTAATTTTAAAGGTTCGATTTTCCCCATAATGTGCCAGATAAAAGACAACACGAAATAACACTTACCCAAACCGCATTTTGAGAGCCTGGCAACATTTGCAATCGCATGCAACACAGTTTTTTCATAAAATTGAAGTGCTCAAGACTGAATTGATCTTGGTTATGAGAAAATGCAATATTACTGCGACGAACTGATAGCCAGATCGGTCTGGGAATAAAGCTTTCCCTGAAAACGAATAAAGAACGCATACAATTAAAAAAGTTATTATCTATTTACATAAAAGAAAATAAGAATAGCCACTTACTTAAGTGTCATGGTCTTTATAGATTGTTCTAGAGCGGAAGTTTCTATCGTGTCCCTTCTCGTGTAAAACAACATGTATGCATTCCACCACCGTTTTTGCCGTTTGTACGACACCCTTTTCAGCATAGGATCGAATACCTAAAAGTTGTAAACTATTACTATATCCCAAGCATACTTTGTCGAATGACTACATGGATAAATAATATTAGGTCTTTACCTATGAAATTGCCGTTTTGTATGCAATAAGTAAAAGTACTTATTTTTTCAAACTTTTTATTTCTGTTATTCGAAGTAATCACCCATGCAATCGACGCATCTTTGCCAACGCATTGGCAGTTTATTGATGCCCTTCTTGTAAAAATCAGCTGGACGGGAGGCAACAAACTCTTCAAAGGCATTTTGTACTGCCTCTCGGGAATTGAATTTTTTACCCACTAAAAAGTTGTCTAAATTTTGGAAAAAGTAATAGTCGGTAGGTGCAAGGTCTGGTGAGTATGGCGGATGAGGGAGAGCTTCCAACCCCAGCTCTTGCAGCTTGGAGACTGTCTGTTGCGCAGTATGGGGTCGCGCGTTGTCGTGAAGGAGCAGTGGGGACGACCGATTGACCAAAGCTGGTTGCAGATGTGACCACCAGACCTTGCACCTACCGACTATTACTTTTTCCAAAATTTAGACAACTTTTTAGTGGGTAAAAAATTCAATTCCCGAGAGGCAGTACAAAATGCCTTTGAAGAGTTTGTTGTCTCCCGTCCAGCAGATTTTTACAAAAAGGGCATCAATAAACTGCCAATGCGTTGGCAAAGATGCGTCGATTGCATGGGTGATTACTTCGAATAACAGAAATAAAAAGTTTGAAAAAATAAGTACTTTCACTTATTGCATACAAAACGGCAATTTCATAGATAAAGACCTTTTATTTTCATTTCTTATTCATAAAACGTCATGCATCTCTATGAAAACTTAAGTTCTCTTGGTCTCAAATCAAAGTCGCAGCTTAAAAAGGATAGCTTTATTCTTAAATGTAATTAAGTTTATTTTTTAAATCACAACGAGAAGTCTGATATACTATATTCATGAACGATTTTGAATAATAGGTTAACAATTTTATTAAATATAAAAATTGAATTTAATAAAACCTTGATAAAAATCAATCTTAGTTAACTTACCTCGCCCATATATTCACCGCCAAAACACTGCGCCTTCATCTCTTCGTCATCGTGCATGCCACATTCCGATACATCACCATCGTCCAACTTCACCCATCGACCAGTTTCACTACCGTTATCTCTGTATAATGAAAAAATAAACTTTATTGACTAATAAAAATTGAAAGCTCGTTATAACCGGCTCTTCAGCGTTAAATCTGTACTTCCACCGGCGAAGTATGACGCTTGGAATGGAGAGAAGTTACGATAGCCCCAATTAATTATAACACACAAAATTGCCAACAGTTTTGAGATATTATTTTTAATTACAACAATTAATTTTTAAAAGTATTACCGACTTCAATCCGTCTACATCATGATGAATTTTAATAAACTGTGTTCTTTATTCCTTAATTTTCCATCCTCAGTGGTGGTATTTTAATCAGCAACATCCTTTACTAGGCCACTGTTGGACATAGGCGTCAACTTGGAAGAGAGGTTTTGGCCTACTATACCTATATACATATATATTTGTTCGTTTGTTTTATCAGTAAATATTTTAATAAAACTTGATTACTTAGTGGCAATAAAGTTTTAATTTTATTACCCTTGTGAAATTAATATGTTATTTCATCAACATCCTTCACTAGTCCACTGTTGGACATACGAGGGTGGTCTGAAAAGTGTCCGACCTCCACGCGAAGATGGCTGCACTCGTGAATAAAAGCTAGTGAATTTCGTCGTTCATCTGTTGACAGTTACTCGCCAAAGTTTGATTCATTTTGGACGCGCAGTTGTTATGTAACAGTCGTTTGAGTGAGTTGATGTGAGTGTTTTTATGAAAATGGAAAAAATCGAGTATCGAGCTGTCATTAAATATTTGTTTTTGAAAGGTAATACGCCTACGCAAATCAAAGATGAGTTGGATTCTGTGTATGGGGACTCCGCACCATCATTTAACACAGTGAAATTTTGGGCAGCTGAATTTAAACGTGGCCGTAAAAGCTTGGGAGAAGATGAAAGTTCGGGACGTCCAAAAACTGCAACTACCGACGAAAACATCGCCAAAGTTCACTAAATAGTGTTGGACGACCGCCGAATTAAAGTGAGAGAAATAGCAGAGGTTATGAACATGTCAAAAGAACGTGTTTGTCACATACATTCAGTCAAAAAATTATCGGGAATGGATGATTTGTTTATGGTTGGTTGTTTGTTGTTGTTAGATTGGCACAACTGTTTTACATTTTGGCGCGGAGTTTGAGTTGAATCTGTTATTTATATTAAAAACAGTGCTGTTTTTAGTTATATCATATCTAGTGTAGATTGCGAATTATGGACAAAAACATGCATAATGGACAAAAACATCGAACAAAGAGTTTGTCTTAAATTTTGCATTGCCAATGGAATTTCGTGTTCGGAGTCACTGAAAATGTTGATGTGATTGAAGATTTGCCTCGCTCTGGTAGGCCATCAACGTCTGCAACTGACATCGTGAAGTGAAGTGAAGGAAATAGTGACTGAATATTCTCATTCAACTTTGAGAGAGATTGCCGCCGAACTTTCTGTATCTCACGCGTCGATCCGTACCATTTTAACTAATCATTTGGGTATGAACCATGTTACCGCTCGGTTAGTCCCAAATACCTGAATTTTCTCCAAAAACTCAATCGCATGAGAGTCGCTGAGGACATGCTAGAACGAGTCAATTCCGACCCAACATTAATGAAACGCATTGTCACTGGTGACGAGACGTAGGTTTACGAATTTAACATGCAAACAAGTCAACAAGCTTCGGAGTGGAGCCTTCCAACTGAACCAAAACCACGCCAAAGTCGATCAAAAGTCAAAGCCATGTTCACTATTTTCTTAGACCGTGTTGTGCAATTCGGAATTCTTACCGGAAGGTCAAACAGTAAATAAAGAATATTATTTGAGCGTTATGCGGCATTTAAGTAAGCATATTTGACGAAAAAGGCCAGATTCGTGGAAAGAAATTTTTGGATTTGCACGACGTTCGCACAAGGCCATCATTGTGAACGAATTTTTGACCAAACACTCAACAAATACCATCGAGCAACCACCATATTCACCAGATATGGCTCCAGCCGACTTCTTTCTTTTTCCTAAACTCTAATTACCACTTCGTGGCACCCGTTTTCAATCGGTAAAGACATAAAGGAGAATTCGCGGCGCGTACTGTACTCAATTCCGGAAACAGCGTTTAAAAAATGTTTTGATGATTGGAATATTCGTTAGCTAAGTGTATCGTTTTTAAAGGAGTATACTTTGAAGGTGATAAAATAAATTTGGATGAATAACAAACATTTTGTGTATTATTACTGTAGATGAAACTTGGATACACCATTATACGCCCGAAAAAATACAGTCCGAACAGTGAACTGCATAGGGGGAACCGGCTCTAAAAGAGGCAAAAAAGTGATGGCGACTGTTTTTTGGGATAGTCATGGAGTTCTTTTAATCGATTATCTCCACAAATGAAAAACCATTACAGAAGCATACTACGCATCATTACTTGACAAGCGGAAGGCAGAACTTGCGGAAAAACGGCCACATTTGCAGAAAAAGAAAATCCTGTTTCACCAAGACAACGCAACGTCTCATGGCGAAAATCGGGTACGATTTGAACTGCTTGACCATCCGCCTTACTAACTAGATCTAGCCTCAAGCGACGTCTTCTTGTTCCTCATCTAAAAATTGCGCTCGTAGGACTGAGATTTTCGTCAAATGAAGAGGCAATCACCTTCGTGAACAATTATTTTGCAGAGAAAAACGCCGAGTACTATTTGGAAGGGTAACAGAGATGGGAGCATCGCTGGGAGAAGAGTGTAGAGTTACAAGGAGACTATCTTGAAAAATAAAATAAAAAATTCTGAGAAAAGGTCTTGTATCTTTGTTAGGTCGGAAACTTTTCAGACTACCCTCGTAGGCGACTCCTTGGAAAGGAGGTTTTGGCCTTATATATATATATATTAGTTCGTTTGTTTTATCAGTAAATATTTTAAAAAAACTTGAATACTTAGTGGCAATAAATTTTTAATTTTATTACCCTTGTGAAATTAATATGTTATATTGTATCATGATTGTCAATGGAGTTCACAAGTTCCATTATTAAACTTAAATTACGGATAAAAGATAAGATTTTTTTTATTCGATAGAGTTTTATTTACGGTGACAGCAACTCGGTATAGGATATCCAATGATTTTACAATAAATCGCGAATAATTTATGGTTATTTATAGTCGTATGGCGGTATCTCTCGTTGCACACCTATCGTTCTGAGCTTCGCGAGTGTTAAGTTTTATTTTCAGTCACTCGGTACAGTACTTTTTGCCTGATGAAAAGTAACCATGTCTTTCTGACCTTAACAATGTGTGTCAAATTTAGAGAATTTTCGTGATTCTCGGTTGGTCAATTAATCCATGCATCCTCTCCATGCGTAACAAATAAACAAATCGATTTGATTTCGAATTTACAATATTAGTAGTTAGTACTAAAATTGGATATCTTACCTAAGCAACACGTATGAATAGTAGTGTCCACCAGAAGCTTGTCCAGAGTGTACGACGATACCGCTAAGCTGATAATGAGTTTCCTGCGCTTTTTCATCGCCACCTTCCCATAACGAAGCGTCTCCTTCGGCTCGAGCTAAGCCCCACGCTAAAACAAAACAGTAAATGTACACTAAGTGCTAATGAATGGTCACGTCATTATCTAATAAGAGACCGAAAATATTTGATATCGAGACGTGGCAAGCGTGTTTTTTTTACATAATGTAACTTTGTTTGTTATTATTACACAATTTTATTTTATGGTAGCAGTATGTCGGCATTCAAAATTGGGTAGATTTATTCAATGCTAAATATGCAAGATGAACTCTGGGTATTAGGGAATAATTCAATTGAAGTATTGTATTCAATTACAATAACTGTTGTTAGTGGGTTTCGACCTCCAGGCAACACTCAGTTCGAGTTAAAAATATGCAACCTTGACCTGCTCAAGCTATTGATTCAACTCCTCAATTCACCCATATAAGCAATTTCATCTCCTGTTTTACTTCCTCTTTGCCTTACTTTGCTCTTTAAAGTACTTCCAATTTATTGCTCATAATTCTCATTTCCTCATTACCTATCGCATCGCTAGCGCTCATTTGTCAAATCGAATAAAAATGGTTATGTCATAAATAAGAAATAATCTATATATATATAAGAGATTTCCACGTATATAGTCACTCATCACGATATCTCTGGAACCATTAGAGCTAAAGACTTGAAATTTGGTAGGAATATTCTTTTCACCGAGTAGAGGTCAGCTAAGAACGGATTTTACGAAATTAAAAAAAAAATATTTTAAATAATGTAAATAGCAAAACAACGTTTGCAGGATCAGCTAGTAAGAAATAACTTTTTAAACGACATTGACACATGACTTTTACTAAATACTTTCTAAGATACATGATTTGAATGATTGAATTGATGATACACGATTGAAACACGGGAGTAGGAATTTAATAATTTGGCAACATTAAAGGTAACCGTTCGGTTTGCAAAATATATAAATTAATTCCTAAAAATATATATATTAATACCTGTATACGGTTCGACATCGAGCTCCCGTGGAAACTCAAAGTAGTCATTAAATTTTATTGCACACACTTTTTCAAAGTCGTATTCGAACCTTTTTAATTGTATAACTAATACTGGAGGCAGTTTATTTAAACATAATCGTTTTACTGTTACCACCTGAAAAAGAAATACAGATGAATAAAATGTTTTATGTGAAAATCACTTACAAAATATAGTTCACAATCATCAATCACAAACATACAAATGTGAGAACAATGAGTAGTGTTATCGCTTAAACTTATGTCTGTCAGACAACTTCTGAGTGGAGATAAACTCGGAGCATTTAAATATCATAAAAGCAAGTAGTTTTATTTCAGGAGTTGTTATATTAGTAGATGTATATTTTATGTTTATGGTTTAAGCTTACAATACTATTTGCAATAGACTGTAGTGTTGTGATGTGGAGACCGTTGATTTAACTTCCCCGTATTGCTCAAAAACATTATAACTAACTAAAAAATTCTAACAAAAGTCAATACCTTTTTATTACATTTATCACAGTGATATGCGTCGGCACCTTCTAATAGCTCTCCTCGGACGTAAGCTTCCAAAGATTCTTGCAATCGCGACATATTCCTGATGTCTAACGACACTACACTAAAGGGTTCTTCCTTACAGTACCTACAAAATACATGGGCTTAAGTAAGTTATAATTATATTTTTTTAATGATTTGAAACATTACACACATAAAAAGCTAAGCAGAGCCTGTGCTTTGGTAACCATCACAATCGTCGCAGATAATCATACTTATATTTCAAGATATACCCATTTACAGAAAAATGACACTAAGACACTCATTATGGCATTAATTGTCTTGGATTCAAATGGAACCCACGCGCTATGCCTCATCGGTCAGGATACCAACAGCCTATAACAGTCCACTGCTGGACATAGGTCTCTCCTTAGAAAGGAGGTTTTGGCCTACTATACCACGCTGGCCAAACGGGTTGGTATAGGGTTTGTTTTCAAGTTTCAAGTTTTCCTTCTCTTAGCAGTGCTGTCGTCCTGCGTAGTTTGAAATTTAATTTAGAGATATAAATAATAAGATAAAATATTTTCTTTTCTGGCACCCACCTGTGAGGGCATCCCTTACAGATTTTTTGGTCTGAATATGTGCCGCCCATAGTTTTAGCCATAAGCTGTTCTGTACCAAGGGATTTAAGAGCTTCATCTAATGACTCAACTAATGACATAAAAAACTCTACTGCATCTTGCTGTTCACGTAAATTTACTGGTTCACCTTGTAATCTAGAAATAAAATTTACAAATTATGCATGAAGCTTTCTCAACAACAATATAAATAAGAAGTAGTGGTTCTTACCTAAAATGTGCCCAAAGCCCCCTGGGAATATAATACTGCAGCTTACTGTAATGTAAATGAGCAAATATTGCCTGAACTTGTTTTAATATGGTAATATTGTAGTCTGTGTTGTTCTGTAATAAAGTAATATGATTCATTTTTTAATGAATAAATAAGGTTATCACAATATGGAGTTTAATAATTTCTTGAGTAGTTTATACCTCAATGTTATTTTCCATTATACTGTGGTGATGGATTTCCCCAGAGAAGTCCTCATTAATATCTGTAGCAGCACCTAAAAATACAGATTAACTTTGTCCACTTTCAAAATGTAATAAAATTACATCTGTGCATTTGACTGATATATATATAGGTTGTCCTAAAATTCAATATAGAAGGGTGAGAGGATGGCAGGTGAGCGCCTTACCTCTCCAGTAAAAATACAAAAAAATACAAAAGAAGATTTTACTCACAATTGTAATTGACAGAGGGACTACTCACGCTACCGATACAAGAAAGAAAATACCTATTCATACCTATTCGCTATCACATCACCAAAAAGTACTTCAAAGTGGCAGTTTTCACATTTATAGTTATAAAATGTTAAAAAAAAGACGTGAAATTGTTTCAATATTTTTACCGAAGAGGTAAGGCGTTTACCCACCATCCCCTCACCGTTAGACGTTTAATTTTGGGAACAACCTGTATATGTATATGGTGGATGCACACAACTTAATATTTGGTATCCAGAAATTACTTGTACACAGGAAAGCTGTAGGCAAAAGCTAATGCATGAATAATAACCTTGGACTGCGAGTAGTGCATCCCGAACGGCTCGCACGCAATATAACTGTTGCAGTACTGAGTTCATATAGCACGTGGCGCCTGCATTCTTTAGACCGACGAGACCGGCTGGTGGTCGAGGTCCCACGCATGGCATATACTCCCATTCCGATAGAGCCATACTCTTATCTACAAATTTTAAAATATTGTTTTGTAAATTGTTATGAATAGTATCAAGCTAAAGAGAGACGCCTCGCTTCAATAGTATCTATTAAGATAATAGATACTCACCGCTGTAGAACATTTGCTCGAGTAAGTGTGCGAGAGCAGCCATGTTGGGTACACAGCCATGTACGAGCGCCAGCAGCAAGTCAGTGGCTGCGGCCGCGGCGCCTGCCGAGCGACACAGCGGCGGCGCGGGCTCGGGGCCCGGGCCCGCCTCGCCACTACCGTTTCCCATGCAACACCAAGCCCACGAGTACGACCAAAGAAATTCTGTTGTCACCTCCTGATCAAAAAATACCCCGTGTTACGTATTCAACATAGTAAACATTTAATAGGAATAATAATCAGAAGTTAAATAATATACCCTTATTATCTTCTAAGATAATGTTTTCCTAAACTTTTGTTCTGATTGAAAGAATATTGCCATATATAACTCTGCCCCTTTAATAACTCTTTTGTCGTATGAAAGGAGGGCGTAGGTATCTGACGAGTTGTGCAAAGTTAATTTACAACCATCGTTTTTTCGTATATTTTTACTCAGACAGAAAGGTTTTTTTTTAGTAATTGAAGTAAAAGATTATCTAATTTTTATGTTTACCGTAGACGCTGATGTGATTTTTAAACTTATAAATTATTATTTTTTGCCGTAATATACGATATTGTTGAAAAAAAATACGAGTTTTTTTGCATAGTAGATGTTTCTGAATAAAGTAGTTTTTGAAAATCAGTCAATCATGACTATTATTAATCACGATAATAAATTCAGTTTTTAAGCGATAAAACATAGTTCACCTTGATCAGTCCAGAGTCTTTGTGCTCAGTGTTCGCACCGTATTGGTATTTAACTTGAGCAGGAACATGAGCGAACAACTCTTTCGTAAGATTCAGATGTCCCTCCAATAAAGTATCGTCCAATGTCTCGTGACTCGCACGCACGGCTCTAAGCCACGCCACCTGTAAACGTCACGCGTTACTATTTTCATTTTAAAAAGTGTCCTATAAAAGCTTAAATTGAATTCTGAGGTCTATGCCATTTAACGTGATTCGTTTGAAGCAAAACAATGGCTAAAATAAGTATACCTCCAGCGCCAGATCGTCGAGCGTGCGCGCAGTGGGTCCAGCGAGCGCAACTAAGCGACACAGCAGCTGCAGAAACTGCTGAGCGTGCCGCGCGTGGCGCTGGAGGCGAGCGGCGGTGAGGCCGCGCGGCGCAGCGCCGCCCAGCGCGCCCAGCGCCGCGCGCGCTCCGCCGCCTCCGCCCCACGCGCACATCGCTAGCAGCTGCTCCGCGCACGATACCCGCACCTGTCATATTTCCACATACTTTATTTTGCTAACTAATAATAAAACAATCGTTTGTTCCGTCTTCCAATGTATTATTATTATTTTCATAGCATCATTTCTGATTGTAAACACTGACATCGACTAAATCGATCAAAGGTGCGGTAAGGAAAGGTTTAGGCGCAGAATGACCAATTCGCTGAATGTCCAGTTTTCAGAATTTCTAGTTCGCAGAATGTACAATATTCACCCGGCAAGTGCCAGAACTGATTGGCCAGGTACCGCAGGCGACTCTTTTATTATATTATAGATATAACATAAAAAATATGTATTCCGCGAAATTGTTCTTTAATCGAAACTGTATTTACCTGCGGATTGGGACAGTCGATCATCAAATAGAGAGCCGTGTCCTGCCACCACGGTTCATGCAGGAGTGACTCTAGATGTCCTCCACCCAGAGCCATGCAGATAGTTACTACCTCCATACACTCCCGTACAACTTAAAAAAGGAGAAAAGCAGAGTTATTTACATAAAATAACAATTTAAAGTCATTATCTGAAATTAAAATTACTTATACGCATACATGTCAATAAATCTATGGATTTTTTAACGGAATGGAAAGACTGCAGTAGGCTGATGATGATAAAAGAGAATTAATATACTTTCATTTCCATTTTAAGTCTCAGTATTATCCCACTTTCCAATATCTATAACTTAATTACATGAATACAATAAATTAAAGTAGTTCATTTAATTTTAGCGTGTCATAGATATAGGTGCTCTAGTGTATAAGTAGATTAAATTCTGCATAATTAGGTATCATAGAACTAACTTACGTGTAACATCATCCAGGTGAACCATTCCATTTACTTCGTTGGGATGCGCCACAGAATACGCAAGACTATAAAGTGCGCGAACTGTAGCTGTGGTGGGGACGCGCCACCACACCAGCGTTGACACGGAGTCACTATCTTCGCCGCTAATTACCATCTGGTATAGGATATATTTTTTTTTATTAATCTGACGCTATTGCAGTAAACGGAATATACAAAACAACTTGACAACCTTAATCACATATTGCGTTTTGTCCAGTATACGCAATTTTCATAATAATATTTATGTGTATATTAATGGAAAAACTTTAAATGCAAACATGGCACGAATTTTTCTGTTTCAGAATTCCTGCATGGTCTACCAGTTCGATTAGCAGAATCTTTATGAGTTTTTGGACACTCACTATTAGACTTCGACTCCCAACATAAATTTATTGTAAATTTATTTTGCATTTCAACCCCCATACATTGTACAATAGAGGACATTACATTTGAGAATTAAAATCTAGCTTTGTAAACAATAGAAATTGGCGGCATTACCCCCCTTTAAGGCGATCTCCACAGGCAACCATACGCAAAGACTATATTGAGTTTTCCAAGTGTAATAATGAGTGTCCATGGACCCTCTAGCGTGTCCACGCGGGGGGTAAAGGTGGAAGGAACTATTCATTTAACACATTCTCTATAATATTCGCGATGCATTTAAAATAAAAAAGGTAAAATATACCTGCTCCCCTAACGTATTGGCCAACTTCTCAGCAATCGCTTTCACCATCAACTCACAGCTGTGATTAGGCACAGTCTGTAAAGCTTCCCGTAATATTGTAACATCCATCCTGTAAAATGGGAATACATTATTATCAAGATAACCATTTCTAGTTTCACTTACATTTTAAAAATTCTATAATTTTAGAAAATTACCTAAATTCCTTGTCCACAGTAATGTCTGACCCATCTGGAGCAAGGATTTCAAACAAATGGCCTAATGTGTATAATGCTAATTTAGCCAACCTGACTAGAGCCAAATAACCAACCCTGAAATAAAAAAATATTATTCATCAATGGTATCTACAAAACACTCGTCAGTTGGTTGTCTGTAAAACCCATACAGTGAATTTAAACTGATACTTGGTCGATCAATGTTTTTTTGAGGTCTACTAGCAACCGAAATTACTAGTATTCTATATTACTATATTATTACTAACCCCTATAGTATATATAGTATTAACCCCTTCCGCTAAGCTAAATTGCTTGTGTTAGGAGTGGGTCCATGTCGGTAGTGTACTGGTGAGGATTCGAGCCCACGACCTCTTGATCGCAAGTCAATGCCTTAACCACTTGGCTGCCGCCGCTTCAAATCAAATTAAAACATTTATGCGTACCTCCGTGTATGCGGTGCAGCATCTTGTAAAAAATCTTTGTCTGACAAACATTGTACCAAGAGAGGTGCCTTCTTAACGCAAGCTAACTGAAAACTGCGACAACGGTCCAATCTGGTGTCCGATGATGGCATTACCATGCTGTATAAAACCTGTATATTATTTGAGAAATGAATTACATTCTTTGTTTTATTTACTAAAACAGTTTATTTGGTTTATACATACTTCCACGTTGTAGGCCACAGTAGGTGGTGCAGGGCCATAAAGCATGTCCCTTAGTTTTGTATCTTCTCGACAAAGTAACGACTCTGTCAATTTGTCCGCCTGAAATAGTTACACTTATTTTAATAAAATTTAACTAGATGTCGTTATCATCATCATCAACAGCCTTTAATAATCCACTCCTGGACATAGTCCTCACCTTAGAAAGGAGGTTTTGGCCTACTATAGGACGACGGCCAGACGGGTTGGTGTAGGGTTTGTTTCAAGTTTTCCTTCTCTTTGCAGTGCGTAGTTGTGCGTAGTTTGCTCCCTTTGTCGGCTCTTACGACACCCGGATGAATACAGGTGGTTATACCTCCTTTTCTTAATCCGTCACCACACGGACACGACAAGGAACTAAATGTATTATTAAAACTCACTTACAGTCAGTTTGTGTGCGGGACAAATCTGCGATAATAAATGTGCCGCTTCAGTCAGCTGTCCATGACTCTTTGTAATTCCAATATGTTCCAATTCTAATATAAATGGCAAATACCAGGATCCTTGAGCAAAAAGCTAGAAAAATCAAAGAAAAAGTATTTTATAAAACTGATAGAAGAAAGCTTAAAACAGAAGCTGGTATGTCATAAAAATTCTGAAATTTTCTATTTACATTTCTATAAATTTAGAATCCCAAACCCTTTTTTACGTGTATAACAAAGTGATGAATTCATTTCGAATCATGCAAAACCAGATTTATACTTACAACGCCCGGCAACGCGTGTTCGGGTGTAGGTGAGTGTGGAGACGACGAAGTACTGGAATCGCTACTGGACTCGTTAGACGAACCACAGCCACCACTACCACATACTTGTCCATCATATACCTACAAGACAATAACTAGTGAATTATCTTAAGAGCTTTTCTATAGAATAGGAAACAAAAAAAAACAATTACCTTTGCAACAATCACAGTTTTGTCTCGGAGCGGTATTTGCGAAAGTATCTTTCTATCGTGACTAGAATCTAATAACTCTCCATTAACATACAACTCCAATTTATTTACATATAGTTCTAATTTTATATTACTTTCCGAAGTACATTTCAACCTAGAACAAAACAAAGATGTCATGGACAGTTCATTAGCATGCCATTGTTCCTTAATACCTGTGTTGGAGACATGCGCTGAGAAATTTTCAGAAAAAAAAAGTTAGAATATGACTACTAACAGTACTAACCTCCTTTGAATCGTCGCACGTAACGAGTGCAGCGTTTCATTTGAGTGCGAAAATAACTCAATATCCTCTACTTGTCTTTGGCCAGTTTGAAAATTAAATCTGACTATTATAGAACATTGTCTGCCACGGCCGGACCTGTAGATAGGTAGTATCTGTCGCTCCGCGGAAAATCTTCTATCACATTCATTTATATATTCTTGTATGGCACGAATTACTCTACACATTCTCGTACATCCCTCTGACGAATCTGCAAAGTAAATGGTTGGTGACAATTGGCTTGTACGGGAGCTAAATAATATACAAAGGCAAAATTACCTGCAACAATGAAGGAGATACATCAGTTCACGATTAACTATGATGGGTATACAACATATAAAAAAGGTTTTTATTTCACTTTAAATTTGTGGCGTTGGTTTAGAATTATGTTTCCATAATAAAGATTGAAAAATATGTAAAGCAAACAGTGTATGTATGATGTATGTTTCTTTTTTATTATTTATGTAGAAGTAAAGTTTTAGGACATTTTCCAGCTAATGCATCTGATATGATACTCTAATTTACAGATAGTCGGGGTGTCAGGTTTTCAAAAATATGTTTATTGGATTCTGGATGGAATTTAATGAAATAGGGGCCATTAAAAAAGTTAGAATGGACGAGGTCGTGAAGATACTTTTTATTGCAAAATGACTGAAAATCTTTTTCAGTTATCTCGCAATATCTCGAAAATAAATCATTGAAGCCAAAAATACAAAAGTTGTTCAACTGATGATTTGTAAAAAGCGAAAAACAATAAGAAAATAAAAGTTAGCGAAGAAATCGTTTTTCATCATTGATATTTGGCTATTAGCGCGCTCAAGTGGCAATGGGCAGGGCACATAGCAAGGAGAACTGACGGACGGACGACCTGGTAAAGATTGCCGGAAACCGTTGGATGCAGGCCGCAATCAACCGTCCCCGCTGGAAATCATTGGGAGAGGCCTATGTCCAGCAGTGGACAAGCATAGGCTGAGGGTATAAGGAGAAAACTCTTGCTGTGGTAAAAGTGCTACAGCACTTCACTTCTTGGCAGACGTTTGTTTCTGCGCACCGATCACGCAGCATTGAAGTGGCTGATGGAATTAAGGAACCCTGAAGGTCACGTTGCCAGATGGATTGAACAACTCCAGGAATTCGACTTCTACATATTAAATCGTAGGTGAAAGTCTCACGGGAACGCAGAGGCACTGTCACGTAGACCATGCAGAGGACTGTAAGCATTGTGACAAGCAAGAATCAATGGACTTCACAGGTTTACTACTTTGGGACTTAACTGACTTACTACTTGAAGGTTACTTCATTGGGACCCTGGGAAGATGCAGATGGAAAGCGAAAGGGAAGGGAAAGCGTGGGGACGACCATGACCAACAACAACTCATCACGTGGAAAGCACGACGTGATGTTAAACCGCCATAGAGTGATGTCCCATCTACAAGCGCTATTACAAAAGCTTATTGGGGACAATGAGATAGCTTAGTTCTACAGAACGGGATATTTTACCGAAAATGGGCCAACTGGGCAAAAAGACCAACGGCAGAGAGTACCACTAGTACCAGAGTAGTTGTGCCAAGAGCTAAGGTTCTTTTAACCGCAGAATTGAGGGAATCGTTTAAGTTGGTACGGAACAATAAGTTTTGTATTTAACTTTTTTCGCTACAATGCTTTATTTCCGAGCTATTGCGAGATAACTGAAAAAAGACGGGTTTCAAAGTTATTTTGCAATAACAAAGTATCTTCCCGACTTCGTCCATTATAACTTTTTAATGGGTTATCATGTGGGTAATGACCTTCAGTTTTCGCCAGATTTTATTAAATTCCATTCAGATTTGAAATAAAAACCTCTGGCAACCCAACTAAGATAGAGCATTTCTATATCTAAAATGTGATGATTGAATTGAAATTTGAATGATTTGTGAATTTCATTAAAAAATAAAACTTTCGTTTACACTAATAGAGGAAAGTCACCAAATATGGGATACCATTTTGTTTTTGGGATATAAAAAAAAAGCTTCATATAAATTAAATCAGTTTAATGTTTTTACTAATCAGTCATACATTTTTATGTAGTAATTCACAGCCTTTAATCAAATATATTAGTTATCAAATTAAAATCTAACACAAAAAACAATATCACAAATGAGTAACCAAATATGGAATAGGTACCCATATATGGAATATAAGCATAAATCAACATAACAATAACAAAAATGGACATTAATATCTTTGAGATCAATTAAATGAATATAACATATTGTGATCAATGAAACAAGTTACATAATTACTTGCAAAAGTCACAGATCCAAGTATCAAACTCTTGACCAGCACAATCATAATGTGCCCAGAGCCCACACATCAAGCATTTAATCCAGCTTTCTCCACTTTTATCCACGGAAAAAAGTCTTGAACAGAACATACATTCTGCATCACCAAAGTCAGGAGGTACTTGGTCCATCAACTCATCATGTTCACTACCTTCATCAAACTGGATAACGTCTAGTTCCTCAGAGTCTTCTTCTTCACTATCATCCTTTTTTTCCTCGTTTGTTTGTTTCTCTTCGCAGTTTTCTTCTTATTCTTTGTCTTGACTAGTTCACTTTCTTTTTCTTGTCTCTTCATATTTTTTGTTTAATTATATTATTTTTGTAGGGAGAAGATGTTATGACTGCTGCTACAGAAGCTATTCTTCCTCTGCTAGATACTTTTCTTCGTTTCTCTGGCACTGGACTTATGGCATGCGGAGACACCAGATCCAAACTGCTGCGAATAAGCCCAGAAGTCGAAGGTGCAGGTTCAGGTTGTAAATTAGCAGTTGTTTGTGGTGCAGGTATTTTTACCAGAACTTGACCTAATTATGAAATATTCCATAATTAGACACCGACGACTGTCCATATTTGGATTTTTATACTAGTTCATACTCTTCTAAATATTTTTTCAAGTCACAATATTTTAATGACAAAAGATCACAAAATGGTGAAATAAACATAATACCGATATACTAAATAGTATAACTTATATATATATATATATATCATTTTTTATCATTTTTTTAAAAGACAACTCCCGCATTAGGAATAAATCCTGTGTCGCTGGGGACTTTACAAACATACATGAAACGGACACAAAGAACACCCAGACTCAGAACAACAATTTGTGGATCACACAAAGTGTCGTCCCATGTGGGGTTTGAACCCACAACACTCGGCGTAGTAGGAAGCGGCGTGGCGACCGCTTAAACCACTACGCCATCCGTGCAGTCACTTATGTATACTACTTATGTATATAAACATAACAGCTGGTAATACTCATTTATTACTTATCTCATTTTCTGTACGACAACAAAACAAAACACGGCTGCCACACGTGAAGGGTTCGCGCAACTGACTCGATAGTGTGAGTGCGATAGTTAGTAGACCGAATGAAACAAAAGATGGTCGAGTGTTGCGTTTCATACTTATAGTCTTAGAGAAATGAAGGAATTCCATATTAGGATACTATTTCATATTTGGTGACTTTCCTCTATGTATACCATAAGTAGCACGTCTTTCCTCAAGAATCAAAGTATCTCCATACCAAAGAAAATGACCATTGACCATGCCGGTTTTTCTCACAGGTAGAAATAAAATTATTTCAAAATCATTTACATACTTTATTTTTGAAGTCACTGTCCCATCAGAATGATAGATTTTCATGGTTTTTTTTTTCAAACTAATAAGATTTGAAATTGCCTTTATATTATTATATTTTGCCTTACAAAAGTGTGCAAATTTTTGCCATACCAAAACCAAAACATTTTTTTTTTTTAATCGATTACAAATCGATCGATGGATTTATAAAGAGGCTAGTTGCTTTCCTTAGTTTTTTACAACTAAGAGGAATAAAGTTCATGTCAGATAATATGAAAGTCTGGGAGAAAGTAATTGAGAAAAGAATAAGAGATGAGAGTGACATAACCCAAAAGTCAATTTGAGTTTATGCCGGGACGAGGGACACCAGATGTTATATTTGCAATGCGTCAACTATGTGAGAAATACAGGAGTGCGCACGAAAACTTACATATGGTGTTTGTGGACCTCGAAAAGGCATATAATAGGGTACCTCGAGAGGTTTTGTGGTGGGCTTTAAACGAAGAAAGAGTGCCTGTTAAGTACGTAAAATTGATTCGTGCTATTTACAGAGAGTCTATCACTCTTGTAAGTTTGGTCAGGGGAAACACTGATCAATTCAGTGTCTCTGTAGGCTTACACCAGGCACCGGCTCTGAGCCCATACCTCTTCCTGTTGATAATGGATGCTGTGACATCGGACATACAGGAGGAGGCACCTTATGTTTCGGGGATCATCTGTGTATGTTTCGGGAATCACCTGTGTCTGATCCGCAAGGAGCCAACGCCTGAGTGCCACCACTGCGATGGCCAGACCGTGGACACGGCTCTCCACACGCTGGCAGAGTGCCCGGCGAGCAGAGGCGAGACCTCGTGGCGGCCATCGGATTGGAAGTTCTCTCGCTCGATAGCCTGATTGCGGCTATCGTGCGGAGCGAGAGCGTGGAACTCTGCCGTCTCCTGCGAGCAAGTTATGCTCGCGAAGGAGACGGCGGAGCGGGTCCGGGAGAGGTTTAGGACTTTCCCGGCCCGCCAGGCCCGGGAACGGGCCAGGTACCGCATGCGACTCAGGCGCCGGAGGTCGCAGAACGACCTCCGTCCTCCATAAGCGCAGGCCTGGGGGTGACAGGTGAGGCCATCTGTTACCCTAGCAGAAACAGGCCGGGGTGGCGGCGAGCGCGTTGCGAAGCGCGCTCGCTTCCAGGGAGCAGAGAGAACGTGGGGTTCCCATACGGGGGGGTCGTCTACTTGTTGTAGATGGCCCGAGGTATGTTGGGACACCAGGGACTTCCTTTCTAGGGTATACCTGGTTCCCCGGCTATTAGTACCCGAGACGGCGTGCGGTTTCAGTAGGTTCGAGTCCAACATGCCACCGATAGGTAGTATCCGAGGGGATTTACGAAAAAAATAATAAAAACAAAAAAAATAAAAACAAAAAAAAAGGAGGAGGCACCTTAGTGCATGCTATTTGCAATAGACTTTGTGTTGATCTTTGAAGACGGGGGGTGAGGTCCAGAGCAGACTGGAAAAATGGCAACAAAGGCTGGAGAATGTTGGCTCGAAAATCAGCAGAACCAAAACTGAGTACATGTTCTGCGATTTCAGCGGTCTCTCCACTCCTGAAACCATTTCGCTGGATGGGATAGCGATAACAGTCTGCTCCAATTTTAAGTACCTCGGCTCCCTTACAAAGTGATGGTGAGATTGATCGAACTGTACAGCATCAAATCAATACGGGATGGATGAAGTGGCGCCAGGTAACGGGAACAAATTGTGACCCCAGTTTCCCCTTAACACTGAAGGGACATATTTTTATAAAACTATCATCAGACCTGCCGCGAAGGGATGAGGAAAATGTGGTCAAGAAAGTTTTAGGTGTGGGACTTGAAGAGTACAAGAGAAGAGGAAGACCAAAGAAAAAGTGGATGGACTGTGTGAGTGAGGATATTGCTAGGAAGGGAGTAAACAGTGAGATGACGCATGATAGAGTAGAATGGAAGAATCATACTACGCTGACCCCAAATAAAATTGGGATAAGGGTTGGCAGATGATGACATCATCCAGAGACTTTTTGCTTCGCACAACCAATCTGTGGTCCAAGTTATCGTTTGCGGTATTTTCGGATGGATACGACGTTCAAGAAAGTTGCTTACTGATTCCTAAAAGGTCGGCAACGCGATTGTGATTCCTGAGTTGCAGGTCTTCATGGGCGGCGGTAGTCACTTTCCATCAGGTGACCTGTCTGCTCGTTTGCCCCCTATTCCAAAAAAAAAAAACATGACTTTATAGGACCTAATTATCGCACGCAATAGTTGTTTCATCTAGTTATCTATACCTAATTTTCAGTAATTTGATTTTGTTGTACTTAATATATATTTTATATTTATTTACATGTTACTTAACTACAAGTGTCAATGGCGCGTATGTGTTTAATAATAATAACATTTGGAAATCTAACACACAACGCCATCTAGTTTCAAACTAAACAGAGCTTGTACTATGAAAGCTAGATTGACTGATAGAATACTTATATACTTTTTTTTCATAAATACATATATATTGTACATAGAAAACACCCTAACTCCGAAACAAATATTTGTAGATTATACAAACATTTAGTCCGACCCGGAAATCGAACCCGAGACCTAAGCACAGCAGTCGCATACGCTACCTCTGCGCCACCTAGGCAATCAAACTTGAACACTGCTAACATCGGCTTTTAATTACTTTACACTCATAATTGCAGTTTTCGTGTTGATCGACTCCTTAGAACCGGCATCTTATTCTGTGATCAATGTATTGCAGTCATGGATAGCTCCTACACAGGTAACCACATCTTCTGACTTTTTTATACAATTCCTCAGATAATTTAAGAATTTCGATAATATCCATAGGGTTCGTTTTTAAACCCGTTTCTGTTTTTTTGTTTCTTTAACTATTTTAACGGAAAATGTAAAGAAAAGTGATGATTTTAGTTAGTCTCTTTAGTATCGGTTATGATTACCTACACATTGACCATTTTTTAGGTTATGTTACGTTTTATTAAAAACCCCCCATGTTTTTTTATGAAATGGAAATTGTAAATGATACTTGGTTATTATATAAACATTCTTAAACAACTTTGGCGGCTGCGCAATACGGTACTGTGGTCCATACATTCATGGTCATTCTCCTTTGACCTAAATCGGTTCAGCGGTTCTTGATTTCCCATACAAACTTCCACCCCACTTTTCAGCCCCTAAAAGTATGATTTCTGGGATAAAAACTGCCCAATGCCCTATATACCAAATTTCATTTAAATCGGTTCAGCTATTTAAGCGTGAAGAGGTAACAGACAGACAGAAAAACACACTTTCGCATTTATAATATTAGTATTGATGATGTGTAACATCTGACATCTAGACGGACACCGCGCGTGCTCATTGGTAAAAGTAAATAGGGCACGCTTAATCGACTTCTGGTGACACACTAACGTCCCTATTCACGTTACTCCCATAGATTGTAGAAAGTGTATTAATTCAGTTTCAGATAGGGCGAGGTACCTTCGTGCGCCTCCATTTCCTTCTGCATGCGTTGCGTACGCGCACAGCACTGCGTGAGGAAAGCCTCGTGGTGGTGCGCGGGCGTAAGTGTGGGGCCCACGCACGTGCACACCTCCCGCAAAAGCTCGATGCCGCGCGTCGAGATTTCGTCTGAGCACTCTGTTATCACCTGCCGTACATAACACATTCTTATTTTGTATTTAAGAAAAGCTCCTCGCTTGCAGCTTAGTTGGTGCCACGCGTTTGGATGCTACAGACATATAAAGTCAGTATGGATATTTTTAACACAGTAGAAACTGTACGAGACTCCACAACAGAAGAATTTCTTCAAAATGTAGATAGCGGAAAAGGACAGGTCTCAGAAACAGAACAACAATTCAACATAGGTACAAAATTCAATATAGAGTAGACTTTGTGGATGAGCGTGGCACTCATTCCGTATCTCATAAGACGCTAGCCCCTGTTTATTTTCTATGGTATTTTGAATATGGGAGGCATTAATGATTATGTGATTACAAAAGCTAACGCTGAACGACAAAATAGGGCCATCGAGGAATTAGACATTCTTTGATGATTCCTTGGTCTCAAAAGTATTAGCATTGAACCTCGTAACTCCACATAAAAGGAACACAGCTGAAAATATCATTGATGCTTAGTGATGATGAGGCAGATCATAGTGATCAACCATCTCCATTTGGGCTATGAAGAGCCAACATAAGTTAGTCCCGTAACTTAGTAAGCTCATGGAAGTATGTCAGAAAACTAAAATATCGTGTACGTTTCGCCTTAAAATGACATGTTGCGAACATACATATGTTTGTGAGGAATGTAAACAAAAAAGTATTAAAAATTAATTAGTATAATAAACAAAAATAAAGTGATTCTCAATTGCCTAAAATAAAAGTGCCAAAATTTTACCTCACTTTAATTTATATTTACTAATTACTATACTTATAATTTAATGATTGCATTCGTCAAATGTGGTATATTTTTTTACCGAGTAGCGACTGTTTGTGTCCTAAATGGGGGCGCGCCTGCCGCAGAACAATATACGATAATCATATTTTAAGTGAAACCTGGGAAAATGAACGTAGTAAAGAAATAATAATTAGAGAATACTCACCCTCCATAAATAATCTAACCCTATGAGATCAGCGTCATTAAGTAAAAAACTTCGTCGCTTAATTTTTAGCTTGCCTTCCTTGGCATTTACAGCTTTGAAAAATCTGAAAATAAAATTATAGTTGATAGTAACTCAGACTTTGAAGTCTATCAAGGATGTTAAGGAGCTCGATAACTGTAGCAGAAATTATAGGATTGCCGATTTATTTTTTATTAAATCTTTAAACGAATCTATGTAAGTGAAACTATCCGAAACCGTTTTAGTTTCGCAATAGGTGAAATTCACGAAAATCGCAATCCTTCAAAATAGCAAAGTTTCAAAATTGCAAACTGTCAAAGAAGCGGACCGACAACAAAAAAAGAAAATCAGCTTCAAACAAATAATAAAGGGTGTCTCAGTAAGCGTGCACTTTTTAAATTTAAAATCTTTTTTTTCGTGCAAATTTGACAGGTGTGATTTTGATTCCGATTTTAAAAAATGGAGCACTTTTCGAAAGAACACTCATCATAATTGTAAAAATTCCTTACAAATATGGGGAAAGTTACGCTGAAACTTCTCGCAAACTTCGCCAAATTTTCAGTCGAGAAAGTGCACCTAATGTGTCAACCATTGGAAGTGGTCAAAAAATTTGAAGAAACTGGGTCGATTATGGATATTAAGAATCCTTTATGTCAACGTAGCGGTCGGTCTCTTGAAAACATTGCACCCACAACGAGCAACTGTCTGGTGCGGATTTTAGTCAAGCGGCGTGATTGGGCCTTACTTTTTTGAAGATGAGGCCGAAATTGCAGTGACTGTGAACGGCATTCGTTACAGGAATGATAATGGAGTTCTTGTGACCTTAACTGGACGGCATGGATCTGAACTACATGTGGTTTCAGCAGGACGGTGCCACCTGCCACACCGCGTATAAAACAATCGAATTATTGCAGCAACGATTTCCAGAACACGTTATCTCACGAAATTCTGATGTCAGCTGGCCACCAAGATCGTGCGATTTAACGCAATTTTTTCTTTGGGGTTTTGTGAAATTTCAGGTTTATGCGAATAAACCAGAAACAATTCCTGAGCTCAAATCAGAGATCCAACGCGTCATCGATGAGATACAGCCACATCTCCGTGTAAAAGTCATGGAAAATTTCATGAAAAGATTAATGGCCTGTCATCAGAACCGTGGGGGCCATTTGCCGGATATTTTATTCCATACTTAATCAGAACATGTCTTCTTTACAATCCAATAAAAATATCACAACTCTTTCATAAAATACGAGTTTTTATTTTAAAATGAAAAAGTGCACTCTTACTGGGACACCCTTTATTTAGTTCTGTCGTTGTTGGACGCAATACTAACCTACCGTTCCAGTTTTTATAAGCTAGTAAAATTGGTTCAACTACTTTATATAAGATATATATATATTTGAAAACAGAACTTTCCGAAAAAGGACATAATGCACTGGGACTGTACAAGCAAAAAGAATGTTCTGTGATTAGTAATAAACACTCTTTAATCTTTATATTTAAGTAGCCAAAATCTGCGATTATATTCTAGCAATAGTAGATAATGTCAGAAACTATTGAATAATCAGAGTTATTTCATGTCTGTAACCGTATCTTAAGCCGGTATTACATATTCATATAACGTGTCCAGATCCGAATATTCAATATGAAGTATTTAACAATTTCAATAAATCTTACCTTTCAAAACATTTGATACCGGCGTGGGTCAATAAGTTAGGTGGTAATGTCATTATATTTTTTCGAAAAAAATGTAAATTAATATTAGGGTCTAAGTCCGGTTCTTCCCCCATTAGCTTGCTAAACCACCGAAAACACGCCTCGCGATCTCCCAGATGTGCAGGCTTTTCAGCTATACACACCCAAATTTGTTTCGCCTGAAATGTATGGATCATAATAAGTCACATAATGAATAAAATGTCTTGGATTACATTGTTAGACCTGTGCTATAAGATGACACTTCAATTTACATAATCGTGTGATTCACATCTCATCTCACTTAACTTAAAGTTCATCAAGGGCATCGAATCGACTAGTCGCTAAAGCCTATGTGGCCACTTTAGTAGTCGGCGATTATTCGGCAAAGAATGCAGACTATCCGGCTTCTAATTTTGTGTGTAATTCTCAATTAGTCAAAAAATTCATACAGAAGACTTTATTTTTGATATGATTTTTTTTTTTTATTTAGCGCTTTTACTTTAAATCACCGCTCTAACCAGCGCAAAAGTATAAATCAAGATAAAATGTAAATAAAACGTGGTTCTATCATTCTCGCAGGTGACGGTTGCGACTTGTGTGCACATTTGCTGTAAACGAAACTTCACGGCAAATGTAAAAACCCCTGAAGCCGAAGTCTGCTTGGCCGAATAGTGGGCCTTTTTAAAACAGACCCTGTCAGTCATGGTCGGTACATCTCTAAACGAATTATTCCTCATAGATACACTTTTTGAAAATTCTTGCTTCTATTCCTGTTAGCGAGGATTTTCAAGTGTATACTTTTGAAAGCACTCGCTTTTATTACACATACTGTTACATACATTTCTTAAAATGATGAACAGTTGTTCCTTTTGTAATACCCTTTACAGTACAGTCGTGCACCAAATTTATTATCGTTGTATGGGATGAATTTGTATATCTACGAGGAAAATGAATTCAAGGAGAATATTTTACCCATTATCACATGATTAATACCTATATGCCTTACCTATATTGCTATCACAGTCAAAGAGGATATAAAGAATTAAAATATGTCCTAATTGAACATACCCATCATAAACCAATTCTAATTATACCTAAGCATCGTGGAGAAAAAAGCTTAGGAGTTTGTGCTAATAAAAGGTTTTTTCAACTATTTGAGTTACATACATAGTTTATATTACAGTGGCAGTTTTAATTATAATAGTAGTAGTATATATTTTTTTTTGTGATAAATGAAATCGGTAAAGTTGTTCTCAAGCCAAAATTCTCAACCGTTTATAAAATGCTTATACTTTACCGCCTCTACAAATAATATCGTTAACTTTATCATATATGTTTAGATGCATTTGAACGTTTAAGTAATACAAACCCAAAAATTATAAATAGAATAAAGTATATCATAGAATAACAAATGCGGGAAAGTGTATCTACGAGTATTCAGATTCAACTCCGTTGCACATTTAATTTTACTAGTAATCGCCCAGAGGTCGAAATGCGACCATAATTTATTTAATTTTTAAGTTTGAACTTCATTAGGGTTCTTTTGTCAAACACTTCACCTCTATAATCAAAGGTTTTATCATATATTACATCTTACATCTTATATATAAAATTCTAGTGTCACAATGTTAGTTACCATACTTCTCCGAAACGGCTGAACCGAATTTCATGAAATTTTGCGTGCACATCGGGTAGATCTGAGAATCGGCCAACATCTATTTTTCATACCCCTAAATGACAAGGGTGACCCACCCCTATTTTTTTTTTAATATTTCCTAGAAATAATGTATATGGCAAAACAACGTTTGCCGGGTCAGCTAGTTTAATATAAAATAACCTACAATACAGTTTAACCATACATTTTAACCATGAACCAAAGAGTAAGTATAGTATATGAATGTGTGTGTATGTTGTGTGTCATTCAAGCAGTAGCGTTTGTATTGTTTATTTTAATTAATTTAATGTATTTGTAATGCATTATATTTAAAAAAATGCCTAATGCACTTCTTTTACATATAAACTTTAACTATGTCAAATTTCACGTTTATCCCCTAATTTTCTTAAAAAGGGGTACAAAGTTTATGCTTCACGTATTAATATACATATATAGATTTATTTTTAATCTGTGAGACTCAGTTTTTGTAACTTACGCCTCGTCTTTACAAACAAATTTACACAAACACTTTTGTATTTTGATGAACTAGACAAAAGTGTATCTAACGGGAATAGAAGCGAGGACTTTCAGATGAGCAATAATTCCTCTAAACATTATCAAGGAAATGTGTAAGACACCTAGTGATTATTTTATCACATTCATTGGCAAACTTAACAAACCACGGGACACAACAAGTGTAGTACAGCCATACCTTTGATCGCTTTAAAATAGTAATAAATACAAAATTGAAGAAAAGTATTCACTTAAGAAAGTTATTGAGTAACAAAAAGTAGTAATTATGTTATAATATCTGCATAGATATCGGTGAATGTTTTAATTTTATTTATAGCCTTATTTCTATATTTAAAACAAACATCATAATTAATTGACTGGGAATTTAAAAAAAAAAGTGGTCTATTACCTGTTCTGCACACAGCCATAATTGTCCATCTTTTAATAGAAATCTCAAAAAACTAAGTCTTTCATGAACTTGAGCCGTATGTGGATACCTGCCATCTGGAAGCCAATTCTCCCAATCTATTTCCCCATCTTCTACGAACATAAAATTAAAATGCAATAAGTTTAAAGCTGAATGCAAAATCCTTAATAAATCATATACCTGACCAAACAATACCTGTTAATTTGTTTCTGACTGTATCCATATAATGAGTTAAAGAGTCTGTGACAAGTATCACAAGCGAATGCTGCGTCTGTAATCTATCAATGAGCTCTTGTCTAGTTACGTGTGGTCGCAGTCCCGTACGGTCCGTCACCGTGGCCTCATACAGACAACATATGTCACGCATCATTTTAAGTGCTGGTAATACCCATTTCTCATTGGTTTTCAACTCTTCTACACACCTAGATTTTACGTAAGCAAGTAAGTATAGTTTTTTTAACCATCTTAACTAATATTATTAATGTTAAAGTGATTTTGCATTTCAGGTTAAGTTTTTACGCCTACTCAACTGATAGAAGAAGACACAGATAAGGACTTACAGAAATATCTGTCTCGGGATATTAAAAAACTTTAACCCGAGCAAAACCTTTAGCTAAAACCAATAAACAAAAAGAAAAAAAAACATTTTCTAATTTTCAAAAAAAAAATTGCATATATTTTCCTTACTTGTCTAACCAAAGAGTCTTTTGTGCATCACGATCTTGACTACAACTGTAATCCAGTATTTTTATGAGGTTAGCCAATGCAACATCCAAGATTTCCGTACAGACTTCATCTGAATGTGCTAAGTTCCAAAATAGTACTAATACCTACAAAGAATACAATATTACATTCATTACTGATTAATACCACAAACGACTTTTAGTCCCCTAAATCTGAAGCGATTTGAACAAAGTGAATACTTTTGAACATATTGATTTCATAGGTTTGTTCACTTACCTTGTTTGCCATTACACCATCTTTGTCATCTTCAGCAAGCCTTCTTATAACTTCTAATAATTTATCACTTTGCTTTTTGCTTGATGTTGCCCAACTTGCCTAAAATAAGGACAATAATACGTAAGTATGCATTGATTTGTAAACACACTACGTAGATTAGATCAGTTTGTACTTACCTTAAAACAATCAAAGAGGTGGTCCAACTGCTCAGGAGTGAAATCCCACGCTAATTTTGCTAGTAAATCATGTAAATTCTTAACAATAGCCTCGTGTTTCCCGTGTTGAGCCTTCCATATAGCATCTAAATCGTCTCTTGTCAGTGAGTTTTCTTTTATCATAAACCTAAGCATTTTCTCTAACCTGTCTACATATTGGGGCTGATGAAGGGAGTCACGTAAAACTATGTCCACGACCTTGTTTTCACGGATCCAAGTCTAAAAAATGGATAAATTTTAATGTTACTTACAGGATGTAAATTTCACATAAGTGCATTCTCGTTAATACAGGTGCAGGTGTGCACGAATCTTGAACACAAATGCTATTTTAAGTTACTGTAAATGTATGAGTTTTTTTAAATTGTAGCTAAGCGTTATAAAAGGTACGAACACGCTCTAGAGGCGGGTTTACCGCCACACGCGAACATCCGAATAATGCTTTATGGCTTAAACATTTTTTAGAACACAATCTAACATAAAATCGCCTTATTTATGTTCAATTTCGTATCGCCTATAATACTACATAAAAGATTGTTCAAATTATCTTACTGTGATGACAGCAGGAGTAAGCCATTCTGGTTTTGGTTGTTGTGAAAATGTACTTATAAGTTGATTTATTTCATTTAAAGCTGACATTTTTCCATTGAAAGATGACATTTGTAGCAATCGCAAAATCATTTTCAACCGAAACATTTCAAGTGCTAAAAAAACATTTTAATTAGTATTTTTCTTAAATTTGCTATACTCCCTAAAATGTGAATGTAAATATAAATTTATTACAAATTATTATTATTGCAAATATTATAAAATTCTTCTCTCTTCTGCTTCTCTGTCGGAGAAAAATCATCGGTTACATACGATGTAGAGGCAAAGGGGAGGTGTTTGACTACGCCCCTTAGCAACTACAGGGAATGCTGCCGACAGATGTTTTTTGACGACGACGACGATAACGATGATGAGGACGATCTATCAACGACTCAGCCGGATCTCGCACACATATTTTAATACAAAAGGAAAATCATGAAGTTTTGTTCATTCTTTTTATTTGTTGGCACTACTAGGCTTAGAAAAAAAAGGTCTGTGTATATAACCCATTTAGAGTATAAGATATTCCTTAATAATAATGAGTACTTACTAAATTACTTTATCAAGTTGGGAATTAGTACAAAAACTGTCATACAGTTGTACTTTAAATGTTAGTATTTATTTTAAGAACTTAGTACTATTTTTGTAATTTTACTTCAACTTTCGTTTTTATTTAACTATTAATAGATCTATCTTAATTACAACACAATATTAAACTAATAGGAAAAACCTGATTGAGTCTTTCAGGTTTCTTCTGTCTATTGTGACTTAGAAGCCCAGACCAACAAGCACAAAACAATGACGAATCAAAATTTGTCCTATAATTACAATGATAATAAAGAAGGTATTTTTAAAAATATAAAAAAATAAGTCTCATCGTTACAACGAGTTTAGTATAATTTGAAAATTGAATCATTAGTATGTACCACACTTACATTTTAACAAACTGTGATGGTGGGGTGTTTTCACGGAAACGTATTTACATGCGCGAATTAAACACGAAACAGTATCAGTCTTATTTTCACTACCACGTGCCTCTCGTTTCAGTTCCTCATCAGTTAAACTCTCGAGAAGTGTAGGAATACATTCCTGAGATTTAAAAAAAAACAAGTTACACTAAAATTAGGTAATGTCAGTAATATCGAATTATTATTCGGACAAGTGTGAGTCGGACTCGCCCACCCAGGGCTCGAACAAACTTATAGGTACATATTATAAATAGTTCAGGAAAAGCGACTTGCACTTTTTCGCTTTTCCCGAAATTCTGTTACCAAAAACTATAGTTAATTTTATTATTGTGATTTAAAAGTGAAATTGTACCTCGATGATTGATTACGTACTTTAAATAAAGTCTATATTTTTTATGATTTAAGTACAAATGTTTCGGCCAGCCAGCCAGACAAAAGTACAAATATAATATATATAATGGGTAACCCATTTATCGAGGCAGGCTATGGGCTATACATAAAACCATGCTACGACCGGAGCCTACCGGTCCTAGGAGCAGCATCAATGAAAAGTCTTGCAGAAACGGTGAAAATTTATTCCTTTTGAGATGCAGATTAGTAGTTAATACCAATCGGGTAGCCCATTCTCAAACTAAATTAATTCGTCAAGTCGGGCATTAAATAAATTAATAAGCTGGCGCCCATGAACGTTATTATTTATTTTTAACCATTAAATTCAAACTAAAAATGAATAATTTTACAACAGTTATTTATGACCTAGTGTTTCATACAAAAATGTATCAAAGGTTGTGTTGAACATCTTGACATTTACTTAAAAGAAATCTGAGTCATCGATAACCGAGTCAACTATTCATAAATGCGCAGGAAAAAATTGTATTCAATTAATAAGGACTTGCAACTTTTGGCGACTGTGGGACCTGTTATGACTAGAGGATTAATTAGTGTTAATTTCCATTAAATATAGAAAATACTTACAAGTACAGGTAACAGGTACGTGGTAACAGTGTGTGATGTGAGAAGTTCGTGACAGAGTCCGAGTGGTCTTAGCAGCTGCCACACTGCTGTAACGCGCGTCTCGCCACTCATCGTTTGCTCCAGCGACAACGGTTGCTCACTACGGGGTGTTGTCGAATACTAAAAATAAACATATCGATTTATGTTTAATCCACTTCTTCAATATTATATGCCCTTAATAAATACCGTTAGTATTGTGTTTGACGGTACATGATAAAAAAGCTTTTCGCGTCACTGATTCATTAAAGATGATTTCAATGATAATTAGGAGCAGAGTATGTAAACACTACACATATAAAGAAAAGAATCACTTCAGATTTAGAAGCGTGATTTCTTTCAAGCGTAAGTGTCACTACTGTAGCAATACATCTTTATATATATAATTCTTCTGTGAGTGTGTATGTCACTGAACTTCTCTCAAACGACTGGACCGATTTTGATGAAATTTTTTGTGTGTGTTCAAGGGGATCTGGGAATGGTTTAGATTCACAATTTTGAATGGTAAGGGTGACCCATCCCTATTTTTTTTTTTGTTGCAATACAACGTTTGCCGTATCAGCTAGTAACTATATATTATTCGAATGTAATACCAAAAGTACCCCGCATTAGAGAGCCTGGCGGTTAATCCACTGTGTTGTGTCACAAACGCATTTCGAATTAGTTATTGTAAAATTTACACTCCCTACATTAACAATTTTAGCTATATTTAGTACAAGATAGATTCAAGAAGTGTAGAAATGAAACGAAAATGAAAACTGAGCTTAATAAAAGTTTTCATTTTCTATTGTAGTTTATATTCAAAAATAACAAGCCACAACAACAACAACAGCAGCGATAAAAACAACAATATTACGTTGAATATAATAAAAATAACAATATATTAAGTTTGAAATCATTCACAAACATTAATGGGCCCTGGGCATTCGCTGGCAACCAACCTTTGGGTGGTGTAGAAATTTGTAAGGTGCACTGAGGTTACAGTTGTAATACTAGTTATAAAGTTTTAACTAACATGTACGATTACACACATACATACATACATATACCTTATAAGTTATATTCGCACACTGTAAATAAGGAGGTGTACTATTGATTTGGTAATTCCGGCATCTCAAGAAGGTAGTTATGTACATTCTTTTTAAATGTGAAACGGTTTGTGGACATCCTGATTTCAATTGGAAGCACATTCCAGAGTACCACTTGCACAAAGAACGAAGAGTTCAGGAAGTCGGAATTGTTGGTCCCACCCACAGGAGCGGCAAATTATTTGTTAAGCGAAGGTTTCTATCGTGATTAGCGGACAGGAAACGCAAATAGGGATCAAGGTAATGTGTGATGTTTGCTTCTTGATGTTAACGATGGCTCGTGTTATGTCCTCCACTCTTGCCTGTGAATACAGCTGCAGGTCATCGGCATATAGATGATACGCACACTGATGGTGACTTATTAAAAAAGGAGATAAAATTCCACCTACAGCGACAAGTCTTTAACAGGAACACACTGCTGGCGCCATTCCAGAACCATTCCAATGCTTGTAGGAAAATCTTAAGATATGTAAAGATTGATAGTAGGATTTCGTTACTAACGGTATTGAAGGCATTGGAGAAATAAACTAAGACCAGAATTGTAACTTTGGTATCTTCCGTGTCCTTTCTAGTATCAATAGTCACTTTCAGGAGGGCTTTAACAGTGCTGAGACCGGGCCTAAAGCCAGATTGTAGCAGATAAATAGGATAATCTTTTTGATGTCCCCAAAGCCGATATTGGGACTGGTAAGACCGTAAGTAGTTCAGCGTTTGATGCTTGATTTGAATAAGCGTGGTTGTGGATGAGAAATAACAGTTGATATTATACAAACCAATAGTATTCTTAAACTCAGAATAATGTTGATTGCCAACAACTTGTTTTGTGTTGACGGGGTGGAAAATCTTCGGATCTCCGGCTCTTTTTGTGGATGTAGGAGCCAGGAGTATGTGGTGTCTCTAAAAACCACCCCGACCTCCGGACTCAGGCGCCCTACTCCGAGGAGGACCCGGACCATGTTAATTCAGGTCCCCCCGGATCGGCGCCGCGCCTAGTAAAGCCCTATCCCGGGGAAGCTGCGGGCGTCACCCGCCTATCGGCCCAATCCTTATAATAATAATAATATAAAGTGCCATGAAATTTTCAGACACTGGAAGAAGAGTATTGTAGTGGCACACATTGCCATGGAGTGTTTTCAACGAACAAGCAATAGCGAACAACAATAAAATAGCTACATCACTATATAATTATGTTTTAAATATTTTATGCTGTATAGTACCTAATATTGCATATTAGATCATAAAGGGTGCCCCAGAAATAATAGATAATCCTGGAGCGCCTAATAGTACAGTTATCATGCGTTAAAAAAAATACAAAAAAATATATTTGGCATTAACCATTCCTGGGTTTAACTGTTACTGCTGATATTCCAGTCCTTTACTAGTTATTCTTAGATTGAATGGACACACACAGTGGACAACCAAAAAACATAGACCTAGGGAGCTTCAAACTAACTCCCACCACAAAAGTTTCTGACTAGTGCCTCATGACTGGTGACAGCCATTAAATCTGACTAGACAGTGACACATAGTGACCGTAAAATGTGTATTCTACTGTTATTATTTTAGCTAAACTACTAACATCTGGTTTTAAATGATATAAATATATTAAGTATTTGAAACACAATAAAACAAACTGAAATTTCATTAATATAATACATACTTCTCCATTATCAGCTATCAATGGTGCAATGTCAGTACTATCAACTTTATCACATGCATCTTCTTTACTTTCTTTCTCTGTTATTTCTGTAGATACTTTCTCTTCAGAATTTATTGATGATGTGAGATCTGTTTTTTGAAACCCCATTATAGTTTCAAAACGTTCTCGAAGTTTCACAAACCCTCCTGCCTGTCCAAATCTGCAAAGAGTAAATATATTCATTCTAGTATTAACTGAAATTTAAATCTAATTAGAATAATCTTGTTAGGAATACCATAGAAAACTAAGTTTACTACTAAAAATCTACATACATATTAATTACATGGACCAGCCATCCTCTGGGTGCACGGTGATCCTGAGATTTAGCAAATACTTCAACCTCCTGTGTGGTTCCCTGACCAGGAGAAGATACAGACAAACCTTCACTAGTTCTTGTTGCATTAAATGTATGGAATCTGTAAAAATTAATAGTATTGTGTTTTCACATACTAAATAATAGGTCTTTACCTATGAAATTGCCGTTTTGTTTGCAATAAGTGAAAGTACTTATTTTTTCAAACTTTTTTATTTCTGTTATTCGAAGTAATCACCCATGCAATCGACGCATCTTTGCCAACGCATTGGCAGTTTATTGATGCCCTTCTTGTAAAAATCAGCTGGACGGGAGGCAACAAACTCTTCAAAGGCATTTTGTACTGCCTCTCGGGAATTGAATTTTTTACCCACTAAAAAGTTGTCTAAATTATGGAAAAAGTAATAGTCGGTAGGTGCAAGGTCTGGTGAGTACCAAGCAACCAGCTTTGGTCAATCGGTCGTCCCCACTGCTCCTTCACGACAACGCGCGACCCCATACTGCGCAACAGACAGTCTCCAGACCTATTACTTTATGAAAGATAGCAAATAAAGAAGCTTTGATTGCATATAAAAATATATTTATTATAAGTTATGATCATAAAAAAAATTGTTTATTTAATATCAACATATTTAGTCTTTTAAAAAGCTTTGATATTAACGTCTCTATGAATTCATAAAGATCAAACAGCAATGAAAAGAACTCTCTACTGGAATTCAAAAAACGATATAAAGCAGGCACTGGTTTTCAAAATAATGTAGCACCACAATTTTAATATGTGATGCAATTACACTTAACCTATAACAAGCATCAAATAAACATCTTACTTGTTGTTGGGATTAAATGCCATAGACAATAGATTCAAAAATCGTGGGTCATCTAACTTCATAACACAGAGTTTGACAAGCTTTTCACAATTTGAACGAACACATTGCTGTATGTTATTTTTCCAAGATGATACTGCATCGTCTGTTAGTATCTTTGTAAAGGACACTGTTAAAGCATCATTGTAAAATCGTTGGCATGCTAGATTGTTTTTATCTTCACCTGCAGAATAAAAGTAATATAAAACTATTTCTATATTTCATTTAAGAAATTGTGTTGTAAAACTATAACATTCCAAAAATAAAATAAATCATTTCCAAACTTAATAATAATATAACATAACATAATAATATAACAGGATTTTCTTAACTACACAGGATAGTCAGGCTCTGGTACCCAAGGTAAGATTAAACTTGTGTAGTGGGTCCCTCTCTCATCCAAAAATAACATTCATTAAGTATTTTCTTAAACTTAATCCTAGCCTAACTAGTCATGTATACCTGCTTAACAGATAATTAAATATTTTTTTAGTTGAATAGATTATTAGGTAGACACAGTACACACCTTTGGTTGCTAACTCAGTAGCAGCAATAAGCAGTGCTTCCAATTCCTGTTCTGGTAAAACAGGCACAACCCAACGAGGATGTGAAATCTTCTCCTCCAGTGCCTTTAACTTTGCCTCGGGGAATGCCATCTAAAAATATAGTACCAATTGTTCACTCTAACATATTATTAATAAAAATATTATTATAGACATTTTCTAATCAAAAAACCCAAAAAAGTATCTCCAAAGTTTTATATAAAAATAATTATAAGAATCTTATTACCTTTTTTCATAGTATATTTTTATTTTTGTTACATAGTTCTACTACCTTAGTATTTGTAAATTTAAATACTAATAAGAGCACTTGGGTAATGAGCTGCATGCCTTTTAAAACTTTAAATATCTTTGTTATGTTATACAATTTTGTGTTAACAGCAAACATTTATTAGGTACCAAAATCAATATGCATATGAAATATATTAAGTTTGTTTTTAAAAGGTATGAAAACAGCATGCACTTACCTCCCCTGGCATTTGGTCTTGCTCTTTCATTGATATTGTCATTATTTCAACATATACTTAATCATAGCATCCTTCTGTAAAATTATATATATTAAATCTATAGTAAATATACATCTATGTCACAATTAAGTATTTTGGTCGAATTCAATGATAAACACAAAGCATTTGTTAATAATAATAATTAGTTTCAACACCTACAACAAACAGGCAAAACGCCAAAGTTATTGAATGTGAACAAGGATTATTAAAATAAATAATATAATTAAAAACGATTAAGACAAGTGATCCAAGCCCAATCTTCAATAATTATCTTTTCACATAAGACGCTTGGGTAGATCAAATTGTGTTAAATGTTTTAAATTATAAATTTAAGACGGAATATTATGGTCTTTGCAACGAAATAATGCGTATTAAAACTACATTCAATCTATCTTTATCGCAATATTGGTGCGATACATAAATCAATCAATTTTTCTATCAAAGTTTTATATCTTATATAATTTTAATCCTTTATACGAGGAGTGCTAAATATAAGTCTGACTATAAAGAAGTATTCTAATAATAAAGAATTACAACACTTGCCCTACCCACAGAAGAAGTCTACAAAATAATAATTCATATGATCAGCCGGCGCGACAAAATGGCGTCATTATCCTAAACAAGACAAAGCAAAAAATGTACTAAATTGCAATGAAGGATTAAATAGACTCATAAAAATAGAAAAGATGCACACTTTACCTTTGCATTTATCATATAATCAATTTTCAGAAAAAAACACTTGAAATAATCACTAAATTTTATTCACTAGCACTTTTTTGACGTAAGTAAGAACGAAAATAATTTTTACTTGTTTCAATTTCTATGAATATATTAGGCAAAGGTACCAAGATACAGCCTTAAGCATTTTACAATCCGAAACATTCGAATTCGACCCTACGTTTAGTAACTTTATTTAGTAGCCTTTTAGTGTCGTGCCGAGGCCGTGAGATAGAAGTCTCCATCGACAAAATATTGTCAATATTGTCATCACTTGACATCAGTAATCCAATCCTGATGACATAACTGCACAATCGAGAATACCTGCTCTCAAGAATGAAAAAAAAATTGGTAGGTACGTCTGGTACGTGTTTTTGACAGCTCTATTGACACCTCTTTGATGGTCTGTGGCGTATGTATGTAATCTGCATGTAAATTGTAAAAAAGTAAATATATGGGGTTAGTTAATGAATGTTGTTGCTCAATTTTATGAAGGGACCCCGAAGTTATTTATCTTGAATATATGAAATAGACAAACAAAATGAGTTTTTCTAGTGATGAAGTGAATTTCCTTGTATACCGTTATTTACAGGAATCGGGTAAGGTTCATTGAACTGTTATAGACGCTAACACTGTAAGATTTTCTTTTTGATGTTTTCCAGTTCAAACCATATATTAACTTCCATATCAGTCGTATTATTTAATTAAAATCACCTAAACTAAAAAGTAAAATATAGGACAGCTTAAAAGAATATTTATTGGATCGAATTTGCTTTTATCGTGCAACTTTAGTCTAAACAAATCAAAACGATAATTTGTTTGCAAAAATTGCAGGATTCCATCACTCTGCTTATACGTTTGGTATTGAGTCTCATATATCTCAGAGTAATATCAATGGTGCATTGGTTCCACCAGCAGCATTGCTGAACATTTTACAGAAAGGATTACAATATACAGAAGCTGAAATCACAATTGGAGAAGATGGTAATGAAATATATTATCCTAGTGTTACAATTTTTAAATAAAAATAGAACAAGAAATTAATGGCAGATAATTAATCAATTTTTCTTTTATTACTATTGTCAGGAACAGAAACACGGCTGACAGAAAGTCTAAGTTTGATAGATGCTGTAACACCTGACATTGTGGCTGCAAGACAAAATGCCCAGAATGCACAGAAACAGGCTATTAAAACAGACCCAGGTTCAGGAGGAGAACAGAACGGTGTTGACGTTAGTATACAAGTTTTAATTAATTTGTTAAAACTTAAAACAGTGACAACATGTGAGAATTTAAAAAATTCCATCATCCTTTAATAAAAGGAAACAAATATTGTTGAAATACCTAACAATATTTAATAAGAAAATACCTATTAAAAAAAAAAACAAAATCATGAAACTAAGTTCTATGCTTGTATTAACAACTTATGATATGAATATTCATTTAAATATCTATGATATTAATTTTGTGTTCCGTACAGCAGTGCTAATAACACACAGTGTGTTCCCAACAATTGTGCTGTGTTTCACACCCACACCGGTTGTGTTCCATACAAGAGTTCTGAAAACACACACCATGTACATTTGTTAGTAGTCTAAGGTTATTTCTTACATATTATAGGCACCAGTGAAGGTGAAATGTGTGAGTATGTATAAGTTCAGACTTTATAATATATCTGAGGGAAGAACAATTACCCCTTTTAAAGTATTTGTTTCATATCCTCTCATATGCAGGGCACAACATGCAGTGCAGCTACAGCAACTGGAGGAGCTGCAACCCCTACTGCTCCAGAGACTATGGAGGTGGACCAGTCTATTGAAATCCCTGCAAGCAAAGCTACTGTTCTAAGAGGGCATGAATCTGAAGTGTTCATCTGCGCCTGGAACCCAAGCACAGATTTGCTAGCTAGTGGGTCAGGAGACAGCACTGCTAGGTAATATTAAAAGATAAAAATAACTTCATTAATATGAAATTAAACTAATAAGTGGGTATCTTTAATTCCCAGTCGATTTCATTAATCCAACTATTTTTTTTAGAATATGGGACATGTCAGATAATCCAGCTACTACTCCTAATCAACTAGTTTTAAGACATTGTATTCAAAAAGGTGGAGCTGAAGTACCTAGTAATAAAGATGTCACATCCTTAGACTGGAATGTAAGTTGTTTTTAATATTATTATCTACCATAGGCCAGATTTGACATAAATAGTAGCTATTTGTTCAAATATCAAATATGTAGTCTACCTTTATAGCTGGATTTTTAATTGCTGTCCATTTTGGAAGCATTACTATACGTTTTTGCCTTTAAAAAGTAGATATAGATAAAACTGAGTACAGGATTGCTGACTTGTTGGACACTGAATTAAAAAATTGTTCTAATTTCTTAAGGCAGTCTAACTACTTACTAGATTTCAGAAAAACAACGAGATGGTGATTGTTGCCCAAATAAATAATAACTTAATGTTTACATAGTTAACTTTCTTAAATATTGTTTTTTTTTACAGTGCGATGGCAATTTGTTAGCGACAGGTTCATACGACGGCTATGCTCGTATATGGACTACAGATGGTACTTTGGCCTCTACATTAGGACAGCACAAGGGCCCTATTTTTGCATTAAAGTGGAATAAACGTGGGAATTACATTTTGAGTGCAGGGGTAAATAAATATTTAAATCGATTATTTAAAAATATTAAGTGTGGAATATAAATAATGCGAAAGCATAGTTCAAATGTTTTTATGACTAAATTTCATTGATATATGTAAATTACCTAGAACTTAAGCACATGCAAAAAATGTTCAAAGTCATCTACTTCACAAACTGTTTAAGGTATGCAAGCGTTACTAGGCAAGAGATCTAGAGAAGAAAAAGAATCATAGTAATAATTAACCAATACTATCAACATAAGATGAAATTGAGTAATGACAAAAGTTGAGCAAATTAAGGTGGCTCTAAGTGTTTCATCATTCCTAACTGGCAACTGACTCTTTAATCGGACTAGTTATAATAATATCATATATCACGCTTTAAACATTAATATCAGTTTTAACGGGTTATTAGCAGGCCTATTTTAAGACGCTTGCGTCTGCGCTTAGCAGACTGGTAGGGCACATGAAGAAGCCCGATCAGATCGCGATCACCTCTTCAGGGAAATTGAAAAGTGGGATTATCATTGTTACAAATTTATATACCTTGTTATTATTATAATATATAGCTGAAATGAAACTTAAATAATATTATTTTTATATGTCCTATGGTATCTTTCAGGTTGACAAAACAACAATTATATGGGATGCTTCTACAGGGCAATGTACACAACAATTTTCCTTCCACATGGCACCTGCTCTAGATGTTGACTGGCAAACAAATACTTCATTTGCCTCATGCTCCACAGATCAATGCATTCATGTCTGTAAATTGAATGCGGACAAACCTATTAAAAGTTTTCAAGGACATACTGTAAGTATTGCTTTATTTTAGAACAAAAAAGGCCGGTCAGTTACGAGTCGAACTCGTGCGCCGAGGGTTCCGTACCTACCCAGATTTTACTCTACGTAATTTTCGCGAAAATTTGTAAGTACCAAAATTTATCTTAATTTTCAACTTTTTTATTTTTTTTGGAATTATTTCTTTATTTGTGCTGTAAGACGTTTCTTTTAGCCAAATTTCGTGATTCTAGGTCAACGGGAACTACCATATAGGTTTTCGACCCAAAAGCTATATAGAGTAGTTCCGGTTGACCTAGAATTATCAATTTTGGTTAAAAGCAAGGTCTTACAGCAAAAAGTAAAGAGTAAATTCAGAAAAATAAAAAAGTTGAAAATTAGGGTAAATTTTGGTACTTAGAAGTTTCCGCGAAAATCAAATTTGCCCATATTTTTTTATCGTGTTGACTCAGGACCTTGATTTTTATACACCTAACTAGCTGACCCGCGCAACTTCGTCTGCGTCTCTCAATAGTAATAAATTTTCTCCGTTTTTGAAACATTCTTCATTGGTGCTCCGCTCCTATTGGTCTTAGCGTGATGATATATAGCCTATAGCCTTCCTCGATAAATGGGCTATCTAACACTGAAAGAATTTTTCAAATCGGACCAGTAGTTCCTGAGATTAGCGCGTTCAAACAAACAAACAAACAAACAAACTCCTCAGCTTTATAATATTAGTATAGATAGGGACCATAGACCTTTAGTATCTGGTATAAATTTCAACTTGCTAGGTCTACCCGCTTCTGAGAAAATCTGTGGTGACACACAGACAGACAGACAGATTGATGGTTCCTTTTTTACCTTTTGAGGTACGGAACCCTAAAAATGATGTTTATCTATCAATGTATGAACATCATTTTTTTAATAATAATGATAACTAAATCTTCTGAAGTGGTATAAAATTATGACCATGAAAAAGAGAATTAAATTAGGTTGACAAAATCAGTGTACTTTGACATTTACATAAGAGCGCAATTTTAGTTTATTTCCTAATCTGCCTGTTTTAGCAATTTCAAACGCTAATTAAAGTAAAACTTTATCTTACAGAATGAAGTAAATGCTATAAAATGGGATCCACAAGGGCAATTATTAGCATCATGTTCAGATGACATGACCTTGAAGATTTGGTCTATGAAACAAGATGCATGTGTGCATGACTTACAAGCTCATTCCAAGGAGATATACACAATTAAATGGTCACCGACTGGCCCTGGAACACAAAATCCAAATATGAATCTTATATTAGCCAGTGCTTCTTTCGATTCCACCGTTCGTCTATGGGATGTAGAAAGAGGTGTCTGTATTCATACTCTTACAAAACACACGGAACCAGTGTACAGTGTAGCATTCTCGCCTGATGGGAAGTTCTTAGCAAGTGGCTCATTTGACAAATGTGTGCACATTTGGTCCACACAAACTGGAGGGCTTGTACATTCATACAAAGGCACTGGAGGCATCTTCGAGGTGTGTTGGAACTCGCGTGGCACTAAAGTTGGTGCCAGTGCTAGTGACGGCAGTGTGTTTGTTTTAGATTTGCGTAAACTATAACAACAGGCCTCACCAGCTGTTAGGGATACTGTTTGTATATTCAATCATAAAAAGATCCGCAAATAATAAAATTATCCCACGGATAAAAATCACATACAAAACAGATGGACTTTCTAGTAATTTAATCACTTGTAAACTAAAGGCAATAAATAACATATATATAACTTCAGAAAACAGTTATAGAATATAAATAAAAATTAAATTTAAAAATAATGCTTTGTAATTGTCTTCATGCTGTATTACCATTATATAGCCTTATGAGAATACATAATTAATTAAGATACAGACATATTTTTATAATGCATGCTTAATAATAGTATATTCAACAGAATCCTTCAAACTGTGTGCATGACTGTTATAATGGGCAATTTATTAATAAGAGTAGAAATGGGTGAAATATGTTAAAGGCAAAGTCTGCTGTATTATTTGTGTTCAAGTGTTGACATTTTCTCTACCTTATAATGTAATTACAAAATGTTGTTACTTATGTAAGAAGTGATTTGACAAAAAATAAAAACCTATGTAGTAGTTGTATATTAATTTATATCATTTCAAGATATCACCATATCTCTTTGATTGGATGTTTCCAATATAACTTTTTAATTAAGGTCTCCAGTATACAAAGTTTTTTTTCAACTAACACATTTTTTAGCTACATGACATTCATCTTCTTTGTGTGTGTTATGTGTTACAAGTGTAATAAGTGCTGACAAGGGAATTAATTTATACAATTTTAGTACTATTGTGGATGTAATTAAAGGACTAAACTAAAACACATATGTAGTTAGGACTATTTATCTAAACAGATATTATATTATTTAGATTTATAAACTATGGAGGTAGTAAAATGACCTATAATTTGAAGTAGGCTCAGATTTAGAAAATGCTATGCACCCGGCATAAGTAGTTATCTTTTGTAAAGTGTTTACATTAACCATTTTAGCATACAAAAATTGTTCTTAAGTCTATTTTAAATATATGCTTAGTCAGTGTGTATCCAAAGAAATTACTATTTCATTGGTCTCTTATATGCTAATAGATCTTCATGTTGATAAAGTACATGCAGCTTTTCATACAAAAATTTAAAGAAAAACAATAGATTATCATACTGCCCCTCATAAGGTTGGCACTGTGGATGTTTATCCTGAGTCATATGAATAGGATAATTGTGTGTCAGATGTGAACAGTAGTGTTCACTTCTTCCCCAAGCACATAAATGTAACTCTAGCAGCAACTGATGTAAAGCCTCTATTGTTGAAAGGTACCACCTAGGACTACCGCGTTGATGACGCCAAAATTGTGATGGTCTGTTCTGTAATACTATTTTAGGCATTTTTTGCAGTCTTTCATCTGCATAAATCCCACGACTTTGATTCCATGTGCTATCTATCAACACTACTCTATCTATAGGCAGTTTTGCTACATGGTGTATTCTGTCATCATCAGTGTCACATAACACTTTTGTCATTAAAGTACCCACATTATATCCTAATGGTAATGTAGCTAATAAAAGTTCTGAATAACTAGGAGCACTATTTTTGCATGTATACAATTCTTGAACTGTCTTAGCCTCTGCACCTGGGTATAATAAAACAGTTCTACCATCTAAAACATATTCAGGCATGTCTGGATATACGTAGACTCTAACATCTTGTGGAGCCAAAACAGCTGCATGTGCTGATGTACTTTTACCATCTATTTCACGCCGATGCTTAATTATATCCACTTTTATTGGTAACTAAAAGGAATAAAACAAAAATTATTAAAATCATGTATCGAGAAAGGGCTAATGATTTTATTTTACTTGTCACTTATCACCTTTAACACTGGAATTTGTCCCTCCAGAGATGTAACTGGAACGAAACATGTGTAACAGAAGTACATTCGTGATTTCCCACAACGAGGGCATGGACTACGACTAGTTAGCTTTTCAACTACCTCTGAACTAGAAATAATCATTCCTTCAAAAGGTTTATCGTCACGATTACGTGCCTCTGGACTTTTTGGATTCATTGTTTACTTCTAATTGGCATAACCTCAAATCTACTAGGCAAGTCTGTATACAGGTCCTTGACAACAGTGGACAGTAATGAAAGTGTATTCAGTTCACATGTAAGAATTTTACTCACTTTACTTGCAAATGTAGATACGACATGCAATAGAGCACAGAGTACAGTAATATTATTAGAAATAATAGAGTACTGTACTACCGTCTACCACTACCTACATGTATATTTCCTATCATATTAGTAAAAGCCACAGAATGCAGTAATATTATTAGAGGTAAAAGCATTGAGAAATGAGATCTCTAAGGTTATATTACTCTATGAGTAGGCAGTATGAGTAAAAGCAAGCCCTTAGCCCAGCTCTGAAGTGAACTTATGACACTGACAATTTTTTTTTTTTTTGGAATTTAATGACCTGGTAACTAAGACCTTTAAGTCAAGTCTTATTTTATTTGACACTGACAAACAGAATACATATTAGCGGAGGTGAGAAAAGAGTACCTACTAAATATAAATCTTAGATTAGTGACATATTATCCATTCTATATTAACTTCTTAACATGTTTTATTATTATAGTTTTGCACTTATGATGTGCTGTAATTCTTATTTTTGTTGTACCTTTTTACCTTAGAGGATCTGGAACTTTGTGTGAAATATTATGATGGAACGGAATACTGTAGATTTCTAAATAAAGGAAACTCGAGTTTATAGCCTGCCAAGTCTTTTCTTTAGGGTTCTTGAGCTTTGACACGTGAGGCCTTAGCACTTGAGCCAATAAGATTCACTAGAATCGACGAGATGAATTTCCCGAATGGAAGTTAATTTTTCACAACACTAAATTTGACACTGGCAACTCCACATGGTTAAGAAAAAAACTGAAAATAACTGTCATGTCAATTTGATTACCTTTTCGTCAAATTTAGTTCCAATCAAAGGAAAATTGGCAATTACTTTGTGTTGCTTCTTATCTGCTGTTTATTTGGAGTTGTGGTCGACATGTCCCTCGGAAGATGGTTTCCCTAAATATTATTATATTAAATTGAAAATTCTAATATAAGTATTGCGATACGGTGATTTTAACTGCAAATAATTGCCGTGTTTAAAATCATAATAGTAAAAGAAATACTTGATCAATAAAATGGATTTATCTTCAAGTAATCTCACTGGACTACTTCAAAAACTGTGTTCGGCATTGTCACTAGATCCAGGTCAGTTCCATTTTCAAACATGTCATTGTTTTTTATTTAATATTGTATTTGTGTTTGTCGCTGAAGGATTTGTTAACTATTTGTATGTGCTAGAAGCGTTTTATTCACACTATGAATATTTTACAAGAATATTTTAAATCCTATTTACCAAACTTTGTTACTTATAGTTGTGAGATATTTTCAATTACACAAACCTTTAGCTTTCTGCATAAGTATATTAATATGACAACTGTGTAATATATCAAGTATGTATATTTCTTTAGATGGTGCATATGAGCTGGCTGTATCATATCTCTCTTCTATGGGTGAGAAAACTCGAAGCATTCAAGATGAAAGACTTTTATGTCAGAAAATTCAGTCGAAACTGGCCTCTGTATCTGCACAAGATGTTGAAAAGTTCAATGAATGTTACTCTAAATTAAAAACCTCTGTAAGTAGATTACAAGCTTAATGACACAATGTATTGTTAAGTTTATAATAAAGCAATGGTCATTATGTCAAGTACTTTTGCTTGTTGGCCAGATATGTCAATTGAATAATGTAATAAATGTATCCAGGTAAAATTGGTCTATTGCTATTATTTAATATCCCTTTGTAAGTAGGTAAAGCTGTATAACATTTGCCATTTATAGAACTATGCTCTTCAATGTGCTTTCTAAACAGAACAGAAATTTAAATTATTTGATGTATGTTTATTATTACTCAAAGATTATAAAAACAATCAACCCTTTTTTTAACTTATATTAGTTGCAATGTGAGCTCTAGAAATATCTAATTACAGTTATTTGAAATTTCTTTTAGTTTATTTTGAAGCAGAGAGTGTCAGTGCTGGGTTTACTGCTGGCTCTGTCAGAGATGCCTCAGCATTCCGAGTCTACACAACAACTTTTTCCAATACCTGCTCTCAATATTACTGTAAGTACACTTTCATTATTTTTAATCTTCAACTAATTATTTCTAAATTAAATATTATCCTTATCCAATTCTTATAGTAGTGAAAACAATTGTTACAAAATTTTGGATTGGACTGAGAATTCCTTCAGTTTTGATGAGACATACTTAACAAGACCTCTGTGTAATATTCAAGGTTTGCCAATTTGTTTTTTCCATTCTTTCATAACTATAACTCATAACAATGCTTGTTAACACCTCACAACACAAGAAAGACTATTTGCCAATCATTAATAATGTTCATGTTATTAGAAATTTTGATAACTTTATCATGGTAAGAAATCTATTCAAATGAGACAATAAAAGTACAGGAACTGGAGATATTTCGCCTATTAAAAATTGCTGGATGATTTTATAATATACATTATCATTACATTATTTTAGAGATCAAGCATTGGTATTGGCGGCCAAGACTCAAGTTCTAGTAAGAGTACTATTGGGTCAATAAGCTGGGGCAGCCACTTGGTGAAACAGCGGGGCTCTAATCAGAGCCTACCATCTAACAATAGTAATATGGTTGTAGCACTTCAACGGACTGGTCAGTAATATATTGTGTATATATCTCAGATTAACTGTGGTAATTAAAGAAGCTTAAAGAATCACACAATGCAAGGAGTCACACAGAATTGCTAGAATTGTAAAAAATAAAAACACTAAATGGTTAGGTATCTGACTCATAGTAATCCTCAATTACTGCAGTCTCTTCAATAAATTATTTAGTGCTGTATCTGTATATGTCATTATGCAATATCATTGCCACTTGTGAATCAACTTCAATAATTCTTCTTAAAATAATTTGATTCTATTCAAGGTTTGTCCCATTTAAGTTTGAAAAAATGATTATATCCTTGAGGTTAAAATTAAGAAGACAAAAGATACAACTTACTAAAATTTAATTATTAGTCTCAGTGACATTAGTGAAATGTTCTAAGTTTATGCTATTTTTCACCTGTGGAATAAGAGTACAACTGACAGAGGTAAATAAAATAAAATATCCTTTTTGCAGACATACCTATACAGTTCATAGGTTGTTTAGTAGTGAGTTAGAAACAGAGTGTACTTAAAGTCGCTAATAATGTTAATGACACAAAAATTACTTTTTTTAATTTAAACACTATCTATGCAGATCGAGCTAATGAACGAACATGTGTGCGCGAGGCGGTTCTGGCGGCAACGGGAGTGCGAACGCGTGCTTCTGTGACCTGCCCACGCCCGCACAGTATATTACGCGCACGCATTGCTCATCTTGGATTCTTGCATGACCGACTCAAAGAATTCATTGATCCCTCTTCGGGACTCATGCCACAAGGTCAGTGTTCACACTATTGTAGTTGGCAGTTATCCTTGACTGTTGAGAAGGTTTGTTTTTGTTTCGAGTTTGTTCAAAATTTCTGGTTTTCTACTAGATATATGGCAGATCGTTAAAACTATGTCTGAGTACAGGAATACGGATGATTAAGTCTAGATCCACGAATACGGATATACAAATACGATAAGTACAGGGGTCCAGCCAGTGTTAGTTTATTTTACACCAACTCTGTTGTCGATGATCGAGTTAATGAAATATTTGACACGCCATGCGTGTAAACGGCCTATCAGAAGTTATGCGCTAGTTTAATAGTATGACGTGAGTGACGATTACTCCTTTCTCTGAGCTGATTGGTTTTTTCATTTCGTATAGTGCTTTGTTCTAAGTTTATAATTGCTATATTATCTGCATAGGTTTAATGGGCGAAGGACTTGTGGCGTCCATTAGAGATGAACTTACAGAGTATTATCGAAGTGTTGCTCTTCTACAATCCCAGGTATTAATAAAATTGGTTTAATTAGTAACATTGAGAATACAATCATTTATACAGTCAGTTAAGCCGAAAGTCTGTCTCTGAATTAATAGATATCTTACATATTCATGTAGTAATGTAAAAAGGGTTTTTTTTTCTTTGAACTAGTCTGATATGAAAAATTCATTATATTTAAAAAAATGTATTTGTAGTGTATTTAACTAACGCTTGTAAACAGAGCGGTAACGGATGATCGAAACATTAATCACAATCTGTATCTAAAACTGACGGCAGGCGGGTCGCTCACTTAAGTAAATTGAGGAAATACAAAGAAAACTTAAGACAAATTTTAAATGTCCCTATTATTACTGCTTTTAGACTACTTTTAGAGCCTGTTGATCATAAATTATAGCTCTAAGCTGTATTTTGCCGATGCTCAAGATATGGTTGTGTTTCATGAGGCGTGTGACAGCGATGGCGGTGGTGGCGGCACTCTGCGGCGAGTGTGCGTGTGGGCGCAGGAACCCCTACACCGCCTTACTTGGCTTGCCAACATCGCGCACGCCGCTCATCATAAGAAAGGTATTTTACATCAAGTATTTGCGTTTGTGACTCCTGAGTTGCAGACGTTCATGGGCGGTGATAATCACTTTCCATCAGGGGACCCGTCTGCTCATCCTGCCCCCTTTATCATAAAAAAATAAACACATATTTATACTACCTACTCTACTTTACTACCTAATGTACTCATACTCTTCATTTTTTGCAATGTCATAATCAGATTAAAATTGATTCAAGATAAAAACGTTAGCACTTGACAGCGCAAGAATCAACGGTTTCTCGAACTCGAACTAAGTTGCACTTTCTAATTGAATTTAATACACATATGTACAAGGTTACAATTTCGGTTATGTAATACTACTAGACGGATTAAGGCGGACATCCCTTAATAAACTAAGTTGTAAACAGGTGGAGAGCTCGCATCTTGCGTTCACAAATTCGTCCGTCATGGCGATGAGCGAGTAGCAACATTAGCGAGGAGGTTACTCACCGCGCTCACGTACCCACTACTACTTATGCTAACGCGGTGGCTGTTACACGGTAAAATTATTTTAGTAAGCTCTTTCGAAACTAATAAATGTGAATTAAAAAGTATGCCATAATTTCCCTTATTATTTTACAGGAGAAATTGATGACCGATTTAATGAGTTCTTCATAGAAAGTCGGAGTGGTGTTCCTATCGACAGAATGTGGCACGACAAATATAGAGTGCGGTATGTGTTGTTTGTTAATTCCTAAACACAAAGTTGTTCGTTACTTTATAGTATGAATAAGGTACACTAATTTCTTATGACAATCAAGTTTGAGAATCGGAAAAGTGACGTAACTTGTGGTACTGAAGCAATATTTACATTACGTATTTTGTATTAAAAAAAATATAATTAAATTTCCCCTGAAAACGCTGAATAGTGTCATGGCGTCTTGAATGACGTCAGAGTCTGCGAAAGAAAACTGTTTACATCTGTGTTCAGTGTCAACTGAAACTGTATTAAGGTGAGAAAATATGCTAAAAATGAAAAACAATAAGGAGTAACCTGCTCTGTTGTAAGAAAACGTCAACAACAACAATGATGTTTTGCGTGGCGTGACGTAACACTTTCTGATTGGTGTTCGCTGTCATGTGACTTAATGCCTATTTTGTACGAATTTATTTAAAAAAAATATTAATAATTTTTAACTTTTATGAGAAATAGACTGTTTTTTTCTTATCTATGTCTCTTCATTTATAATTTGAAACTATAAACCAAGCAATTTGTTATTAGTGGACACAAGCCTATTATGGTAGTTTAACGATCTAACCAGTACAAATTGCATAGTTGCACTAGTGCATTTAAATTATTGAAAGTATATTTCAAGTTGCTGTTTTGTTGTGCTCCTGCGTTGGAACGATGGTACATTAGTGTCTTATTCAAAACAGGCTATTATAGTGTTCATACTAAAAGTAATAAAGTTTATTTGTTAATAATTAACATAATTTAGGGAGTGGATGGTGCCGTCATTCATGTCTCGCGAGCAAGCGGCGCAAATCTTGGCCACCGGCAAGAGTGTAGTGTTCATGCGTGAGGCGTGTCAGGACGAGCCCGGCCAGTACGACGCGCCGCCCAGCGACCACGCCCACTATCTGCAAGCGCTTCTCAAGCCGCAGTCTGGTGAGTGCCAGTTAAAGGTTCGACACAGAGGTTTTAGCTTGCGACAGACACTTTTATAACGTAAGAGAAGAATTCCGTACAATTAAAGTTCAGTTGTCACCATACAATCAACCCAGACCCATTTCATGCAAATGCAGTGTATTTAGTAATGGTGCACCTGGGCCTCAATTCTGCTATTTTATGTTTACGCCAAGCCACTGTCATACCACTGACACGCTACTGAGATGCCATCGAGTGGCCATTGGCATCGGTATAAATATCGGTAGTTGAAAATATATTACGTTTTTTGAGGAAATTATTTATTTATTTTTATTATAATAAATTATTAAAAGAAAGAAATAATAATTTATTTAATTTTTAATTTATTTAATATTTCTTCGTAAACCATTTATTTTGATGTACAACGTATATGAATATAACTGGTAGTTAAACCATTTTATACGTCTATCCAGTCATGTACATACACACTGCACAGATGGCGTAGTGGTTTAAGCGGTCGCCACGCCGTTTCCTATAACGTCGAGTGTTGTGGGTTCAAACCCCACATGGGACAACACTTTGTGTGATCCACAAATTGTTGTTCTGAGTCTGGGTGTACTTTGTGTCCGTTTCATGTATGTTTGTAAAGTCCCCCGCGACACAGGATTTATTCCTAGTGCGGGAGTTGTCTTTTAAAAAAAAGAAAGAAAAGAATGTCATTTAAAATCAAAAATCAGCAAAGGCATTTAATACCAAAGGAAGCGCTTCCATCATTAAAACAACATTTAATTTAATTAGAATAAGTTTGATTTCATTAAAATATAAACGATTTGCCTTCAAATTGCTCCCCTGTAAAATTACAAAAAAGACAATTGACTCATTATACGAGTGACGAGTTCATAGCGTTCATGCGAAATCGAGACCACCTAATTTTTTCAGATGAATACACGGAAGGTTTAGCATGGTGGGAGGCTTCAGGACTGCGTGAAGGTGTAGCGGGGGCACACGCAGCCGCATCGGCACGTCTGTTGGCTGCGCTCACCGAGCACCACCACCTATTGGACCATCTAGCCGCACACAGGAGATACTTGTTACTTTCGCAAGGAGACTTTGTGCACCATCTCATGACGTTACTGCGGTATGTTAAAACATATTTGTTTTATGTACTTTAATATTTTAGTAGATAATTATTTCAAAGTAATAATAATAATTAATAACGTGTGGACAGGGATGAGCTAAACAAATCGGCGTCATCGCTATACGTACACAACCTATCGTGCACGCTGGAGGCGGCCGTGCGTGCCACGAACGCTCAGTTCGAACCGCCGCACGTCCTGGCACGACTACACGTCAATCTGTACCCTAACTGTATGTATCACTATTTGTCTATTCACTATACTCTCATGCAATATATATATATATATATATATATATATATAATAACAATTTTCTTAGGTTATCCGTGAGAGAAATTATTATGAACTGGAACTGTACTTACCGGGGCCAAACGTTTTACTTCTTACGCAACTCAAATGTAACTTGTGTTTAGTCATCATGATGTCAGTAATGAGTCATAAGAATGTATTTTGTTATCAGCATATCTAAAAAATAAGTAACTCGATAGACAGATATTAAACATTAAAGTACGGCCACCGCGGCAAAATCCACTTACATACTTTGACTCGTTGCGCTCTCACGGTTTCACCATAAAGTATGTTTTTCTTATAGTGGATTATTGAAATGAAAAGGAAACATTCTATTGTAAAATGTAAAATGTATGTATTGTATTGTGCCTATGTGTAAAACCTCAAAAATTGTTTTTTTTTTCTGTACCATATGATAATAATATTTGGAAAAAATGGTGAAGGTTATGAAAAGAGCAGATCATCTCACAACCTCTAGTCATGTACATTGTTGTAAACATTATTTCGACGTAAGTTTTGTGTACATTACGTATACAGCCAAAAGTCTCTTTTAAATAAAAATTTTGTCCGTGCCTAATAAAAAAGGCAATATTTCAAAATGGAATTAAGAGGAAATCTTAGTCACCCTTGGTTAAAATTTAAACTGCCTTTATCATTATTAAATATTTTTGGAAGTTCTATGATGTAATTTGTCAACTTGGAAAATGTTTATGTAATGTAGGGGTTACAAACATTTCCGTAACATTACAAAAAAGGTTATAAACATTTTCGGAGTTATATGGTCTTATTTCTTACTGAACATAAATACTTGTTCTATCAAAAAAAAAGTGAAAGCTATATTAACGTTTTATTACCCAAGAGGCAATCTTAACTAATATTACAAATGCGCATGTGAATTCAATAGTTTGTCTATTTAGTACGCTTTCACGGCTTAAGCCCATCATCATTAAATTTAACAATAAAATTATCGCGAGTACAGAGCAACATAACATATGGTTATTTTGAAATGAAATTTGTATGTGTTCATTTTTCAAGGTGATGGTCGCGAAGACTGTGGTTGGGATGTGTTCGCACTTCAATACCGGGTAGATGGCCCCCTCGGCACGCTGTTCCCGGCAACGTGCGCGGCGCGGTACCGAGCGCTCTTCACACAGCTCTGGCGTGTTAAACGTATCGAGTACGGGTTGCACGATGCTTGGCGCGAACACACCATTTTGCAAAAAAAATTAAAGTATATGCCAGGTAAGATGACGATTCTTCATTTTGAACCGACTTCAAAAAAGGAGGAGGTTACTCAATTCGACCGTATATATAATTTATTTATGTTTGTTCGCGGAAAACTTCGTTGTTTATGAACCGATTTTGATTATTCTTGTTTTGTTGGAAAGAAGATACTTTAAAGGTGGTCCCATGATCAGGAAATCAGGGTTTGATGATGGCAGACCAGAGAAATCGAGGGGAACTTTCAAAAATCGTAGGGGCAACTAGTGCGTTTGTTAAGTTTTTTTTATTAAATCACTAGCTGACCCGGCGAACTTCGTACCGCCATATTTCATTATCACACGACTGGTCGCGGACTAAGGATATGTCACACATCCGGTAAATTCAAATAAGTCTTAAATAATTCTTATATTTTTCTAATACTGTTATTGTTTTGTAATTGATTTAATATATTTAATAATATTGTGTGTACTTAGTAATTTGATATTGTAGTAAGGTTGTTGTAGCATTGACTTGGCACCGACTTCAAAATTATAAAATAATTATTTCATAATTTCTATTTAACTAAATGAAAATAGTTATTACTTTGTGCGAAGTAAATTTATTTTTTGCTTTTTAGTTTACTGTTTGAAGTCGTTTTTTTTTTTTGTTAAAAATTATTTTATATAACTATTTTATTTATTTATTGGTACTTCCTGCAAACATATTGCATAAGGCGGACTTAATGCCTTATGCGTTTTCTTCCAGTCAAACCTTTGGGTGTTGCAAAGCTGTGTGTGGCAGGTGTATATTTGGGACAGATAAAGATGAGACTGAATTAAGGAATGTTAAAAAAGCAGAAAAGAAAAAATCCTTCAGAAATATCAGTACTAAATAGGTATACACACAAATAGTTTATGCATATAAACGTCATAATATATATCAAAATATAATATATATATAATACGAAGATAATAAAGATCCTCTTAAGGTGTTATTCTGATAACTCCGTCAACAAGTCTCTATAGAGATCCCGTACTTTAAGCTTAAAAGTGGTTCGATTAGTGGAAATCCTGATTTCTAGTGGGAGTGTCCAAAGGATTACAGCTAGAACTGGGAGAATGGACCATACTGAAATTATGTAAAGGACAGAGAAGGAGAAGATTGTTCGACGAGCGAAGAGTTCTGTCATGATTAGAGCAGAGATATTGGAAGTGGGATTATAAGTAGGTAGGTGAGTTGGGTGAGTGGAGAAGAGAGTGTAACACAAGTCAGAGCCCTCGAACTGCGCCGCTGTCTTATAGATAACCATGACAGTTGCGTACGGTAAGCGGATATGTGATCATACTTTCGCAGGTTGAAAATGAATCGAATGCAATTGTTGAGAAGTCAGTCAGGATAGAATCCTCGTAAAATATTCGTAACCTTCTGACTGATGCCTTACCTGAGTTTGCCAGTTCAGGGTGGCATCGATGTACAGACCGAGATCCTTGACCGATGTGCTAACAGGCAAAACGGTGTCAATAAAATAATACCAGTAATACTATCAGGATCAATTCTGCTTGTCATTCTAGGACTCGCTATGATGATCGCTTGGCATTTTGATGTGTTGACCGAATCTGCTGGATGAGTTTTTTATGGTCTCTAAGTCTTGATTAATACCATTTACAGCTTTATCCAAATTTTTTACTCTTGCATGAGAATAGATCTGAAGGTCGTCTGCATACAAGTGATCCGAACACCGAAGTTCATGGGTTATAAGAACGATAAATAAAAAAAACAGAAGAGGAGAACGAATACCGCCTTGTGAAACACCAGAGTCCGAATTCGGCCCACATCGATGAAGATCATTCAAAATCATTATTGCATCTTAGACCTAACTCACAGTTTAAACACTAAAATAAACATTAGGTACACAATGCTTTAAATAATATGATAAAGTACTCAAAATTAAATGTGTAAAATTAACACTTCAACATTTCGTTTTTTTTCAACATTTTATTTTACCATTGTGGGCGTGATTAATATACAATATGGATAGACATAATACGTACGGACGGACACGGATGGGCATACTGACAAACATGGCGAAGCTATAAGGGTTTTTTAGGATTATTGAACCCTGAAAATCTAATAGACTTTCACGAACTATCAGAAGTCACATCAATTCCTCGTTTATGTAAACGTCAAACCGATTCGTTCTATATCAAGTCATCTGAAATAAAGAATCAAGATATTATAATCTGCTTTTGCTAACTAATTTACTTTGAATGGTACAATTAAAAACACTGCAAAATTTGAAAAGAGTAAATTAAATTTTACGAAGTCAAACAACGCAATTATCTGAAGAGTGTCAATTGTTATTAAGCAACAACCTTATTGCGGTCGAGTTTTAGCTCCTGGGCGAACACTAGTACCTTCAAATTCAGAAATAAAATACGTGATAACGTTGAAGAAATATACAATAATAATTGAAATGTGACTTAGTTAAAGTAATTTAATTCGTTTTTATGATTTAGAGGTATGGGGCCTAATGCGTCGTGTTTCATGTCTGCGATTGGAGGCTCTTCGATTGTGCGGTGCTTTACAAGAAGCGGGTGGAGTTGGCGCCGAGCCCGCGTGGAGGCAGCTGCTCGCCGCGGCGGCCGCACGCGCCGACCTCGACACGCTACTAAGGCTGCACCACAACGCGCTCGACCGACATTCCATACACGCCATGATACACCACACCACGCAGGTAACTGGCTCAGGCGCCGCTGGAGCCCTTTTATTATAAACTATATACTAATCTGTCAATAAAGTACCGGGAAAAGATCACTAATACACAAAATGTTTGTTATTCATCCAAATTTATTTTATCACCTTTAAAGTATGCTCCTTCAGAAACGATACACTTACGCCAACGAATAGTCCAATCAGCAAAACATTATTTTAAACGCTGTTTCCGGAATTGAGTTCAGTTCTCGCCGCGCATTCTCCTTTATGTCTTCTGCCGATAGAAAACGGGTGCTACGAAGTGGTAATTTGAGTTTCGGACAAAGAAAGAAGTCCACTGGAGCCATATCTGGTGAATATGGTGGTTGCTCGATGGTATTTGTTAAGTGTTTTGTCAGAAATTCGTTTACAATGATGGCCTTGTGCGAAGGCGCATTATCGTGGTGCAAAATCCAAAAAAAAATCTTTCCACAAATCATCATCAATTAATATTCTTTATTTACCGTTTGACCTTCCGGCAAGAATTTCAGAGTGCACAACACCGCGGTAGTCAAAGAAAACTTGGTGACTTTTACTTTTGATCGACTTAGGCGTGGTTTTTTCGGTTTCGGTTCAGTTCGAATACGCCACGCCGAAGCTTGTTGACTAGTTTGCGTGTCAAACTCGTAAACCCACGTCTCGTCACCAGTAACAATGAGTTTCATGACTGTTGGGTCGGAATTGACTCGTTCTAGCATGTCCTCAGCGACTCTCATGCGATTGAGTTTTTGGAGAAGATTCAGGTCTTTGAACTAGCCGAGCAACGAGCAAATAGGTAACATATTTCATACCCAAATGATTAGTTAAAATGGTACGGATCGACTCGTGAGGTACAGAAAGTTCGGCGGCTATCTCTCTCAAAGTTGAATGAGGATTTTCAGTCACTATTTCCTTCACTTTTGCGATGTTAACTTCAGTTGCAAACGTTGATGGCCTATTAGAGCGAGGCAAATCTTCCATCACATCTCGACCGCTTTTGAACGCTTTGTACTTCTCATAAGCACGTGTTTTTGATAAATTCGATTCATCGTAAGCCTTCTGTAACATTTTCAGTGACTCCGAACACGAAATTCCATTGGCGATTCAAAATTTAAGACAAACTCTTTGTTCGATGTTTTTGTCCATTATGAAATTCGCAATACACACTAGATATGATATAACTAAAAACAGCACCGTATTTAATATAAATAACAGATGCAACTTAAACTGCGCGCCAAAATGAAAAACAGTTGTGCCAATCTAACAACAACAAAAAAAAAAACAAAAATTTGAATTTGGAACCATAAACAAATCATCCATTCCCGATACTTTTTTGACTGAATGTATAAACACCTCAACATGTCATATACATAAAAACATTAAGCGCTATTTACCATTCTATTATACTATTATATTTAGTGTTTCTTAATTAAAGTTTATTTTCGTTCATGTTTAGGAGCTCCAATCATACCTGGGGAACGTGTTAAATGAGACTTTGGCGTTGCGTAGCTTCGAATCTATGCTACACGCCGGCATCAATGCTGAGCTCGAACGAAGAGATAACATTGAACGGTTGAAAGCTGAGAGAGTAGCGCGGGGTAAGCATACTAACAAATTATAGTTTGGGAACCAGGGGACCCAAATATTATAAAAATCCCATTTCCATATATAAATTTTCTGTGTAAACATTTACTAAATTCTTTTTGAAATACATTATTAATAATTGACAAGTTATACTAATAATAATAACCTCACACGCCGAACACACATTGCTAACTCACGGAACCTCATCTTCCTTAATAAACTTAAAATACTAGGGAAAACTGCGATCTTGTTTTTATATGCCAAAATTGTAAAAAAAAACATTTAAAAGTGAGTTACTTGCAAAGCCCCAAAGTGCGCACGACGCTACATTGCACACGTGCATTGGGAGAGGTTTGAGGGCACTTCTTGCAGGTGGCAAGGAAAAGTTAGAGGGTTTGCAAGGTGAGATTTGCTGGGGGTTGAAGTCATGTAAGGTTTGCGGCCATGGGGGCCGAATATTGTGGATGTCCGGCGAGCGAAGGCAAGTTTGGTGGGCGGCGCATTGAGATGCCGCCTGTCTGTCACCTCAGTCCCCCTGACTCTATTAATACAGTAATACCCCGCTTTACACGACCCCGTTTCACCATAACGCGAATTTCAAATTTCGCGTTCAAATTCCTCGCATTACCTGAAAAAATGTGTACGAACATAATGTAGTCATTAACTTAATGTAGTCACTCTTTGGTCGAGGGAACCCTCTATTCCTCTGAACATTCTGATTGAAGAATTGGGGATTCCCCGTCCTACGACTTTGTTCTATGGGGATTCTCTCGTTCGTTTCATTTGCTGCTCGGCTGGCAGTCGTGTTTCAACATTTATTGGAGATACATACATGATTAGCGTAAAAGCGTAACTTTGGAATTGAAGATGAAGTGTTAAGAAGAATGGAAAATAGAGGTAAAAAAGTAACAATTGTTGGGAGAGATTTTGGACTCTTAGAATCGACTGTGAGAACGATTCTTAAAAATCGGGCAAAAATTTAAGTCTTCGTCAAAAGTTCAACACCTATAAGCGCAACAAAACTTTCTCATTCGAGATCCTCTATCCCAGAAGGAATGGAGAAGTTACTATCAGTCTGGATCGAAGATTTGAATAAGAGGAACACACCACTAAGTCAAGACCTCAAGTGCACAAAAGCAAAATCTTTGTATGAGACGCTGAAGTCAGAACAAGGGGAAAGAAGTTCTACTCCGTCTTTTGCTGCCAGCAGAGGCTGGTTCCATCGGTTCAATCAGCGTTCCAATCTTCACAATATCCACATAACAGGCGAAGCGGCTAGCGCGGACATTCCAGCTGCAGCTGAGTTCCCAGACAAGTTTCAAGAGTTCGGAGGATTAAAATGATTCGTATTTTTTGTATTAAATGTTGACTATGTTTAATTATAAACCTTGGTATACGCGAATTTTCGTTGACGTGATTTTTTCCGGAAATCGCGTAAAGCGGGGTATTACTGTACTTAGGACTAACTTTTATCCATCTCGAAAATCAATCATTACCATTAACTGCTTTTTGTTGTATATAGCCACAGTAATAAAAAGTAGCGGAATATACATTGTGAGATTTGTTTGTAGGAGAGTACGCATTCACGGCTGCTGATGAATCTGTAGATAAAGAAAAACGCAAAATTTTCCATCAGTTCCTAGCGAGTCGGAAAGCTGACTTGAATGTTTGGGCACGCACATACAGGTATGTTTTGATTAAAGCTGTTATTTTTTAAAGACAAATGGAGGTGGAATATTTTTGTGAAAGTGAAACAAAAACGGAAAAGCATATATTCGTTAGATTTTTGCCCTGGTAGGCGTTTTTATGTTAGTAGATTAGCTTATGGAATTTGTCATGTGCCGGTCGTCAGACATTTGATTGCTATTTTCGTCGTATAACGTCCTGTACAAGCAAGTTATTGTACGTAAGTTTTATCTTTTGTAATTTGCATTACCGTCACTAGATGGCGCTATTTAATTTGTGTACACGTCTACATCGCGGTATAAAGATTTTCTGACTGTTTATTATGACCCTGATACTGTGTTACTTTAAATATACTCGGTTAACACCGTAAATAGAATTTGGTTGTTTTACTACTAGTAAACCCTTACTCTGTTTGCGCTTGAACCCCTGAACAAAGGATTGTTCATGGTCCTTCGAGCCGGATTAGACTTTTAGTCAGTTCGAAGGGCGCCTTTGGTGGGGCGTATATTTTTGTTCGGGGTTCCCCACGGGCAGTGGATTGCTGTCGCAAACGTGGGAGGTTGCAGACCTTCGAAGAGGTCTGAGGTGGACAAAGGGTGGCGTACCCCTGTCCAGGAAGTTGCAGGCCGTCAGGTCTGAGGAGGAAGCGGGTTAAAAAGGAACGCGGTTCTATAAATGAGCGGAATCTATATGGTGTATCAGCAGCAGTTGGATTGGAGGCACGTGGTAAGTGCTGTTGTTGGGAAGTGAAGCTGTGACACGGATCGCGGAGTTATTGCAGACGAAGAAGCGTGACATGTGACGACGTTTCGGTAACTTATATCTATCAAGTGTTCGTGAGAAAAACTGTGAGTACTTATTCGATTCTATTTTAAACCTTATAACTAAGAAGATTTTAACATAGTGCAGTGATATTGACTTTGGAGTTTAATCAAGAAATTTGGACATTTTGAACTTTATTTATAAGAAACATAATACTTTGATATTTGTGTTAACTTTAAAATATTTTTCATTTGCTTAGCTAAATTGAACTTTATTTCTTTGGTATTTTTATCTTTAGTTTGTGCATGCTTTACTTAAGACTTAGAATAATTGTATAGAAAACGAAGGTACGGGGAATCCATGCCGGATTTCACCCAGAATTTAAGTGAGTAAAAAGACTTAGAAACATTTCGGATCTTTTCGGTCAAACATACAAAATCTTTTTATTTTATCAGTTGTAAAATACAACTTCAATATGTCTTCGGGGTCTGATTCGGGTGACGAATTTGATTCTTTGTTACTGTTTCAAGAGGATTTAGGTAAACGTATTAAAAAAGCATTGCTGAATTATAAAAAATCGTCTAAAGACAGGCTCACCAAACAGTATGGTGAAGGCCGTTTAGCTAATCTTGAACAGTTGTGGTCTCAATTTATAGTCGGTCACGAACAATTGTTACATAAAGTACCTCGTAAACAATTAGTTGAGACTCCTTACATGAAGGATGATTTCTATGATGAAGTTGAAGAAAATTATTTAACTTGTCAAAGTATGATAAAAGAAATGTTGAATTCATTTGGTTCTGTTGATATTAACCAAAGTTATGGTGAAATTAGGAAATCTAGCCAGGTTAAGTTGCCGAAGATTAATATTCCTGTGTTTTCGGGCAAGTATTCTGAATGGAATACGTTTAGAGACTTGTCCAGTTCCTTAATACTTAATAGCAAAGAGTTAGATGGAGTCCAGAAATTGCACTATTTAAAGGGATATCTCACAGGTGAGGCTGAACAGTTATTGAGACATATTCCAGTAACAGAAGATAATTACGAAAGGTGTTGGAAGTTATTGGAACATAGGTATAATAATAAAAAATATATTTGTAATTACATTTTAAAACGATTGTTCAGTCAAAGGAATTTAGTAAATGAATCCTCAAATGGCTTGAAGGATCTAATAGATACCACAAATGATTGTTTGTCGGCATTAAAAAATATTGGTGTTGATGTTGATCGTTGGGATGTTATCATTATTCATGTACTTACTTTAAAACTAGACCCGGAGACAAGAAGACAATGGGAGTTTAGGGTTACTGACAATACTTCCTCTGATGAACTGCCCACATATACTCAATTTAAAGATTTTCTAACAAATCGTTACCGTGCTATGGAGTTTTTGCCGCCGGATAATAGGCCCAAACCAAGTAAACCTTACATTCAATCCAACAATCAACATACTCACCCGGTCAAAACGTTTCACGCGGTGACTGTACAATGTCCGTTTTGTACCGAAGAACATAAAATTGGTAACTGTAAAAAATTTATGAAAGAATCAATTGAAACTCGGCGCAAGTTTGTACAATCTAACAATATATGCTTTTGTTGTTTGATCAGTAATCACTGCAAAGTTTTGCCACTATAACGTGCGGTGTCGTATTTGTAAGGGTAAACATAATAGCCTATTGCATCCTACAGGTAATTTTGGTAAGAGTGCTGCTGAGATTAGTAGCGCAGGTAGTGACAAAGACGGTGCGAAAGAGGCTTGTTCTTCTTCTAATTCTCAATCGGTAGTTGCGTGTGTTTCTACAGAAAGGATATTTAGCCAGGTTTTACTACTACTACTACTACGGCCTTAGTTAAAGCCAAGATGAAAAACGGTGAAGGTTTTATGGTTCGAGCACTCTTGGATCAAGGTTCACAGTCATCGTTTATTACCGAATCTACGGTTCAGGCTCTCGGATTACAAAAGACACCTGTGAATAGTACGATTTCAGGAGTCGGCGGTGAAAGCAGGATAGTTTCCAAAGCTATAGTACATCTAGAGCTTGCGTCGCGTTTTGATCCTAACGTGGTCATACATGTAAAGGCATTCGTTTTGAAGTCTATCACCACTCTTATTCCTTCTAGTAAGATTGAGTTGATGGAGTGGAAAGAACTTACCAAAATGGTATTGGCAGACCCAGAATATCATACGCCGAGTCGTATTAATATGTTGTTGGGAGCTGAGGTATATGGACAGATTATTCAAGATGGTATAAAGAAAGGACCACTCGGTTCACCGGTTGCACAATCCACAAAATTCGGTTGGATTTTGTCTGGTGTGGTTAATAGGTCAACCGAGTCGGCAAACGATGTACGGGTCGTGCACTGCCAAGTGGATGAAGGCAATGAATTACTAAAGAGATTTTGGAAACTTGAAGCTGATGCTGAAATACCAAATAAGGACATTACGCTAAGTGATGAGGACAAGTTTTGTGAAAGGTTCTTTGCTGAAACTACGAAAAGGGATATTAAAGGACGTTATATTGTGCGTCTCCCTTTCAAAGAAGGTAATGTTGAGGTAACTAATTCTTTGAAAGTGGCGGAGAAAAGGTTATTTTCTTTGGAAAAAAGATTTTCCAAGGATTCAAATTTAAAACAAAAGTACGAAGAGGCTATAAATGAGTAAGTACTGCTTAACCATATGGAGTTGATAGCGGATAACGAGATCAACAACTCAAGTGCCATCTATTTGCCTCACCATGCCGTCATACGAGAAGATAAGGAAACAACAAAGGTTCGACCAGTTTTCGACGCCTCTTGCAAGGGTGAGAATCAAAGGTCTTTAAATGATCATCTTCTTGTTGGACCAAACTTGCAACCTGAACTGAGGCACACTATAATGCGATGGAGACGTGCTCCGATTTGTTTGACGGCTGACGTAGTAAAAATGTATCGGCAGGTGAAGGTGGCTAGGGAGGACATTGATTACCAAAGGATTTTGTGGCGGAACGATCAGAGGTCTAAAATTGAACATTATCGCATGCTAAGGGTAACCTTCGGCGTTGCGTCAGCACCGTATCTTGCGGTAAAGGCGTTACAGCAGGTTGTCTTAGATGAAGGAAGCTCTTATCAAATGGCGGCAAACAAGGCGATAACGGACTTTTACATCGATGATTTGTGGACCGGCTGTGAAACGAAAGAAGAGGGTATAAAATTATATAAAGAAATGAATACATTATTGGAAAAGGCAGGATTCGAGTTACAAAAGTGGACAAGTAATGATGAAAATTTAGTAAAGGCTATGAAAGAAGAGGAAAGAAAGGGTGAGTCTAAGAATGAGTCATGCTATGCTGGAAAGGATGGGATAAAAATAAAGGTGGATGAAGTGATGAAGATTGTTGGACTTACCTGGAAGCGAAGCGAAGATTCATTCTGCTATGTAGTTGACTTACCTAAGCTGGAAGAATCAGTTGTCACAAAAAGGAGAATTATTTCGGACATTTCTCGCTTCTATGACCCCCTTGGTTGGGCAGGTCCCAGTGTTATATTGCCGAAGATTCTCATTCAGAAACTTTGGTTAGCTGGCCTGGATTGGGATCAAGAAGTACCAAAGGCTCTGCTCGATGAGTGGCTCACCTATAGAGAGGAATTGAAACTACTGGAAATGATCTCCATACCTCGATGGATAGGTACGAGGGTTGATGATAAGGTCGTGGAGCTGCATGGCTTCAGTGACGCGTCGAAAGTTGAGTATGCTGCAGTCGTTTATTCACGTGTAATCGACTCAGAGGGGAGGGTTCATGTAGCTTTAATATCGTCTAAGACAAAGGTCGCTCCTGTAAAACAAGTCCCCCAGGTTAGAATTATGTGGTGCCGTTCTGCTGACGAGATTGCTGATGGAAGTTGCTGCGGTATTGGAAGTAGACAAAAATAAATTACATGCGTGGACAGACTCAACTGTAGTTCTTGCGTGGCTGAACAGTCACCCTAGTCGTTGGAAGGTGTTTGTTGCGAATAGGGTGTCAGAAATCTTGACGAATTTAGACTCGCGTGGTCGCACGTCACGTCGAAGGAAAATCCTGCAGATAGCGCTTCCAGAGGATTGCACCCATCCGCACTTATAGGTAATCAACTATGGTTTCAGGGGCCTGATTTTCTGCACGCCGAACGTGTTGTTTATCAGAAACCAAAGGATTTAACAACGGATTTGGAGGAAACGAAAACATTTCACATTACCGCTGACGTATCTATGTGGAACAGATTTTCATCACTGATGCGGATGGTGAGGGTTATTGCTTATTGTAGACGATTTGTCAGCAATTGTAAGAAAAGACACAAGAGGTGCGGGTTCCTTACTACAGAAGAACTCGATGGCGCCTTAAAGATTGTCATAAAACAATGTCAAGAGGAATATTTAGGAGATGACATAGCACTAATAAAGAAAAACGCTACCTTACCAAGGAGCAGCAGTCTGCGGTCATTGAACCCTTTCTTGGACGAAGATGGTGTATTACGTGTTGGTGGAAGGCTTACACATTCCCAGCTTACCGAGGATCGAAAACATCCAATATTGATACCCAAGAAATCGCACTTGACGAATTTAATCTTGGCTAATGAACACCGGCAGACTCTCCACGGAGGTCCACAATTAATGCTATGTCACATACAGTCTAGATATTGGATATTGGGTGTTAGACAGTTAGTAAAGGCTCACTTTCGGAAGTGTGTGACTTGTGCAAGGACTGCAGGGACTACACAAACCCAGTTAATGGGGCAATTGCCTTCAGCACGAGTCACACCTATACGGGCGTTTAAATATTGTGGTGTGGATTATGCTGGGCTGATCCAGATACGAACCTCGAAGGGTCGAGGTCATAAGTCTAAAAAAGGGTACATTTGTTTATTCGTGTGCATGGCGACATTTAGAGGTAGTAACGGACCTCACTTCGGCGGGATTTTTACAAGCATTCAAGCGATTTGTTGCAAGGAGGGGGCATTGCACAGATGTTTGGAGTGATAATGCCACAAATTTCACTGGGGCAGCCAGTGAATTGCGAAGGCTGTTTGTCATCGAAAATAAATCAATGCTTGATGAAGTAGCAGAGGCTCTTGCAACAAATGGCTGTAATTGGCATTTCATTCCCTCTTGGTCTCCCAATTTCGGAGGACTGTGGGAAGCCGGAGTGAAGTCTGTTAAATATCACTTGAAACGAATAATCGGTCAGTCAACGCTTACTTTCGAAGAAATGACCACAGTTTTGGATCAGGTGGAGGCATGTCTGAATTCCAGACCTCTAACCGCACTACCTTCCAATGAAAATGAGGAAATATCGGTACTTACCCCGGGACACTTTTTAGTTGGTGAATCTTTGGTGGCTCCACCTGAAAGAAACTACGAGTCGGCAAACGTAAGCTCTTTGAGAAGATGGCAATTTACACAACGCATGTTGCAGGAATTTTGGCGCTGCTGGTCTCAGCAGTACCTTACCAAATTTTATCATCGGTACAAATGGTCATCTCAAAGTCCACAACCTAAAATAGGAGATGTAGTCATTGTGAAGGAAGATGGTTTACCCCCTTGTCGTTAGATGTATGGCAGAGTGATTGACACCCATCCTGGGTTGGATAATCTTGTCAGAGTCGTCACTTTAAAGGTACGGAATGTCACATTAAAAAGACCAGTTACCAAATTATGTATTTTACCAATAGCAGAGTAAAAAAAGTTTATCATTAATTTTAAATATTGTTAATTTTACTTTTGTTTTTGTTTATTGTTTTACGGTCTTATACTGTTTTTTATTCATGTACACCTTAGCCTATAAACACATTGCCACGGTGGGCGGTGATATTCACCTTTTGGTTGAAGGACATGTTGCATTTTGTCCTTGGTGGGCGGAATGTACAAGCAGGTTATTGTACGTAAGTTTTATCTTTTGTAATTTGCATTACCGTCACTAGATGGCGCTATTTAATTTGTGTACACGTCTACATCGCGGTATAAAGATTTTCTGACTGTTTATTATGACCCTGATACTGTGTTACTTTAAATATACTCGGTTAACACCGTAAATAGAATTCGGTTGTTTTACTACTAGTAAACCCTTACTCTGTTTGCGCTTGAACCCCTGAACAAATGATTTGTTCAGTCCAGTTCATGGATCTTAATAAAGTTAGGTTATATTATAAATGTACATAATTTTAGAAACATAGTGGTTTATATGTATAAGTATAAAAATAATAGGGTAGTCCTTATTTTGGGTTGTATGAAACATTTTCTCACGATAGTCCTGAATTGGTTTCAAATCTATTATAATCCTGCCGAGTTAAAGCTCCTAATTTTAATATTACCCACCCCATATGGCAACCAAAACTTCAACCAAATGGTGTCTAAAAGATGTTATTTTAGCAAAAAGAGAAAACTTGACTTTCGTATCAAAATCAGGATCGTTGCTCAGACTTTTATTCTATAGTAAGATTGGGTACACCAAGTAAATATATTACGAAGTCATCATCATCATCTCAGCCGAAAGATATCCACTACTGGGCATAGGCCTTCCTTCAAGATCGTCTAACCACTTTGCCTACTCACGCTCCGTCTTCCGGTACGCGGTCGCTACTCGATAACTCTTAGGCTTAGCTTTGGCCCCACCGGCCATATGTTCTTTCGTCTTGACACACTGCGGTATTCATCACATCAACAGCCTTTAATGCCACTGCCACAGCCACTGCTGGACAGAAGCCTCTCCTTAGAAAGGAGGTTTTGGCCTACTATACCAAGCTGGCCAGACGGGCTGGTATAGGGTTTGTGTCAAGTTTTCCTTCTCTCTGCAGTGCTGTTATTCTACGTAGTTTTTTTCCCTTAGTCGGCTCTTACGACACCCACGGGGTGGTGACACTCCGTATTCTTAATCCACTACTACTGCGGTACTTATGACGAGAAAATATCACGCTACTACCCGAACGTTGCCCAGCCAAGTTGGATTCGACGATTAACCTCTGTTTCAAAGTTGGGCCTACCAAATTAGGTAGTTTGTCCCAGGTATACGTTCTCCAATTTTCACTGGAGTGGGTACGACATGGATTAGATTTATTCTAACTTACCTTTTATAATATAATTATAAACGCTGTTACCTCCTTAACTGCTGAACCAAAACAAGCGCTGAATCCATTGACAAAATCTATGTAAACACAAGCAAAGTCGTAGGCTAGCATCATAATAACGTCCTTTTAAAACTCATTATTCACAGGTCAATAAACAGTATATGCAATTGGCATGCAATACACATGACCGGATGGATTGATGACAATATTGATGAATGATAGCCATGGCTATCATTCATCAATATTGTCATTGTTTCATGTTGTTGTGTGTTGTTTGTTTTACATTTGTACTGTAATGTACCTGTGATGTTATTGTCGTTCATCGTCTTTGGTTCAATTGTGAGAAAAAGTTCTGACAAGATTATGTACACTATCGCGTGAAGCACGGTGGTGACCTTACCACCTGTCAGGAATTTGCTAGAGGCACAACAATTTTCCACTACAATTTGCGGGACGCGGAGCGGGTGATGCACTCGGCTATAAACGACACGATGTACTAACTTGATATCTTCAGATTTATTTGTTTGAGATTTAATCTACACACGATGTAATAAAAATCGAATTTATTTCCATGTATTATAATGTCAGTATATTGTAAGTTGCAAAATAATACCGTGTGTAGCAGTCTTAAGAAAAATAACACGTACAGCCATGCTTTCACTTCATCAATCTACACTATCACTTTTACTTTATTTCTAGAACTTAAGTGTTCAATGCTAGTGCCAGATGCTAATCATGACTATGAAGGTTGGTTAAAGTAGGCATTGCTAAAAGAACGAATTTAGATACTGAATGGTCAGCAATTTCACTCATAAATAACTGTAAAACTACGCTATTGTTTGCTATGAGATCTAGTAGGTTAGAGATAAGGAATACTAATAATCTTTTACATTAGCCTAAAAACGCTAATTGTGATTAATCTTTCGCTTGTTACAGGGGACACGTCACAACGTTAATACTCAAGCTAGCTCTCCATGCGGAAGTTTCGCTGCAAACTTTAGCTTTCCGACTCGATTACAGCGACTTTTACAAGCGAGGCGACGCTAAGCTACACGAGCCGCTCACCTACCAGCACAAAAGACTCAGCGAGATAGGGGTCCACCTCGGCCAGGTATCTATACTCTTTCCTTTTTCTGTATAAATAAGATAAGGTGTTTACTTATCGCTACAATTAAACTTTTGTATAAAAGGTTGTGTGTACACACATGCTCGTATAAAAACATATATCTTACATATGTTCAAATAAAAAAAGATATTATTTGATAGCTCGACATACATATAAACATAAACTGCTTATATATATATTATTAATATGCTACATATATAATCATTAAACAAATCTTCATGTAAATCCGACAAACTGACTACTAGAATCCATTCCTACGTAGTTAATGTTGATAATATTACAATCAATGGAGAAATGGTTTTATGAGTCGAAAAATATACACATTCAAGTTTCATATTCATCATCATCATTTCAGTTCATCATTCATATAACAATACAAGAGCGTCCTATCGTCGTTTTTATATTCTACCCTATAAAAGTTAATAATCCGATAGAGGTTAATATACCTATATATGTATACATATATCATAAATTGTTGAAGCGGTGTTTCAAAATTGATATGCTATCTCCATTATTTCCAAGTTTAATAATTTCTCAGTTATGTAATGTTCATCACTCAGAATAAAAATAAAATAAAAATGATATTTATTATTGCCCCCTATAGTTAAACCGCCGTAAGCTTGGCCCTCCTGATGGTTTGCGGGACGCGGGGCGGGTGATGCGCTCGGCTATACATGACACGACTTGACACGATGTACTAACTCGATATCTTCAGATTTATTTGTTTGAGATTTAATCTACACACGATGTAATAAAAATCGAATTTATTTCCATGTATTATAATGTCAGTGTATTGTAAGTTTTTATAATTAATTTTAAAATTTAATACTGTAAAATAATTTTAATAAAATCACCTTATCTTCATCATGTAAATTATATTCAGATACAATTTAAAAATTAATTAATTATTAGAACTTTAACAGTAGAACCTCTGTAAGCCGAATTTCAAGTTTTTAAATCTTTTTGTGACGCAGAGTCGGCAGATTATCCATGTTGCAAAATAATACCGTGTATAGCAGTCTTAAGAAAAATAACACGTACAGCCATGCTTTCACGTCAGTCACCGCCGGCGGACAGCGACGCACTAGCTAATTGGTTGAATGCACCCCCGCCCCGCGTCCCCCAAACCATCAGGAGGGCCAAGCTTACGGCGGTTTAACTATAATAGGTTATCTTGAAATCTTATACAAATGAAAGAATAGCTACCAGGTTTCAGCCTAACATCCATTTTTTTTTAGACATAGCCTTGCCAAGGAACGGTTATGTTTTTCGAGCTTATCTTGTATGTTCGTTTGTAAAAATTTTTATTACTTCGCATCTTCCAAATTGCTGGATAGGTTTCTATAGTTAAGGTATTGTTTTATCTGTCTCAAAAACCCAAGTGGCCTTAGATGTTTTTTTGAAAGATAAAAACAAGATGGCGGCTTTTTGGTGCAAAATAGTAATAGGTTAATATAAAAAAACATAACCCATCAAGTAGGTTATCAAAATCAAGAAAATGAAAAGGTGATTACAAATACACAGGGTGTCCCGTCATTAAAAGTCCAATGGTGAGGGGATAGTAGATGAGCGCCTTACCTCTCCGGTAAAAATATTACTCATACTCATAATATAGGCATAAAGCATTTTAATAAAATAGCATTATGAACTTATGATAATGTGTTTTTTTTTTTCTAAATCTACTTTTAAGTGTATACCATTTTAGAATCATGATAACATGCTCCAACTTTTAAAAGGCCTTGCCGTTATAGTTTGGATGCATTTTTTTAAACAGTGATGTTGCAAAAGCTAGCTGACCATTTTCTTTAAATTTTTAATAAATGATCAAAATAAATATTGTTTTGTTCGGAATATTGTAACATCACTGGTTTTACTCGTAATCGACAGAGGGACTAAATTGATTTAAAAAGTTTTAGGTAGCGAAAAAATTTGCCGTGTTTGTGTCGGACCTCCTGCTGTTTCGGTCTTTTTCGTGCAATACTTTTAAATTGTCCTCTTGCAGTCGTTTTGTTTTTTTATAAATATGACTTGTCATATTAGGTCTTTACCTTTGAAATTGCCGTTTTGCGTAGACCTTGCAACTACCGACTATTACTTTTTCCAAAAATTTGACAACTTTTTAGTGGGTAAAAAATTCAATTCCCGAGAGGCAGTACAAAATGCCTCTGAAGAGTTTGTTGCCTCGTGTCCAGCTGATTTTTACAAGAAGGGCATCAATAAACTGCCAATGCGTTGGCAAAAATGCGTCGATTGCATGGGTGATTACTTCGAACATCAGAAATAAAAAAGTTTGAAAAAATAAGTACTTTCACTGATTGCATACAAAACGTCAATTTCATAGGTAAAGACCTATTATATACACGTTTCTTTTATACTTAAGTAAGAAATAATTTCTGTAATTAATTACTCGTTCTCTCGTATTATACAATGCAAGTGTACGTTGTAGTCATTTTTACTGTAATAGTAGGTGGGGCAAATACGGCTCCATCGTTCTGATACACTAGGCAAAGTTTGAACGGATACAGCAAGTTATCCGTTTTGCTACTGATTACCATTAGTAAGGTAAAAAGCACGGATATCATCACCCTCTAAGCCTTTTCCCAAATTAGGTCGGAGTCGGCGAGTCTTCTTCCTCATCCTCATCTGCCTATCCTGTATATATTTACTTCTTTTAGTCAATTCTATCATGTCACCCTTTCTAGCCATATTTTCTTTAACGCAGTACATCTATCTTGTCTGTGATCGTCGTTGTCTTTTTTATTCCGGGTGGGATCCATTACTTTATCACAGTCATCACTTCAATAATTGATGTACTAAAAGTAATACTACTACTAATACGTCACACTTTTATTGGTTAAGTATATTAAGGTAAAAATGAATTATCATGTCATGAAAAACATTTTAAATCATGTTAACATTTCTTCCTATTGAACTCGTCAGTAAAATACAGTGTGTCCTGATATCACTATAATATAAAGTATTCAAATTTATTTTGTTTCAGAGTAAAGATCGCTTGAAGAGGAAATGACAAACAAATAGGTCAAATTTTACCTCATCGTACCTATGCGCAATACCTTACCGTACGCAGGCGATCTCGGTCACGGTAGAGATCGCCTGCGTGTGATTGAATTATAACAGATCTTTCTAAACTGAAACCAAAAGCAATCTCTTACTTCATAATCTGAATATTGTTAGATAACGGCAAATCTATCTGTGTAAGACATTATATTTCTTCTGTTCTCGCGAACAACATTAGTTTGTTTTTGATCTTCTTAACTGAAAACCCCCTAAGCATTTTATCTCTCAAAAATACTCAAAAACAAGACAAAATGGTCGCATTTATTTATCTGTAAACCTGTTAGAAAGACGTCAGCTGGAAGCAGTATGCATGCAGTACTTTTCATCGCAAGAAAAACTCGATGTAAGCAAGTATTTACCGATCACAATAGCACTAAAGTACACAAATGCATAATGCAGTATAATATTTGCCAAGTAATATTAATTAAAGTTATGTAGCACGAAATGTTGAATTTGTTATAAGTGATTTCCATAAACTAAAATGTATTTATGCTCTGGGCAGGCCCGCTGTGCCATTAATCTCGCATTAAACATTGTTTACTACAACTTGTTCTTTTATTTTCTTTCTTTTATGTGTTTATTGGCCGAAGACGTTTTTGTTTAATGAACAGAGTTGACTCATGTATGTTGTAACTTATGAGTAAGTTTCTAAACTGATATAATTGCAGTGAGTCACAGAGCGGTTCGTTTTCTGAATTAAATTGTGTAATTTCTTATAAAACATATTTATAAACTGTAATTATGTAAAAAAAAATTGAGTGTTCTATTGTGGTGGACGCTGATTCGGAGTTTAATTGAATCGTCCTCTTGCAGTAACAGTCGTGTTCACAATAAACAATATGTCTAAATTAATAATGTACACATATTGCAATAATCATTTCCTCAAAAAAACGTAATATATTTTGAAATTGTAAGGAAATGATTTATTTATGTTTCCAAATATGGCAATCTTTTTGATATCACCACTGACAAGACCCTGCCATTCCATCGCCACTGTAAAGACACTGAGTTAGTGTAGACTACCGATATCTATACCGATGCCAATGGCCACTCGATGGCATCTCAATAGCGTGTCAGTGGTATGACAGTGGCTTGGCGAACATAAAATAGTAGAATTGAGGCCCAGGTCGTGCGGCGCACTCGACGGTCGCGTGTTAGAGAACTCCGTGCCTTAGGAATATATCCCGTGTCGCGGGGGACTTTACAAAAATACATGTAACGGCGGACACCTAGACTTAGAACAACACTATGTGGATCACGCAAAGTGTTGAGTGGAGATTAAACACACAACACTACCAACCAACCACTACGCTACGTTATCCGTGTAGTCTAATACTACTAACTCGCAACCAATCCATTTACACACTCGCTATTACACTCCAATTATAATAATTTATAGGCACTGAAAACCACGGTGGCTTTTTTTTTAACAAACGAGCCCTGTATTTTTTTGCCCCTCTGATGGTTGTTGATAGGATAAATGTTTTACTTCAATTAATCTATTAATAATAAGATTGAAATAATACAAATGAAATAATGTATAACATGTCTTTATTTACTTAACATCAATTTTTTGGTAAACATTACATTTTATTGTCCCTATGCTGATCTATGATCAATTTAAGGAAGTTATAATCTCTTATCAGGCAACGCGGATGATGCGTGTGCGCAAACATATTATTAGCATGAAAATACATATAGGTTTCCTTACAATTTCTTGGTAAAATATATTACACTCATTCTAAAAAAATCTACTAAATGTGTACAATGTATTTGCTTCTGTCCTGTGCTACAAAAATACTGATTCAGTTTTACAAATACACCTTTGTATGTAGGAATGACGTCAGCAGGTGTGTAGAGGTTAAACTTGGTCGACTACTTTATGACTAAATATAAAGTATAACATGTAATGTACCTATGTACCCAGCTGTTCTTTACTGGGACCGCTTTACTGTAAAGATTCGCAACGGCGTGTTTAGAATTTGTACATCTTGTTCAAATGCTTCTAGATCGTATACCTAAACCTATGTACGCTGTTTTGGTATGGTTAAACGAAGATTTACGGTGGTTCATCTTTAATATATTTATATCTGAACATATATTAACATACACACACGTACGTATACACACAGGCTTATAGGAAGTTGACATATTTGGGTTAAATTTTTTGTATACAAGTGACATCAGTACCTATAGAGGTGAGTTGAGGTAAATCCTACTGAGCAATCCTATGACGCATACCTATAGATATAACTAGACTGTATTACTACTTTAATGGGTATTATTGAAACACGTGACGGCTACTCGAACTATAATATATCGAAATGCTAAGTGCAAACGCTATGCCACTTTAGTTCACTAAGTAATAAATATTAGATAGTTCTGACAACAGGAAGACTGTTATGATATGGCAGTGTCTGTTTCAATTATATATATTTTTTAATTATAATCCTCTCATTCCTAAGGAATATAAAATACAAGAATGAATAAAAATAATAGCTTGCAAACAAATATTACATACTTACGCTTAGAGTACTCGAATAATATTTATAGGTGTGTATACATATATTATTTACATTAATAAATTGTGCAACAAATTAAACTCTTCTTCATACATAAAATCTCATTATAGAAACTTAGTAGATATGTAATGCATAGTCCTTTCACTTTAATTCACAACCAAGAACTCCAGGTGGATTCGTACATTTATTATTATTATTTTAAGAATCATTACCAATGTAGGGCTGGATAATTTATTATTTAAATTGACTAATGTCTTAGCAATACTCAATTTACACTCTAATCAAGGTAAAAGTATTCATCATAACCGTTTCACAATCTGGGCCTGTACTTGCTTGCACCTATAAATGACTATCACCTGTTATCGCTGTAAAAAAATGTATCATCATATAATGTATTTGTATCATCGTTAAAACGACTGGTGATAGTTTTAAGCAAGACCAATCGTATGTATAGTTATCCTGTAAGTACGGTAAAGTTTGGATCCAAGAACCGCAAAGTATAATACGTTAGAGAGGGTCAACCGTAAGTACATAGGTACCTTATGTTTAATGCGATCTGGCCGCAACACTTAGTGATAGGCGCTCTTTCCACTTGAATCCCCTGACTCGATCTCCCAGGGGATTGTACAACACTCAATATTTCACTGCGATGCCCTGTGCTAGGGACTTAACAAGTAATAAATTTATTTCTATTCTAGTTCCCTCTAAAAATAACAAACTTTCTTCCACACTCCTTGTAAACCAAAAACAAAAGGTTGATTAAAATTTAAAAATTGTGATATTTGCGTTTACTCTACTCTCTAAAGAGTAGAATGGGAACACCGTGGTTTCTAGGAACCGATGGGTCATCCGACCCGTAGAAGCCGTAGATGACCCGGGGTAACAGGGATTTCCTTCCTAGCATATCCTTGGTACACAAGTAAGTGGTAGCCGAGGGGTATTCCGCACAGAAAAAAAACCGTTTCCGAGTGGAATGTTGAGTGTTGTGTAATCCCCTAGGCATCGAAGTGGAATAGTGAGTGTTGTACTATCTCCCAGGGGATTAACCCAGGGGATTCAAGTGGAAAGAGGGGGAGGGGAAGCCCCTGGTTATCCTCCGACTATCACAGGATAGGGCCTAGTTAGGTGCGACGTCTATCCGGAGTGGACCTGAAAGCACAAGGCCCGGACCTTGTTGTCTTCCACAGAGTAGGGCGCCTGAGGCCGGCCACCGGCGAGGTTTTTAGCGGAAACACCACATACTCCTGGCTCATGCGTCCTCAAGGAGCCGAAGATCCTAAGGGACCCAGAAAAAAGGTACCTACTTTATCAACTTGATCATTAGAGCCAACCCGCGAGTCATGACGAGGTAAAAACTTTCACAAATCCAGCTTATGAATCTTGATTGTTGTTCCCAGTGAAAGGAGTTTAAATTGATACCAGTAGGTGCGACATTGTAGCCGGTGTTCAATCAATTCCTATTATTTTATTATTTAAACCTCTACTATACTGTAGCCGTGTAAAATAGTCATCTTTATATTTACATTTACTTTTTAAAATACGTCTTTCTTTATCTAACCATAACAATGTTAAAATTAATTTGTACAATTAAAATAAATAGTGCAATATCATTAATTATGTTTATCTTACAAAAAATATGTTCTAGCACAAATAATTGGGTTTGTGAGAGCAAGATACCTTTTAGAAAACAAAAGTTAGCTTTGATTGCTCCGCACGTAGTATTTTATGAACCAGGTATTTAAAACTTCACAAAGCTATATACCTACTCTTTTTTCTAAATATATGACGGGGAATAACTACACATATAAAAGCAAAACCTACCATAAACAAATAGAAAGGAAAATGATTTACAATTTGTAGGTATTGTCACCATGTATATAATTTATAATATTGCTATTGTAATCGTAGTTATTTAATGTAGTATCGTTTGGAAATATTGCAATGAATATGAGCTGGTGAAGTCATAGGTATTGACACGTACGTTTGTGTATGGGTTTTTTGCGTAGCGCTGCCCTCACTGCCTCTTCAAATACCTGATCCATGTTGACTCGTTCTAGTGCCGAACATTCCACTAGTTGCAAAGCCCTAAAACGCAAATTATAGAGTTACATAATAATCTATTCTAGTTACAAAAAAGTTTTTATAAAACAGTAAAATTTTATTTTAATAGCAAACGAGTTCTATTGACATCTAAAAGGACTATCTACGTAACGAGGAATACATTTTAAAATGTATTGTTCTCTATACAATATTAGTGGTTAATTCATTTTATTTAACGGATTGTTCCTGTGTCGTCATATCAGAAGTTGTGGTGGCATTATCAGCGTGTGATAAGGGCCGATAGCTGCTGACGGCGGCGCGGCGCGAGCGCAGATAACCCTTGTCGCTTTTCACTTTTGTAGTATTAAAAATATTTTATTTCTCTTTGATTGTTACCATACCTATCATGCAAATAATGAACTTCCGTTGGAACTTACCGGATTTTCTTCTTTAATTTTTTACCCTCTTGAGTCGTTATGACCGCTTGATTAGAATTACGCAAATCTATTTTAGTAGCTGAAACAAGGGAGGTTTACTAAAATAGTGTTCAACAGAATAGTAATAAAATATTTGTCACATTTTATCTTTGTTTTTCAGATAAATATATTTTATCTGATTAGGGGTTCCTATGAGAACTCGACAACAAATTGTGTTTTGTTGCAAGTTTTGATAAAGTTATTTCAAATATATAATAAGATTTAAAAAATATGGTCATTATACAATGCGTGATCATTTACTTTTTAGTCTTAATTACAAAGCTTCACTGTTTGCGAATCTATTTCTAAAGCTGCAATTACTTTCATCCTTATTAACACTCATTTTGCTAATGAGCATAATTGCTGTGTATCTAATATTAGTAAAAATTATACTGTTGATTAATTTTGTCCGTAGACTTCATTACAACCTGCCATTGAAATTTTACCTTACAAAGGATGAAAATATATGTTACGCATTAGCTACAATGTACCTAAATATGTTTTTTCAGGTTTTTTCATCCATTTTGTAATTGTTAAGTTTTTGCTTAAATACCCTCGCAAAATTGAACGATACATCTTTAACCAAAAATGCATACAAATAAGTTTACTGATTTTAAAAACAAATTACCTACATAATTTAAAGTTCTGGATTATTTATTCAATTTATATTTTTTTCTGTTATGGGTGGAAGAGACGTAACAGAGAAAGTTGCAAGTTTTTAATAAAGAAGGTAGAGAGATATATGTACAAGACAATATAACAAATCGATCAACTCACCAACTAATACAATAGGTACAGACTGACTGAAGTGTTTGAGCTCAGGATACCATTTGTGGATTACATTTTCGTATGAAGAGCGTGTACCTACTGAATAGCATACCAGGAAACAGTTTGTCTGAAACAATAACATATGAATTATTAAAATAAATTATAAATGCAAGCAGTCAAAAGCGGACGCAATAGTCCTTGGTCATTTTAACATTACTTTTATTTATTTTTATTGTAACTAATAATTTACCTATGTATGGAGTGACATATACATTCTGTGTACTAAGTATCGGGAATTTGTCAATAAAACAAAAAATACAAATTATTCATCTAAATTTATTTTATCGCCTTCAAAGTAGGCCCCATCGCTTGCAATACAACATCTCCACCGCTTCACCCAGTCTTCCATACATTTTTCATAGGCTATTTGCGGTATGGCCTTTAGCTCATTCAGCGAATTTTCTTTTATGGCTTCTATCGACTCAAAACGTTTTCCTCGAAGTGATAATTTTAACTTGGGAAATAAAAAAAGTCAGACGGAGCCATATCAGGTGAATACGGTGCTTGGTCGAGAACTTTTGTTGAATTTTTCGCTAAAAACTCTTTCACTATAATGGCTGTGTGTGATGGTGCATTATCATGGTGCAGCATCCATGAGTTGTGTTGCCACAAATCTGGACGTTTTCGGCGGATACTCTCACGCAAACGCTTCATGACGCCTAAATAATATTCTTTATTCACTGTTTCTCCCTCTGGGAGGAATTCGGAGTGAACCACACCACGGTAGTAAAAAAAACTGTCAGCATCACCTTGATTTTGGAGCGACTGCCGCGGTTTTTTTGGTTTCGGCTCGTTTTCGAGACGCCATTCTGAAGACTGTTGGCTTGTTTGCATGTCGTACTCATAAACCCATGTCTCGTCGCCAGTTATTATACGTTTCATAAAGGTCGGATCCGTAGAAGCTCGGGAAACCATGTCTTCAGCGACATGCTTTCGCTGCGCTTTTTGAACAAAATTAAGCTCTTTTGGAACTAGTCGAGCGGCGACGCGTTTCATGCCTAAATTGTCAATGAGAATGTTGTGGACGGACTTAAAAGATATGTTCACCTCACTAGCCAACTCTCTCAGACTCATACGACGATTTTCGAGCACTAGCTTCTTGATTCTGTCGATGTTTTCTTTGGTCGTAGCGGCTGAAGGTCTACCAGAACGAGGCAAGTCTACTACTACTTCTCGGCGTTCTTTAAAAGCCTTATACCATTCATAAGCCCTTGTTTTCGATATACACGATTCGCCGTAGGTATTTCGCAACATTTTTAGTGATTCACCACAAGAAATATCATTCGAAACACAAAATTTAAGGCACACTCCTTGGTCAACAATATTTTCCATTGTAAAAATCGCCGAGGACTCAAAACTATCACCAACAAAAAGTGTAGTTTAAAACAAATTAAATGACAAATCCCGCTGAAATTTTGCGCGCTTAATCAGTACAGTGCTACCAACATGCAGTAAAAAAATTAGAACGACCTCTTTTACGCGGGTCTCTTTATTGACATATTCCCGATACTTTTTACACAGAGTTGTATATGATGATATAAATCGTTACAATTACTTCTAACTCATTGAGTTATGGTCGAAATTTGACCATAACTCAATAAGTGACCTCTATCTATAAAAATAATGGCTTAATGGTCGATTCGCACTTTGTTATCACACTGTGCGAAACTACCCTTTTTAATATTAAGATTTTTTAGTGGTCGATTTGCACAAACTGAATTTATTAGTGTGCGTATCGACACCTCTAGAAAAATGTAAAATTTTATTTACGCTTTAAAACGAAGGCAACCGATACTTAATAAAACTTATATTTGTGGAAAATATTCTTAGTCAATAACAATAGCTCTCAACTAAAATTGACTGAAGACTTGACTAAAGATGGGTCTTTAAGAAATCATGGACCCATCCAAACTTTCATCATCCGATCAAACACGGTAGATTGCCCGGTGGCATTGGCGAAGTCTATGAGTCTATCCACCAGGTGGGCTGCTACCTCGTTTGCCACTATGGCAATAAAAAAATTGTCGAATAGATAGATATACATATGTGCACATCTGTACTTTAAATTTTTTTCTCGTAAAAAATACAAAATGTAGGAATCGCTAGCTACTTCATTTTTCTAGGGGTGTCGATTCGGTTTAAAAAGGGCAATATCGCACAAAGTGTGCGAACAAATATGTGTGAATCACTAAGCCAAAATAATATACTAATGTACCTAAATTTATCATAAATATCAGGCCATAGTTTGTTCTAACTATAAGTAAAAACAAGATTTAACTTTAATACTTACATTTGTATAAGATAAAGGCCTTAATCTCTCATAATCCTCCTGTCCAGCTGTGTCCCATAGTGCCATCTCTACCTCTTCGCCATCCACGGTGATATGACCGACATAATTGTCGAACCTGAAGCATTAAAGACGTATCACTTTAATAATTGTAAATTAAAATTTTGCCAGTCACTATTGGGCAAAACTGTAGGTCGACAATCTCTATAAATAAAAATCAATTAACCATGGATCAGATTGATGAAACCTTAGTAAGGTGCTCTGGGGACGTTTACTAGCTCATATCATCTATATACTCGTATAATGTTTTTATTTTCGTTTTTAATTAAATTTATTTAGTAAACTCTTTATATTTCTTTATATTTTCGCGGTATTTCAAACATTTTCAGCCGGGTATGGCTAGTAATACGAGTATATAAATATCAAACACAATTCAGAAATTAGACTACCTAGTAAGAAATTAAAACAGCCTAATGTTGTATTAAAATAATCATAGGAATGTGTGCATATTACTGTTCGTGGACATTCCGCCCACATTCATTAACAGTTTAGTAGATCTTCCTCTCTTACGACATGACATATAATTTGATATCCTCTTTCAACAACATATAATTATACAACACGAGTTACGTTCAAATTGATTTAAGTATATAGTTTATGACCTATGTCACGTCTTTTGGCTGAGATGATGATGATATGGTTTAAGAAAAATCACAACTTGAAAACTTAGCCTAGTAATTTAGACTGTTTTGCAAAACATTTCAAGTTTCTCGTATATTCTTAATCCAGCGAACCTCAAACTGTATGGAAACCTCATTGAGTTAACAGTAAACTGCCATAAGTCTACACTGTGTAGATAGGTACCTATCTACACAGTGGAGAACTTAATAAACCCTCGAGTTATTTGATGTGCTTAAAACATTTTTAAAGATTCTAAAACAATTTACTAACCTTAACTAAACACAAAGATTTTAGCTTTTCTACTTTTAATAAACTTTCGTTCACTTTAATCATTTAATCCGGTGTAGGTGTGACTTGTCCAAAGGGTATCTAAGCGCAATCCAATAATTGTTACGGATATTCGTGTAGTTGTGGCACACAATCGATAATTGCGTGAAAATTTTCGCAAACGTTTACAATTAATACGGATACAATTCTACTCTGCAACAGGCAAATTCATCATAGATTGTAACTACTACCCAGAAACAAAAATTGTGATTAAGGACTGATCACAAAAATACATGGGTAAATATTCGTTCTTTTCAATGCCTTAGTTTTCAGCGTCCTAAACTCCTGCAGAAATTAAATTCACTGTTGGTTATTGTTCTAAAAAACTCAACTATTTAAATAAGGCATATGACATAACGACAAGAATATAAATATATAAATTTTATTTACAAAAATTATTAAGTTGTGGGATATGAGGCAGAAATAAAAACCTAGCGAAGAATCACCCACATCCATACTAATATTTTAAATGTGAAAGTGTGTCTGTCTGTCTATTATGTCTTCACGCTTAAACCGCTGGACCGATTTAGATGAAATTTGGTATAGAGATATTTTGAGTTCCGGGAAAGGACATAAGATCATTTGATCATCAACCACAATATCAAAAAGGAGGCCTTTGAATATAGGGTAAGGATAGGTTGCTCAGCTGCTACTAACTGAAATTTATTGGCAAATCTTCAATCAAAGTCTTGTTCCGCTTTAAAAAAAAATGTTCAATGAGTAAATTGTGATGTTTAATATAATAATAATAATTTTTGTTTATTCAGACAGAGTCTATAGTGTTAGTGTACAGTTTTTCTTAACCTATGTTAGTAGTCTAATATTCAAGGAAAATACATCATCAGCTGGTACAGTTTCCTCTAGCTAATAACATGAACAAGGAAACAATTTATTTAAGGTGTTTATTTGTAATTGGGCATAACCATGACGTGCGAATAACACATTTACTTCAATCTTTCATAAACAAAGAATAACGTATAAGCACGCGGGCGTTTGCGTGTTTGCGGTTTCAAAATAAGTGTAACATAAGGCTGCCTGAAGTAAGCATTGGCTGAAACTGTTGCATCTGTTCTTTCCGGTATTCTTAGTCTCTTTTTAGCTAGATATATAACTAATTTGATCGAATAACCGCCTGGTATACCCTGAACAGCTTTAGGTTTATTGTTAATGAATTGTCATAGTGTCGGCTTGACTTCTTGTTGGGTTTGCTCACTTCCAAATAGATGGAGTAGCTCCACAGAAAATATAATAAGACACAAGTGCCTTATATATAAATATAATAATTAAATAAATATATATATCAAAATATAATAAGACACAAGTGTCTTATTATTAGGTCCTTACATATGAAATTAGCGTTTTGTCGTACTGACCACTGATCTGAAATATCTCCTCTTTGGTTAAGAATTCCAAATTCAAATTTATAAATTCATTTAGCTGGTACATTTGAGTTTTGAAAATAGTCATTATTTTTTTCTTTGGCGTCGCTTATTACCGCACAATGGAAAACATGCACCAGTGCTGCAGAAACAGCTCGAAGGATTAATTATGTGTACGGCGCTGGTGTCGCAAAAGAAATCGGCGTGATAAAACTATATTAATCCACTTGAAGCAAATCGGGAAAGTAAAAATACTTGAACGATGGGTACCTCATGAATTGAGTGAATCGAACTTGCAAACACGCGTCGACTGCTGTGTTAATTAGCTCAACCGACACAATAATGAAGGGATTTTAAATCGAATCATTACTTGTGATGATTCGATTGTAGCATTCGAAGCGCTTGTCGCAATGGCTAAACCCTGGAGACCCACCCAAATCCTGCCATAAACGAAAAAGTTACTTGTGAGTGTTTGGTGGACGAGCGCCGGTGTCGTTCACTACAGCTTTCTAAAATCTGGCCAAACGATTACGGCAGATATCTATTGTCAGCCACTGCAAACCATGAAGGAAGAACTAGCTGCTAAACAACCGAGATTGGTCAATCGCTCTGCGGACCACACACTGCACAACAAACAACCACTAAGTTAGATGAGCTACAATTGGAATGTCTGCGACATCCACCGTACTCCCCGGACCTTGCTCCAACAAATTCCCTTTTTTTTCCGGAATTTGGACAACTTCTTACAAGGAAAAAAATCAACTCCGATGCGGCAGACCAAACCGCCTTCAAAGAGTTTAATGATTCTCGCCCCCATGGTTTTTTTAGGAAAGGGATCAAATTTTAGTAAAGGGGATGGCAAAAGTTCATAGATAAGAACGGTGCATATTTTTATTAATTAAATATATTTTACAAAAAAAAAAAGATTTTATATTCCACCCGTACAAAGCGCCAATTTCATAGGTAAGGATCTAATATTACGATTTCTATGAGTAGCCCAGTACTTTCAGTAGTTGTTGACAAGAAGTTAGTTCGTTTTCGTTGAAACTTTTCTTAAATGTTCAAATATGAAGTTTACCAGAATATATTAATTAATAGGCTCCTAGTCTAATAAATAAAATAAATAAATAAGGCAAAGTAGACGCGTGCCTAGAGGCGCAAGGTTATAAATTTTTTTAACAAAAATTTTTACAAAGAAAAGTATATGCCTAACTTAAAAAGAACTGTGTCAGTAAGTTCTCACATACTCACACAATATAAAAAAGCCTTATTTCTAAAGATATGCTTAAGTTTACTATTGACATCTAGGATTTATATTACGTAATTTCCACTACTTCTTAGCTTTCATTTTCTGATACCTATGAAGATTTAGTCTAGTACGTGTACACTAAAATGTAGTTGCTACAATTGCGGCTGTAGTGGAGATTACTCTAAAAGTTATAGTAATAGACCAGAGTTGTCCAGTCAATGGCACTATACGGTGCAAGGGTGTGGGCGGAAGCTCTGATCGCCCAGAATGAGGCACGCTCCGAGGGTGGTCACTCTCAGAGGGTGCTGGCGGACCTCTGCCATAAAATTTAGAGGCAGAACTGAGTGGCCAAAGGGCCGCTTGTCGAGCTACGACGAGTAGTTGGTCAACCCGGCTGGAGGCTCCACGTACTGGCTTTGGCGCCATAGAGGCTGTCCAGCCAGTCATCGTTTAATGGTCAGGGTAGCAGCACGGGACCCTTTCCTTCTGACTGACGCAGATATTTTCTGGGAACGTCTGCTTATGGAGGTACCAGCAGTCGATTGCTAGGAGTGAATTGAGTTGCGCCTGTCACCACTGCAGTGCAGTTTGAACTCGGCTCAGCACACACTGGTCAACGTACCAGCCGTTATACGATGCATAGCTGGCGTACCTTCCAGCGCCTCATGCCGCCCTGAGTGTGGTCTCAGGTAGCCTATAACGCGAAGAGGTGACATCCTCGTTTGCCGGACGTCTTCTAAATGGGACTTTATCCCCGAAGGTGGCGCCCGCGCTTTTAAAGGGACAGGCTCTAGGAGCGGTCCGTAGCCGCCATATACCCAAGTAGGCCCAGTCTCGGTCGGGGTGAAATGTCGTGCGGTATTCCGCGGGGGTCCGTATTAGGGCCGCTCCTGCGGAATATCGGATACGACTGGGTGTTCCGCGGTGCCTTCTTATATGATTTCTCTATCATGAGCTACGCGGATGACACGTTTGTGACGGCGTGCGGTAAAAGAAATGTTTGGATATGGCAATATATTATAACGCGTACATAGGGAAGCAGGTACCCAGGAAATAGTCAGGTTATACATATTTATGTATTGTTTATGTCTTGAATATATTTTGTTTTTTTAGTTAGTACACATTGTAGTAGTAATTTGAAAACTAGCATTTAATCACTAAGTTTATTATAAATTGAGACATTTATTACGAATAGAGACATTATAAAAAAATGAAACTTAAATGTGAAGAAAGTTTATTTAAAAAAATAAAGGCGCACCGTGAGTATCCGGCGACTCGAGGTGTCTCTGCACAAATCTGAGCCCTTGTTCTTTTATGAGCCTCGATGGGGCCACCTGAGGGATACAGTCTCATAGTAGGAGGCACTCGTATCGACCTCGAGCCTTCGATGAGGTATGTGGGGCTCCATTATAGCGGCGGTAAGACCCGTTATGGAGGGTTGGCTCGAGAGGAACACGGAACCCTCTCATACGGGCTGACGCAGGAGATCACCTGTGTCTGATCCGCAAGGAACCACTGCCTGGGAGCCACCATTGCGGTGGCCAGAGCCTGAATACGGCGCTTCACACGCCGAATGCCCGGCGTGGCGTGGATGGAGCAAAGGCGGGGCCTCGTGACGACTCCGCAAGCTCCTTCTGCGAGCAAGTTATGCTCGAAAAGTAGAGGGTGGAGCGGGACCTAAAGAGAGGCTTAGAGCTCTTCCGGTCCGCCAGGTCCGGCAACGGGCCAGCTACTGCAGGCGGCTAAGGTGGCAGAGGTGCATGCATGCAATTATTTAACACTAGCTGACCCGCGCAACTTCGTCTGCGTCTCTCAATAGTAATAAATTTTCTCCGTTTTTGAAACATTCTTCATTGGTGCTCCGCTCCTATTGGTCTTAGCGTGATGATATATAGCCTATAGCCTTCCTCGATAAATGGGCTATCTAACACTGAAAGAATTTTTCAAATCGGACCAGTAGTTCCTGAGATTAGCGCGTTCAAACAAACAAACAACTCTTCAGCTTTATAATATTAGTATAGATAAAATGTAAAATATTTAATTCTAGCAGTCTACTTCTCCTTGTTGAAGACAAAAAAACTTATTCTCTGCCAACACTCATGGGAAAGAAGCATGGTAAATGTGCAGAAGTCAGACAAAATGTAAAAATGTATGATAAAAAAGAATATATTATAAAAGCCATAAACATCACATAAAAAATCAAGAGGCTCATATGGCGATGGGCAGGGCAGATGTTAAGAGAACAGAATGGATCAATAAAATCAGAACTATTATCAGATAAACATACCATATAGGTACCTACTTTAAAGAATGTACAGATCGGTATTAGATTGCAAGTAAATTCGACTTTAGTGCAGGCGTCTCCAACGTTAGTGTCTTGCGGAGGAAGTGACGATGTGTATACAATACAACAATGCCGCGACGTATTTGACTTTATAAATAGTGCAGACCGTAATGCAAAGTAGCTACCTGTTCAATCTTAGCCCACTGGACGCGAACACTTGGCTAAATTAACATTCGAAGCGACGCGACGCGATGTTGACGATTTAGGCACGAGCTTATTTTGACAGTGCTAAATAATTTTAATGAAATATGGACTTTAAAGACAAAATTTAAACAGACATTACATAAAAAATATTGCTTAGCAATAAACATAATGATATAATGGTAGGTACATAAAAATATATGCAAGTATATTAGCATCTTATCTCATCTACAAGCACCAGATATACTATTATTTTAGAACCCTAGATAAAGTATTTGCTGTATACCTGTATACCAATCATTATGGATAAATGATAAGGAAACTCAGTTTAGGAGCTCTTGCCTCAGAAATTTCTTAGGAATGTACCATGAGCGACCATTTAAGGGATTTTCTTAGAATCAAAGTCCTGTCGGCAGAGCGCGTAGTAGTAGTAGAATGGTGGTGGTGTAAGTATCATCTTAAATTAGTTCCACAGAGCATGGTGTTACAAGCAGTGAAACATGGAACACACAAGGAGAGTGTTCTCTTTAGGGTTACGAGCTCAATATAGCCTGTGAGTTTAGAAACTCCTAGTGACTTCGAAACTGAACGAGTCGCGTTGTTGTTTTTTCTGGTAAAAAGTAGCATCAGAAAACTAATCTCTTGTTGGGAATACATAAAATATAACGAAATCAATTAAACTCAATGTAGACAATGATGAACACTAAATTGTTTGCATTGTTATTCATATTTGTCCATATTCTTTGTTGTTTTATTAACAACACAATTATATCCTTATTAAAATTCTTGTGTTTATATATTAGGTCTTTACCTATGAAATTGCCGTTTTGTATGCAATAAGTGAAAGTACTTATTTTTTCAAACTTTTTTATTTCTGTTATTCTAAGTAATCACCCATGCAATCGACGCATCTTTGCCAACGTATTGGCAGTTTATTGATGCCCTTCTTGTAAAAATCAGCTGGACGGGAGGCAACAAACTCTTCAAAGGCATTTTGTACTGCCTCTCGGGAATTGAATTTTTTACCCACTAAAAAGTTGTATAAATTTTGGAAAAGTAATAGTCGGTAGGTGCAAGGTCTCGGTAAGGGTCAGGTATAGCGTCATCACATCACATCAACAGCCTTTAATAGTCCACTGCCGGACATAGGCCTCTCCTTAAAAAGGAGGTTTTGGCCTACTATAGCGTATAGCGTATAGGTATAACGTAGTTTACACATTTATTAGAATCCCTATTGACAGGACATTGAGCATACTGACACACAACGACCAAAGCAGACCACAGTAGAAATGAAAATATGGAATACCAGGGCATAAGGCATTTTACTTCTATTGAGACTATTCGAGACCAACAACAGCATAGCATTAGTTACCTTTTCGTTCGCTAGACGGAGCTAAAATACTTAAATCGCGCTATGGTTCTGTTACACGCGTTAGTATACTCGTATAAGGCCTCTGACATTTTGTATGACAGATCAAGACTGGAGTTTACTTCAAGACGATTGCCAATTAAACCGTAGAGTCTTACAAACCCTTAGTACAGTGCACAGTTGTTTTATTCAAATCCCCACTAGTGTCACACATCCCGTCCAAAGATACCACGCTTGGTATCAAACAGTTTTTACATTCACTGCGCACTAGAGGGACACGGTGGATAATGCAACCTGTCGCAAAATATGTATTGACTTCTTGTGAACGCCTCTAGCAAATTTAACGTACTACTGTTTTAGCATTACAGTGAAATGGTCTCATAGAAGTAATCAACCACTGATAATTTATCTCTGTTTATCGTATTGGTCAGATTATACAATATTGTGATAGTTTGAATGGTAAACTTTTGTAGTCCAAGCGAAGCAACTGGCAACTGCTTAATTTTTTGTCACTCAGTGAAATGATACTTTCGTAGAGCGTTGAGTGACGTTTTCGTATCGTTTGCATTTTTTTTATTAAGTATACCTGCCTATAAAAGTAGCACAGTATGCGCAGATCTAGATCTGATCTAGAATCTCTACCCTACAGAAGATCACAGTTAGAAAGCACTACTAGGGCAATAAAATCAGAGCACCGAGGTGCAGTCACTGTAGATATCAATTCTCTGTTTTGCAAGGGTACTAAACTAAAGACCAACATATAAATAATCCTTTAAAGACATTTGAACTTTACAAATTAACTTAAATGTTACTACTTCACCTTTTTATATTAGTCATCAGTCATCATTTAAATTTATGGCATTGAACAAATGACGTAAGGAAAATCAACACAACATACTTTATGTACAGAATTAAAATACAAGTTTTGAAAGCGCGTTTTTGTAATACATAATTTTCCACTAAAGATAAAGTAGGTGCGCTCCGTTTTACATGCTTTACGAGTATGAGTTGAACTTATGTATTATATTCTAAAGAGACAACTCCAATGAAAATGAGTTACGATAAATGTATTAGTTACCTACACGTCATACTTTATAGTTGTAATTCATTTAAGGAAAAGTATACATACTGTACTAATCATCATATTGGTAACAAATGGAATCCTTGGACCAACATAGTATGATACAGATCCATTTTAACCATATTACAAAACCGGCTAATTCAAACGCCCGTCATATCGCCTTTATCTCTCGCAAGACTTAACGAACTACACTTGCCCTTCAAACTATTACCGAAGAAGAAAAGGATGTCTGTTGAAACTTACACTGTAGGCACATATTCCTCTGGAAATTCATTTTTCGTGTACACGTAGAGCAAACAGGTCTTGCCAACCATACCATCGCCGACCACTGTGATCTTCAGTCTTTTCGTCGTACCCATGATGCGTGCAGCAACATCCGATAAATGAATAAAGGCACAATATTCACACTAACGGACCGATGAAGTCCTTAACACTTATAATAAATGACTACAGCTGTTTACACGACAAAGTAGCAGTGCACTGCCAGGCCGTAACTTGATCCTTGAATCTTATCACTCAATGATGTAATGATGTTATCAATCTTGTAGAAATACTAATGATAACGAGACGATTGTAAGTGACACAGTGCGCGCGCGCGCTGACTCTCGTGGTCGAGCGTTGAATGTTGACGGCACGAACAGTGTGAAGACTATGAATTAGTACAATGACAACTTATTACCAGTGCCCACGAGTCACAAGCGCGGACTAATAGTTGTACGCCAGCCGCCAGCGACTGTGTAGTTTGGACACTCGCCGCGAATGAATGCTATCTAATTAATTCTATGAACGTATAATGTACAAACCTCGACCGTAAATGAGTTAACGTCGGTTATTTATATTATTCACTATTTGGGCAATGAAACGTCACATACAGCGGGCCTTTAAAAAGAAACTTTTAAAACTGATTTAAAAGGTTGGCTAACATTACCTAAGAAGCGGTTATTGAAAAACCAAAAACGCGACTGCTTCAAAATTTTATATTTGCAAATTTAATTTTTAATTAATTGAAACTCAGTCGTTTTTAATTACTATTAGTAACTTGTTGTTTGATTACTTGTTAACGATAATTATTTTGTTTCTTTTTTAGCATTTCTAATTTCAAATTATATTATAAGTTATTTATACATATCTTTGTAAGAAAATAATGAGACATTTATAGATAAGATTTTTATTTGAAAAAAAATTGAAGATTAAATGACGCCAAAAAAAACGTTTTTTTTTGTAGTTTTGAAATATTCGTGACTCCCATAAGCTGAGCTCGCCTCCTCGCAATCCACAAATCTTTAAGCCGTTTAATATACACTCGAAACACATAACCCTCCTTCTGGCACAGACGAATAAAAAGTAAGGAGGATGAAATAAAACAGTTAAATAACTTTATTCCAGTAGTTTATTAAAAATAAGTACCAGTAGTTACTAATAGTAATCGTTACATTAATTAATCACATTAAATTCTTATATTTAGTTTGTACATTAGTATAAATATAAAAAGCTAATACTGATGGTTATCACAAATAATCCTAATCAGGTCAATTAGGTAATTATTACTCAAACAATTAACTTGTTTAGTCACAGTCAGTGTAGGTAACTCGATAGTTAATGTATTTACTGAGGTCAACCAATTTTACTACGACTTTTTATCTAAAGTAAATTGATCCATTCCCCTGAAGATAAGTTCCTCCTTCAGTTTGAGGACTTCTTGCATCAACATTTGATTATTTTTGTCAAATTTATTAATTATTCCTTTCAAGTGCTTGATATATTCTTCCCGATCAGATGTTATATTTCTGCATGCAACGTAGGATCTCTTATCAGAATGAGTATGAACATCTGAAAAATTAAGTCACGATATAACGCACATCAGAAAGAAAGAAATAAACCTCGAGTTAAAATATCCTAATTGTGAAGCCACGATTTTTTACGCTATGGTGACTGGTGAAGTACTGGTACTTAAATGGTCCAAAGTACCTGTGTCGAATCAAGCAATGACCCCATCGAAATACGAGGTGCTGCGTTGCCAATGGCAAGAAGCAAATAACAAGCGATTCTCGACTCCAGAAACACAAAAAAAAAGATAAAAAAAGATCATCTTTTGTGGTGTTACGAGCTATTTAAGTTCCGGTTAACCCTGTAAGATCAGATGGGCTGTGGGCTTCTTTGACAAGTACAAAAATTGTACAAAAAGTCTGTTCTTCTTACTGACACTGATCGCGTCGATACCTACTAATAAGTGGTAATTGCGTGGATACGTACTAAATTTTTAGATTATTACCTATCTATTTAAAATAATAATATATTAACTAACTAGTGCTAATTAGATAATGTATGCATCGGTTAATGAGAGAAATGGACAACTTCAGATAATACAGTAGCGGGTTTACTTTACGCACAACAGCAATTTAATATGAGCTTAAAAACACATGTAAAACAAGTGACATGCCCCATGACAATTTAGATTTTTTCTATTGGAATTCAAATGAGAATACTATATAAACCGTATACCTACACACACTATATAAACCGTGATTACTATAGTGGGTCCGCTGGTAAATAAAGATTCCGTGGAGAAATTAGAAGGGTTCTCCGAGAATGTTTATTTTTTATTGTCGCATTATTAATCAGTTAGGCACAAACACTACTTTGAAACAACACGAATTATTGCATAACTTCAAAATATAGTTAAAACCAAAATATACATACCTAAAGCAATTATTTTTTTAAAGGACTACTATCGCATTGGGAATATATCGGACACAAAGAACACCAGACTCAGAACAACAATTTGTGGATTATTAGAACTCAGAACAACAATTATTAATAACTAACCCGGCTTGCTTCTGCTAAGGTGACAGAGGGCCTCACCTGCCACCTGGCTTTATGGACGTCACGCTTATGGAGGACGGAGGTCGTTCTGCGGCGGATCGGGAGGGTTCTAAATTCCTATGCGGTTCCGCTTTGCCGTCTCCTTCGCAAGCATAACTTGCTCATAGAAAGAGACAGCAGCGTTCAACGCGTTCTCGCTCCGTACCATGGCCACAATCATGGTAGTAAGCGAGAGAATTAACACTCCGATGGCCGCCATGAGATGACACCTCTGCTCATCTCACGCCGGGCATTCTGCCAGCGTGTGGACCGCCGCGTCTACGTTTTGGGCATCGCTGTGGCAGTCAGCCGGTATGAGAGGGTCCCGTGATGCCTCTTCAGCCAATCCTCCATAACAGGTCTTACCGCCGCAATAACGGCGTGCCGGCGCTAGGTTGTCCAAGTCGTTCCTTCCACTTCTCCCCTAGGACTTGGTGAAGTTGGGATTCCTGATCATCAATTTCTTGAGTCTCAGGACTCCGACCCAACAACCGCGCCTCCTTGTGATAATGATACAGAGCCACAGAACGATTTTCATGAAATTTAGTATTCGGGGTTTCGGGGGCGATTAATTGATCTTGCTAGGTTTCATTTTTAGGAAATTTACCAAAAATAAAAATACTAAGCAAAGCTCGGTCATCCAGGTACTATAAATTTAACATGAGATGACACAAGCAACACTGACATGCAACAAGTTCTCTGTCACAATTTCTATAATGTTGTAATTTTGTAAAAAAAACAATATTTTCTGTATTGGTAACTGCTAATAGCAGAGATATTTTTTGGTTACCATAAATTAAATTATACTCACATATATTATGCTACACATAGAATTACAAAAAACTAAATACTGCACTAAACTAAAAACAAAATATTTAAATACTCGGGTGATATACACGAACATCTCAAAAACAGTGTGCCTGAATTTGAATCATTTACAGCTGTACAGACTGGGAGTCTACTAGAATCATAACCAAAATAGATATCTCAGTCTATGGCTAACTATGTAATACTAATATCTTCAGTTTTCATACTCTATAAAAAAATGTCACAAACACTATAAACAAAAACTGCTCTAATTTATATACAATTTAAATATTTATATTTACCTTTGTCTCTCAATCTATCTGTTAATTTTTCATTTTGTTGTTTAAGTCTTGTTATCTCATTGTGCAATTTTCTCTCATTGGCATCTTTTTGTTTGGTAACTTGTAATAATTTTGCACGAGCTTCTGTTAACTTCTGCAACACATCATCGGAACGATCCGCAATCCTCTGAGCCGACGCCACGCAAGCTTTAGATTCATTTTTTTCTAAACATATCTTTCCTTTGAGTTTGTCCACTAATCCCTGTAGCAAGAAAATTTAAGTAATTTAATGCATTGTGTTTTCAATTTTTAAACTTGTACATACCTTCATAAATAAGAGTAGTAATCATACATTTAGGGTCTTATTACTGTGTTCCAATATATGATTTCTTTCTTCCAATGCGTCCGTTTTATGTTGTAAATTTTTAAATGTATGCAGCAATGTCCAAACAGAGTTTGTTAGATTGACGACAGCCTCGGACCGCAAGGTATTGCCGTCCACGTCCAAGTATGGATTAAAGATGTAGTTAATGTTAAGTAAACCGAACTCCTAAGCAATAAAAAAAACTATTAGACTGTTACAAAACACCCAAAAAAGAACACCCAACAAAACAACAATAGAACTTTTAACTTACTTCATGTAAGCCTATAAGACATTCTTTAAAATTTGTAAGTGTACAGGGTTCGTAAGCTGTAGCCCGTTTATGCCTGTAATTTTGTAAAAGCTCTTTTACTTCCTCATCCAAGGCCTGAAATTCTCCAAACATAGCCATTATTGAATGTGTTGGAAAATTAACAAGCAACCGCCTGCTGTTGACTGCGATTTTAAATTATTACACTAATGCAATAAATATATGTACTGTTGTTTCTTCAAATTAAAAACTATTTAAAATATAAAATAACACACATTCTAACTAGTTCGATAAAATAAACATAACGTAAATATAGTTTTCAGGTAGGTAGTTTCTGATGTTTAAAACTTCTGGCAGGAAACGTTTACATGTTACGCGGGAGTTGTAAAAACAAACTAGTGTTACCAGTGTAAAGAGACTGATCCTATTACTCTAGTCTTAGATTTACATACTTTACAAAAAATACATTTGTCAGCCTGATGAATAATAATTAATGGAGGAATAAATAAGTATTTATTCGCAATATGAATATACCCGAACTCTATTTATACAAAACCGTTGAATTAGGTGAAAATTATAATTCCAAAAAACTACGCGTACCTAGCGTACAATGTACCTTTATAATATGTTGGCGACTGAAGGATCTTGTATTAGAGATGTTAAAAAATAATCGATTTTTATTGAAATCGATTATTATTTTCTTATAATCGATTTTTTATTCTCGATTTTTATAGTAATGTTAATCGATTTTTAGTAAATCGATTATATAAATTACGTGTTTAAATCAATTTTCAGAAACAGCTCGCATCTATGCGACGAATGAAAAAATTTTGCAGTATGTTTCAATTTTAAAAACAGCGCCATCTATTCGTTGGATCAAAAATCTCTGCTCCGTCCGAAAGATTATTTTCCAAAGCGGGAAATGTGGTCAGGAAAACACGAAACCGTATTTTAGGAAAGAGACTATCAAATTATTGTTTTTAAACTGCTTACTTACCTGAAAATTTATGGTAATAATTATTTTAAACTTTATTATTGTTTAATCCTAGTCAAATGTAAAATAGGACTGCACATTTGTGGAAATAATTATTTTTAATTTTATTATTGTTTAAACTTGCAGATTAACGAAAGATTATTTTTTATTTTAGTTTTAGAGACCATAACGTAGTTGTTCAGGATTGATAATGATCCTTTTAAGTATTTTATTTTAATACTAGTCAAATGTAAAATAGGACTGCATGGACATTTGTGACAATAATTATTATTTAAACTTAAAGATTAACGAATGATTTGTAATTTAGTTTAGTTTTTGAGACTATAGAGTAACCGAAGCCAAAACCTCCTTTCTAAGGAGAGGCTTACGTCCAGCAGTGGACTATCAAAGACTGTTGATGAAGAGTAGTCGTTTAGTTTTTTAATTCTCATTTTAAGTGTTTATTTTAAAACTAGTCAAATAAAAAATTCTCATCATTTCATTTTTATTATAATAAATAAAACGTTTCATAGTACTAAAATGAGTATCAATAATGCTATTTAGTTTCCTAATTCCCTACTTTGAAATTTTTCGAATAGGTTATTTTTTTATTCATATAATTTGATTTTATTTTTAATCTGATAAATAGTTAATATGAATCTCTTAGGTTTATTATTAGAATATGGAAAGCATATACTTTTAAATAATACAAAAAAATCGATTATTTATTTTTGTTAAAATCGATTTTTGGCAAATCGATTAATTTTTAATATAGAAAAATCGATTTTTATTTAATCGATTCTTTTCCATTAATCTCACATCCCTATCTTGTATCCAAAGTAATAAAAAAAACAGTTTTTTTTTTAAATGAGATCAGTGTTTCCATCTACATTGTTATAGTGGTAGAAACACTGTATTTTCAGAAAATGCAGCACCTACTATAGAGATTTTAATCATTATAATATACTGTAAATCGTGGCTGCAGATTTCTTGATTTCTTGTAGAAACCAATTAAGTAAAAACTATGGTACTAAATGTGAGAGAAAATTCAACAAAGTAGCAAATACCTACTCTGTCAAAAAAAAAAGCCGTGTGGTGTCGTGGGACACCCGATAGGAACGAAGTTGTGACGATCGAGTAAAACTGATTTGACACGATTTTAATTACAACGCCATCTATGAAAGCGGCTATTACCTACATATTAAAAACAATTAAAACAATTTATACATTGGTAAAATCTCCTTGCGAAATGATTTCCTATCTATTCGATAGATGGTGCTGAATGTCTGTCAAGATGACACGAAAATAAAGAGCAAAAAGCCAACATCACGTGGTATTCCCAGGCGGTCACCCATCCAAGTACTAACCACGCCCGATGTTGCTTAACTTCGGTGATCGGACGAGAACCGGTGTATTCAACATGGTATGGACGTTGGCGAACGTTAAAGCAAATTTAATGTATGGTATCCACAGTTAGACGTCAATTTATATTAAAAGTGTTGTTCCAAATTTTCGTATGAATTTTTTCCGTCTAGCCCCCTTTCATAACGCGCGATAAGGAACTTAGTTCCAAAATGTTCTCAGGTTTCTGCTATTGCCCACAGTCATATTATCGTAGAAAGGTTTACGAAGATAGCAATAATAGTGTGTTTTTAAGATTTTAATATTATAGCACCTACGCTACGTTAGCTTGTTAAGGTTGATAATTTGATAGTTTATATGTAAACTATAAACTGAATTAACTTTTGAACGCAAAGTTCTAAAATCTTGTTACTAAAACTTTAATTGTCAGCCAAATAAATACAACAGCGATACAAAGTCCCATACATGCCTGCCAGTGTTTTTTACTAGTTGTGAATAATCTTTTGGCTTTTATCAAAACAGAAAAAAATTAAGTTCTAGGTTGAAATTTCGAGACACTGAATGATTCAGTGCTACACATCGATTTAAAAAAACGGTTTTTGTCCCGAGAATCGATACTTCAATTAAGCGATTTAAGATCGGCATCCCTTAATTGTTGTTATCTGTGATTGTTTTTCGGTCGTACTTGAGTTGTCGAGTTGTAAAGAAAATAACCTACATTGATTTGTTATTTATATTGAATGTTGAGTGTATCTGATAACAAGTTGCTATTTTATGCTGTAATTTAATAGACTTCCAACTTAAGACGCTATGAATTCAGCAATCGAAATTAGTTCCTACCGTGATCAGCATTTCAAGGTAATGTTGGCTTCGTCGCAAAATCGAAAGCTATTGATATTAACACTTATTGTACATTAATGAAAGTACCATTAAATTGCTGATAATTTATACTTATTATGCATTTTTGTTCATCAGGGCTCCAGAAGTGAACAAGAGAAATTACTAAAAGCATCATCTACACTTTATATTGGGAATTTGTCATTTTACACCACAGAAGAACAAATTTACGAACTCTTCTCAAGATGCGGTGATATAAGAAGAGTCATAATGGGTTTAGACAAGTATAAAAAAACTCCTTGTGGATTTTGTTTTGTTGAGTATTATGCACGATTAGATGCTGAAAATTGTATGCGGTGAGTAATCAAAGCTGTTATTATAACTTAATTAAAACTAAATTTAAAATACAAATGCTGCTATTCATCCAACTGTCAAGGAATAAAAGTTATGTATGAATATATTACAGATATATTAATGGGACTAGATTGGATGATAGAATCATTCGTTCTGATTGGGATGCTGGATTTATAGAGGGGAGGCAATATGGAAGAGGCAAAACTGGTGGACAGGTAATTTCATTACTTTATAGTAATCTTATTTACTTTAGGCGTTCATGGTCATACTAGTGGTTGTGTGCCGTGGGTTTCATTAAGGTTGACTAAAGGAGTGTATACCAGAAGATGAGCAGCAGCATTCTACTGAATACATCTGAATCTCATTGCGATAGCCCATCCACATGCCAAGTGTGGTGATTATGGCAAAACCCTCCTATGGCAACAGCTACTAAAAAACAGCAATACCTATGATAATAGATATACTATTTTACTTTTTTGAATTTACATATTAAAAATATTTGATAAACGGGTATATTCATATTATTTTTCCATTTTAAAATATTACTTCAAACAGTAATGTTGAATCTTCTACAAATTGACTTTAATTATAGCAAATTATATATACATCCTGTTTTTGTAATTTTAATAGAAGGTAAATTTAGTATTATTATGTTCACAAACATAAAGTCACATAATTTCAATGTAGTTAATATTGATAGTTATCTTCCACACAGACTACAGAAGGGTACTTAGAAGTCCTGCCCATTAGATATAAGCATTTGATGATTCTCAAGTTAGATCAATGATGTAAACCAGTATGTAGCAGACTAATTAAGAGGCAAACTCCAGCAGAATTTTAATCAAATGTCTTTTAGTTTGAAATGAGAAGTATTTTCTGACCCTCACTGACTTCAAAAATACCATTATATTCTAGTAACATGGAACATCCATTTAGGACATCATGTACATAACTCATTGTATCTTTTCTGAGTTCTGATTGTTGCATAAAAGCCTAATATTACTTTGTGGTGTTACTGCCAAATGATAACCCTGCAATATATATAATCTTTCCATTTAATATTTTTAAACCATTTAATTATTTAGAAAAACATTAGTCTATCCATATTAAAATTTTTATATTCATGGTATATTGTAGCTACTAAACACCATGTAGAATAGTTTAATATTAATTTCATGAATGATTCAATTTAATTAAATTAGTTGTTTTAAGTATATGAATTACGGAGTTTAAGTATTTATTTTAATATAAAAAGCATACTAAAAGCATTATTCTGTTGTATAATTCTGTTCTTGACATTATATTCCCTCTTTTTTAGTGAAGCAATTTCCAAAATGCTATACTGTTGTCAAATCAAAATTTTTTGTTCATTGTGACAGCATTAAAGGACATCATTCACGCTCCATACTCCTAAAAAGTACCCAAAAAAAAAATGCCGGCCAACGAAAAAAAAATGATTTTATTGGTTAGAGAATGACATTCTAAGATTTTTTTCTTTAGACGGCTAAGAGCTAAGACCGATTACTTCTGAGTTATATGACTTAGAAAAAAAAAATGCATTTAAACGAGTTCTTCTGAACAATTTTTATTTCATTACTATAGCAAAAATCAAATAATGATGATAAAAAAATAACTTAATCTCGCTATATACAATCATCATTAGGTACCTAAGTACCTACGTAGGTATTTATGTTTAGGTATTAGTGTTATAAAATATATGTACAGAAAAAGACTTCATTTCGTTACCTATGTGGCTTTATTCATATGTTATAATTCTGCAGGTCTTACGATAACATTTTCTAAACCTAATGCAAGTGGATTTATGGGAGGTTGTTGGTGCCTCGCGAACGTCGTGTACCATACTATGCACATAGTGTGGGAACAGCAGACCATCGTTCTTTTGCCAACATTGCATGAGCAATAATAATACGGTATGGCATCACGGCCAATCAATGATGTGTCGATGCCAAAGTAAACATAATATACTCTGGCCCGAACATGCCGAGATTGTACTCTTCCTCTTATAATTATTATGTTTTCTCCCAATTCTCTGACGTGTTCTGTAAAAAGTCTGTCGCCAAGCTCGACCGTAAAAACACCATTTGGATTGATGTGCTCGCCGTAATAGCTTTTAGCTTGTTTTATTTGATAAATACCCAAACTAAATAATATTAAATCCTCTTCTGAGAGCCTTGCAAAATCATCGGACTCGGGCATATCGGCGGACATCGGCTGAAATTGTGCTCGTCTTCTATTATAATTATGCCTTACAACTATATCAGCCAGCGTGTTAGCGATTGACATTCTATAGTTTATTATGGCCAAAAAGGATTGGGCATGAATATTGTCATTTATTAGTATATAGTATGCATTAATTATAGCAGCCGCTATCTTAAAACAATTAAACATGTGAGGAAGAGCACGATTTATATTGACATGTCTCAATAATCTAAAATCCCGTTTGAAACGCCCATTAACTACCTCCACAACCCACCGACAGATAGTTACAAGGCGAATTTTATTTGGGTTTGGGTTATGGGTATGTGCAGAATATCCCAGGGACTCCATTGGTGATATGGCATCTCTGAAGGCGCGATCCAAAATAAATACATCACCTTTTTCAAAAATGATTTTATTGTTTTTTGACGTGACAACGTCTTATAATTCGATGGAGCCGGCTGCACGCACGAAAAAATATGACTCATGCGGCGTTACCTCGCTCTGAGGCGTTCCATTTAAGGCTTGAAGTGCAAGCGAGAGCGCGGAACGAGCGGCAAAGGGGCACAATCGGCCTTCGGCAGCGTTTGACATCTGTCTCTCTCCTACTTGAGTGAGCGATGCGTCCGCGTGGACAGCTGCTATACAATAATACATTTGCATGTTTTCGTAAAATGCAACCACTCCATTAGTATTTTCTTATGACGTTGTCACGTTCAACTATCGTCAGTAAACCGACTTTACAGACAACCGATTTTTTTTTATGATTTTGATTATATGATTTTCGGAGATCCATTTTGGGTCTAAAAGTTGGTCGTAGACGTTTGTTGTAATAATAAAAAATGTTTAAAAGATCATTTGCCGTAAAATGACACAGTTTTTTTTTACTGGCCCGGCGCTTTAATTTTTGGGTACATTTTGAATGATGTCCTTTGAATCTGACATCACTACAAGTTTAAAAGGAAAGTGTTACCGTTTACTAAAAACAAGTAAAATTTTAACAAAAAAAACCGACTTCAATGATTTTCTCATGGATTCCATGGTCAGAACTGAAATGGGACCACACGGGAAGCACCAGCTTTCCAATAAAAAAAGAATCATCAAAATCGGTTCACCCAGTCGAAAGTTATGAGGTAACAAACATAAAAAAAAAATACAGTCGAATTGAGAACCTCCTCCTTTTTTGAAGTCGGTTAATTAAGAATGAATAATAAGGAGTGAATTAATAAAATCTTGTGCAATTATATTTTCAAGATTTATAAATTCCTAATTTTAAAATGAATATTATAGATGAAATAGTAAACAAAATCATGTATTTCTCAGTCATAGCTGAGTAAAATATAGTTTTACTCAGTTCATCTTAGTTCACACACCTGGCAGGTAAATATTTTGCTATGGCAAGAAAGATAAAATGAGTATTTAAAAAAAAATAACAAACAATATCATCAATCCAATTCAAAATAAATACATAAGCTAGAGCAAATTTTATTAAATTAACTAGTAAACGGTGGTGCTTTAGCAGGGCTCGCGAATTTTCTACATACCAATTTTTTTTTTAATTTTTAATATCTGAAAGTAATTAATTATAGAAGCAAATATTAATAATATTGTCTTCTGTAATTAATTACTTTTAACTGAACACTGTTTACATCGATATTAATTCTTTAGTTTTCTAACAGATGGCGTAAGTAGTAATAGTCTAGTTGATTCCAGTTGATTATTAAATAGTTTTATAATTTTTGACAGATGGCGTCAGTAATACAATAAAATTCTAATTAATACAAATTGTTTAATATTCTCTTTAGACAGACATCAATTGAAATTACTACGAGTATATCAAAGTCCAAACTTGAAAGTGTGATAGTTTCTCAGTAAAGAACACGATAAAAATACATAGATTTACTACTCGCTTCGCTCGACCGTCTATATTTTTGTTAATGTTCAAAAAGTGTTCTTGAGTTTCTAAAAATAATACAATGGTATGTTTTAATAAACCAAACAAAATATATGAAAATATTAACACACACCTTTCTGCTGAACTGACCAGAGGCAAAACAAGTAATCACTATTGAACATAAAAGAAAATCCAATATGTTAAAAGAATTTATACTTAAACAGTCTAATCAACCAATTAGTCGGCATGTATTTAGATACCGTCTAACTTTAGTATGACATTTTTAATATAAGTTAGTCTTTGACGATTGGAACATACAACAGAATAACAAATGACCAATTATGGACTAAATTGAGTAATTTAGGTTGTGTCAAACTAAATATAGTTAAGTACTACGTTTTCAGAATACGAAACCTCGTTTGACAGGACTAAACAAATTTTTAGTAATATTTAGTTTAGTTAGTTTTCGAACAACAGAATAAGCGCCATTGTACATCTTTTATCACCTTTACCTAGTTTTAGTAGATTTTAGTAAAGAAGAAAATAGCTTCTAGTAACCTATTTTATTAATGTGCTAGTCAGCTCGTGTTGCATCTAAAAAAACTATGGTGATTTAATAACTTATATTAAACAAACATCGAATTTGTAATCAATACGAACTTTTAAACGCGTTCCGTGTTGCGTTGTATATCATATACATATTGTTGTAATATCATATACATATATATATTTTCAGGTGCGAGATGAATATAGAACTGACTATGATGGAGGCAGAGGTGGCTATGGAAAAATCATTGCTCAAAAAATTACACCCAGTCCCATGGAACGTTGAGAATCATATTATATGAAGTGTGTATTGTGTTTTATCTGGAAATGACAGAACTGTATGGAAGTATATAAAGTTTAATGTGACTAAATCCTACTATGTCTGAATATTAACTAAGTTATAATAAATAAAAAACTTAAGTATTTATGGTATTTATTTGTTCTGGTAACCAAAAAACTTAAAACAAAAGAAGCAGAGGAGAGTACGTAAAGTATTCTTTCTTTCTTTCTATTTAAAATAAAGGTGTAAAAAAACTTGTAGGTAGGTATAGTATTTTTTAGGTGGACTTACAAAAACCTCGAAAGTATACCTAAATTGTAAGTAATTACTAAATTGAACAAAAAATACAGTAAGTCATTTGGACACTTCGCAAGAAACTAATATACCTCAATATAGATTATAGGTATCATAAGGGTTACAGGTAAAAGTTTGAGCCGAATGATGACGTACACAAACATTTTGAGCGGTGCACGTCAATATACCGCGGTGTGTTAGTACCAGTTTTTTTTTTTTTTTTTTTTTAAACAATATTAGTAACGTGATTCACAAATTATTAGTTAATTTGTTAACTTCTCCATCTAAGTTTAACACTTGTTTTAAAAGTTCACGTCAGGGTCCTGGGTGTGGTTCGCACCCGCAATCGCTTGATCGCAAGTTCGTCGCGCTAGCCATTACGCTACCGTCACTTGAATTAGTGCTCACATAAAATAGTCATGCGTGGTTTATGGACCCCCGAACGTAACGAAGTTCCTCTCGCTTTGTGATATTATATCTGATATACTATATTATATTTTTATAAAGAATTTTATTGAGAATTGGTAAGTTATAGTGGAAGCTTACCTATAACTTACCTATTCTCAATAAAATTTTAGCTAGTAATGTAATAAAAATTAAATTAAAAACTTTACCTAGAAAGGTAAAGTTTTTGATTTAATTAGTTAGACAAAGTAATACATTTTTTTATAATATAAATAAATCAGTTTATTTTTCGCTTTCGTTAGGCAGGGAGTTTTCGTTTGATGTTTTTTTTTTGTTATCAGTTCAATATTTTCATACGTGATCGCACCATGTTGACGGAGGCGGCGTGCGCGTTCGCCGAAGTGCCCGCCAAAGTATATCGGCGGATGACAGAATTCCAGGCGGTTAGCGGCAGTTGGCCCCCGCCCGAAGAACTGCGCGAGTGGCGTGAGGCCACTCGTCGAGCCACGATGCTCGTTGGTGGTCCCGGCTGGAGGCTCCAGGTTTTGCCGCCGTGTCATCGTCGAATGGGCACGGCTGCTTCGAGAAATACCTGTACAAGGTTGCTAGGAGGGAATTGAGTAGACGCTATTGAACGCGTCCGCTCCTTGTCGGAAGATGTTGCCTGTCGGGGGGGAGTGGCGTTGGCTGTCAGTCTTGATATTGTCAACGCCTTTTACTCTCTTCCGTGGTGGGCGCTTAGAGAGGCACTTCAGTATCACCAGTTGCCTCCCTACCTGCGGGACATCATCGGAGCTTATCTCCGCGACAGGTCCATATCGTATATGGGTCGGGACGGCGAAGACTGTCGAAGGGAGGTCACATGCGGTGTTCCCCAGGGGTCGGTCGTAGGACCTCTTCTGTGTAACCTCGCGTATGACGCCGTCCTGAGGACCAGCCTTCCCCCAGGCTCCGTCAATAAAAATAAAAGAAAAGGAGGGTATTGAGTACCGCCTGACACCACTGCAATTGCAGTGAGGACTCGGCTCAGCACACGCTGTCAATTTGCCCGGCTTGGGCGTCACATGGGTCCTCACTGCAGTCATCGGAGGAGATCTCTCGCTACCAGCCGTCATACGCTCCATGACCGGTAGTGATAGTTGTTTTTCCGCGGTTGCATACTTCTGCGAAGAAGTCATCTCGCAAAAAAAGGCGGCGGAGAGGGCCCGGGAGTATGATCTCCACTCGGACCCAATTCGTCACCGACGACCGGGCGGCGGAGGCGCGCTTACCAGTGCCTCATGCCGCCCTGAGTGTGACGAGTTTTCCCCTCCACCTGCTATAAAGAATTTCGAGTCGGAGCATGCATCGTCGATAACGACCTTAATGCTTCTGTTCGCAAGAAAACTGGTGAACCAATTACACAATTTCTCGGGAAGCCCAAAGGAAGGCAGTTTCGAGAGAAGCGCCTTATACCAGACCCGTTCGAAGGCCTTCGCTATGTCCAAACTAACCGCACAAGCCTCTCCTTTGGTCTCGACCGCCTGTGCCCACCGGTGTGTTAGAAAGACGAGAAGATCAGCGACCCCGACGAAAACCATATTGTCGGTCATTAAGTAGCTGGTGATCTTCTAAGTACCGGAGGAGCTGGCAGTTGATTATGGATTCCATAATCTTAGAGAACAAAGGAGTTATGTAGCCTGTAGTTGGTCGGGTCAGAGCGGTTACATTTTTTAGGGATTGGGTGCACAAACGCTACCTTCCAGGAGTTCGGGACGACACCTTGGGAGTAAAACCGGTGCCAACTCTGGAGCACACGTCTTCAACACGATAGGAGAGATTCCATCGGGACCACACGACTTATGAATGTCGAGGGAAAAGAGTGCTTTACGCACTGATTTTTGTGTGAACCGGATATCCGGCATATAGCTCTGGCACCGTGGTATGGTCGGCGGGACGTCATCCAAAGTCGAGTTGGATGCAAAGAGTTTGCCTAGAAGATCAGCTTTCTCCGTGGCATCATAGGCCAACGAATTATCTCCCATCTGCAGGGGTGGAAAGGATTGGCTGCAGAAATTCCCCTGGACAGCCTTGGCAAGAGACCAGAATGCACGAGTTCCAGAAGGAAGTCTCACCAGTCTCTCACCGATCAGGCTTATGTGCTCAGATTTTGCCCTAGCAATGGCTCTTTTAAGGTTCCTGGAGGCAGTTATATTGTTTTTTTAGCGTGCTGGTGTTTACATCGCCTGCCGTCGCTGCATTTGCCCAGTAGCATTCACGCTTTCGGCGAGATACCGTTTTGCAGGATCTGCCGAACCAGGGCTTGGATCTGCCACCGATGTGAATTAATGTAGAAGGAACGAATAGTTCCATGCCCTAAAGTACTACAACAGTGACAGAATCGGCAACGATGGTGGGATCATCCGGCAAGAAACAGACCTGCCTCCATGGGTAGGACCAGAGAAAGAGCGCATCCCATCCCAGTCCGCTGACCTATAGTGCCATACACGGAACTAGCCTGCAACTCGCGGCCGCGGCAAGCACGTGAGTGGCATTGTACTGCGGATTAGACAATGATCCGAGGAGCTGAGTTGGGCTTCCACGGTGATTTTGTAACGTTGATACCCTTATTGGAAACGTGACTCGTCTTCAGACGGCTAACAACCGCTTGACGGAGCACTTGGCTGAGCTCAGCGCTCAGTTAGCCCAACTTCGGGCGGATTGCCCTGAGCGGGAACAGACGGCTCCGCCGCGGCTTGTCCCTGCTCCCAATGTCGATGGCAGGTGGGCAGCAGCCCTGACCTGCGTCAAATTACCAACGCAGTGCTGCGTATGATGGATGGGCGTCTCGCCGGCCTGAAGGCGAGGCTGCCACCAGCCCCTGTTGTTCGACCGCCCGTCACTGGAGATGGGCTCAGGGTCGTGTTGGCGCCGACTTCGCTTCCCGTTGCAAGAGGTCGCGTGTCCTATGTGGCGGCGGTGTCGGCGTCTACTCCTGCGGCTGCTCGGAGGGCAGGACAGGCGGCCAAGGCAGTGGCCAAGACGGCTGCATCGAAGGCGGGCCCTAGAACGTCGGCAAAGACTGGAGCAGAATTTTCTCCGCTCCCCACTCCAACACCTGCACCTGGCCCCTCTACATCTGCCCCTCAAAAGATGGTTGGCAGGTTGTCTTAGGTGCTAAGAAGTCCCGAAAACGGGGTAATAAGGCTGCCCAAAAAGCAATCTTAACCCCGCAGCCGCTATTGGTGGTGGTGGCCACTAAGAGAAACCCGCGTAAACTACAAGCACCTAAAACCGCGACTGTGGTCCATATCGCCGAAGGCGTCTAACAATGGGCTGTCCTACGCGGCCGTCTTTAAAAAGGCCCGGGATAGTCCCGCACACTATTTCGGTCGTGTCAGAATGCGCCTCGCCCAGACGGGAGCTCGAATCCTCGAGTTCCCTGGGACTGAAGGCGCAAAGACGGCGGACAAATTCGCCAAGAAGCTGCGGGGAATATTTGCAGTCACGGATGGTGTAAGATCGCCAGGCTTCCTAAGTGCGCGGAGCTGCGCATCTCGGGCTTGGACGACTCCGTAACGGCCGAGGATGGCCGCGTTGCAATTCGAGAGAAGACGGGGTGCAACGCGGACAACATCAGGGTCGGCACCATTTGCCCTGGTCCAGGAGGGCTTGGCGCTGAATGTACACGAAGTTGGTGCCCGCGTCATTGCGGGCAGGCGCTAGGAGGGGTCCGAATGTCTTAATAATAGCGGTTCCCGGATCTCTCCTATAACAGGCGCAGGGTGGCACATCGTGTGGTTTTAGTTGGTCCGATTTCGACACACCACCCCGCGGAGGTTTCCACACTTAACAAAAAAAGAAAAGGAAATCTTGGCGCTGTGTGGGTCAGCTGTCGAGTAGCGTCAGCCAAAATTTTGGGTGACACAGGGAAGCTGCTCATCGGTTTCGTGAACGCTAGGATCACAGTCCTGGCGGCAGGACCGAAAAGGTATTTAAATGTCTGGGATCTGGCCACACACGCGTCAAGTGTGTTAGTGGTTTTGACTGCAGCGGACCATGTTGCGGTCGAGCGGATCACAAGGCGGCAGAATGCTCTATCGCCCCTCAATGTCCGGCGAGTTACAAGGCCGCCATTCACGGGATTGGGCAGGGAAGCTACAAACCTACCCGCAATTCTCGGCAGACTTCGAGACTTCGGGGGCTAGCCAGTCGACCCAGGCTGCCTCCGGCGTCTTTCGTGCATCGACATCGTCGCCCATGGAGGAGGTCGTAGAGACGATCCAGTAATGGACCAAGTCTCCAACCTCCTCGTCCAGACAAACCTCAACCACCTGCCAACCAACCGCGACGCAGGATCTCTTCCTACAAACCATGGCACAGTGGTCGAACGGTGGGGCCGTAGCCGCGGAGCCCTATTACGTGCCTTCCCATCCAAACTGGTATGGTCACCAAGACGGCTCCGTGGCAGTCGTCGGCTCTACGCTAAGGCTCTCGCGACAAGGTCTCTTAGCGACAAGGGCACTGGTCATTACGATATACGGTGTATACTTCTCCCCCAACCGGAGTTTGAGCGACTTCGAGGTTTTCCTTAACAGCTTGGAGACCTCGGTGAGGCGACTAACTTTTAGGCACGTCCTTGTGTAGGGGACTTCAACGCTAATAAATCCATTGCGTGGGGTTCCCCCAGAACGGACGTAAAGGGCGAGGCCGTAGAGGAGTTAACAGCCTCGGTAGGCCTCTGTCTTCTCAACAGAGGCTCAACCAGCACGTGCATGCGACTGCAGGGGGGTCGATAGTGGACCTTTCGTTCGCTACCCCTGTCCTTGCCACACGAGTAAAGAACTGGTAGGTCCTGGAAGAGGTTGAGACGCTCTCGGATCACTTATATATCTGATTTGAGCTCTCGGACTCCCGGACTCAGGACCCCAGTGGGGCGTGGCGCGGCGCGGCGTTCCTTCTGCTTTCCGCGGTGGGCTATTGCCAGACTCTCAGAGGAGAATCTGCGAAGCATCAACCCAACATACGCTACGGGGACTGTTAAGGACATTGACAGTCATGTCGTCAACCTTACACAGACACTGATCGATTGCTTTGAACAAACATGCCCACTTTCCACACCCAGAACTGGACCACAGAACAAACACCAATGGTGGGGTCCGGAACTGGAAAGACTACGTCGTAGAGTGAGAAAGTTGTTCAATAAAGCAAAAAACTCGCGATTAGACCAACATTGGGATGCCTACACGCAGGCCCGACAACAATATAAGAAGAGAATCAGAACCAGGAAAACTGAGTGCTGGAGAAACTTCTGTACTAACATGAGAACAACAACCAGGCTACTAGAGTCAAAAGCATACTGTGTAGTAGAGGCGAACACTAACTTGGCTCCCTGAAGAAGCCTGATGGTGAGTATACCAAAACAGACTCGGAAGCCTCAGAGCTGCTATTAAAAACACACTTCCCTGGATGTCGCATATCAGATGCGATGGAAAAATGGGAAGACAGATGGGAAAAACCACCAGATGATACAGACTGGGATACGGCCCGCAAAGTTGTCAACCACGACAAACTAAGATGGGCAATTGACAGCTTCCTACCATTCAAGGCGCCAGGACTAGATGGTGTCTTCCCAGGCCTACTGAGATGGTGTGATATGACACTACTGGACCATCTCGTAAAAATCTATAGGGGCTGCCTGGCGCATCAGTACATCCCCTTGAAATGGAGAGAAGTTAAAGTAGTCTTCATCCCCAAACCTGGTAAAGGCGACTACACACAACCCAAATCACACCGACCTATTAGTCTCACATCTTTCCTACTAAAGGTTCTCGAGAGGCTAATAGATAGGGAAATCAGGGAAACTGCGTTAGTCAGTCACCCTCTACACCTCAATCAACACGCATACTCGATGGGTAAATCAACAGAATCTGCCCTACATCGAGTTGTTTCATATATAGAAGACAATCTAAATCACAAAAGGTCAACACTGGCCACCTTTATCGATATCGAGGGAGCCTTTGACAAGACCAACTTCACCAGCATTAGCCAAGCTCTGTCTAGGCATGGTGTTGATTCCACAATCTCAGGGTGGATCGACAGCATGCTAAGATATAGAGCTATACAATTCACTGTGAGCGAAGTGACTAGAGGAGTGGTGGCTAGAGGCTGCCCCCAGGGCGGTGTACTCTCCCCCCTTCTATGGAACATTGTTGTGGATGAGCTCATCACACAACTTAATGACCAAAGATTCCTCACAATAGGCTATGCAGACGATCTTACTATTCTCATCAGCGGTCCTTTTGAGAGCATTACATGCGATCAAATGAGACTTGCACTGAAGATCGTGGAACAATGGTGCGTAGCACACAACCTGACAGTGAACCCATCCAAAACAGAGATGATCATGTTCACAAACAAACGCAGCCTAGGAAATCTCAGACTTCCCAAGCTATTTGGAACACAACTTACTCTTACCAAAGAGGTCAAATACCTAGGAGTAATACTGGACAGTAAACTCCTGTGGAACAAGCACCTCGATGAAAAACTGAATAAAGCCTGCATTATTTTCTGCCAATGCAAGCGGCTACTCGGCAAAAGCTGGGGACTATCACCCAAAATTACTTTATGGCTATACAGAACAGTCATAAGACCAATAATCACTTACGGTGCTGTTGTCTGGTGGCAGAGAACAGAGCTAAGCACTGTCATAAACAAACTGCAGCAATTCCAGCGACTCCCATGCTCCGCGGTCACTGGCTGTATGCGCACAACGCCTACTGCCGCACTGGAGGTGGCTCTTGGTCTGCCACCCCTGGATCTATTCATACAGCAGGAGGCCGCCATGGCGCTCATTAGACTCAAACACCTGGGTCTATGGCACAAACGTGGGGGATCGCACTCTAAATTATGGGATCAATTGGTGGAATACGAACCACTGATAGCAGCGCCATGCGATAGAATCCCAAAACACCATATCTTCACAAGAAGATACTACATCCAGATACATGGAAATGACCGAGATCAATCCGGAATTAACGAAGTCCGAATTTACACGGACGGTTCCAAGACTAGGTCAGGAACTGGAGCCGGAGTTTTCTCGCAAGACCTAAACATAAACATATCACTAGCGTTAGGCCAACACAGTTCCATATTTCAATGTGAATGTGTGGCAATAACTTACGCTGCCACAACGGCCATATCAAGGGGTATTAAGGACTACAACACAAGCACTGGAACAGCTCGCTATATTCAATGGGGTAATCCTCCAATGGATTAAAGGGCACAGTAACTCACACGGGAACGATGCCGCAGATGAGTTGGCAAGGAGGGGCTCGGCAACCCCAACCTCTGGCCCAACCCCACTCCTGCCCATATCGTTTAACCAAATACGATGCTGGGTCAGGCAACGGACCTGTGAAGCACACAACCGGAGGTGGAAAAACTCACCCGGCTGCAGACTGTCCAAACTGGTGCTGAATCAAGTCACACCACGACTCACCTGCAGACTGATCAGTCTTAGCAGACCGGAAATCAGAACGGTTGTCGGAACTATTACAGGACATCTAGCCCTGAACCGACAACTATTCATAATCAATGCGACGGACAGTCCCCTGTGCAGGGGATGTCTGGAAGCTGAAGAAACGGCCGTCCACGTAGTCCTGGAATGCGAGGGAGTGGCCACACAACGGGCAAGTATCATTCCTGATACAAAGTCGCTCCTAGAAGCCTGTGAACGCCCCAGGAGGCTTCTGCGCTTCTGGAAGGAGCTTGGCTGGCTCACCTAGTCAACCAATCCTCGACGCATAAAGGACCACTCTGAGTCTAAATGCGGAAACCGAAGCCCACAACCAATACCAATACCAATATTGCCAGACTGCGCAGATCTGCGATGTGGCCATGCCCCGCATCAGAGGTCATCGGCCTCCAAGGAAGGAGGTCTACTGGTGGTCCCAAGAGTTGGCAGACCTTTGCGCGGCCTGTCCACGTGCCCGGAGGTCCTACACCCGCAGTCGGCGGCGTCACCGCGGAGACGAGCGAGCTTAATCCCCATGTCTTACACCGCAGATATATCTTATATACTATATCATTTTTTTATTGGAATTTTATTGAGAATATGTAAGTTATTAAGTAAAGTTTTGTATTTAATTAGTTACAAAAAGTCGCACATTTTCTAAAAATATAAATGAGCAACCAAAATATAAGGTAGCAACCTACGTAAGACGACCACCTTCAAATAATAGTCCTGGTGATGCGAATAACTGAATGTGTGAAGAATACGTGTTCATGTACGTATTGAAACGGGGTATAGGCTCCAGAAATTTGTTGACGCAACATTTCTGTTACCGAAGGGCCTTTTTTTTTGTTTTTTTTTAAGTGTGGAAACCCCCACGGGCCGTCACCCCACCGGGATTTGCGGCGGGGTGGTGTGTCGGAATCATCCTCCCGGGCCCTCTCTCCGCCGCCTCCTTCTGCGAGATGACGTCTTCACAGAAGGATGCGACCGCGGTAAAACATATGTCACTACCGGCATGGAGCGTATGACGGCCGGTAGCGAGAGGTCCCCTCCGATGACTGCAATGAGGACCCGGCGCTGAGGCGCCCAAGCCGGGCAAAATGCCAACTCGTTACCAAAGGGCCTAGTCCAAGTATCTTATCCAAATTTAAATGGACTGCACTTCGTCGTGATCAAAAATAATCAGGTGTGTTACCCGATTCAGATTTTTTTTAAATACTTGCTATACACTGCTACGCTTAACTGTGGCACATTGAGGTAGCAAAAAATATATAACAACCATCTTTGAAGCTTGTTGTATATCGTGTCATACTGTGAACTCCATCGGTGCAGAACATTGAGTTTTTGAACCGTACACAAAACAACTTAACATTTTTATATAATATATATATTTATATAAATTATATATGTAGATGATGACGACTCTATTGGCACAAAATCGAAAGTGCCTGTGTCAACGGTTGTTGAATGAATGCTACTGCTAATCCTCAGTTGGGTGGTTACGGTGCATAAACTGCAGGGCATTACCCTTTTTTTTTTTTTTTTTTTTTTTTGAGGAAACCCCCTCGGATACCACCTGTCGGTGGCATGTCGGACTCGAACCGACTAAAACCGCACGCCGTCTCGGGTACTAATAGCCGGGGAACCAGGTATACCCTAGAAAGGAAGTCCCTGGTGCCCCGACATACCTCGGGTCATCTACAGACGAGTAGACGACCCCCCCCCGTGTGGGAACCCCATGTTCCCTGTGCTCCCTAGAGGCGAGCGCGCTTCGCAACGCGCTCGCCGCCACCCCGGCCTGCTTCTGCTAGGGTGACAGATGGCCTCACCTGTCACCCCCAGGCCTGCGCTTATGGAGGACGGAGGTCGTTCTGCGACCTCCGGCGCCTGAGTCGCCTGCGGTACCTGGCCCGTTCCCGGGCCTGGCGGGCCGGGAGAGTCCTAAACCTCTCCCGGTCCCGCTCCGCCGTCTCCTTCGCGAGCATTATTTGCTCGCAGAAGGAGACGGCAGAGTTCCACGCACTCTCGCTCCGCACGATAGCCGCAATCAGGCTATCGAGCGAGAGAACTCCCACTCCGATGGCCGCCACGAGGTCTCGCCTCTGCTCAACCCACGCCGGGCACTCTGCCAGCGTGTGGAGAGCCGTGTCCACGGTCTGGCCATCGCAGTGGTGGCACTCAGGCGTTGGCTCCTTGCGGATCAGACAAGGGCATTACCCTAAAATTCCCAAAGACAATGTTTAGCTATTGCTCTTTGAGCCACTCTAGAGCCACACAAAGCCAAAAAAGCAACGATTTAAGACTAATTGTAAATTTAAATTTTCTTTCCTGTACATTACAGGTTACTATGTCGGCATCTTAAAGTATCATCTAACTCCTAACCGTTAAGGAGTTTTACCTTTTATCATCAGCTTACCTGAATTGAAAGAATACAACTTGTTCAATCATGAACATAATTGCATCACCCAACAACAGCATCTAGAGTCGTCATCATCTATACATATATAATTTATATAAATATATAAAAATGTTAAGTTGTTTTGTGTACGGTTCAAAAACTCAATGTTCTGCACCGATAGAGTTCAAAGTATGACACGATATACAACAAGCTTCAAAGATGGTTGTTATATATTTTTTGCTACCACAATGTGCTACAGTTAAGCGTGGCAGTGTATAGCAAGTATTTAAAAAAAATCTGAATCGGGTAACACACCTGATTCTTTTTGATCACGACGAAGGGCAGTCCATTTAAATTTGGATAAGATACTTGGACTAGGCCCTTTGGTAACGAGTTGGCATTTTGCCCGGTTTCGGCGCCTCAGCGCCGGGTCCTCATTGCAGTCATCGGAGGGGACCTCTCGCTACCGGCCGTCATACGCTCCATGCCGGTAGTGACATATGTTTTACCGCGGTCGCATCCTTCTGTGAAGACGTCATCTCGCAGAAGGAGGCGGCGGAGAGAGGGCCCGGGAGGATGATTCCGACACACCACCCCGCCGCAAATCCCGGTGGGGTGACGGCCCGTGGGGGTTTCCACACTTAAAAAAAAACAAAAAAAAAGGCCCTTCGGTAACAGAAATGTTGCGTCAACAAATTTCTGGAGCCTATACCCCGTTTCAATACGTACATGAACACGTATTCTTCACACATTCAGTTATTCGCATCACCAGGACTATTATTTGAAGGTGGTCGTCTTACGTAGGTTGCTCATTTATATTATTAGAAAATGTGCGACTTTTTGTAACTAATTAAATACAAAACTTTATTTAATAACTTACATATTCTCAATAAAATTCTAATGAAAAAATGATATAGTATATAAGATATAATATATGCGGTGTAAGATATGGGGGATTAAGTTCGCCCCGTTTGTTCAATCTATACATCAATCAGATTGTTGAGCTTAGCAACACTAATGTCGGGTGTCATGTAGATGGTGTCTGTATAAATAATATCAGTTATCCAGACGACATGGTGTTGAGCCCATCAATCGGTGCTCTGAGACGACTAGTCTCTATTTGTGAGTCCTATGCGGTGGCTGATGGGCTCAGGTACAATGTGAAGAAGAGTGAACTATTAGTTTTTAAATCAAGTAACAAGAGCTACACAACTATACCTGATGTATTTCTCCCTGGCGTACCTCTATCTAGTGTTAATAAGTTCAAGTACTTAGGTCACTGGGTCCGAAGATTTAAGTGATGACCTAGCAAAGATAGGGAGCGCAGGTCACTGGCTGTCCGTTGTAACATGCTGACTCGAAGGTTTGCACGATGTACGTATGCAGTAAGAATTACGTTATTTAAAGCCTACTGCCAGTCATTCTACACGTGTAGCTTGTGAGTAAGTTATGGTGGACGGGCATACAGCGACATGCGTGTTCAATACAATAACGCACTTAGGGTGTTGTTGGGGCTGATATGGAGGTGCAGCGCATCAGGTATGTTTACAGAGGCGCAAGTTGACGGCTTTGCAGCCATGATTAGAAAAAGGTGCGCCTCCCTGATGACGCGACTTCGCGGCAGTATCAACTCCATCCTAAGGCAACAGGTCGGTGGGAGACGCCGATGATGTGCCGATGGATGCGGCTACATGCCGTAATGTGAATTGTTTTTGTTTTTATTATTATAAATATAACTTATACTAACATTAGTATGTAAGCAAATTATTACTAACAAAATATGTACCTAAATGAAATATTTCTGAAATAAATTATTATTGTTATATCACAAAGCGAAAGAAACTTCGTTCCGACCAGGGGGTCCATAGACCCCTCACGCCGTTTTATTCTGAACTTTTATAACCTTTTTAGATTGCTTCGCCGTATCATTAAAATCCTGGAAAACGTATTATATTTCTTTATCTTTTCATTTTAGTTCAATGTTCGTCCGCAGATATGAGTGTGTGTGTCTCTTCGTTAGATAGTTGCTGGTGATCGTCTCTATAACATTTGTGTTATTCACTATCTTAGCCAAGACTGTATAAATTGTCCAATTCTTATTTTAGGCTGTAATATACTCCTCTCGCGCGTCGCGCCCTGTTTCAAAAACCTAGTAAGCCGCATTTACCATAACAAAACCTAGTAAGTGCATATGACTTGCTAGGTTTTGAAGTGGTAAAGGCGAGTTACTATGTTTTTGATCTGGTTTTTTGATATAGTATAGTAGGTACTAGGTCTCATGATGATGATGACACACACTTACTAGGTTTCATGATGTTAAAATATCCGTTATTTATAAGACTATATATATGACGTGACTAGATATATGACGAATAAGACTTTTATGAAAGTTAATACGAAATAAAGTGATTTCAGAAAAAATGTCCCTTACTGGGGCAGCCGAGCAGCAGCGCGCTCCCCCACCTCTGACTACCAGCCGGAGCGCAAATTTGCGATGGTTGTAAATCGACTTTTTTAGTATTTTTACTAACTGAATAAAATGGCATTTTACCACATTGTAGAGGTTGTCATTCCAAGATGTCTCAATTTTTTTTAGAGCCGTTCTCTTGAAGGCCTTTTTTCAGTTTTGTTAGTTTCGCAAAGAGTCTAAAGCCGATCTTGCTGAAATTCTGTGGGCTAAGTGGAGGCTACAAACCCCACATTCTCACCAAATTTGGTCTTAATACTGATTAGAACGCGAGTTTTAATTTTTCTTAAAAATGGTAACAAAACGCGGTATTTTGCAATTTGCAAAAAAACTATTCAACCAATAGGGACTCTAGTCTCATTTTGTTCGTATTTTTATCGCGCATTTTTTGTACATTTACACTTTCTTTGTTCGATTTGAAGTTTTCTTGTAAAACGCGATAAACCATTTTTGACAATATTCCCACGAACGTTCCCGCGTTGAAATGAAATATGTTAATCTTAACGTTGTCAACAAACGGATTAAAAAAATGGAGGTTATCAATTTCACGATTTTTAGACCCATTTTGCGCTAATTTATCCGACTATACGTCTCTCCATGCCCTCTCTCCTTAAGTGCGCCGCCTGAGCCTTCAAAAATGCTTATATTGACATCTGCCACGAATAGAACAGTATTTATTCGGGTTCGGATAGTGTTTTATCTATTCTTCGGATTGTTCCACAATCATGACATGTCACGGCAAGCGTGTGGCTCGTATGTCTACTCCGTGCTTCGCTAATGGATAGAGTATTATTTAAATTATGTTTATTGAAAAGACATATGATTTTTAAATATTTATTTCATAAAAAAAAAACAATTGATGCAATGCAATATAAAAGAGAAAAAAAATGTTAAGAAATTTTAGGATAGTATAGTCGTACACACATATACGTCTTGTTGAAAGCTTCTCTCAAAAATTACAATAATCATTACACTTAAAGCAATAGTTAAAAATACTATGTAGAACAGACTTAAAGCGTCATAAAATAAAACCAAAAATGTAACAATATGTATAGATTTACTATAACAACGACATACAATAATAAAATAGACAAAATGTGAATTCATACAATAATAACATCTACTAAAGGCTCTAGACTAACACATACAGTTTAATAATAATCGAGGGTTAAATAAGTAACTGCAATCAGATCGAGTCATTATGGCGTTTTGGACGATGCAAAATATAGAAATGTAGATTCATAAGTACTTTCATATTAACGTAAATAAATCTCAACACGATACGTTATTGTCTAATCCCTAGGCGTTGTTGTCTCAGGCATCAGGTCAAACCAAAGCGTTTTCGCTTCGCGGAAATCATACTGGTTCAGATGAACTATAACCTGAAGGATAAACAATTTTGTTTTTATGCAGATTTAACAAAACACAGACATTTAATTTGCTCACAGAATTATTTAGGCAAAGGGATTAAAAACCCATGCGCCACCCACGTTATATTGCGTAATACTCATATTACTAAAAAATTGCAGTGTTAAACAGACTTTATTTGATAATGATATGTAATTTTGTGAGTTAACTGAAAACATAGGTATTCTTTAAGCATGAGTCACCTGTAGATTTGCATGCATCGCCTTACCTGTGATTTTACGTAGACTAGGGTTGGAATAGGTGAAGTATAGAAGAAAGAAATTCATAAGTATTACAAATTTAATAATCGCCCTGATACTAATATAAATAACAACTAAATATTTTTCAAAATTTCATCGTATTCAATATTTTGATTATTTATTTACTAGTCAATAAAGTTTAAGTAAAATATTGTGCACAAATCAAACAAAAAAAACACTGAATTGTCCTAGAACGTTACTAGTGCAATCGTATCGAGAACGCCATCGCCGTAATTTTACGTTCGACTCAAGATCAAGTAAACATAGTTTTGAAAGTTTGTCAGTTGTCCACGCGCCGCCCCCGTGATAATACGACAAAGCACTATTATTTATTTTAAGGTTAAGGTAAGATCCTCATAATGAATATTTTGCTTCATAATCGTAATGTGAAATGGAATTCATTCTATTCCATCCATTGTTTGTTGAACTTTAAAGCTGATTATTGTTAATTGCTTAGTAAAAATCCTTAATATAAACGGTTTGAGTTTTATTTATTTTATCATATAATCGATACCTATCTTTTTTACTATATTTTTACTATACTACGAACAATTATACCTAGTTTGCTGGTGATGGGGGTACACTACAGATATCAAAGCGTGGCTGTGAAAGGATTAAAATGGTTAAGTGGCAAAGAATAACAATTTTAACTTAAAAGTTACCTGTCCAATTACAGGGCTGCCTCCAAGAAAACCTTTGTGTGTTGCGACAGTAATTTCTAGGTGTCTCGAGTGGAGTTCCGTTAATGGGATCACCCACTCAAACTGCTCGTCGTATTCGGGCATGCAACTATCTTTCACCACCTTAATATAATTTATTAAAAATAGTTTAATAAACTTTAACGTGTGGGAGCCATGGTTCGGCACATATGGGCCAGATCCACCGGAGTGATACCACGGACTCACAAAAAACCACTGTTTAACTATATTTTAGTTTCTTTTTACTGAGTGAGAGGCCCAAACCAATAGCCTCGCCCGCTTTCTAGCTAATTATAAGCTACGAATACGGAAGAACATTTTTAGGGGTATAATCGGTTACACTTGTAAACTGTTAAATTAAAAGAGACGGCACAATAGGCAAGGGGCAAGCTTCGACACAATACATATTGGCTAGGCTCTACCAGAGGATACGGCCATGGCCATGTGGCCTCACATAAAAACCGGTGTTAAAAAGTTGTTCCATTGCTTTTCACCGACTGAGTGAGGCTACCGGAGCCCAAACCCTCTCCCTCCCCCTGATTCTGGAGGGAAGGACTCAAAAGGCCGCAACGCACATGTAACGCTTGAGTTGGTGTAAATGGGTGGCGGTAGTTAATTACCATCACCGGTGACCCGTCTGCTCGTTTGCCTCCTTATAGCATAAAAAGTGAGTAGATTATTTAGCTTGTTTCTGATATATTATTACCTAGATACAAAAGAATTGTTGATACATTATTACAGAGTGAATATAGATTCTCGAAAATCACATTTGACTCATCCAGTTCCCACTTTATATTAAATGTAAACGGCTGGTTTATAGGAACTTACCACTGTCTTACGTTTGGAGTCCTTGGAGCGCCCCGGCAGTAAGTACAATTTCACATATGGATCAGGTACATTGCTCGGGTCCTTCAGGGGTATATGCCTTAAGAAAAATAAGGGTTATTAATACTTTATCGAAACACTACTTAAATTGTTATATAAGTCAATTATTCTTTATTTACTTACATTATTTTATGCACAACAACATAAAGCGTTTGGTTCTGCATACTGTAGCGTAATGACAGCAATATCCGTCCTAATCCTGCTTCCCCCGACGATCTGTAATTGCACAGATATTTCTATTACGGTTAATCTATAATGGAGGATAGAGCTAACAAGCAAAATCTTATATGGTACCTAGGCAAGGCATTAATCATTAAAAAAAAAAAGAAAACAAGGCATTTCCTGGGCCAAGTTTTTTAATTTTTCTTGAACACTTACGTTGTCAGGGATGAGGTTCTATGAACAAGTTTTGGGGAATCCCTTTCAGCGGGTGGCGAATACTCTTGAGGCACGTCTGAAATAATATAACATAACATATTACGATATAGGTACAAATCATAAAACTAAAATAAAAAGTAGAATTACTAGTAAAAGATTTGAATGTATCTTACCAACTGCCTTTTCGATAGTTTCAACGGGTACAGACTTTTGAGAACTGGTATCTGGCTCTTCGTCGTTGATGTTTTTGAGCTCAGGTTCAGTTAGATTAGCTATAAGACAGTAATATGCTTTCTCAAATATATATGTATTTAAGGATAAAAAAGCGTTATTTAACAGAATGAGATCTTATTCTAGTATCATTATATGTACGTAGTCAAAGCTTAAGCCGAACAATTCGTATAAGATTGTTAGAAAGACTATATTTTTAACAAACACTAAATACATACCTAAGTAAGTATTTCGTCTATAGCCTAAATTTCATTATAACCTTTAGGCTAAAGGCGAAATAGAAGACCGTCGCTGGAGTTGCACCACCGATTGTATTATACTTTGAAAGAATGTTATCCTAAATATGTATAGTCCAAAGAAATTGTTATAATAAGACACTTATGTGTGTGTGTGTGTGTGTGTGTGTGTGTGTGTGTGTGTGTGTGTGTGTGTGTGTGTGTGTGTGTGTGTGTGTGTGTGTGTGTGTGTGTGTGTGTGTGTGTGTGTGTGTGTGTGTGTAGATCTGTAGTCGTGTCCGTATCCGTTACTTTCTAAAGGATCTTGAACGAATATGAAATTCTAAATTTATTTTGCTAAAAGTAAGGTAAGTAAGTAAAGTAAGGTTAGATATTTAAATATCTAATACCTGTAGTGACGTACTTCTCATATCAACTTTTATAAGTTGATGTTTGACTATCTTTATAACGAGATCAAATCCCAATCTTTGCATGTGTATTAAAATTATTATTAAAATGAAAATCCTCGCAGTACATGTCCTAACATGTAATGTCATTTAAGGGACGCGTATTAACATTCACAGAGACTTATGGTGCGTATTCGTGTAGACACTAATCACACACGTCATTTGTGTCCCTATACCTTGACCAATTAACAACCACCTGTGACCCTGACTGCTAAGCCGCAGGCCGTGTGTTCGATTCCCACCCAGGACCAATAATTGTATGATGAGCATTGTGTGTCTGAGTGTAATTTGTCTATAATACGAGGGTGGTCTGAAAAGTTTCCGACCTAACAAAGATACAAGACTTTTTTTTAGATTCTTTTATTTTATTTTTCAACATAGTCTCCTTGTTGCTCCGATCTCTGCAAAATAATTGTTCATGAAGGTGATTGCCTCTTCATTAGACGAAAATCTCTGTCCTCTGAGAGCAATTTTTAGATGAGGGAACAAGGACAATTCGCTTGGGGCTAGATCTGGTAAGTCGGATGGTCAAACCGTAATTCGTGGATTTTCGCCATGAGACGTTGCGGTGAAACCTGCAAACAAGTTCTGCCTTCAGCTTGTCAAGTAATTATGCGTAGTATGCTCCTGTAATGGTTTTTCCTTTTGGAGATAATCGATTAAAATAACTCCATGACCATCCCAAAAAACAGTCGCCATCACTTTTTTGGAGCCGGTTCCCCCTTTGCAGTTCACTGTTTGGACTGTATTTTTGATTCATAATGGTGTATCCAAGTTTCATCTAGAGTAATTAATCGCCGCCAAAACTCGGATTGATTGCGCCTAAACAGCGGTAACAGAGCGTTGGAAATGTTCATTCGAACACGTTTTTGTTTATGGGCAAACGCGGCACCCAACGCGCGGACTGATTTCTCATGTCTAAACGTTGATTAAATCATGTGACAAACACGTTCTTTTGACATTTTCATAACCTCTGCTATTTCTCTCACTTTAATTCGGCGGTCGTCAGAGCAGGGTCGCAGAGTCCCCATACACAGAATCCAACTCATCTTTGATTTGCGTAGGCGTATTGCCTTTTAAAAACAAATATTTAATGACAGCTCGATACTCGATCTTGTCCATTTTCATAAAACACTCACATCAACTCACCCAAACGACTGTTACATAACAACTGCGCGTCCAAAATGGCTGAAACTTTGGCGAGTAACTGTCAACAGATGAACAACGATATTCACTAGCTTTTTTTCATGAGTGTTGCCATCTTCGTGTTGAGGTCGGAAACTTTTCAGACTACCTGTGTATGTATGTTTTTAAAAATAAAAAAGTATGTTTATCAGTAGTCTGGTTACCAAAGCACAAGGTCTGCTTAACCCCATGGGCATAATGATGTTACAAGTACCTGCTCGGTATGGTATTGGGTTAGGAGCAGCTGCATCAATGGTCTCCAAAATCGGCGGTGGCGCTGTGGGAGAAATGGGCGGTGACTGTTCCTCAGGTAAAGATGGATCAATGTCTTCCTCTTCATATTCTTCTTCTCTTATAGCTTCTTTGAAAATCTATAGAATGTAAATCCAGTGGTTTAATTTGTGATTTCATAATTGTTCCAAGAACTAAAAATTTATACTTTTTTTTTGCGGTACTAAATTTCCTATTTTCTAGTTAATTATAGCAGTGAATTTAGCTTTCGCAATATAACGAATAGGCTCTCTTATCTTATTTAGTAAAGTTCGTACTTACACGTAGTTTTAGAGACAAAATTATTTTCGACTCGGGGCCGGATTTCTGCAGCATGAGGGGCTGAGTTATCATAGTCAAATCCTTTTGTTTTAATAAAGTAGAAATCCCATAAACTAGTTGACCTAGTTGACTGCCGGTTTTTGAGTCCAAAACCTGAAGTAAAATAGAATGTCTATAAGTGGGACACTTAATATCGATAAAATAATAAATAGGATTTCCATGTCATGAAGTCTCAAATATTTCCTTCATTTTAATCTTTTGTTCATTTTGTAGTAAATGCTAAATCGATGTAACAGATCGATTGTTTAGAATCATTAACTAAAAACAGTAGGTACCTTGATCTCTAGATTATCAATTTCAGGGTTTTGCACCAGGAATGAGTATCCTATCTCATACACGGGATCGTCAGTTCTCATTTGTACAGCGCTGTTCTCAGTCTTTTTACCCACTGTCACGGTCAGGTATGGGTCGGGCCTCGACTGAGGGCGAGCATTCTGGTGTAAAAATAATAATAATAATAATTATATACTTCCAATCTGCAGACAAACAATTATGTTCGCAGAGCATTATTAACAATGTGCTAGTGTTGAAGACATTGTAAAAAACAAATTATAGTCTAAAAAAAACAAAAAAAAACGCAAAGCGTGGGGTCATTTTCAAGATATTTTATAACTTTACTTTTACCAATATCTGTCAATAAAATATTTACGACAATTGAAATCGAGTACTCCACGCATTTTTATGATAAAATGATTTTCCTTTTTTAATTGTTTTTTTTTTTACTTTTTAAACTATAATTTACTTTTGGTTTTTGTCATTAATGATGATTATTTTCTCATTAAGACTATAAAAGTAAAAAGTAAGTATCACATATGCTTCAGCACACGCCTCTTTAAGTACGTAGCAAAAGACATGAGCGTATTTTTACTTTTAAGTATGAAAAAAGCCTTTAATCCTGAAGACATGAAGATAATCGGCCAAATTTATCAAATTATTGTACTGTCATCGGTCCTTGATAAGTGTGGGAAGTTTCAATTTAATTCGACGTTTTAAAGTGGATCAATTCACGTTCGAAAATTCCGTTACATCCATACCTACCACACTAATAAAAGCGTGTGAATAAAAATCCCTTAAAAATAATTAAAAAGCTATCTAATTATTTTTAAGGGATTTTTATTAACACGCTTCATGAATGAAAGTTTTATATATTTATTCTTCTTCTTCCTAGCCGAAAGAAGTCCACTGCTGGACATAGGCCTCCCCCAAGTTTTGTCACCACAATCAGTCCTATGCTGGCCGCATTTTTTCCGTTCACGTCACAATTTTCACTGAAGTGGATGCGACCTGGACGCTCGACATCATTTTCGTCTTCTCATTTTAAGATCCACTCATTTAGAGACCCTGCTAAGGCCATTAAGCATTGTGCTAAGGTCTTCCATGTATTTATGATACATGTTACACAAGGCCTAGTTACTGTTATAAATTTAAAAAAGATTAAAAAAAGAAACAACAGATTTAAAAAAGATGTCTTACCGGCAACTTCTTACAAGAATCAATGTAAACCGAGAGTACCGCGCTACTAAGGTCTCCGGTTTTGACCAACATTGTCTCGGTCAATGCCTGAAATATATTTAATAATTAATTAAATTTTTGTCAACGTGTAGCTGTTTGTGTTGCATTTGCGACTTCACTTACACGGCTTAGTTCCGTTAGATCAGTAGTCAAACGGTGCCATGAAAGACGCAACTCCACCTTGCCATGTTTGGCTTGCTGAAGAGTTTGCCACTAAAAAAAAATAGACACTTAAAATAATATTAGAAGTAAAAGTAAAACATAATTAAAATTATCTTTTACTTTTCATGTTTCGTTAATAAAGAACATTAAGAATGGCTGATGTGAAGGAAACCTGGTTACAAAAGCAAAATAAAAAAAAAAAACTTCTAGAATTCGGCCAAGGATTTTCAGGGATGCACATGATTTAGTCCACAGACATCCTAGTATATGAAAGCTATCGAGCTGTTTATAAACTATAAAACCTATTACAATGTTCACATATATTATAGAAATACCTAAAATGATTTCCAACAACTGCCTTTGAACAGGCAGACGAGACAGAACACATATCTGCGTTTCAGCATAAGCTTAGATGAAATTGTTTACTTGGATTAAAGGAATGGGATGAATTTACCTTATCCAAACGACCCAGACGCACTACTTGAGAAATGTCTAACGAACACCTGTAATAAGACAGAATTTAGAAAACTTACCAAGTAATTTAATAAATTTAACACACAATTCGAAGAATAAACCTGTTCTGAACAGGTTTACATTCACTTTAAAAAAATAACAACGTGCCATTGATATTCAGTGAAGTCAAGCATAGATATGTGTAAGAATGTGAAGATTGCAACACAGAAAAAAAAGTTATTACACAAATAAGATTAGTGTCCGTCCGTCCGTGTGGATTTGGACGGATTAAGAATACAGAGTGTCACCAACGCTATCGGTTAAAGGCTGTTGATATGATGATGTGAAGATTAGCTGATACAAATACTAAGATGTATATTTTTGGCCTTGTTGCTATGTCAATGTTTAAGTATCGTGTGAAAATAAAATTCATCTACATAAATGAATAACTAGCTGTTTTTAGTAAAATAATGAAGGCCCGATCTTGGGTATTAGTATACAAAACCCGATAAGATGAATTAAGTTGTTACATTTACGGTTTTTAAACTGTACCACTAAAATGCTATTGTAGTGCCTTGTGGTGAATGAGTTGATGTATAAAAGTTAATTGTAAGTATATCTGTGCGCAGTTAACGTTCGGTGGTCGCTTATTGTGATGTTAGTATCAGTGATGATATGTACTTTATCTAGTATACATATTGTATAGTATCCGGCGGCAGAGCGACCGACCTGCCTAGTTTCTCATCCCGGCCCGTCCGGTCCCAGTCGTAAAGCTTGATGACCATTACCGTCGCACTGCTTCGAAGTATTGACTGTCACAACCCACCATGTTATACACACATAAAGCTCAAGTTTTAGTTGGGATTAGTGTTTTTGATATTTACAGATTTATTTTTCAGTAAAGTTAAGGTAAAAATTTGATTAAAAGTTAAAATTATACGTATTAAAAATGTAGGTGTCTATGTTAAATATTTTAGTTGTTAAAAATATATAAAAAGAAATATTAAAATATATGTCAATAAACTTGCCACGTCATAGCATTATTATTATTTTTTGTCAAATGTGTTTGCCGAGTTTTATAAACGATTAAAGGGTAAAATGCCATAAATAATTGGAACACACATTAGCTGTAGATATCAAACAGAACACCAAAGTAATAAAACCATTAAAATCTTAAGGTGAATCTTAGCATCACCGATAAAAACGAAGTTGTGACTACATAAACGGTGATAATAAGATTCAGAAATAAAAAATAATGAGAACACCGCAATGAGACGTTGCTAATGTGACAAAGCACTTGTAGCAGCGGAGACGGACCTGCCAAGATAATCATCGTTCTGTATGCCCATTCCCGGGTCCCAGTCCCACAGCTCACACTGCAGCTCTTGACTCGTCCTTGAGCTTATTATCGCCTTGGGACAAAATTACAATATACGGATATGTTAGTTTTGTGACGAAAACAAGTAAAATTTGGAATTTGGAATGATAAAGGTGGCCCGATCAACACTATCGACTCAATCTTGACTATCTGGCAAGTATATGTATACTGTGGTTAAACAACGACAAGTGAGTTACAACGTACAACTCATTAGGAAGTACCTTGTCATTGCTTAATCATTAAAGTAAAAAAATAAATATACCTAAGAAGAATTTTTATTTATATTATTATGATAATTTCATTAAATGAGACATCTAAAAAACTTACCTTCACCTGAATAACTTACTTGCACATGCACTATGATCTAATACATTCATACACATTTAACACTTTAAAATGAGACGCTTAAAATATGCCAGAAAATACAAATTATACTTTTATAACATATTATATTTTGTGTTACATATTATATTATATTTATTGTTATGTGTCTCATTTCTTTTTATATTGATTGTATCTTACCGAGCAAAGTAAAAAATAGTTCCTTAACACTAATCCCATGAATTTCTTGGTAAGACAACAATTAATATTTGCGTTAAATAATGTATAGGTACCAGTCAATGTTCCATTATTAAGAGAGCAGGAATAATATGTTCTTATGACTGTTAACTATCAAACTGAGTTGATAAATCTATGAAAGCAGAGACAGTTACAATGCGTGAAGCGAGTGCAACCATGAGCATAGCACGTAGCATAACCTAGCTCCTTACACCGGTAACTGCTAACCCCGCCCCCCGCGATCCTAACCACGTACTTACTTGCCCAGTTCGTCGTCATCATTGCCCTCGTCCTTGTCGAACACTTCGATTTCCAACACTTGGCCCAGAATTTGCATTATACGCGCCTTTATGCCACACGCGCATAGTCCGAAGCAAACATAAGTGAGGAAAATAAAATTTTGTTCATAACTATGCACTTACTTGAAAACAGGTTCAGGCGTTTTTATACGATTACTGTTAAATAGTTAATGTACAACTAAATACAAAAACATGTTTTAATTTTGTAAAGAAATAAAAGATATTTATTATAAAAGTACTACAAATAAATATAATTCTCGTTTAAATATCAAAAGTTATCATGCAGGTATGTTATTATTAGGTACACCTAGGACGTCGATTCATCAAGGTAGACCATCATTCAGGCAAATAATTTATCGAAGTATATTCACTTACTGAGACCTTTCATGTTACTAGTTAAAAATTAAAACAACAATTATAAATAATGGAATATAAAGTTACTCTTTATAAAAGAATATAAATATTGTAAAAAAAACGTGATTTATGATATTTAGGTGCAGTAGGCATACTTCGAAAGTCTCGTAGTGATAAAATGCTAGGTTGGTCATGCTCATTCCTGATAATATATTTATTGTAATGCATTTGTTAAAATAGCAATATAAACACAAAGACATCTGATCATAGTAAAACTCAAAAGGCGCGAAGAGCTGTACCTCTCGATATGAATACTTTCTGACTGTACTCCCTTGTTAGGTTTATTTATGAGTATGCACTTGAAATCATCCGATAATTATTACTAGTATAATATAAACAATGTATGCCAAAAAGATAATGCGGGAATGACACGACAGTATACATTACTGTAATATTTTCTAATCGCCGTTCTCGTTGACAAACACTGAATGGCCGCAAAAAGCATTATATTATATTGCTATATTAATTTTTTTATATAATATGTGCGTACAAACAATACACTGACTTGCGTTTCTTGTCGTAAAAAGAAATTATTGCAACTATGTACAAAAAGAACATTCATTTCCATGTATTTATAATTCAGAAATGAGCAAAATTCGCAAACTACTTACCAAGTAAGTGCCCAAATTATTAAAAAATAAGCAAGCACATTATAGAAGGCAAGTACTACTATTAATAAAAATTAGAATCTTGTAAAGTACGACTAATCTCTGCACCATAAACTGTATTGCACACAAATTTATAATTATGTTCATACAGCTTGCAGTTATTGGTCGCAATATCGAGGAGTAAATATGCGTCGCTCAAAATACTAAATATAACATAAAACAATGTTAATAGAACTAACACTAAGATATTTAAATCCCTGCGGGTGCTAGTAAATAGCAGAAAAGATCTGGTACAAAATTTAGTATATTCTCACCTCACACCAGTAGTCCCATCGAGGGTTCACGGTGTTGTCGATGTGCTTGGTCTTCCATTGTTGTGCACCTACCGTTATGATCGCATACGGATCAGACTTACCCTTGCCTGCGAAATAGATATATCGTTATAGGATAAATATTACGTTAAAGTCTAGCAACTTAATTAAATAAACAGCTAGTGGCAAAGAACAATGGCGGGTCTCAATACAAAAAATTTTTAGAATCGAATTGCATCATATTGCAATGTAGATACTACTAATGTGATGTCAGTATGGAGTAACTAATTATACTTTTATTTTGATAGGACTATAATACAGGACATCTTTAAATGCAATATTTATAGGTTGGATCCGATCCTGCCGGCCGCTGCCACCCGGGACAGTACGTCTGTCAGCTCGACGGTCGTTGCGCCCCCACATTTTAAACCCCTAATATCTACTAAAATATTAATTTTTATGTTATGCTGTAAAGAGCGATTTACATTAAATGCATAACTATTCTAATGTATTTACTTACTATATCTAACGTATTTAATTGGATAAGGAATTATAATGTATTGTTTAAAATAGCTTCGTAAATAACCCATTATTTTTTTGAAAGATAAAAATGGTTACTGTGGGTTATCCTTAAGAGACAGACATATACCCAGATCTTTTTAAGATATACAATTCCGTTGTACATTATTTTGGTTTCTCTATAGGATTAGCCAGTGTTTGCAATGTAAGCGCACAAAAACATGTTTTTCACGACAAATCTTTGAATATCTCGAATTTTGTCTACTATAATATGCATGTTTTATACATATAAACCTTCCTCTTGAATCATTTTCTCTATTGGTGAAAAGGTCATTAAAATCCGTTGCTTAGTTTTAAAAATCTAAGCGTACAACACAAAAAAAAACTAATTTATTTTATACTATGTAAAAATTGACAATATTTTTGTCCACAAACTTAAGATTAATAGATATTTTTTATCCACAAACATGTTTCCTAATACAATTCGTCGTTGCTGTAGAATTAGTTGTAATTCACTATATTCTATTAAACCGAAAGTTGCAAAATAATAATTAAATAAGAGCAAGGTTTACAGTTTCAAATACTCACCAAGCATCGATACATCTTTCTTCATGAGATTCTGCGCTTGGACGAGATGAATACGAAGTACACCCTAAAACAAAAAAATAATTTAGTAACATAGTATTTTTAGTCACCTAATTGAAATAATTAAAACTTAATTAATATTCCTATGACGTGTCGTTTTATGTCTCGGGCTAGTAAAATGTTACGACTATTTTTTATGTTTTATGCTTCCGTCTAGAGAGCCAAAGCCAGAGAGGCGCAGAATTTAAATTATTGTGTCTTTACGTGTCCCTCTGATTACAAGAAAATAACGCAGAAAAAATGAATAGCGTGGAGGGGACTTGTTTGACATAACTGTGTCTTACTTGTTGACTGAGTGAAGGACTGATAGATTATATGAATGTCTATTCGACCCCAAAAATAACTGTGACCGCTGGCCCACCCGTTGCAGGCCGGGGTAACTTTTTTCCTTTTACTTTTTGTTTTTTTTTTCTAATAAAGACAATGCCCGCATTAGGAATATATCCTGTGTCGCGGGGGACTTTACAAACATACAGCCTTGGCCAAAAGTATTAGGCACCCTAGAAAAATGCACAATTCATGTTTACTGATTGAACAATTAATAAATGCTAATCTTAGATGGCATGCCGGGGTCACAAATAACTTCCTAGAAAAGCAAGTAGCTATCTGTTATGGTCATTAAAACACCTGGTGACTGAAAACAAAGTATTTGTTTTTATGCGTTCTTATCAGTCAATGTTTGGTCACTTGTGTTCAGGACTCTAACGAGTAAACAAGCTTTTATTTCTAACACAGTGATTAAATTGACACTTAATTTATTTAAAAATGCCGAAAAGAGTGAAATTAGTTTGGAAAACCGAGTAAAAATAAAACTTTTCCATGAACAAGGGAAGTCGCAAAAAGAAATTGCTAAGTTAGTGAAATGTTCGCGTTGCGCTGTGCAATCTGCTATGAAACGGTTTGCTGAGACTGGCAGTCACGCTAATAAACCAAGAACAGGCAGAAAACGTGTGACTTCGAAGCGCGAGAATAGAAAATTAATACGCGAATCAATGAAAGATCGGAAGAAAACATCATCAGAGCTTGCTGCTCCTTTGTCCGAAGAGGCTGGAAAGCCAATAAGTGCTCGGACCACCAGAAGAAGACTTGGAGAAGCAGGCTTAAAAGGATGGAAAGCCAGGAAGAAGCCCTGGCTTTCAGAAGCTAACAAAAGAAAACGACTTGAATGGGCTCTACGGCATCAACATTTTACTGAGCAAGATTGGGCAAATGTGGTATGATCTGACGAATCTAACTTTGAGGTAAGTAAATTTTACTGTTTTTGTTATTAATAATCATGGTCAGTTATTTATTTAACTAAAATAATAAAAGTTAAGGCAGTTTAAAAAATGTGTTTTTTTTTCTTTTTTCAACAGATATTTGGAACGCCAGGTGTGAACTTCGTGAGGCGACGTGTGGGCGAAGAATACTATCCAGATTGCGTCGTACCGACAGTAAAGCATGGAGGAGGCAGCATAATGATCTGGGGCTGTATGGCTACTGATGGGGTTGGCGAAATGTTTGTTTGCGAAGGTCGTATGAACAGCGAAAAGTACATAAAAGTGCTTAAAATTGCGCTTATGCCTTCGCTAACGAGTATTTTCGGCGATACCAACTTAGAGGGAGTTATATTCCAGCAAGACAATGCACCTTGTCATAAGTCAGCGACTACGATGCGTTGGTTTACTGAAAACAACATTGACTTGTTTGATTGGCCAGCGCAGTCACCAGATTTGAACCCAATTGAACATCTTTGGAGCATTTTGAAGCGCAAGATTAAAGAGCATAGTATCACATCGAAAACGGCATTAAAATATGCGTTAGTACAAGAATGGCATGCCATAACAAGGGAGAATTGTACTAAGCTTGTACGCTGCATGCCAGGTAGAATTAGTGCAGTAATTAAATCCAAAGGTGGACCGACTAGATTTTAAGTTTTTTTTCATTCTTTTTTGTGTAATTTAATGGTAATAAATCAATTCAAAAAGTATAAGTTGTTTTTTCCTTTATATTAAGTAAAATGTAGGGTGCCTAATACTTTTGACCAAGGCTATACATGAAACGGACACAAAGAACACCCAGACTCAGAACAACAATTTGTGGATCACACAACTTGTCGTCGCATGTGGTTTTGTGGTGGTGGTGGTGGCGAGGTAACCGCTTAAGCCACTACGCCATCCGTGCGGTCAAAATTTGTTTGCCGCCATTTCCCGCAATTTCAATAGTGGATCTGCCTTCTATGTATAATTATTTTGTTATCTGTTCCACAGACAACACATTAGTTAGACAAAACAAAACTAAATAATATAAAGATTTTTTTTATTTTCCGAAACTGTCACTTTTTAAAATGACATAAATAGAAATATACTTATAGCATCAACGTTACACAATATAAAATCATTGGTGTAATTCTCACCTCCGGCTCTGGCATTCTGAGGTCAACTGTAGGTATTTCGTCACTCAACTTAATGGGTAACTTATTAGGAAGTACCATCATTTTTGCCACCTGTTCAACGATGCAACGACGTAGAATGTCACTGAAAAAAGCGATAAGCGATTGTCAATTATAAAAGTGCCGTCGGAGAGCCAGAATCATTTACCTATATGGGCTGATTCGACCGGAGTGACGGCTTTTTTTTGCGCACTAGGAATACATCCGGTGTCACGGGGGACTTTACAAACACACATGAAACGGACACAAGGAACACCCAGACTCAGAACGCCAATTTGTGGTGCAACAAAGTGTCGTCCCATGTAGGGTTCGAACCCACCACACTTAGCGTAGCAGTAAGCGGCGTGGCGACCGTGGGGGGGGAGGGAGGCTTAACCGGCAGCAACATAATTCTGTCTCTTGAGTTGGCCATGGGCGGCGAAAGTCACTTACCATCAGGTGATCCGTCTGCTCTCCCTTGCCTTCCATGCCATAAAAACACTTGTTCAAATACTGTCACTTAAAAAACAGTTAACCACTGCAAGTGACTAATGTGATGGTATTTAAGTGGCATTTGAATATTGGGGTATTTGATGTACAACAATAAACGAAACAAATTACTTTGTGTGTGTACCCACAAGTATTACTCACCTGAACCCAGGCATATCTAGAATATCAGCAGCACCGACCAAGTTGAAGTCTATAGAGGGATTGTTTAAAAAAAAAATCTGAAGGCCACCCACTAAAGGCATCTTGGTTATAAGAGGTTTCATTACGACGCGCACCATGCCATGTATCTGAAAATCAATACCTTTAATTAAGTCATATAATTTTACAACACTTTAGGGACTCGAGAATCGTTCTCCAAAAGTGTGTCAATGGTCCCGTAATGAGTATATAGCAATGCCATCAATGATCGTAATTTTATTTTAATTTAGGACTTTGTTACTGAGAGCTACTTTGTGATTTACGTAACTTATTAACATAAATCATTTGGTTCACCTGAAATTGAACCTGTTTTTTTGAAAACCTGGTTTTAGTCTTGATTGTAGTTGATAAAAGAACATAAATCTCTGATATGTAAGAGCATAAAACTTGACAAAGAAAAAGTCAAGCTTTTGGACAATTATAGAACTTTTAAGCGGTCTGGTGATTATAGCTAGACATATTTTAGATTTCATTTCTTCAAGATAAGAATGAATTCTAACCTGAAGATCCTTAATGCCCCCACGTATTCTTTGTAACACAAAGGATATGTCGCAATCGCCGGCGTAACTGTCAATAAAGTAAATAGTTAAGGACATGTGAAACTAATCTTCTACTTATTAATAACAGCGATTCGCCCTAATTCTGTATTTCTGGAATAATTTTATAAGTTGGGTGACTTATCTAAGACAAAACATTGCCCTAATGCTTTTCCTTCTATCCGTTATAAAATAATACCATAATATTCTTTTTTGGATTTGCCAAGCCAACAGTTTGAAGAGGGAGGAGGAGAACACTACTGTAACGCAAATGGTCATGGATGAATCACTGACGGATCAAAAAATAGTTCAAGGTAAAATGTTATTAAAACACCTATGCAAGGAAAAAATGATATTGTAATGACATTCATCATTTCGCAAAACTCATAAATATGTTTCAGGTAAAACAATTCACTTCAAAGTTGAAATTGTTTTGTTGCCATAATTCGGTACGATTAAAATATTCAACAAGAAACAGACGACAAACCACACATACATTGACGACAACAGCATTTATATAACTTACAACAAATCAACATCCATGATGATTTCACTTCTTGAAAGGTTCTTATCATAGACTTTGACGCCACCGACGCGAGGGGCCTGCGAAAATTAATGATACTCATTACGATAATTAAACATTAATAACTTTACAACACCTACGTAAACACAACCCGGTTTTAAGATGATAAACTTTATTGCTCTACACTGGAGTTTTCCTCTACGTCTCTTTTAAGTTAATATTCTTTTACAAGTGCAATTGATTATACCCGTAATTTAAAGTAAGGAAGTACGAGAAAGGTAAGTATTCGAAGCGTACGAAGTTGCAGGTAACAGCTGTTAAACAAATAAATCCAAATTTATCTAAACTTTATTGATTTCCAGCGTTACTAGACTCAGAACAACAATATGTAGATTACACAAAGTGTTGTCCCATATGGGGATCGAACCCACAACACTCAGCGCAAGAAGAAGCAGCGAGGTGAACGCTTAAACCACTACGCTACGTGTAGTTATTTACTATTGAGCCCTTCCCATTTCTTAAAAAAAAACTTACAATGGTACCGAGAATCACGCGTTCAAACTTGAATCCATTCAGTTTGTAATTTGCCAAGCTTTCGGCCACCGCCGGCTCGATAGATTCCTTTAGAATGTTGCGAGCAAACTGGTTCACATTTGGCCACACTTGCAGTAGGATCTGTAGGCATAGTGTTATGTTTTTTTATACTATACGAAGAAAAATAGAGTAATACATTAAAGAGGAAATTAATTCGGGTCAGACTGAGAAAGACTACAGTCAAGACGTTGAAGATTAACTGTATGAAGTGGACAACACTCAGCCCTTAAACCTCATTCGATTAAGGGGTTAGCGTGGCATACTTTTCAAGCATGCTTAGGACGTGCTCGGCAGATAAGTGAAACAACGGAAGCTCCTTCTCCCCCCCTTTAACGCTTTAAAAGCTCAAAATTCTTATAATGGGGAATATTTTACCAATATCGTGTAATATGTCATACTAATCTACAAAATCCAGGTAATGACAATACGTGGAAGTAACACGAACTACTAAAATTTAAAAAAATGTAGTTGTAAAGAAAAAATAAAGCAATGTTTTTCTATTTTGTTTTTAGATGAGATTGTTTTTCTTCTAAATAAATTTAATTACTTTCATTTCATGTATCTTTATGTACTGGGATTCATTTTTGTGAACCGGATTCACTGCTTTTGGGTATAGATTTCAAAACAAAAGGAAACATTCGTGACATAAACATTGGGTTTAACAGTTCTTTTGATTCTAATACTACTAAACTGAGCACTCAATATAATTGCTCCATGAGTATTGTATTTTAGATGTAGTTAAGAAATCGAGAAGCGGACAGCGAACAATTTAAATATCAACGTAGGTGGAAGAAGTGGTTTATATCGAGTCATGTGGGAGGCAGCTAAGCCATTTAACAAATTACTATAGCGTTACGTACCCTATTTAACCACTCAGCACGTTCAACGTCAGGGAAGAATACCTGTAAACATATTTTTCTATTGGTATAATAAATAATTAACTATGTATGATAGGTAATTTGTCTCATGTGTCCTAAGCTTTGAAGCATACAATACCAGTTATCTGAATGTATGTAAGAAGTGTATAAAACACTGAAAATAAAGAACTGATTCTTAATTTTTTTTACCTTATACTTAAAATCGAATGAAAATTGCTACGTACGGTCTTTTACTAAATCACTTGTTTATTTTATTTTCTCCTTATCAAAGGCAACATATACGACCATCGTATGATTTGGCGACTGCATCGACTTTTAAGAACCACATCTGATATCCTAACTTCATCATCATTATCAGCCTATTGCAGTCCACTGCTGGACATGGGACTCATACAATTTTTGAACGTATGATGCTTAGCTTACAGAAAAGGAATTCCCTCTGAAAAAATATCGTTCCTGAGAGATGGGATCTTAGCAATCCACCGCTGCATAAGTACCTATTCTAGAAGAAGGTGTCTTTCATACGAAGCACTACTTCAACTTTCAAAATTTATATGAGTACTAGATAAGTCATCACAATCGTAAAAACGTAAAGTCGTAGCATCAAAGTGTCATTGAACTGTTAACGGGGTTTGTCTACCTAATCGATACATACGCCAACTAATGCGGGAACAACAGACAGACGCCAGTACGTAATAGGCTATTCATTACAGACTAGGTGTCTGTAATATAAGAAATATGTTAGTATTTAATATTAGTATGAGAATTTGTTAAGTATAAAACTAGAAAAATGTAGATATTTAAGTTTAGAATGATAATAGTCTTAATTAATAAAAATAAAATTCTGTTTGTTGGAGCTACCAACACTAGGCTAGATGGATTCATCTCAATTTGGTTTCAAAAACATCCGTAACAGGGTTACCTACTTTTGAACACAGAAATGCAATTTTAAAATCTCAAAAAGGTGGTTTGTTCTATGATTTGCACCATACAACTACACATTTTATTGAACATCATACAGGACGAAGTTTGTGAGGTAAGCTAGTATAAATAAAGATCAATGTTAGGTATGTCTTACCCATGCTGGTAAATCGTCAAGTCTGGCTAAAACAACATCTTTTTCAGAGGACTGTGCGGTAGCCTTGGCCACGTTTCGACGATATTCACTCTCCTTTCGCCATTGGTCACGCAGTACAGATAATATAACGGGACCAATAAGCCATGCAACACTCCATTGCAAATAACCTACGAGGTACACCGCACCAACAACCGATACCTGCAACGACAGTTATCAATTTTTTTGTACTATACTGTGCCTATAATTAACATTATCGGTAGTAATAAAATACTAATTCATTGTCAAAAATTTGATTATTTGTTTATAAGAAAATGATTAAGTGGTATAGTATCTGGTGATATACTATGTTATATGTATAATACTTATGCATAAAAATATTACAACTTGTCAAATGTCAAACAAATCTTTGTAGGAGCTTAATGCTATTTATTTAAATTTACCATTTTCTCAGTTTAGTAACTGATAGATATTGTAGCTTGGATAAAATTTCAAGTTCAGATATGAATTACTACAACAAAGTCACTAAAACAAATTGTGTACCTGACCTGCTGATAATAAAATCAGTTATCCTTTCATATGAAGTTTCTACCCAAAACTAATACAAACAGTAATTATCATTATGTATGCTAAGACTAAAAACATTATATCAACAATTTATACATATAGCTAGGTACTCTAGAAACTGTTTTATTTTAAAAGAGATTGAAACCTTTTGAAATGGTGTGTTATTATAAACATAGAACAAAATGTAATCACTATACTTAACATTAAAAAAATGATTTACTCATTTTAAAGAGTTGCCACATTTTCAATAGTAAAATAGATAGGCTTTATAACAGGATAATGAGCAGCGAAAGTATTGATTTTATTTCCTCATACCAACAAGTAAAATAAAACACGATAGAGTTAGATAACCACCCATAGCAGTGGGAATATATTTGAAAGGATGACATCATCACCTAAAAGTTAACAGTTTGCATGTTAAACCATATTACACATTAAGGTAAACTGTACAAGTAATTAGGTCAAGTATTTACTGTTGATAAGCCATGGAGCTATTAAACAAATATACATACTTTTATAGCAAGAAATTCAATATTTTGTGATAAAGTATAGTCACATTTGTAATAAGTAGTAACACATAATATTTAATCATGAGAGAAACAGTGTGATACTTAGTTTTATTTGCACATAATGAATAAGAGGAACAAATAAGCAGCGTTTAAATTTCTAACTTGTGATTCAAAGCATGACAACATGCTTGAAGGTCACCGCTGAGTCAGTGATACATATGATTCTGTCCTGATTATGTAGTCAATTTTATTGATACAGGAAATAACTATTAATCTACTAACTATTATGGCATAAAGTATGTACCACTCTAAGCTTAATATAACTTACCTTTTTGAAAAATTTGTACATCATGGAGAGCACATTACTATTTAAATCATCATTGTTTGGGGAGAGGGCCGGTTTACTAGCTGACACCATTTTCTTTTCATCACTTGCCTGTATTAATAATGTATTTAAAAAACACAAACATCATTGTATAACTGCTTAGTATAGGAAAGGCATTACAGTAAAACTAAATTTCATGAATCTTTAAATTGTTTAAACAGGATTACTAAATATAAAAAGTAATAAATCTTAAAGATGCCAGATGCTCGAGTCATGTTTATTTTTAGATTTAAAACATTAAAAGCAATTATACAGAAGTATAATAAAATAAAAATTGCATAAACATACCATGCTGGACAGATTATGCTTGGAGTTCAAACAAAAACTAAGCAATAAAAATCCTATTAGCGATTTTGAAGCACATAGGTGTAACTAATGGGTAGTAGGTACTTATTGGAATAAGTAATGTGTTGTAACCTAATTTAGGAATTTTAATACATTACTGTTCTTTTATTGAATCGAGGATGAGATTGAAAACGAAGAATTAAAATAATATAGAGTACAATAACTGCTCAACGATTCACAACAAAAGCGCGGCGAATCCCGCAAATTACTGCGGCAAATTGTGTTGATGTTGAGAACTTTACATCACTTGACATCACTGTTATGACTTTGACAATATGCCACTTAATTTATTGTCAATTGTCATTAATACCATGAGCTGACAAATGACAGCTGACAGCTGTATAACTGAGCTGAAGAGATAGATACATATAATTTCACTCTAAAGATATATATCACTCATTTAGCTCACTAGCACATTTAGCTATGATCCAATACAATTGATTGGTCTCTCAACTGATTCATTTCTTTGTATAGATCGTTTAGCTAAGTAAATTTATATCACTCACTTGAAACCTCTCTTAGAAAGGGCAGGCAAGCTCACAGGTCACCTGATGGAAAGTGACCATCGCGGCCCATGAACGTCTACAACTCAGGAGTCACAAACGCGTTGCGGCTTTTTAGGAAGGAGTACGCTCTTTTCTTTTTCTTTCATTTTTATTAAATTGTATAGACATCTTACATATTAAATGGATTTTCCTTCATACTTAGCAGGCTTAATTCTCGAATAATACATAAGTAATGTTAAACTTTGATACTATAGAATTAATGTACATTTATCCTAAAGAAACTAAATTTGCGTGAACTGAATCATGATCTATCTCACTCACTCATATTTCTTTAGTCTCACTCGCTCATGAAACAAAGATCATCCGTCATCCGATCGCCCATCACACAGAGTTAAAATTTAACTATCTCTATCGTTCATAACTATATAATTAGTAGAGTACTTGATATGTACTTACCTCTACATATATTCGTTGTGAGCGCCAGTTTGCCAGAATTTCTAAAATTAATTTGTTTATAACATGTTTATAGAAAAATTATAGATCATCAATGTTAATTCCAGTATCCATCATTTATAGACGTTTACTCGACAATGTCTAAATGCTTATTGCCAAAGTTCAAAGAAGCGTCCTAGGAAAAGTAGTGTAAGAAGTACTAGAGTGCTAGACTGACTAGATATATGTGTATTCCGATTATTAAATCCAATCCTTTTCGAAAGAACAACGCGTTGTAATTGTGAAAACTTATTACAAAAATGAGGAAAGTTACCCTGAAACCGCTCGAAAACTTCGCCAAATTATCAGTCGAGAAATTGCACCTAATGTGTTAACCATTCGAAGAGTGGTCAAAAAATTTGTAGAAACTGGGTTGATTATGGACATTAAGAATCCTTTGCGTCTACGTACCGGTCGGTCTCTTGAAAACACATGGTATACTCACCATCAGGCTCACTGAAGAAGCCTGATGGTGAGTATACCAAAACAGCCTCGGAAGCCTAAGAGCTGTTATTAAAAACACACTTCCCTGGATGTCGCATATCAGATGCGATGGAAAAATGGGAAGACAGATGGGAAAAACCACCAGATGATACAGACTGGGATACGGCCCGCAAAGTTGTCAACCATGACAAACTAAGATGGGCAATTGACAGCTTCCTACCATTCAAGGCGCCAGGACTAGATGGTGTCTTCCCAGGCCTACTGAGATGGTGTGATATGACACTACTGGACCATCTTGTAAAAATCTATAGGGGCTGCCTGGCGCATCAGTACATCCCCTTGAAATGGAGAGAAGTTAAAGTAGTCTTCATCCCCAAACCTGGTAAAGGTGACTACACACAACCCAAATCACACCGACCTATGATATCAGTCTCACATCCTTCCTACTAAAGGTTCTCGAGAGGCTAATAGATAGGGAAATCAGGGAAACTGCGTTAGTCAGTCACCCTCTACACCTCAATCAACACGCATACTCGATGGGTAAATCAACAGAATCTGCCCTACATCGAGTTGTTTCATAAATAGAAGACAATCTAAATCACAAAAGGTCAACACTGACCACCTTTATCGATATCGAGGGAGCCTTTGACAAGACCAACTTCACCAGCATTAGCCAAGCTCTGTCTAGGCATGGTGTTGATTCCACAATCTCAGGGTGGATCGACAGCATGCTAAGATATAGAGCTATACAATTCACTGTGAGCGAAGTGACCAGAGGAGTGGTGGCTAGAGGCTGCCCCCAGGGCGGTGTACTCTCCCCCCTTCTATGGAACATTGTTGTGGATGAGCTCATCACACAACTTAATGACCAAAGATTCCTCACAATAGGCTATGCAGACGATCTTACTATTCTCATCAGCGGTCCTTTTGAGAGCATCACATGCGATCAAATGAGACTTGCACTGAAGATCGTGGAACAATGGTGCGTAGCACACAACCTGACAGTGAACCCATCCAAAACAGAGATGATCATGTTCACAAACAAACGCAGCCTAGGAAATCTCAGACTTCCCAAGCTATTTGGAACACAACTTACTCTTACCAAAGAGGTCAAATACCTAGGAGTAATACTGGACAGTAAACTCCTGTGGAACAAGCACCTCGATGAAAAACTGAATAAAGCCTGCATTATTTTCTGCCAATGCAAGCGGCTACTCGGCAAAAGCTGGGGACTATCACCCAAAATCACTTTATGGCTATACAGGACAGTCATAAGACCAATAATCACTTACGGTGCTGTTGTCTGGTGGCAGAGAACAGAGCTAAGCACCGTGATAAACAAACTGCTTCAATTCCAGCGACTCCCATGCTCCGCAGTCACTGGCTGTATGCGCACAACGCCTACTGCCGCACTGGAGGTGGCTCTTGGTCTGCCACCCCTGGATCTATTCATACAGCAGGAGGCCGCCATGGCGATCATTAGACTCAAACACCTGGGTCTATGGCACAAACGTGAGGGATCGCACTCTAAGTTATGGGATCAATTGGTGGAATACGAACCACTGATAGCAGCTCCATGCGATAGAATCCCAAAACACCATATCTTCACAAGAAGATACTACATCCAGATACATGGATATGACCGAGATCAATCCGGCATTAACGAAGTCCGAATTTACACGGACGGTTCCAAGACTAGGTCAGGAACTGATGCCGGAGTTTTCTCGCAAGACCTAAATATAAACATATCACTAGCGTTAGGCCAACACAGTTCCATATTTCAATGTGAATGTGTGGCAATAACTTACGCTGCCACAACGGCCATGTCAAGGGGTATCAAGGACTACAACATCCGAATAATATCCGACAGCATGGCCGTCTTAAAGGCATTGGAGGGCAACACAATGACCTCTGGTATTGTCTTCGAATGCCACCAAGCACTGGAACAGCTCGCTATATTCAATGGGGTAATCCTCCAATGGATTAAAGGGCACAGTAACTCACACGGGAACGATGCCGCAGATGAGTTGGCAAGGAGGGGCTCGGCAACCCCAACCTCTGGCCCAACTCCACTCCTGCCCATATCGTTTAACCAAATACGATGCTGGGTCAGGCAACGGACCTGTGAAGCACACAACCGGAGGTGGAAAAACTCACCCGGCTGCAGACAGTCCAAACTGGTGCTGAATCAAGTCACACCACGACTCACCTGCAGACTGATCAGTCTTAGCAGACCGGAAATCATAATGGTCGTCGGAACTATTACAGGACATCTAGCCCTGAACCGACAACTATTCATAATCAATGCGACAGACAGTCCCCTGTGCAGGGGATGTCTGGAAGCTGAAGAAACGGCCGTCCACGTAGTCCTGGAATGCGAGGGAGTGGCCACACAACGGGCAAGTATCATTCCTGATATAAAGTCGCTCCTAGAAGCCTGTGAACGCCCCAGGAGGCTTCTGCGCTTCTGGAAGGAGCTTGGCTGGCTCACCTAGTCAACCAATCCTCGACGCATAAAGGACCACTCTGAGTCTAAATGCGGAAACCGAAGCCCACAACCAATACCAATACCAATAGTATTGAAATGGTTTGTTCACATATATAGGTAGAACCAAATAAGCTGGCACATTTCAGAGCGTTTATGCGCAACTTTTTGTACGTATTTTTATCAATGCAGCGGTAAAAGTTCAGCAAGTCTCCTTCGTTGAATTTGTTGCGTAAATCTTGGTCGTTTTGAATGTCGATAATTTCTAACTGTATTGACTCTGGCGCATTTTCAACTGAAATCGTGAAAGGATTGCTGAATATGTCCAACAGAGGTTTCACTTTTTAAACGCCGAAAATCTGTCTTGAAAAGATTGAATCAAAATATCTAGCTTTTCTACATAACTGAAATTAATCCCAGTTTTGTTGAATTTTTCAGCCATTATAATTCGGAAAATGATTGCAATTTCTAGAATTCAATTGCGATCTGAAAGGATGATACATGAGCGTAGAGCTGGGATATCAGTTGATTTTTGCCTTGAAGCCGTGTGTTCAAGACATTGAAATGATTTGTAATGTCAACTAAAAAAGCTAGATCACACAACCAATCAGGATTTTTAAGTGCCGGGACATCCCTCTGCTTTTCCGCCAGAAATATTCCAATTTCTTCTATTAAATTTAGAAATCGTTCCAGTGTCAATCCACGACTTAGCCACCTTACTTCTGTATAATACAGTAAATCTCCATATTCGCTTTCGATGTCATCAAGGAATTGTTTGAATTGCCTGTGATTGAGTCCTCTTGATTTTATGAAATTTACAGTCGAAATTACCACTTTCATGACATTTTGAAATTCAATTTTTTTAGAACAGAGGGCGTCTTGGTGTATAATGTAGTGAAACTGCATGAGATCTTCAGCGTTTATGTTTTTTTCTTGCAGATGCTTTTTCAGCAAAGTAACTAGCCCAGTTTTTTTTTTTTTTTTAAAAGACAACTCCCGCATTAGGAATATATCCTGTG